CCCCCCTTTGAACTTCGGATTTGAAAGCGCCCACGACCACGCCCACGACCACGCCCAACACCGAAAGCGCTGTCGCGGCAGGCTTTTCTCGCCAGGGTTCTGTGGGTATCACCTGAAGGACTGCTTGGGGGTGGGGAGCTCTAGGCTGGGCTAGGCTGGGCTGATATATACGAAAGGTACGAATAGGCTCGAGAAGGGGGGCATTAGAATCGTGTGAGTGAAGTCTCACCATGTCGAATCCGAGCCTTGTCAATAGTCCATCTCCTTGTTCCCCCCAAGAATCGTGAGCTGGTGCATATTGCGAGTCTGCGGCATGCTACTGTTTCGTACGGAAGCGGAGATGGGAGTTGATCGGGGGACCGAGACGAGAGCGTCTCTAGTGTAGCTGAGACGTCTTTCTTTCGTCGTATTGTGTGATTTCCATTAGCTTACCGAGGGGACGGGACCGTGGTCTAACCCCAAGTCTACGCACCCTACCATCCTACCTGGCTCTACGCCGGACCCCCGGCCGTCGTCCTCGGACTTCGGCACCGGTTGCCCACCAACTTGGCCGCATGACGAGAGGGCCTGGTTGGTTCTCTCCCAGGGCTCCATCATCTTCATTTGACCATTTGTAGGAAGTTGAACAACCATGTCTTGCGGGTGCTCGTGTGACCCCCCGTCTTTGGAGAGGTGGACGCACACCGCTCACTCAATCAACTTCACTGGCCAAGCCTTTCCTTCTCAGTGTAGTTGGGACCGGCCTCTCTATCTGGTTCCTCTCCATCTGTTTGAGAAATCATGTTGTCCCCTTTGAACAGCCAACTATTCGTGATCACCGTTCCCTCGAAAATCTAGACATTACTAAGACCTCTACGAAAGCCCCTCGAAGCAGGCCCGACGATCAACCGGAACCCCCTCTTGTCCCAGCTTGCTCTCAGAAGAAACCAAATAAAGACGAGATGCTCCCTTTGAAAGCGAGTTCATCATGTACGCGGGTCTCGAAAGCTTTCGAAATGATAGATTACGGTCAACCCCAATAACATACCCCTAGCCCCAGAGCGAAGGATGCCAGATGCCTTCAATACCCCGTTTGTGGCATGTTGATCGGACAGAGTGACTAGATCACATTACTCCCTGATTGATTGTGATAGAATGGCCTCCAGAATGGAGACGTCTTCCCTTTCGTGGGCGAACTAACTCTATACGCCCTACGGCCGTTGTGGAAGTCACTCTCGACCCCCCCTAATTGTTTTTCCCATGTATAAAGAAACCGTCTTCGGACATGCGTCCTACGGCTTTGGAGAGCTTATTATAGGGCCTGAATTTGCATAGATGGTAGTCATCAAGCTACAGTGTGGTATCAGCCAAGACCATATCTTCACCCGTCCACTCGAGACTTTGGCCTCCATATCTACCCGTCTATTCCCAAAGCCTCAGATCGTACCGGAAGGCGGCACCCTTGTTCTTCATCCACAAAGGTTCTCTGTGACAGGACGCGAGAGTGCTGATGGCATCGATTATAACACAGTGAGGATTCGGAAAGGGGGCTCTCGTCTATCCATAAAACCCCTGGCGACTGTGCTTCTTCGTGTTACAACGACTTTAGCTCTTTGAGTCGCTTTATATTTCTCAATGAACCTCCTAGCTTGATATTTCGAATAGTGGATCGGACAGTCAAAGGGGAAGGGAGGATGTGAAGGGGGAGTGACAGAATGTTTAGGCATTTGACAGTCTACGGAGGAGAACCATTAAAGCCGACGAAACTTTGAAATTGGAGGTCATTGTGAATAATTTGCTGTGTGTATAGGATACGCTGAATCTATACTAGTTCGCTTCAACCAATGCGATCCAATCCGCCAATCATGCAAGAAACCCTGATCCTAAGCAGCAGTGTCAATCGTCCTGCCGGTGTCCTGGATAACTACATCGGCCAAGACATTGGCAGCAGCCCCTTCCATGATAACCTCCTTGCCCTTCTTCGAAGCAGTCTTCTTCTTGCGCTTCGCAGTCCCGAGACTCACAGGCGGTGCCTCGAGAATCCATTTCGCAATGGCAGCTGCGCGCTCAGTGAGTATCGGGTACTCCCTGCCATCGTCAACGCTCCACCGGCGTAACGCGGGGGAGGGTTCAGCATGTTCAGACTTCCCGTTCGAGCCATTCTTCAAGCCAATGAGGTACTCGTGGTCTTCCTCGGACCGTTTCTGGCGAGCAGTGATGGCGGCGCGGAGCGTAGCCTCGTCGACGACTCTGTCGTCATCGAGCGCATCCATAATGGCCTGCTGCCGAACCCTCTCTTTACGCTGCTCCTCAGTCTCGCCGACGTCTGGCAACGTGCTCGCGTCTCTCGTGATGGCAGCGGCTGCAAGAGCGGCGGTGTCATGGGACGAATGAGAACTGTCCTGCTGCGCGCCCAACGGTCCATCGAGAACCGGGAGTGGCGCTGGAGCACACAAGTGTTCCCAGGAAGCACTCATCTGGATCCAGTTTTCCGCACGGCGTAGCACTTCGATCCAGTCTGCCCTCGCCGGAGACCTGCTGGCTTGGAACAGCGGGTACCCGTCCGCAAGCCGAGCGAGTCGGGCGACCATGTGTGCGTGGCGTAGGAGCTCTTTCGTGGAAGTCTGTACCAAGCAGTGGCAGAGTAGCAGAGAATGAAGGGCATCCGTTAGCAGGGGATGGTAGGTGATGGCTTCGTAGTTGCTCGGCTGGACAGGCCCTGATGAGCGGACCAACTCCTGGGAAGGGTATGGCGGAATGTCCGCAGGTGCGAGAGCAGCAAAAAGTTCAGACAAGGCGTACGTCTTGTAGGGGGGTGTGCTCCCCGAGTCTGGGACACGTGGGTGGCGGCTGCCTTGCGCCGCGAGATTGACCTTTTCAGTAAAATCCCGTGCTATTTTGAGAGGTTGGTCCGGCGTGTAGTGGAAGTTTGACAGGTAGGCCATGTAATCCCGGAGGGCCTTTTTGGCGTATGTCTTGACCACTTTTCGATTCTCCAACCGCCTGCGCACTGTCTCGCTATCCGCCGCGGTGGGCTCCGGGCTCTGCCCAGTAACTTCACTATCCGACTTGGATGGTCCGTTTGCGCCACTCGCCCGACCAGTCTCTCCATTCGCAGGAGTATCCGAAAGGCCATCCGCCACATGCTGGCAAGCGATCGTCAGGTAAGCTCCTCCTCTTTGAAATAACAGCTGTGTTTCCAAGCTGCTAGGCTGCTGTTCTTCGGTGAGGATGACATCTGGGCTTCTTCTAAACCCTGTTGCTAGTTGAACTTCCCGTGAAGCCGATGCCCCGTGCAGTGGCTGGTGATAGCGGTGCACTTGCAGCGCAAGGCTCAGGTCCGAAGCAGCCTCCACGTAGTCCTCCTTGAAAATCCGGACAGTCGCTCTGGTTCGCAGCGCCTCAGCTTCGGTCGGGCGCGCCGATATGATATCATCCAAGGGCGCCAGGCTGGTACATTCGGCCAGCTGTCGCGAGGGTATTTTCTCGTGGAAGAAGTGGACGTATCTCGCATCGGGGTCGTCCCTGCTGCGCTGCAACACTAGAGCACCAATCTCCTCGAGAGTTGAAGCACCTTGCATGGTAGCAACACTACAAGCGATCTCATCCAGACGATATGCGCGGGCGAGCTTCTGGCTCGCCTGCTCTCTCATGCGAAATTTCCGCTCCTTGCTCAGTTTTGTGCCATGGCCATTCCCCACACCAAAGCCCAACGATGACATGTGCCCGTTCAGTCCGCCATGTACGTTTGTCAATGTCGGTGTGGCCATGTCGCTAGCAGCGCGGACGGCCAGGTTGGTAGCTTCGTCCACAAGTCGGCGAATCTTGAGGAGATCGAAGAAGACGGCGGGGTCGATCGGACGAGGTGCCGGGGTGTTGTAGTTGATATTCGCAATGGTTTCGAGGATCTCAATGGGCATTTGGAGCCATGGGCCATGAAACGAAGAGATGAAGCGCCAATGCCTGTCGCGCGGTGTGTCAGCGAACTGTACTCTGGGAGGAAAGGAAGACCATTGATGGCAGCGCAACACCTGTTGGCGATGCATGTCCTCTGTGGCAAAGGGATAGCAGGGAGGAACGCAGGAGGGAAGACGGACTTGTTGCGACATATTATGAGCGCAGGAGCAGTGTCGATCGTTGCGTTCGCCGACCGCCTGGAGACTGAGTTCTTGTTTGAGCCATTGGAAGAGGATTGCGATGCGCTCTCACTGGACACGCCGTCACCAATATCTTCCACCGTAGTCTGAGTGCTCTTCTTCTTTGCCATTGTCGCCCGCGCAAACCAAAAACAAAAACGAACTTGGTGAACAGATATATGCGACAAGGTCAGACCGGAGGGCACGAAGGATGGTCGGCCAGTTTCCCTTGGGACACAGGCTGGACTCGAGCGACGATGAAGGTGGGGAATTATCGTCCAATTGATATTGAGCTCATGGTAGCAATTTGTTTATTCCGAAGCAACATGAGTATTCTCGTGTGTGAGTTTCGTCGACAATAAATTGTGTAGCTACCGTTCCAGCGCGAGGTGCGCGACTCCTTGGGCGCCGCTTGCCTTCCATAATTTGTTCCTGAATAAGATGGTTGTTTCCTTCCCTCGACGCATCGAGGGGCACCGGGGGAGCTCGACTCACGTGAGGAGTCATGTGGCAAACGGAGCGCATTCTTACCTCAGCATCGGCGACAGATAAGATAAGCGCTTTAGATGCATTCCATCCATTCCTTCCACCTCACCCGTCACGAAAAGACCCGATCTATCCGTCGTATCCGTCGTTCGACACCGTAAATGTACAAACCTGAATGTCCCCTGCTGCTGCTGCCCATCTTCAAACATACCCCGTGGCATGCGCCCGTCTAACTCAAGGCGCCTTCGGTCTGAAGACGTTTCATCTCAACCCGGGATTCTGGTCTGGCAGCTGTCCAAGACTCGAAGCTGAGTAAGTAGGGACAAAGCCTTGATGTTCGTGCGCAGAGCCCACCCGAGCTCCGATGACATCTCTCAGTAAATTCTAGTTGCACTTTGTGCCTGGCGCAGGAAACCGCTTGTACAACACACATGTGCTTCGCAACTGCATTGCCAAAGTTTGGAGCGTCTTGCTGGGAATCCTGCTGTTACTGCCACATTTGCAGATGATCCAAGTTGTTTCTTGTTCAACTGTGAAACTACTTAGTAACCAGGGATTTGTCATCCCGTCTGCTGCGCCGAGCACTCCAAGTCTCAAGATACTCGGAGCCATCGGCTGGTCTCAATCCCATTCGCAGGCTGGAGCCACTCCTCGCCGTTGATCGTGGTCGTCAATATGCCATTGGCCTGGAAGATGGTCATCAGGAGATCAGTGGTCAACCGTAAGCCGTCAGGGCTGGTCTTCTTGGTACCATCGTTTGGCCCCGTCTGAACAAAGTCTGATACCCAGTCAATGTCCTTCCCCGTCGGGCTCGGGTTCACCGAAGTGACGACCAAATTGACTTGCTCAGTTTCCACCGGCACGTTGGCGCCGTCATCAGGAAAGTCGTGATACTCGACAATGAATGAATTGGCTAGCTTTGCCGGACGTGACGGTGAATGAGTTGAAGCCCAGGTGCTCGTTGTTGGGACGAATGCGTAACTCGCGAATGGCCCCGCCGATCCCTGACACGTTCATGGCTGTTTTCCATCTGATGGGGTAGACATGGACCTGGTCTGGGCTACAAGCTCCGCTGGCAAGTTTAGCTGAGCACTCAAACATTCGCGGGCCGGCCAGCAAGCGCTTGCCGTCGTTGAAGTTTTGCGGATAGTCGAGCGCTGCAACACGTCCAGCCTGGTTTTCCTCAGATACACCGTAAGTGATACGACTCCACGCATCCCCATTTGGAAACGTGCTGTTGTTGATCTTGAAAAGGATCAGCTGTGACCCGCTATATATACTCGCAAGGTCAAGAGCGGGAGACCACCCGATACAACCGGTACAGTGGGGTTGATATCTAGAGTACATCATCCGACAACCTTGTGCGTACTGATAGGGGGATGTGGAAGCTCTGTGATGATGACTGGCTCTGGCGCGGCATGCGCAACGCTCACGGCGGAGAGAATGCTGTTGAAGGTAGATGAGAGGCGCATTCTGGATCCTTAATACGGGTCGACGCCTGTGAGAGATAGACGACCAAGAGCTGAGCTAGTCAAGAATCCAAGACGAAACTGGTCTTTTATGAGCATCTGCGAACCCCAGAGCTCTCCTCTCGCCGAGATTATCCTGCAATCTGATGGTTTCTAATGTCCCGTCGAGAGACTCATCCCACGGGAGCCACAGGAAGATCTCACCGAGTACGGACGAGGCTGCACGGACGCCGGTATTTCGGGCTTGACGAAGACATAGTTTGAAGGTAAACCACGCCTCCCGTGATGTTCAGTGCTAATTCCAAGGCTTGAATATTCGTATGCCTTTAGAAAAGTCGGTTCCAGGCGCGTCTCCGAAATACGCGGAACGGCAGTCTTGGTTACAGCGTAGGCGGGAGTCAATAAGCGTGTGCCTAGTTACGTACACGTCGAACGCAATGATGGATTATCACCACGTCCGTTTGGTAATCTAAGCCGTATAGTAATCCCCCGCGAAATCACGGCAGTGTTATCATTACACAATTTATCCATAGGCGCGCTCTCATAAGAGGCGATGGCCAGGGGAGACGTATTGATAGGCTCGACGTGGCTAAATTTAGGCAAAGAACCATGCGCGCGCACCGGCACTGGTCACGTCAACCGTGGCAGCAACGACAAGTTAATGTCAACCTGGATTTAGTCTTTGGCTATTAGCACAGCTCAATAAACTCGGCGTGATGGAACATTAGATCAAGGGACTGGCTGTCTTGTGCAGGCCTGATTGCCGTAAAAGCAAATATCGTCACATCAGAGCATAGATCAGGACCTCGCATTTCTTGAGAACATGGTTCTGGAGGTGAATATCGTACTTTATTACTTCAAGATAGTTCGGCAATAAAGAGCGAGGTCTGCAGGCCAAGCAACCCTTCCGTGGCAACCAAGCCTTCCTCTCCCATCTGCCAAGCAACATCGCCCCAAAGCACCTCGACAACCTTGCCAACCTCAATACCGTGCGGCAGCGCAACTCTGATCTCGCCTTGAATCTCTTCGTAGTTCAGGTTGACCACACTAATCAGCGCCTGCTTCTTCTCCTCGTCCACCCACACCGCCGCATCAACCCGCTTCGCGCCCTCCACAGCAAGATCCTGCGTCCTCTCTGTCCCAAGTAAGAATCCTACCGCAGCCTTATTCGTAAAGACGCCGGCCAACTTGCTCGTGAGGGCCTCCAGCTCCGCCGTGGCGGGGTAATTCCACATCACGATGCCCTTTGAGCCGCGATTGACCGCCAGCACCGTCATGACGACCTCCTCATCGGCGGTCGGGTACCTCGCCCAAAAGGTCTCCTTGCCAAAGGCCTGCGGCGCGAACCACTGCGTCTTTTGCCAGCCCAAGATCTCGTCTCGGCGGTGGAACTCGTCCAGCCGCACCGAAATGTCCTCAAATTTGCCCTCGCAATCGTCACAGCCGCAGCACCCGCGCGTTTTGTTGCAGTCCGTGCCGTAGACCGTTGAAAAGGTCGCGTTGATGCCGACAGGGTAGACGTCGCTCATGAGGATGTCGGCGCCGGCGCCGTATTCAGCGTAGTGGAAGTCATAGCAGTTGAGGGCGAGGGAGACCGGGTGGTACGGGTCGATGGCCTTGATCTGCTCGTATGCGATGCCGGTGGAGTTGGCGGGGTTCGCTTTGCCGTCAGCTTCGTCGCTCTGGTACCACAGCAGGATCGACGGGTGGGTGCGCAGCCAGGTGACTTGTTCGATCATGTTTGTGAGGTTCGTCCAGGTCCAGAGGACGTCGTAGTGCAGGTAGAGACCTAATTCGTCGGCGCGCTGGAGGTAGGGCTCGAACTCGGCCCGGGGAAAGGGGATGTCGCCGAGGTCTCCCGTGGGCACGATGTGGATTAAGTTGTAGCCCAAGCCGGCGAACTTGTTGAGGGTGTCGACGCCCTCGTCCCAGAATCGGGTCCATTGTGCTGGTTGAAGTCAGTGAGAGAGACGGATGTGACTGTGAGAGAAAGTTCTCACTGTAGTAGGTGTAGGGGTAGATGAGGTCCCAAGGCGCATCCTTGCCTCGTTGCGCGAGAAGTCCGCCGTAGAGGTTGTCGATGCGCGACACGCTACCATAGTCCTCTGGGTACGGAAGATAAGGAAAATCGGTCGACCCTTCATATACATGCGAAGAATCCAACTTTGTGCGAATAGTGATGTTGTATGCCTCCATGCGCGGGGTGAGCGAGGCTAGCGGGAGAGGCACCTCGTTGTTGCGAGATCCAAGCGCAACTTCTTCGGTTGCGAGGACATCGTTCCCGATTAGAATCTCGATTGTCAGCGGCTTGGATGTCGAGTTGGTGTAGTTTGATCCATAGCCGACAGGTAGCGGGGAGCCAACCTGGTTCGATACAGCAGCGTCGATGAGCAGGTTGGCTGTCGCGTCGGTCTCGAGATAGAAGCTCAGTCGTGGCTGCACCTTCAGTCGCAGGAGCGGTACACTGGAGATAGCCGGCTCTGGGAACCATCCACCTGGGTCAAAGGAAGAGTTTCTATGTTTCAATTGTGAGCTCTTGTCCAGCTGAAGTCGATCGAATCGGGGCGAGGTGACCTACGTTGCGCGATAGGATTTTCCGCACCAAATATCTACACCTGGGGGGTTATTAAAGAGGACGGCCTGACCGTTGACCGGCGTGAGCGCCGCGATCAAGGCCGCAAGAGCCGGAGTAGGTTTGACGAGCATCATCCTACTGGAACGCTCTCACAGATGCGTTACGAGTAGCATTTCTCTTGTTGGGCTCATAATTAGAAGCCATTGGACTTATATGAGCGGGGGAGCCAGCCTTCGGCCCCCCAATGTACGCGACTGGATTGTTGCTTTCGATGCAATCAAGTGGATCACCGCCAGATGGGCTATCCATGGTCTGGCTGGCGTGCCATCGTCGCTGAGTGATTAGCGTCATCATGACCCTGATCAGGAAGCTATCATGGACGGCCGTGAGGGGAACGCGCGGGGTGAGGGTTCCGACGTGGGTATGTGTGAACAGCGACGTTACATCTCTCCAAATCTCCAATCGAACAACTTTAGCCGGCCCGTAGAACGGGGAAGACTTCGGCACTCCTAGTGCCGAAATAATGAAAGAAACGGTCGGGAATCATTAGGGATTGGCCGGGCTTCCGTACCATGTTGAATTGATGGCATCATGTGCGGGCTACAGCCGCAGGCATTGCACTGCACAATATTTGTTTACTTTGGTTATCTCTGGGCCATTGTCAACCGCATGGCCCCCCTGTTTCTTCCTCAGCCTTGATCCATCAATTGGCAAGTCGAACTGTAGTCTGCAGGTACCAGTTGCTCCAACATTCGCAAGTTCAGGGGCGGTTGGCAAGGTAGTATCGCGGTGGTCGTTGTGGGGATGTAGAGATAAGCAAGGGTTGCGATAGACGACCATATCATGATCTTCCGTCACCTTACTCCGATGTTCGGGGCTCTTTCAATATGGTTTGCGCTAGCTCGTTAGTTGCAATTCTGTTCGCAACGTTCGGATCCTTTATCACTGAACTTTGCAACTTTGCAGCCCAAGATACTGTAACGTGATGTGTTACCCTCCACTTGTCCTGGCACCGAGGTCGTCGAATCAAGGAAAGCGCAACAGAATCCGGACTTAATGACTTACAGAAGCTTTTTGAGAGATCCATGGCCATGGGATCGAGACACCCTGTTTGTAAGCACTCCGTTCCAAGGTACTGAGGTACAGTGCCTCAATGGTATTGTGAATACGGGAAATGCTCTATCAACATTTCGCGGCTATCCCACATCCCTTCTCTCCTCTTCATAAGGTAAACCAATGAAATAGCCCTCGATTGCAATTCAGGCTCTTGTGCAAATATAGCAACGACAAACTATGGCGGGGTCGTATGCAGCAATGGCAAAGTGCGGCAGCTGATTTGATTTTACTTTCCCAAAGGGACAAAAGGATTCAACCGTGTCAGGCATATTTCTCTAGACAGCTGAATCTGCTGTTTCGACAGCGGAGTTTTTGAATTGCTTGATGATCATCTTCCAGTCATTTTTGGATAAATGCCAATATCTGCGCCTCTTTCAAAGCCTCTGTTGAAGACGAGAGATCAGACTGCCATATCTTGACGCTCAGATCAAGCCTGGCGCTCCGCTTATCCAAACGACGCCGTGCTTTTGTCCAAGCCTCGTACGTCTCGTCTTCGAACGGGGAAATGTCGCCGGACAGAGTCAGAACAGAGTTCCACGAAAGTGGTGAACTCTGGCGAAGGTTGAAGCCCATGGTAGAGCCAAGGAGCTTTTCAACACGATGGAGCCCGAGTCGGGCCTCATTCAAGGTTTGGAAAGGCTCATGTTCGATTGTCTCTGGTACATTTGGAGGTCGTAGGAAGAAGTCTAGATCGGGGATAACCTCGGTCTCAAGCAAATAGGCTGTATCAATCCCAATGCAAGAGAACATGACGGCGATATCAGAGACTTGATCAAAGTACTTGCTTGTTGTCTCTGCGAGGCACAGTTGGGAAGGGGATATACCTTCAGCCTCGTTCGAATTAAGGCTCCCCGCTGCTTCTCGAAGTCACCCGAGCATCCCACAGCAACCCCGCAAGTGCTGTGTGGCTTTGTCGTAGCGCCCCTCTAGTGCCTCAAAACAAACGACGATGAGGCAGGGGACGAGGGATGTCTGTGTGGACGTAGTAGAGAGGTTTTCGTTCTCCGCTGACTTCAGAACTTTGCCATACTGCGACCGGGCCAGACTGGCGTGATGCTGAGCCTCTGTTGCTTCGCTCTCATTTGCATAGCCCTCAAGGAAAGCTCTATGCGACAGACCGAGGGCTACCAGCACATGTTTGACAAATTTCGAACAGCAGCCCAGCGGAATGGTGTAATTGTTCCACATAATGGTTCTCATTGCCAAGTTTTGAAACCCCAGAATAATAATCTGGCGGACACGATGGAACATACATCTCTCGATGGGAGTTTCGTGAATATCTCAACCTGGCGACGGTGGCAGTCTGCCGAGGCTTTGCGCAGGCTGATCTAGGTGTTGTTGATCAACCACTTTGTGACTTCCACTCGTCCTATGTTTCTGGCGCGTTCGGCAGGCCCGGCGCGCTACTAGGTGCTTCGCCCAGTCTCTACGATTGTAAGTGAAACCCAAAAAGTCGAGCTGGGCCGGCAACGCCTACTTGCCAAAGAAAGTTAGCTCATTTTTTCCGAATAAGGACGATGTTACTCATGTGGCACCACGTGCTACCCCGCCTCGTGTCTGGCAGCAGCTCAGGTACCGTTGACGCAACCGGCGCGGGACTGTTCGAATGTCTGGTGAAACAGTAGGAACTGCTAGTATCTGCCATTTTCAGATCCTCGTAAATTTGGACGACGCGACTTCGCCTCGGTGGTCTCCAGGGGCTTTTGGAAACTCAGTCTCGGTCGAGTGACAGGTGTCAAGGCCAACCTTTGGTGAGACGAGGCAGCAGCTGAGAGTTGAAGGCGTGTTTCAGAGTCATGAAATTTCCTGTTTGGTGCAACTCTCGGCATCCCTGCACAACCAATTGCCGGCTTATCAAGCTAAGCCTCAATTGGAAGTGAAGTACAGTCTGATTTTGGGTTGAAGTTATCGCAATACTGATCTTGTATCTCGAACTTTTGATCCCAGTGGCACTATGCTCACAGAAGTTCTTCGGCGAACACCATACGATCAGCAACGGGGTTTTGGTATGAGAAGGTTCAATTGATTACTAAAAGTCAAACTAGTAATTGTCTACAGCGGGAGTATGCACAATTACCGGCGATTTTCAATCTGAATGAGTAACAGGAAGGGCGTGCCAATGGCAACAAGAGTTGTTCAACTTGTCGCTGATAGTAGCACTTAGACGTTGCGGGTAGTCAAACAGGGGTTGTTTTCTCATTAAGAAAATGCAGGTATCGCAGACAAGCCTGATTAATCGTATGGAACGTTCTGTTCTAAGCTAGTATAAGGTTTCCAAACAGACTTTGGGCTGTTAAAGGTTGCGATATATCTCAAATGAAATCAAAACATAAAGGGAAGCCCATTGCCGAGATTGACTGATGTATTCAGCTCTTTACGATTACGAAAAGCTCAGGTCGGGTTGCGGAAGTTTTGTCGCGGTAAAACGGTTCTATTCACAACACATTGCACTCTTTACTGGTGCCGAAAAGAGTTCGCCTTTCTCACTATCTCGAGATTTAAGCAAAGTTTTATTAAACCAACGCCACCTGAATTCTTGTGAACCAATGACATGGAAGTAAAACGTTCAGTTCAAACGCCCTTTCGAGAGATAATGTACAGATGCAGCTCAAACACTAATTGCTGATAGCGATCCTCCACAGATGCGCTTGATTCTATTGGTAGTTCTTTAGCTGAGACGAGAAGATGATGAGAGTTATAAAACTAAGATGACTACTTGTCTCCGAAATCCATCGTTTGATTGCTTGAAGATTGCTGAAGTCCGAGTTCCTCGTAATCAAGTTCATAAGTGCATGGATCAAACCATAGGTCGGTGAATGAATTCGTAAATTAAAACATAACCTATCTTGCTTGAGCAAAGATATTACAGAAACCAAATATTAGTATGCGTGCTATTAGGATGAAACCCACATATTAGACAAAACACATTCCCCTAGGGGGCATTGTGGCAACCGAGTCTCGGGGTATGATGCCTCATCTCCTAGATATCATGATGTCCTCGGCGGGCGGAAGGGTATGCGGCTCTCTGAGATCCCGAAATTCGAATTCAGCGTATAGGGTTGCAGACTTCTCCAAGCCATCATGAGTTGCAAGCCTTGTAGAGACTGCATGCCGATGTTCTAGCAAGCACAGGTCAATGCTGACCCGAGGGATTAGACTACATGTACCATGTTGAAAGGGAGATTTGTTAGACCACCATAATCACGGGACCCGCTTTGAGCTCCATCTCTTAAGCTCATAGGCACCGTAGAATCTCCAAGATGGGCTTCATGAATCCTGGACGATGATCGAAACGAAAAAGGATGCGATCGCCATTTGGGGGCTTTATCCGGGAGCCGAGGGGCTCGCGACTCTATGAATGTAACATCATATTCGATAAGATGACATGGCGGATTCGTGACTCCGACGTCTCGCCTGACCGAGAGCATTCAGATAAGATGATGGCTTCACACAATGAGAGACGCGCCAAGAAAGACTGGCATTCGCTCAATGGAGCCCTGAAGAAGAATCGTCGATCCGTCTCATCAACTGACGATGATAATCGTCGTCAACTGTCAAAACAGCGCCACGCGCTCGCTTGCTCCCTGTCTCAGGCGCGCGAGATGGCGAATCGCTTTACACCCTTCCGTTGTCTCTACAGGGGAAGAATCGACGTTAGCGATTGGCAGCGGAGGATTCAGGAATGTCCAAGGTTGGAGTTCGATGGGATGGATCCGACTTTACCGAACTAGCCTCTCGGTGATCGATGTTTGATAGAGCGTCTGCTGCCTGCTGCGATCATGGCATCGTGGCACTAGGTTGTTACATTGAGGATAAACGGGCTCGAACGACTGTCAGGAGATAAAAGCCAAAGCTCGGATCAGTCACGCAAGTGAAAGCGAGGCAAGAGCAGTCCGAGCATTTGCTTTCGTAATTAGATTCTACCTGGTCTCAACCTGAGTCCCTTGGGACATCCTCTCTTTGTGATGTCGCGCAGCACAGACGCTAGGCTTCAGCCCTCTGAGGCTCAGTCGAACGTCGCGTATTGTTGATGCTTGGAAAGAACTTGGTTCCCATACCGTCGTACCGACACTGTGGAAGGCGAACCTCGTCTGGACGAGGGAACCAATCGCAACTCTCGGAGAACGATGTGGGGGATGATCTACGAATAGAGACTCGCGGATTCGGCGCGAGCGATCCAAGCGGCCCAACTGCACAACATCCTACATGGAGGACCCCTGGATCCCAAGGGGCACAACCTGACGTTTCGTTTCACGATGTTCTACACATTCCAAGGATGCGGGTGCCTTTAGATCAGTTTCGAGCACAGAGCCTGTAAGATTATCAAATTATTTTACAAGGATACGAATCGCTCCAAACTACAATGACAGGGTTTGTACAACAATGAAGAAGAATTCCATGCTCTAGTGTTTTGTAAGGAGGACGGGATGATATGTTACAGAGAACAGATTTTTTGACCAACGTTTTAAGCAAGCCTGCAAACTAATACCAAAAAGCACCCCAAAGCAGAAAAAAGCACCAAGCACCAAGGGTCCAACCCTTTTCTCTGCTCCCACACACCCGCAAAATGTAGACCCCCCGTAATAAACACAAGACTAACACAGAGAGAAGAAGCAGACAAGAGGACACAACCACTTACACACACCTAGCCCTGTAGGGTCCACCACACGTGTCGCCTCAAGGTTTCCGCCATAACATCAGACTTTGGTCGCAGGAGGCGGAATTCGTACTAGTGTCTCTTCCTCGATCAAGTCCGCCGCGAGAATTGGGCGCTTATCGCATTGGGTCTCCAACTTTGCGCGCGGCCGCCTTTGGAGAAGGGGGATGTAGGCGACCCCTGGTGGCAAGATGACGGCGTTTAATTGCCCGCGGGCTTTTGTGAACCCAACTGTGCCGGCCGTAGGGGCGAACCGCCTGGGCTTTGGGCCTGCTGTGATTGTTGCTGAGGCTGCCTCTGGCCTTGGTTGTTGTTGTTGTTGCCTTTGTTCGCATTGGCGTTGGAAGAACCAAGAGTAGCAAGCTGGAGACCATTGCTAGCATTGTTCTGGTTGCTGTTCGGAGCCTGTCCATTGCCCTGGTTGTTGCCCTGCTGATTGTTGTTCGTGTTGGTGTTGGCGTTGCCATTACCATTGCGGTTGCCGTTGCCATTGCCCTGATTCTGATTCTGGGGCCGGCCGTTGTTGTTGCCCTGGTTCTGGTTCTGGTTGGTGTTCGTGTTGCCGTTACCATTTCCATCGTTGCCTTGGTTTTGGTTTCCATTGCCATTGCTGCCAACGCCCTTTGCGATATCCTGGCCACCATTCCGGCCGCCATTGTTGCCTTGGCTCTGGTTCTGGTTGCCGTTGCCGTTCCCTTGGTTCTGATTGCCATTCCCTTGGTTCTGATTCTGGTTGCCGTTGCCATTGTTCTGGTTGTCGTTGCCGCTATTCTGGTTGCCATTCCCTTGGTTTTGGTTCTGGCCGTTGTTGCCCTGGTTCTGGTTATTGTTTTGACCGTTGCCGTTGGCATTTCCATTCCCGTTTCCGTTGCTCGCTTTCGGCGGAGCGGTGGGCTGAGGAGCTTGAGGAGCGTTACCGCCGCCATTTGCGGGCGGGGGAACGGCGGGAGTGACATTGGCACCCTCAACCTCCAAACATCCCGTGGGACGAACTGACAGAATGTTGGCAGCGCCGGCAGCAGCAAAGTACATGTCAATGTTGGGAAGCACATTGACACAACGGTTCTGGTTGATGGAGTCGACGTCCTTTTGCGCCGTGTCGGGACCGTTGGTGACCATGCCCTGCAGGGTATCGACGACCTGCTGAAAATTACCCTGCGTGTCGAGCACGTTGTTGGCTTGCGTGACCATGTCGGTTCCCTTGAAAGCGGCGTCGAGAACCTTCTTGTGGTTGAGCTCGTCGATCTCGGCGTTGAGCGCAATGGTGGCTTGCTTGGTGAACTCGGCACCGGTAAACGACGTGGCGGTGTTGAGGAACTTGGTGACCTTTGCGGTATCCTGCATCCATGACATAACAGCATTCATAACCTGGGCGTCGCTGACGCCATTATTCCGCCCGGCGCCGCCAGCGTTGGCGGTATTGTTTGCGCCTTGGCTGGCACCGGTTTCTTGATCCTGCTGAGGAGCCCGAGTATCCAGACGTCTGACAGCTCGTGTGAGGAATCGGTGACTGCCCAGCGAGTTGCCTTGCGCTGGGCTAGCAGCTGGCAAGGCAAGACCGAGAGCAGTCAGGTAGGAGAAGACAAAGACTTGAACGAAGAAGAACAGCATTATCGCGGTGTTGTGTGGATGTCGAAAAAACTAAAAGACTAACTCGAATGGAACGAAAGAGGAACTACACAAACGGAAATAGAAAAGAGACGGCGATGCGAAAAAAAGAGGTCGTTGAGTGTGTATGATTAGGCGGGATGACCCTAAAAGGAGAGTGATCGAGTGGTGGCGGGCCTTCCAAAGGCGTCCGACCATTCGATGACGAAAAAGGAAGGTTGATTAGGTGAGATAGAGGAATAAAAAAAACACGACTGAGATCGGAAACAGTTCACCGGCTCGGAAAAGTGTGCAGATGAACAGGACGGTGGAAAGGCTTATATCAAGTGTCCGCAAGAGGTAGGTAGGTGGCTGAAGAGAAAGCAAAATGAGTGCTTCTTGGACGAAAAAAAATATTGGTCAGGAATATGTTAAGGGTGGGGGGGTAGAAGAGAGATCAGGCGCATCAGCGCTTGGGGAGTCGTGATGGTTGCGTTCGAAGTTGAGCACTCCAGATGTCGCGGCCAGGAACAATGTGTTGCAACGCCAAGACGTGAATGGCAGGGAAGGCTGTAAAAGCAACGAACATTCATTAGCTAACGAAAGTTCTAAGAAAAGAAAGAGGGCCAATGGGAAGATATGGAAACGGACGATATCGAGCAGACGAAATGGGTCAAAGAGGTTTGAGGAAGTTGGGGTGAGCTGGGGCGACCTGGGGCGACCTGGGGTTTGAATGAAGTCTGGTACTTGGCGAGTGAGCAGGGATACATCGTCTTGAGACTCTGCTCGACGCAGCAGGGGACTTCGTGGTAATTTTGCTTGTGCCTGCATACAAACGCCAAGTCAGGAATTTAGTCCGCCTTGGTGGAGGTGGTGCGTGCTGTCCAGTCGAGTGGGAAGACAATTCTCGGCTTATTGGGCGAGAAATCAGGTTAGAGCAACCGAGTCAACACCATCTGGCTCTTGCGTCACTCGTGACAGAGAGAGAGACAGGAGAACAAATCTTCTGTCATCTGTCTCGTAGAGTCCAGATGGTTATGGCGTCAACCGGCAATATCCCTCCCTGGGGCCCAAAGGAGCACATTTGATGGCGACTCGGGTCATTATTGGAACCCTTGCGTATCATTCTGAGGCGGTGGATAGTTTTTCTGTGGAAATCCAAGAACAGAGGTCGTCTATTCCAGAACCATCACTCAGGTGAACCGTCCGTCGAAAATATGATCGCCTCTGATGTGACCATGTCGAAGAGTACAGACGGCCCGCTAGTGTGTGTAACTGCTGCATCATGCGCCCAGTCAAACTTGCACGAGGAGGCCAACCGCCAAAATAGTCCCATGCTATGAACATGATTCTGATGACTACAGGTAGTCTTCCAGAAGCGACAGAGCAGATCGCATGGGCTTTGGAGTAACAGGAGGTGTGCGTGTGAAGCGGGGGTACGCTTAGTTGGTTAAGTTGGGTTCGATTCCTATCGGCGTCAACTGGTGTTTTGGCCGAACGGCATATTTTGTGTGTGGGCAGACTGAAAGGTAGGTCAAGTGGTCAGGAAGGTTGGGAAGGGGACGGGATGTGGGAGAGGAGGACAGAGCCAGAGATGAGGCTGGGTCGTAGTAAGCGGCAAAAAAAGGCCAGAAATTACAGTTGTAGAGCCGCGCGAGGACAAGCATTTTCCCAAGTTGCACTTCAGCCGCGACGAAACGAAAATCATCCCCACTTGGACTTGGCAAAGAAGATCCAAACGGGAGAGGCGGGACCCAGGGATCCGTCGTTATTATGATCTTCACCCCCGCTGGTAATGCCACCTTGTTTCTTGAAAGAGACTGAGAGGATGGGAGACTGGGAGCACTTACACAGCACATGACGGGTGAGGTAAGCAAAAATCCTGCATAGTAACTCGCCTCTCTGTCTTATTTGCCTCTCTGTGTTGTTTGCCTCTCTGTCCGCCTGGCCTCATCTGATGAAACCCAACACGGCCGGGCTCGAAACGACGAAACTCGTCTCACACCAACCGAAACCGACGAGCCCTGCCTTATGTCTCTTTGCCCCTCTCTCCTCCCACCCGTGACCGGACGAAGCATGCCCCATTCCCCTTCCTCGGCGCGGATTTGTGTCCACCTAATGTCTCTCCTCCAAAGAAAACTGGTACAGTCTGAAAATCAGGCCAGGCACCTAGACAGGCCATCATGGTCGGAAGCGTGCTGGTCCGATCATTAAGCCCGATGCCCCCTTACACCTACTTTCCCCCGAGGGCGCATCGGCATCAACAATTTGTGCGGCCGGAAGAGGATGAGAGCGGCGTCTGTAGCGATCTCTCTTGCACAGCCGACGCCAGACAACTCATGCGATTGGAGGATGGGGCTCCTCTTCGGCTGGGCGCTGCTTCTAGGCGTCCGACCACCAGATCAAATTCCATGCCGGCCGTCCGCCATGTGGCATGGCAGGCCATTATTGCCCACGGTCTCTACCTTGCCATATATCCAAGACCCAGCCGCATTTTTCTCCCGAGGAGATTAAGCTTACTTGACCCTCGTCTGAATGCTGGTGATCCCTCGAGTTGGTCGTGCTGCTATACAAACATCTTCCCCCTAGGACCCGTGGGTTTAGTAACGGTGTCTCTCCTTCCCTTGCCATCTTCCTTTTTCCTTTTTGTGCGCTTAACAACCCCGGTGGTTGACCCTCGTTAATCATAATGACGCTCATGAAGTTTTCAAATCTTTCTTTTCTGTTTGCTAGCTTGGTCGCTGCTCAGAGTCAATCTGCTCAATTCAATCAGGTCATCAACCTGAATGGGGATGTAAGTCTTTGCTTCCTTGGCATACCAGTCTTGGGGTCTTCCATCGTGGCATCTCCTCACCAGAGGAAGATGGTCAAGGCCCTCTTGCTTCACCATCATGTACTAACATGGCATCCTAGATGCAACTGAACAGCCTAGTGTTCCCCGACAACTCCAAGATTGAGACATTCTCGCAGACGCAACGCCAAATCATCGTCAACCAGAACCCCAACCCCCTCCCAGCAAGCCATGTCGTCGGTTCAACGGGACAGCCTTTTGTTCAACTCTCGCGCAACTCCTTTACTATTCAGACCAATGGAGCCACCGACCTAGTGGGCGCCCAGATCGAGTTGCCCATCGACCAGAACATGCTGTCGCAGGCAGGCGTCACAGCCGACAACGCCTTCGTGGCGATGCTGTCGAGGGACCGTCAGGCGTGGATTATCATGGAGGGGGCCAAGAGTGTCAACATTACCGACGCTACCGTCCGCATGGTCAAGCTGAACCAGATTGATGGAGAGTACGTCACGGTTGGCCGCCAAACAAGCGAGCTCGGTGTCTCTTTGACTCCCTTTGGCCAAGCTGTCAACATTGCTGGATCTGGCATCCAAGAGGCCGAATTCAACGACGGTTTCCGCATGTCCATCAGGGCTAGCCAACCGATGAGCATCCGCACGGATGTCGTCAACGGTATCAGCACTGACATGGTCACCAACGGCATCATGTCCATTAGTAAGTGGCCTCATCACCTTGGGACCTACGCTTGTCTAGATGGCACGACGCTAACATGATGATAGACAACTACCGGTATCTCGTCACCAGCAACTTGGCCGGCGTCGTTCCCAGCCTCAACAGCATGACTGCCGTCGTGCAGATGCCGCGTAAGTCTCTCTTCTGAAATAAGCTTTTGTCTCCATGTCGAGCGCGGCACTGACCGGAATATGAAACAATAGTCAATGTCGATCGACTCATGTCGATGGCCATGCGTGCGGGAGCCGCGCCCCAGTCCTCCATCACGCTCGGTATTGCTCAGCGCCCGGTTCTCCAGAATCCTGGCGGTGCGACTGGTGGTCTGCAGGCTCCTCGTTTCAAGCGTCAGGAAGCCAACAATGGCACTGCCAACGGCAACGGCAATGGTAACGGCAACACTGCTGGCAATGGTGCTGGAGCTGCAGCCGGCGCCGCTCCCGCCGTTGGACAGCCAAACAACGGAAACAATGGCAACAATGGAAATAACGGTAACAACGGTAACAACAACGGTGGAAACTCGCAGAACCAGCCTCAAAATGGCCAGCAGCCGAACCCCGTCGGTCCCGCGATCCCGGCGGCAACCCAGCTTCTCCTTGCTCAAACCTTCAGCCCGATCAACGCCCAGGTCCTACTCGACAGAGAGAATGCTCGTATCGCCGTTCCCGTGAACCAAATTGACGGCGAGTTTATTCTTACCATGATGGTTGCCGGCACCCCCGTCGGCACCCAACCCCAGCCCGCACCACAGCAAGGTCCTCAGCCCGGCGCTCAGCCCGGCGCTCAGCCCGGCCAGCCCCGGCCTCAGCAGGGTGGAGGCCTGGTTGCGCCTGCTCCCCAACAAGGAGGTGGTGGCATCACCGGAGGCCTGCCTGGACAAGCACAGCCCGGAATCGCACCGGCAAGTGCTCCCAAGCCGGCCTCGCCCGGCCGCCCGGCCCGCAGACAAGAACCGGCGATGCCTCCGGCTGCTGCGCCTTTCCCTATGGGAACAGGTTTCGAGATGAAAATGGCTGACCTCATGGCCATGGCCGAGGCGAAGAAGAACGGTGGTGTCATGGCCACATGGGAGATGATGACCAACTATGCTGCGCAACAGAAGCCGGTAGAGCAGAAGAGGTCTGAGATCATGAGACGGCGGGCGTTCCCGGTGAGACGCCGTCTAGGACAGCATTTCTAGGCCTTTTTCTTTCTTTCTAGGGTGGGCTTCTAGGTAGCATGGCGAATAATATTCGATGTGTATTCTTTTCATCATAGTACCCTCGGTCGGGCGACTGCAGGGCAAGCTCAGACGGCTTTGAGGGGGTTCCAAACACTCAATAGAAGAAACATTGTTGGCGAAACATTTTCTAGTTTCTACACTATCAAAAACCGGGAAAAGGTTCAAGCTCGAATGTTCCAATAAACGACAAATGATGTTCTTGCCAAGCCAGGGAAGTTAAGTTATATTGCTGAGATTTATTGGTATTCAGTGAAAGTATGCCGTTCGACCAAAACGCCAATTGACACCGATAGGAATCGAACCCAACTTAGCCCACTAAGCGTACCCCCGCTTTAGAAGCACTTCAATTAAAGTTGTCGGTTGTCGGCTACTGAAGAGAAACAAAAAGTGGCTTCTGTCAAACATGATCTCCGGCTCCAATTTCCGACCCAAGGGAAGGGTTCTGTGGCAATCGACCGTCGCCATTACCACGTGTGCCATTCGCAAAAGAGCAAACACCCAGCCTCGGCCGGTCTGTCAAATGTTGGAAATTGTGTTTTCCAAATACCCATCCACCGCCATGCCTCGTCCCTCCTTTCAGTTTCTGCCGCAGAGCGCACGATAGGCCGAACATCAGCCAATAGGGTCAATGCTAAACAGAGTGCGAGACCGAAACTCGTAGCATCTGTGGACGTCGGCTGTCAAGTGCCAACTGCTGTCTTGGCCATGCAAAGCCGAGTGCTATCCGCAGATTGGTTCCAAAGGTATACATCGACTTCTCCAGCATTGATAAGCTGAACGTCCAAAGGATGAATCTCAGATAGTGGCAAGTTGTGATTAGGAGTGGTAGTAGTAAGAGTGTTCGAGCGTGAGGGCGTGAACTCGCCTGCCCCGTGAGATGTCATCTTGCCCTAGTGTCAAATCCAGCAAACCAGAACCTTGCTCTCAAGGCCATGATTGTCTGTGAGCACCAAGATTTAACTTCAAAGGAAATGACATATTCATGAAGGGGTGGGATATGTCCGGGCGGAGCGCCACGGCCTCCAACGACTTTGACCCTTGCTAGTCTGAAGTTACTAAGCAGCCACCATCTCTTGGCGTGCACTGGCGTAAAAGTGACCACGCGATTTCACTGCAATTTATCTTCAGAGAAGCAGATATGATGATTCTATACGAGGATTGGGAAAGATCATCTCCTAGAAGAATACTACCTTATATGTAGGTTCAACACTGGATTTATTCCTCAATGTCGATTCATGTTTGGTTAGGACAAACGCAAGTTGCTGAAGTTGGACGATAAGCAGATAGATAGTCATGAACCTTCCCAGTCACAAACAATTCCATAGATTTGGAGACGTCGATAGTAAATGTATGATTGTGGTCTAGTTTTTTGGGATCCGGCAAGACAGAACGAGCGGGTGCCGGCATCGGCATCATGGCTAATCAACCGCGATAGCGGCTGTTGGAGAAAGACCCATTGATTATGAAGCTCGACGTGGAAACCCCTGTCTCGATGACGTCCGGGGAAGTGGTGCTATCTCCATTCTCCAATGTTTGTTATCCTTATCAGCGGCGCCCCTCACTACCCCAACTTGCTAACCTCTCCCAAAATGTTGATGGTGACATGAATAGTGGGCATTCATTTTGGGGAATGTAACCGTTCCATTCGGCGTCGAACATCAACGACCTGCTGGATGAACTGGACTGAGGGGGAATCGTCCGACTGTGGGGGGGGGGATGGATCGCCAGAGTTCCCCGCTACCGAACTGAAGGCAGCTGTTAAGAATGGATGAGCTTCCTCGGCTGCGGAATGCGCTGTGATGCTGCGACCCAGCCTAGGCAGACCAATTGACCTGAACGAAGTTGCGCTTGTCAAGATGAAGGGATTCGGCGGCTTCAAAGCTTTGTCGGCGCTGTCTTTGAGCGGCATTGCGCTCGGAGCGGTGAGCAATTCGACTTCCTCAGGTGTGAGTAGCTTCATAGCTCCCCGTGGATGCGCAACTGACGCAGGTCGCTGAATGTTTGACAGAAATCCGTGTCCCTCGACCTGACGTCCCTCTTCAACAACAAAGGATTCGGAAGTCGGCCGGGAGAGGCTTCCTTCGATGCGCTCAACCAATCTTTCCCCGAGCCGACTGTTGGTCCAGACTTTGTCTCGACCGACACGGGCATCCAGTACAGCTTCCCCGGCTATACCGGGCCCGGCAAACTCGACAACCTCATTAGCACCGGTCAAAAGATCTCGGTCCCTCAAAACGGCTCCTACTTCTCGGCTTCATTCCTCGTCGCGGGAGATCTCGAGGGCGCAACCGTCAGCGGGAACGTGTCCTTCAACTACGCCGACAACACCACGTCCGAGTTCGAGCTGCGCACGCTCAACTGGTTCAGCTTCCTGACCATCAACCGCGGAGAGATCTTCTTCCAAAGCCGGTACACAGCAAACGGCTCTAACTTCAACTCCTCGCACATTTTTGAACGGACGACTGCGCTGCAGCCTGGCAAGAGGCTCAGCTCCATCACTCTGCCGGACAAGAGTAACGCGACGGAGGGCAGGCTTCACATCTTCGCCATCACATTGTGGCAGCAAGCCCCGGATGTGGCGATCCAGTCGGTGAGACCGACGCAGAAGTGGATCGGGAACGGGACGCAGGTCGTGGAGGTCACTGTCAATAATGCCGGGTCGAAGTGCGTCTCTGGCGACGGCCTCAAGATCACGATTTCCGGAGACGGGTTCAGTACTGCGAGCCCGGGGCACTTGAAGCGATTGTGCCCAGGAGACCAGAAGGTGGTCGTCGTCGGTGTCAATGGTGCATCGCACGGCCCCGTCAACGTCGTTGTTCATATTGACGACGGTACATGTAGTAACCGGAAGACAACTAATTTTGCTGATGTTGAAATCGGCTTGACCGAATGGACTACGGATAGCGACAGCCTCTCGAAGCACGAGAGCCCGGAATGGTTTGATAATGCTAAATTCGGCATCTTCATTCATTGGGGCCCATACTCCGTCACTGGCTGGGGCAACTCTTCACCCTACGAGAGCTACGCTGAGTGGTTCTGGTGGTACTCGACGCATCACCCGCAAGCCGATCGGTCAGACTTCTATCAATACCGTCTCGACACGTACGGCCCAGACTGGGCTTACGACGACACCTTCCCTGAATTCAATGCCTCAAAGTTTGATGCCAAAGAGTGGGTTGACCTCTTTGCGGATGCTGGCGCCAAATACTTTGTCCTCACGACCAAACACCACGACGGGTTCGCTCTCTTCGATGCAGGAGAGACATCGAACCGTTCTGCGATCCATTACGGCCCCAAGCGCGATCTCTTGAAGGAACTGTTTGATGCCGCGAAGACTTTCTATCCGCTCATGAAGAGAGGCACGTACTACTCAATGCCTGAGTGGTTCAACAAGGACTTTGGCATCTACGGTTTCGACCAGTTCGCCACTCCATCAACCGTCTCTTGGCCCGGCGTCCCGGCGACTAACCCGTACACTGGCGAGATCGAACCATACACCGGCCATGTGCCCATCAACGACTATATCGCCGACCTCATGGTCCCGCAGATGGAGGCCCTTGCCTACGTGTACAACACGGATATAATGTGGTGTGATTGCGGTGCCGCCAACGGCACGCGAGACTTCGCAGCGACGTGGTGGAACAAGGCCCGCGCCGAGGGTCGGCAGGTCGCCATCAACTCTCGCTGCGGCATCCCGGAGGCGGCCGACTTTGACACGCCCGAGTACCAGACCTTTGCGTCGGCGCAGCGGCACAAGTGGGAGAGCAACCAGGGCATGGACCCGTACAGCTATGGCTACAATCGCGCGACGAAGCCCGAGGAGTACATGAGCGCCACCAAGATTGTGTACTCCCTCGTCGACATGGTCTCCAAGAACGGCAACTTCCTGCTGGACATTGGTCCCAGGGCAGACGGCACCATTGTCCAAGCTGAGATGGACAATTTGCGTGAGGCGGGTAAGTGGATCAAGGCCCACGATGAGGCCATCTTCAACACGACGTACTGGTTCGTGCAGAGCGAGATTGTCGGGGGACCGGATGTCAGATTCACGCAGACGAATGAGGCTTTCTACACGGTCTTCTTGGAGAAGCCGACCGTCGTCGACGGTTGGACCAGTATCAAGGCACCGGTACCCGTTGTTGAAGGAGACATCATCAGTCTGCTGAGCATCGGAGGAGCCGAGGACCTTAAGTGGGAGGTTGAGGGCTCGGGAGCCGAGACTGAGTTGAAGATCCAAGTTGACGAGGCTCTTGTTGAGGAAGATCAGTTTGGTTGGGTGTTCAAGATTAGCTACGGGGCGTGATTTAGCGATGACGCGTTGGCCGTTGTCCCTGCTCTCTAGTAAAGTCGATTCGGAGGAGGCAAATGTGACTTGTGCGCACATGTCACAAAACTCCAGCGAGACGAATCCAGCAAAAGTAAATGCGTCGAGGGAGAATCGAGCCCCTGGCTTCGAATTAGACTTTTAGTCTGAGATGTCTTAATCTAAAGAATATTATTGTTAAAAACAAAACTTTTTAAAGTAAAATTAATAGAATTGTGAAAGTTCAACATTGGTGGTTATTATAGCGGCAAGGCATTGTTGGGATGGCGAAATGTAGGGGGTAGCGAAAAGTGAGTGACGGACATTACGTGAAATTTAGTCGTGAAGGACTCTTAGCGACTCTCTAGGCCTTGACCGCGTAGGTCTTGCTCTAGGCGGGCGATTTGGGGTCAATCCCCGAGAATGATACATACATTTATCTGCTGCTGTCATCCCTTATCGGAAGAAATGAGGTTGTATCTGGTACTCGAAAATGCTTGAAAGAACTGACCAACGCCGCAATAGCCAGTAGCAAGACAGCTCTATATTTGTTTTAGTGACTTCGCGTCTTACCTAATCAACTGCGCTGCTCTGGACCGACGCGAATGGTTCTGTCGAGAGAGTATCAGGCTGTAAGACGGGCTCAACTCAGAACATTCCCAAGAACCCCTCGCTAAACACCGTTTCACAAAAGAACGACATGCCGCATCTTCGGCTTCGAGCTTCTTGCTGACGTGGACTTCAACGCGGGAAACCCCAGGTGCGGCGGCTACAATAAAGCAAAGGGTGAAGGAGGCTACGGCCGAGTAGCGCTCCCGGCTGAGAGATACTTATGGAGCCGGTCACGAGTATCGAGTAGGCCGCGCGGTACAGGAAGATGGAGGATGAATTACACAAGCGATCCTTGGTCATACATGATCTATAACAAACGCGGCATACACTTGCGTCGGAGTCGGCGCATGCACGTGATGTTGAAGAGTCTGAGGCCTTCTCGAGCGAGAAATTGGATGAGTTTGGCATGCTGGTGCGTATGGTTGTAACGATGGATGAATATAGGTTTAGGTTCTCTGGGATTTGGAAGATTCCCCAGTTCGTGGTTCTACGTATCACATAAGACATATTAACCTCACATACGACAACTTTGAAGCTTCCAAAGGACAAATGTCGATTAAGCTGACTGCGACACCTCGGTGAGTTATCAGTAAAGCGTCCAGTTGTTTCTATGAAGATCCAGAGCGACAACCCAAGATTCCATCATCGCCCGCAGCCTATTCCCTGTTGAGTCATCCTCGAGCCTCCTGTCTCCAACCTCCAGCTCCCTCTTCAACCCAAGTCACTTCTTAAACGCTCTGAATGTAGATGTTGAAGTTGGAACCCGTCTGCTGGACCTCGATGGTCGCGTGGGAGGCGGGGGCGACATCCTTCTGTCCCAGGGTATTGCCAGCGTTGGAGACACGGAAGTTCCAGGAGCCGCCATTGGCGGGGCCGCTGTTCCAGAATTCGAAGCTGTACTTGCCATTGCCGAGGTTGGTGGCCTGGAACTGGACGTCAAGGCCGATCCAGGAAATGGTATCGGCCGGCCAGGAGTAGGTAAGGTCGACGGGGTTGCCGCCGGCAGCGCGTTCGAGTACGATGGCCGGAGCGGTGAAAGACTCGCTGCGGCTAGTCAGGTCGGTGCTCTGCTCGGCGGGAGCGAGAGCCGCAGGGAGTGCGGCAGCAACGGCGACGAGGCTGGCGAGGGCAAAGAAACGCATGTTCGCGGCTTTTCTAGAAAAGAGTTTGAATTGATTGATGTGTTTATTTACAGAGGGAGAATCCGTTCGTCGTATGGTTTGTTCGGGAGGGATGAAGAATCGACTTTGGCTTGACGGGAACGCTCACTTAGCTCTTTATACACGACTTTGCCATGATTTGCTCCAAGGGTCTGATCACGCAAAAAACCAAGAAGAGTATGCAAATCCGAGTCACAGAAAGGAGCAGACGACGGCCCGCCCTGATCGTGTTAAAGTTGCACTGCATTACATGATATTATGGTTCTTGATCCTTTCTCATGACGAGATCTGCACTTGGTGGAGTCTGAAGTACCGAAAGAGCTTGTTGCCCGGAGCAGTACGACGGGGCTGGACGGACAATACCTTAAGCGGTAGGTCATCAAGCGCGCGGTACTGGTTGGGGTCGGCAAATACTGCATCTGCCGTATCCGTGCAATATCCGTACTATGAATCGGAATTCGGCCTGAAGTTCATACGTATCGAATATATACCGGAATATTAGATAATTCGGGTCCAATTTCGCTTAGCCTAATTCAGATATATTTGCTTAATAATTAGGTATCGGAGTCAGGTGTTTATCGGGCAACATATTCTCATCTCGCAGATAACTGTATGCGATCCACCATTATCGATGGGCCGATTTTAACACGCTGGCTCAAACGTCGAGTTTGAATTGAACGCTCCAAGTCACACATGATCAGACTCTGTCTTTCGGAATGCAGTCGCCGTGATTTGCTACGGCTTGCCTGAACCATATTCGGGAGGTCGGCGTACATTGACCAACTTGTTGAGACTGGGTGGGAAGGAAGCACGACTTCGTGCGATAGAATTAGTTCACATCCGAATTTGGAAACAACGCCGGAAAACAAGAAGGAAACGAAGATGTCGCGATATCGGGCTGCTGCGTAAGGCGGTGGTAATGTGGGTTCCATCCGGACAGCAATATGGGGTTGATACCCGAAGCCAACTCCCTGCTTCGGCGGCGGGTTAAATCGCGTAGCTGAAGGCGCTTATCGCCGAGCTTAAATCGAGTGAGCCGGCTTTGTCATCGCAATGAAGCCATTCTCAACTAACAGCCTCGGGCGCGGCAAGGTTACCCAAGCAAGGGCTGGTCTTACGTCAGAACAACTCAAGTACACCTGCGGGGTTTCATACGTTAGCTCAGTGAATTGACAGGGAGGCTCCGCTACAAGTACCAATTTTATCTTCTTCGCCTAATTTCTATAGGTAGTCTAGAGGTAATACTTCTAAATCTGAAAGCCAAATTTCTTATCAACACTGAACCTCTTTATTACGACCCAACTAGAACCAGGAGGCCGCCTCATGAGCACCTAGCAACTACAGCGTATTATATACACCAAAGACATAGAAACATAATAAACAGCCTCAGAACCAAAGAACTATATATATTCATATTATATTATCATAAAAGTTCTAACCTTAGGTCAGCCCGTTAATTAGAAGCTGATATAGAGGTCCGCAAATGGGCCTTGCCCTTGCCTGACTCGAGGTCGAATTGGACTTCCAATCAGATAATACACCTTCTAGCTGTCTAAAGAATTCACACTTTAACCACACTACTCACACCTACGTTTAATAGTTGCCTGAGGGTGTACGATACCTACGTAGTGCTACAGTACAAGGGCCGCTCATCGTTGTTGTGTAGACTTAATTCATATTTACAGCTTTTGCGCACACTTAATTTTCCCTTCCTACACTTTAGGTCGCAACTTGCCGACGTGGTGACCGGACTCGCACCGTCTTTTGGGTGACCTCGCGATTTATGGGGGATTGAATGGCTATGTCCTCCGGGAAATCTTCGGCGTGCGGTGTTTGGTCATCCAAAGGATGTGCTGGCAAAACAAAAGTCATGAGCCCTCTTCTCAACTCCCTTCGACGCTACATCAAATTCCCCACTACCTAATCCACCCACAATCCGACCTTGTGATCGTCTACTTCGGCTAAGGCTGAGAATGAGACAATTTGGCTGCGGAGCGAAACTTTGGCCACTGTGAGTAAAATCGTTCTGGTCTCATGAAAGATAATTTTGTTCCGCGCAGCACTTCTCTTACTCTCCGATAGCTACAGAATCGCCGGGTTTGCGCATCGAGATCTTGGATACGGTTGAGGCTTTTGAAGAAGTTGAAGGCGACTTTAGGTTCACCGAGACCCTAGTTGTTTATAACAGCTGTGAAGATGTCTATTATGTATATGTTCCTTCGTTTGAATCTGTATTACCGGAACTTAGCGAAGGTTAACTGATGAATATAGTATTGGTACCCGCCGTGGCGTATAGGCCTCCTTTCTCGCATGCCTTTATGAGAGCGCCCGACCCGTTGCTATGTAATACGTATATTAAAATACTGAGCCTTTATTCGTATGGCCAAGCTCGTAATAGTCCTTTGCCTAACTAGATCTCCGACGACGTTCTTAACGAAGTTCGGGTTTGTGAGCTCTTGAAAGAAAGCCCGTATCCCAACCTCGCGAAATATATTGGCTGTTCAGTCCAGCTATAATGGTAGAATTGGCGGTATCTGTTTTGTCATATACTTACGGAAAGACGTTAATTTAGGCGGTTATCCCTATAAGGTAGCTTGATGAAGAGGAACTTCAGCACGATTCGCCGAGATCTTAGTGGTGACTACCACCATTAACAACCTTAGGAGGGGTTCAGGCCGGCATCGCGCATCTTAATTCCCTCGGGATTGTGCATAACGATATTGATCCAAGTGATATTATGATCGATAGTGATGACTAGGTTATAATCGACTATGGATTATGTCGGAAAGTGGGAGAGAGTCTTATTGACGTGGGCCGGGCGTAGGAATAGTACGATAAAGCAACCTAAATTTCTCGCCTAGAGAACGACCTCAATGCGCTGCTTGAGATTCGTAACTGGCTGCGAGGAGGACCACCAAACGCTTTTCAGTTCATAGAGTAGACGAAAGAGGCACTGTTCGAAGACGTTGAAAAAGCAACTCATTACTATACGAGTCTGTTTGTCTGACTGATAGTGAGCCATCCTGCTTATGCATGATCGCTCCTAGTACACAGAGCACCTTGAACAGCAGAAAGGCAGTGGTACGTCGAAATACTGGTGGCGATCCTCAGCCGGAGGGCTTTTGGTGTGGGGCCGGAGCAGTGTTTTGACTTCGACAGGGCAAAACTATAGGCCTGGCCGAATGTTGACAGGGTTCCGGGATAGAGACCCAACATATGTTTAGATGACGACAAGCCTCGCGAGACCAGCAGTCTGTACTCCAGCATTCGAAGGCGTGTTAACACTTAGAATCGAATGGACTACCCAACGTAGCGTATGATTCACCCACCAGACGCAGCGACCACGGTGAAAAACAGCGCGCAACCCGGAGCAACCCGGTCAGACTCAACGATTGTTCCAACAGCTACAGTCTTACGAGTTTGGCACTTCCGAATGCTCCCCGGCCGTACAGATTCAGCCAGCGGTAAAATTTTGAAACCCAGCCATCGACGGCTTTAGTATGATACGAAATTGGACCAGAGTTCGAAACCCGCCCTGTTAGCCCTTGAAGCGGGACAATTTGTCGACTCATAGAACATTGCCGTTGATCCGTTTACACTGCCGTTACAACTATGAAAATGGAACTACCAAGACTGGTAAATAGGGAATGCTCGCCAAGAATCACAGGGTCTTCAGAAAATGGAACTTCTTCGAGATCAGTCGTTCTCCTCCAGTCATTGATGACATCTCCGAGTCTGTGACAGTATTGAAATCATTAACACCAGAGACGAATGGCGGCTAGAATGACAGCATACTCATGCCATGTCAGCCACTCAACAACACTGTAGGACATAATATTCGCCATCATTTGGTCAACGACTCCTTTGTCCTCAAATTGGGGTTCGCAATAGGATGCAGAAATACCCTTGAGCTGCTCCTAGGCCTAGTGAACATGAAATGCAGCGGTACACCAAGGGCCTGAGCGCAGTGAACAAACGCCAAACTCGGCGAGTTCGCAATGATTGTGCTTGCCACGAAAGGGTTTCAGGTCTGCGTATCGGGCTAGATGCAAGAACTCCAGCATCCATCGAGCATTTCCTTGACCATCTTGCGCTTCATCTGGATATCTCCGCCCTTCAAGCTCTTCAAGCTCGGGATCAAGCCGGGGTTCTTGACCATGTAGGCCATCAATTCGGAAGGATCTCCTCCGTGGGGGTAAAACTCGAGGTCGGACTTGCGTGTGAAGTCGTCAAAGACGTCATGCGTTGCTGGGGGCGTACTCTGTGGCAGCACGTCTGGAGCTCCTTTCCGAGCGCTATGAATGGCTGAATATCTCCGCGGCTCCTGACGACCTGGATCACGATATTGAGCTTGACGGGGAACGTCTTCACCTCCGCGAAACGCTCTGCTGCTTCGAAGTATTCTAGAGGAGGGCCTTGGGCGGCTACCACTTCTCGAGATCGGCCGCGTCTTTGTAGTTGGGGATGAAGCGGGCGAGTATCATTGCTAAGCGCGAGTCAAGTTTCATGTCAACTCTTCCATCGGCTGTTGGAGTTTTAGTCGGTTGGGATATACTGAAAAGTAAATCCAACTGGATAGCTTGGGGTTCCTACTTCCAACACTTTTGGTGTGATGCTGATGCCCTTGGCTGATCGCTGTCTCATAGGATGGGAGGTAGTCTTGAGGGACAGGATTCTATCGTATCATTCTGATCGTGTTCCGCTTCGACATTTTGTACTGTCAATATGAGACAGCATTTGGGATTGCCAGGGTTGAGGTCGAAGTTGGGGCCGTGCTGTGAATGTCGTGAAAAGTATTGATGAATGGCTGTAGCGATGAAGAAAAGAAAAGTGAAGAGTACAATAGTATCCCAGGAGGTTCACAAGAAAAATCAATTCCTCAATCAGAGAGGGTCCTAAGAGAAATTGTGACTAGGCAATCAAAACATTTAATCAAATATTCAACTATTCAACACTTACATCATTATCATTCCTCCGTAGCCTCAGTGATGGTCGTATTTTCGTTCCGATTCGTACCTGACTGGGGCGGGATAAGCCTCGAACGGGGCGCTTAGGGAGGCCAAACTGTTTGGGCCCCGGTAGTTTCGGGCCGCACCAAGACGCACCGAAGAGCGAATCCACGTGCAAGAAGATCTTTTTAGTCTCCTTTGGGCATATTTAGTGCAAGAAGCCGCGGATTCGGCCTGTTCCCGTTGCATCAGGGCCATGTAAACTCAGGGGTGTGGGCATGTTGTCTCGATCCACGATGGGGATGCGGCCACCGCTGCCAGGATGATTTTGTCCCACAAAGAGCGTTCGTTGCCCCTCAATGCTTACATAAATATAAAAGGTGGACACGGTTTCAAGCAGCTCATTGACATTTTGTCAACCCGCGGGTTGTCGGGTTGACTCGCTTCTTTGGTGACGAATACGCGTATACGACCAACTCGTGCGCGAGCTTGGCCGTTGGTCTAACGATCTAAACTTGGGGTTCCCCCACTACCTACGTATATTGTACATGTATTCGTGCATCTCGCCGGATTGGTCATACCGTCCCGGACTTTGCATAGCCCCCTTATCAATGGCCATATCTTGATATTACGCGTATGGAGAGTACCGAAAACTGCTTGATTAACGTGGCTCAGCCCTAGTGCTAATCCGCGTATAATCTAAAAATTTGCAAATGCCATCCCTCAGTCTGCCTAGCGTAACGGGGGCTCTTCGTGTTAAGTTTGTTTTGCGCGGCAGCAACACACGTAGGCAAACACAAAGGGGTAAAGGGAGGGAATTCGAAGATGAACGTGAGTGCTTACTTATATTGACGTCTTTGGACCGATTGGGGATGGTAGTAGAACTTGATCAGTAAGCTACTACATCGCCCAACCGCAATCCTTACACGAACGAACTCACAGTATTAATCGCCTTGGGAGGGAAGTTATTCACCGACTAGAGCTCAAACTGCAGCCCACCCAAACTCAACTCAAAAGGCAAAGTCGCTACCTAAACGTAAGTACACCAAGCAAAGGTTCATTCACAATGGCGGATGGCAGCACCTCGACCGAAGGTGCTTCTACCGGTTTCGTTTTCTACCACTATGAGCCGTCTATGGTAGCGGCAACTGTCTTTATTATCGTGTTTGGAGTTTCTGGTATGCTGCACATCTGGCAAATATGTCGACACCGAACGTGGTATTTCATTCCCTTCGCGATCGGGTGCATATGTAAGTTATCCAACCATCTCCCTTCTCGAGCCTGACTCGAATAACTCTTTACCAGATGAATTAGTTGGCTACCTTGGCCGCAGCTTGTCTGCATCAGAAGCACCGGATTACACCCTGAGCCCTTACATTATCCAATCGATTCTCCTCCTCCTCGGCCCCGCACTATTCGCCGCATCAATTTATATGGTTCTTGGTCGCCTGATTGACCTTCTCGATGCCGGAGAATACTCTTTGATCAAGCCCAAGTGGTTGACCAAGGTCTTTGTGCTCGGAGATGTGCTGTCTTTCTTCGCGCAGGGTGGAGGCGGTGGCATGTTGGCTTCTGCCAAGAGCAGCGATACTGTGAAGCTGGGAGAAAACATCATTGTCGTTGGCCTCGGGATCCAGATCTTGTTCTTCGGTTTCTTCATCGCCGTTACCCTCGTCTTCCACCTTCGCCACTCTCGCCGCCCGACATCCCAGTCCCTCACAGTCCAAACCCCTTGGAAAGATCTTCTCTATGTTCTTTACGCAACCAGTTTCTTCATCATGATCCGATCGCTTTTTCGAGTTGCCGAATATGTCCAAGGCACGAATGGCAAATTGCAGGCAAAGGAGAAGTACATTTACATCTTTGATGCGACATTGATGGGTATCACGTCCATGGCATTCAACTGGTTTCGCCCGAGCCGTGTTCTCAACAACCAGGCTACTGGCTTGAAGCAAGTTTCGAGCTCGGAGGTGCTCAACGAGGGGTACCTGATGGAGAGCGCGCAATACCCGAAGCCGCAACAGCAGCAACAACAAGACTCGCGCTACGAGTCTTACTACGGAGCTGCAGGCCAGCAAGTGTTTCACAGGTGAAGGGAGTCAACAGGGTGGTTTTAAAGAGACTGGAGAGACGCGAATAGAGCTTCCGGAGGCACCCGCGGGAGCAAGGAAGCCGAGCGAAGAAAATTGGAGGGACTGGCATTATGATCCAGTCGATTAAGCGGACATCTTTCTTTTATTTGCAACTTACCCTTGGCGGGTTACCTTTTCCTTTGTGCATGCATCTAGGCACTGAAGCTTTATTAGAGCCATGAAATATAAGGATTACACTATTACCCAGGTTTGGAATTGAAAAGGAGGGGCGTCGATGCCCCGGAATAAGTCAAGACCGTTCAATATTCCACGTCGTTTCAAAGGAACACTTCAATGTGATCTATTAAACCCCGAGGTTCCGTTTCCTAGTCAATCAAACGACGAGTCCGTATACCCGCAGCTCGACTTTTGGATACGTCGTACTGACTGGCCACATTGCACGTATGCTGTCTTACAACTCTAAAACAAAGAATACACCCCCAGAGACTCCCTTTATGACCACTAAATCTTCCTCAACAGTACCTTCTTGTTGGGATCAGGTTGAGTCTAGGGAATTGTCAGCATTCTCAACCTCTCCGTGAGTAGCTTCGTCCACTTACGACTGGGCCGTACTCCAAGTTCTTGAATCGTTCCGTGCTATCACCCGGATTCTTGATGTCGTAGCTGGCCAGAGTCGTCGCCATGATCATCTTGATCTCATTCACGGCAAAGAAGCGACCCGGGCACGCGTGGCGACCATATCCAAAGGTCAAGCTGGTCTGTCCGACGCTGACGAATTGGGCGTTTGCCACCACCTCGGCCTGCTTCGAGCCGCTCTCCTGCTCCGTCTTGGCCTGTCGGAGTTTGTAGAACCTCAAGGGGTCGAATTTGTCAGAGTCGGGAAAGATACCATCGTCATTGTTGATACCGATCATGGGCAGTTCAATTACGGATCCTGCGGGAATGACTTGGCCGTTGGACAGGGTGAATGTCTTTAAGACCTTGCGTTGGAATGTTGCTGCACAAATTGTCAGAATGTGGGATCGGTTGGCGAGTGAAGAGCAGAAGACTTACTGGAGCCCAGTGAGTAAAATCTCATAGTCTCTTTGAGGAAGCTGTCCAGCTTTTTCATGTTTTGCATAGCGCCACTTGTGAAGACGCCATTGCTCTCAGACAGGGCTTGCTGTATATCATCCCGGAGCATGGGTACCAACTCGGGCATGGCAGCTAGGGTGTATAGACTGAATTCAGGGTGTCAAATTCAGTATCGCTCTGTCCAAGTGGTTTGCTTAGAGACTTACGCGTTGGCTGTGGTGACCGTGGTAGTGTGGATAGCAGCGAAGCTGATACCTAGTTGGTATCTGGCTAGTTCTCTGTCGTTCTTCTGGCCAAACTTCTTCTGCGACTCCATAATCCACTGCAGCATATCATCCGGCTTCTGATAGTCGGGGCTCTTCTCGGCTTCCTTCCTTGCGGTCACTACCGGTCTCAGGAACTTATCCGCCTCTTCAACTCGGTAGTGGACCTTCTTCACCTCCGGTGTTCTCGCCGCTGTGAAAGGTCGTAGCCAGGGGGTGATATTTGCGACTCGTCTAACGGCCTTCATGAGATCGACGGTGTAATAGATCGCGGCGTCCAAGTATTCTTCGTTTCGGCAAAGCTCTGGTCCGATGAAGATGCGGCCGGACGCCTTGGCGATGACGCGCATCATCTTGTCCATGATCTTGACTTCGGTCCAGTCGCACGATTGGGGGAGTTCTGTTCGGAGAGCTTCGATGACCTCGTCGGCGATGATCGGGTTGAGTCGGACTAGGTGGCTGTTAAGAGGAGGGTTCAGAACATCACAATTGAGAGAAATACAACGTACCCAGTGCCGGCGTCAAAGCAGTCTTGACCGTGTGGGGGAGCAACGGGACATCGGTTTCCATACCAGTGTAGTTTGCGTGCAGCGACTAGTGGCCCATCAGTTCTGCCTATCCGCCGCGCACTGTTCGTTTCGACTCACCTCCGCAACGGCACGGTTGAAGTTCAGGACGTCTTCGGGAAGCTTCTTCAGCTCGTTCATAAACTTCGGGGCGACGACGATGTTTGGCGATTCTGTAGGTCGATCAGTCCCGGCGCTCTGCTTCCTCATAGAACTGGGTCTTACTCCTTGCCGTAGTAATCCGGAATGCCCTTTCTTTGAACTACGCGCATGTTTGCTCAATATCTAGTCTCGCCCGTGAAGGCACAACGATCTATGACATACCTTCCTGTATCCATCGAGGTAAAGGTTTCGGGCCTCACCATTCATGAATCGCTTTCGTCGGGCCTCTGACCCTCCAAACTCAGTTCCGACCATAGGAATATCCGCCCATGGATCGCTCTTCATGACAGTCTGCAGCAAGAGTGCGACAGCACATGTAAAGAGTACAGTGGCCGCAACAGGCCATCGCTGGGCCATCTCTACGAAGAGTGTGCCGTCCATCGCAGCACCGGCTGTGCCGTTCATATTGGGAAGCATCGACGTCGACATCTTGGGTGGTTGACGGATCGCAATAATAATGTGCTCGGGCAGAAAGGTGAAAATCGGGGATAGAGATGGGACATAAAGGTGTAATATAACTTCGCTGCCCACCCTCCACTACGTCCCCTTAGCTGCAAGCTTGACAGCAAACACAGAGTATGCTCTAGTGTGCCCCGCCACCACCGTGTCGAATGACCACCTACATAGCCGACGGGAGACGAACGACTGGGAGCATAAACTAGCAAGCAACCGACGTGTTGCGAAACTCACTCGCGGAATTGCGAAACCGGATGGAACCGCCCAACTACCGGCCGCCGGGGGAGGTAGAAAATTGGTGGGCTCTGGGCATGTTTGGCTCACGTCTTGTCTTCCCCCCCCCCCATCACCCCTGCGCCGATAAACGGGACGAAAAGGATTCGATCCGAAGGGCGTATATTAGCGCTGCCGCGGGACAATGGCCTGGAGAAAATGAAAACGCGGGGTGAGGAGCGAAGAGTGTGAGGGCTTTGGCCAAGCGGACTGACGAAAGAGTCCGAACCAAGGTTCATCGAGTGAGGTTTGCAGGTAAACGAGCGAAAGGACGTTACCGGTTTCGTATTCGCAAGTCTCATTGTCATGGAGGACACCAAACGATCCGTGCAGTGTAGTAGGACGCAGTGTCGCTGTCCAGATTGGTCGCACCGATGCGTCTACAGAGGGTCAGGGGTGGATGTGGTTGATTTCCTATTCATCGACTCATTCTCTCGGGAAGGACAAGATTGATCCATCTCGGGTAGATACGCCAGGAAGTAAGAGTTCGCTCATCATTATTTTTCCTACTTATTTCTCGCTTTCTCTTTCGCTGGCAATGGTTACCCATAATTCATGTTGTCATGCGGCCCAAGTGCGGACCATCCGTAATGTTTCGAAACCTTCTATTTGTGGCATCTTGACTCTCACCCGCGGCCCAAGCGGCACATTATTGGATGAAAGAATGAACGCGACAACACACAAGAAAAAGAAACAACGACTGGGGAAGCTGAGCGCTATCAAGAGTGGATAGCAGGTGTATTCGGCCCCTTTCAGTCAGGATAGGAACATGCTGGACGACCAACATCGCTGGAATGACGCTGACATCTCCTACCGGCGAGCTAAGCCGAAAGTTTAAGAACCATAAACTCTGAGGAAGCCAGTAATCTCCCCGTCGAATAGCGGTTTTCCAGTTGAAGGGTCCTCGCTGTTGGCGCCCAACAATCTGGCCGCCCAGAAAGTTCCCTGGTCAGAAGTAGTGTCCTTCTGAAAAGCCCACGTCGTATAGCCCTCGGAGCCTAGAAAGACTCCGTCGATCTGCGTGCCATTGGTTGTGTAATGCGAGTACGGCTTGATTTCGGTACCGTTGACAAAGTACATTAGGAGAGCGTCGTACGGAATCTCTGCGGCCACGAGGTTCTCCCAGTTGTAGTCCGACACGCCGGTGGGTACCCGGGCTTGAATGCCTTGGCCATCGACACATTGCAGCGGGATCTGCGCCACGGCGGCCTTGTCAAGTGCAGCCATCTGAATAGAAGGTTTGTATGGTTAGTAATTTGTACGTTATGGCCGGGCCAATCGGGTGGTGCCGCGTGGATATGAACTTACGTATCCCCATCGGATGCCAGTCGAGCCGCGAGAGTAGATTGCGGTCAGGCCGTGGTCATCGATGATGCCGCCGGTATTCTTGACTTGAATCGACCAAGGCCCCGCTTGGCCGGCGGAGGCATCGTAGTCCGGATACACGGAGCAGCCACCGGTAAGCTCCTTAACCGTAACATTGCCAGCGGCTGCGACGAAAGGACATATTGCGACGCCAACGACCGCGGCCGCAATAAACTTAGCGAGTGACGACATCTTAATTGAACCTTGAGAGAAATTAAATACAATGTCTTTATGCGAGGCTTTTGAGAAACGACTGGTTATGCTTCGTTGCTCAACTCTACTCCGAAAGGTTGCCAAGATTTTATAACAATTACCCCTGGAAGGATTCTAGGCATCAAACAGCCCCATTCCGGACGCCATTCTCGTGAGGTGATCCATTCCCGCAAGCGAAGGAACTTTGGCGTCACGAGCCGGAGCTAGACATGCAACGGCGCGTTTTTGCCTAGCGAAACAGCCTATTAAGTAACGGGACCTTCGGGAAGGGACAAAGATCTAGGCTGATGAGGGCCGGGGTGAGGCCGCTAGAGCAAGATTGAAGCTTTGAGCCCCCGCGAGCGGATGCCGCTAACTGCCGTGACCCGCCAATGCTATCTTGATACGAATTGTGGCGGGCAAGACAAACTAGCATCGAGACAAGACAATGACGGAAGCCTGCTGAATACGAATACTGACTATGCCACTACGCTGCCTGGCCATGCTTGGAAGACGACGTGTAGCTTACTACGTATAGCAGCTATGCCAGGATAATTTGGTGTGCTTGGCTCTTTTCGGACCGTTTGAGTTCAAACAGTGAGTGAAAAGCAATGATCTCAGCCCCTTCATTAGCGTTGTTGACCTCGTCAGCCACCTTTCTCTTCTGGCATAAGCCACAGGCACACAAAGCCACGTCACCCCTGTAGATCGTCATTCTGCATGGCGTCGATCAGGGACTTCAGAATCCTGCTGGGGCCTGAACATGCCGGGAAGCACACTCAGACCCCTATATTGATGATTGCGCAAAAGGATTGCTTCGGTGCATCTGAAGCAGAACTCTTGTACGAGCTTACTGGGCTGAGTCGGTTTTGTACATCCTTCAGGACATTGGGAACCATAATTACATGCATGTACATACAGTACGAGGTTCACCTAGAAACTTTCAGACGGCGAACAGACTGCCATTTTTGGGGGTTCTTCGATGAACTCAAGTTACGCCGAAGGTGTGTCAAAGAGCGTGTCTGGCCCTGCCGGATGATCCCCATGCGCTGTTGACTTGATTTAACAAGGCAATCCATACGGACAGGGACTTGACCAGGTGCGAGGCAATGCAGCTCAGCATGACCATGAGCTCCATTGGTTCTTTATCCGCCCACGTGTATCTAAACAAGACTCTATAGGCGGCGAATATGCATCTTTACCAAGGCAGCCAAAGTTTACCAGCGTGCGTGCGCGTCTGTCGGCATTCTCACATGATTCAACGGGCACATGGTGGATTAGTCAGCGAAAATGCAAGTCGTGATCACCGCATGTGAGCATGGGCGACAACGAATTCGAAAATGGGTTGCTTTTCTGCGTCAGGATTACTTGCCACAAAGTTCGCAGGAACTAGGTGCCCGGTGACTAAAACCCGAAGTATCAATGATGTGGGCTTCAGTAGAGAACACACCAACTATCGATCTGTCATTGTGGAGAGTACTAAATATCCATTGATTCATATATTCATGTCAACGGATCGGTAGTATCGAAATCGCAAAAACGGTCCTATGAATGCGAGCAATGTCGATGCCAACCACCAACATATATGACAGCCGGAAATGCTTGTAACACCCACTGAAGCATGAGCCAACAATGGACTATTTTCGGGATTAATAAAGGTGTTGACTGAATGTACCTACAAAGAGTTTCGAGTTCCAGTCTCATGTACTTTACGCAACTAAGTAGGGAAACTGGAAAAAGGTTCAATTGCCCTCGATTACAAATACTCATCTTGGAACTAGGCAAGAATCAGCCTTAGTCATTTTCTTCCGGTATATAAGTCTAATTCCGTCTGTAATGATAAAAGGCGGCCACAGTGGCTTATTAGTAATTACAGTCTACGTAGATTTTGCAGATCTACCGATCATAGGCGCTCAATGAACTTTCAATGAGCAATGACTCGATTCAATCGATTGAGTCTCTTTCTGAGGTAGCAGTAAACTCTTTGCAGTAACGGATAGGTGCCGGATTATCGCCCTATCCACGGAGCTCTAGTAAACCTTTAAGACGAGAACCATTTGCAGATTGGGTTACAATATGAGGCCAGGATCTTTAGATAAACCAAGGCTATATCAGGCATAGTCTGAGCAACTTGAAGCAAAGGAACGACTCTAAGTGCAGCTGATCTAAGACTACCTTACATGTACCGAATTGAGCTTTCGGCTGAATCGGCTCGATGAGTTTCAAAGTCTCAACTTTTTGGGCTTGTTACTCTCGTGGTGCAATAGATCGCTATTCACGGGATTTAGATGAATGCAGGTCTCAAAATATATGAAACAGGACAGATAAAGCCGCTGAAAGCAGAATCTCATCTGGTTTCTGGTGGCTGAAAAAGTCCAAGTCCTAACTACTCAATGAATTCAACACTTTGAAAGGAGTCTCGGTCAAACCTCTGGAGTATAGTGGTGTCAATTGTCGTTTGAAGGAGCCCGACGTTAGTGGTGCATTTGTGGAAGGCGCAGAGTCTAGAGCTGGTAGGATGGATTCAATTCACTGGATAGAGCTCAGTGGAATCGATTACTTGAAACGGCGAACCATCGTCAGGCACAATCATCAAGAAACTAAGGAGTTGGCTCAGTCAAAGTGTGGATTCCGTTGATCTGAGAATGTTACACCCGTCCTTGGCTGGTATGATGCGCGGACTCTTCCGCTGTCCTGCCCGGCCTGTCTCTCTCAACGTGAAAGCCAGATATTGTTTTCTGCTTTCGATCTTGAATGGGTGTCCCCTTCAAGTACACAGTAGAATTCTTGACTAATTTTCGGATCTAATTTGGTGGCGGCGGGGATTACCTGATCAAGCAGTTGGGGTACAGATGTTGATGCAAGGCGCTTATCATCGCGACGCAACCCCGCACCTCCATCTTCCCCGGTCCTTCCAGTCTTTCTACCATCCAAACCTCCGAGATCAATATAAATTCATGCAACCACTTGTTCTGCGATACACACTTTCAACTCACTGCTGAGAGCCATCCAGAATTTTGTCCCACCATCCCAGCAGCGATCTGATTTTGTCTGCCGCTAATGTCGTTCAAATCGGAAGCCATTGTTGCCAGAGGCCCTTTCTCTGAAGGGAAATGGGCCATTGAACCAGTTACTCTCCGGGATCTTCGCTCAGACGAGGTTCTTGTTGAAATCGTTGCTTCTGGCATTTGTCACACAGATATACACTGCGGCAACACGCCCGAAGACAAGGGCGTTCCGGGAGTGTATTACCCTAGAGTCCTGGGACACGAAGGCGAGCCGTTTTTGATCCAAGTTATTGAAAGTGGAACGACTTGGAATTGCTAACTTTGATGTCAAGGATCTGGATATGTGGTTCAGATTGGAAACGGCGTGACAAAGGTCAAACCCGGCGATGCCGTCTTCCTATCCTTCTCGTACTGCGGAAAGTGCCACGTCTGCAAGACAGGACCACCGTCCCATTGCACCAACTTTTTCGAATTAAACTTTTTGGGAGAGCCGGTCTTCTCGGACGGTATAGGCGGACGCTTCTTTGGCCAATCCAGCTTAGCCCACCACACGGTAGTCAGCGACAAATCAGTCGTCAACGCTGCCGGACTCAACCTGACGCGGGATGACCTGAGAATACTAGCACCCCTTGGCTGCGGTCTCCAAACGGGCAGCGGAACCGTCAACAATGTCGCCAAGGCCGGTCCGGACGACTGCATCGCCATCGCGGGTATGGGAGGCGTAGGCTTGGCCGCGGTCATTGCTGCAAAGAATCAAGGGTGCAAGGCCATCATTGGCATCGACCGCGTCGAGTCCCGCCTTGCACTGGCGAAATCGCTCGGCGCTACGCATATCATCAACACCACCGGGCTTGAAATGGCTCAGGTGACGGAGAAGATCAAAGAAGCAGCCGAAGGGTTGGGAGCGACCGTCAGCATCGACACCAGCGCGTTCCCGCCACTGCTCGATGCCCTGGTTCAAGGCACAAGATACATGGGCAAGATCATCCAGGTTGGCACCGGTATGCCGGACGCACATCTGTCGCTTCATATGCAGAGTTTCATGGTTAGTGGAAAGCAGTATTTCGGAGCGGTACAGGGGCACGTCAACACCGCCGAGTACATCCCTCAAATGGTTCAGTGGTGGAGAGAGGGAAAGTTTCCGGTTGAAAAACTGATCAAAGTCTTTGAATACGGCGATTTCGCATCAGCCGTAGAAGCGATGAAGAGCGGCGATGTTGTTAAGCCCATCATTGCCTGGTCATAAACTATAGGCATCTGAGGTGGATTAGGAGGCCCTTACTGCCAACACTTCAGTGGCTCACGAGAAAGGCAATGTAGGGATTTTAAACACTGCTATGTTTAGGCATATTCCCAAAGATATTGAAAGTGATTTTCCTTTCCTTTCCCAGAGCCTCATCGCAATGCCGACTATAAAGTTCTGACCTGAGCATCAACACGTGCAACCATCACCACCAAGTCACCAACCAACAAAGAAACAATAGGCGGGGTTCTCTCGGCTCATTTCCCAACTTATCAGTGGGCGTCTAGGCTAGAGGACCCCGACCGGACCGGCACTTTGTGATTGGTCAACAAGTTACGAGCAGACAACTGGCCATTCACACGAGACTCTGATAAGAAAACGCGCGAATAATGTTGCATGCGTTGTAATGCACGAACCCCGCAATCCGGGGCGCAGTGGTGGGGACGTTGATTTTTCGAACTTGAACTCACCGTTGCATTTATCCCCCAGGCCAGGGCCAAATCTTTCCGAGAGGCTGAAATGCCTTGAGCCCATCTCTGATCTCCTTGAAGGCTTGAACTCCTTTTCTTTACCTACATGGGCGCGCGAGAGTCGCACCACTTTGTCGTCCGATCAGCCAATCCCAACCAAAAGCCGCTCCAAAGAGAGAAAAGAAGAAGGGGAAAAATGGAGACTCTCGGTCCAGACCTGGCCTCCAAAATCGGTCCCTGGATCCTGCCCAAGCCGTTGGAGGCGCCGCCGTCGCCCGAGTCCGTCTTCAACAACGACCGGGCCTCGCCGACGGAGGAGACCAAGCGGCGAAGGGCGGGTGGACCGAAGGCGCGTACCGGTTGTGCCACCTGCAAGACGCGCCATGTAAAATGCGACGAGCGCAAGCCCACATGTTACCGTTGTGAGAAGGTCGGTGTCGTCTGCGAGGGCTACGTGGACCGCGTCGACCGCCGGAGGAAAAGGACAAACCAGAACGTGGTCCGTCGGCATACGCCCCAGCTCATCGCCCCTCGGTCAGCCTCAGCCTCAGCCGAGGCCGAGGCCGACGTCTGCACCACGTCCGAGATCATCGTGTCGTCGCAGATTCCCCGGTCGCTTTCGAGCCTGCCCAAGATCTATCACAAGGACGGCGTGTACTACGACTACTTTCGACATCAGGTTTCCACCAACCTGGCAGGCTACTACACTAGTCCCAACTGGTCATATCTAGTCGTTGGGGAAGGTCTGCAAGATGACTGTATTCACCACTCAATCCTAGCTGTCGGGGCGCTTATTCGCTCCACCCCGCAGGACGCGAGACCAAACTCGCTTCGAAGGAAGGCGTTACCACCTGCTTCGGACGGATACGCTGCGACCGAGCATCGTGAGGTTGCGTTGCGACATCATCTAAAAGCCGTCAAGTCTCTCAGGGAACGTATGGAGTTGATCACAGCCTCATCACCAACCACCGTAGTCATCACGACTCTACTGCTCGTCGTGTACGAACTACTCCAGGGTGAGCCAAGGACGGCCGAAATGCTCCTGAATTCATGCCTAGGGGCACTCAGAGACTCCATCACAATGTTCGAGAGCGATCCCGATAAGAGTGAGCAAAGGTATCGTGACTCCGAGTTCGACGACATGGAGCATGTGCTCCCCTGTATAGCAGCCATGAGCCATCTCTCACAATCACTTCAACCTCGCCGCCCGCACACTCACCCTTTCAAGATTGACCCTGGTTCCCAAGTCCATAACCCTCTGCATGAACCCATCTCAAAGTTCTTCATCTCGTGGGGCCGGTTCTTCACGTTTGCCGTCAGCTTCATCGGCAACTCCACCGACGTGACAGCAGAAGGCGTCTCCATGGATACGCTCCGTCACCTCACCATCCACCAGCAGAATTTCCTCTCGCAACTACAGCAATGGAGATCCGTCATCCAATACTATGCCGAAAATCCAAGAGTGGACATTGGAACCAAGAAAGGCCTCCGGATTGCCCAAATCCACTGGCTCCTTCTCCACATCACCCTCACTTGCTGCCTAGACCCAACCGAAGTGGCCTACGACGCATTCGAGATTGAGTTTCGGGATCTGACGATGCTCTGCGTAGAACTATACCGCGATTGTGTATCCCAACCACGCCCAACGTCGGTCTTGCTCGGGCAGGGGCTCATTTTACCGCTGTGCACTGTTGTGCGCGCCTGCAGGAATCACGACATCCGCATGACGGCATTGCAAGCCCTGCATGAAATACCCCCGTCCATGGTGGCCTGGGATGTGGTGTCAAACATGGACGGGATCCTGGGGGCCTTGCTCCTCGAGGAGACTGGTCGCAATGCGGCTGGATTTGTTCCCCCGGACTCGAGGTGGTTTTGGTTGCGGGATGTGACTGTGCCAGAAACCGGAAGGGTTCATAAGGTCTATCAGAGACTGTCGCCAGGGCAAGATGGCAAGCCTGTTCTGACCAAGTTGCGTCCGACATCGAATGTACGATCAAAGATTTGTAAGGCGAGCGGATGTGACAAAGACCACATACTAGGCTCGGTGGTGGTAGAAGAATTTTGAAATAAGAAAGTTACCTTTTTATGATCACGCCACGGGAAAGTCTAACCATATATACCATGTCGTGCTGGCCTGGCGCAAATGTGATACACGGAACAGTAGAGCCTCGATCCGCATAGAAAACAGAGTTGAATTTCGTAAAAAGCAGCCAGTCACAACCAATAGGCTCGATTCCTCTTGAAGTAACATCGGCCGCTCTCATTTGATAGGTTAGCCTCGTAAATATTAGCCAATCGGGCGTAGCCTCTGGTGGCTAGGAGGCCAAATGTGGCAAGTGGTTCTTCACATGTCCCGACACCTCCACTCCACTCGGCCCGTCCAACCCTCTGAAGTTCGTAAGAATTACCCAATGAAACGACCTAGACCCGAGATACACCACGGAGGTTTGATCAGAGTCGTCTCATTACCGTATAGAATAGGGGCCAGGAAGCCACACATTTAAGACAGGATATAGGCCGTGGAGACACTCCCCTCTCTTCCTTTCCTGAAACCCTAGGCTGCAGAACATCACAAACTCCTATCACATTCTCCTCAACCATGAGTGCACCTATTATAGCCCAGCCGGTCGTGGTGTCGCTAGCTGATTTGAAATCTGGTATGTCATAAAGTTTTTGCTTTTCATTTCTGGTTGCTTATAATCTTTGCAGGAAATGTGCCTTTTGAGAAACTTGTTGAGGCGTTCGGGCCGGATTCATTAGGAATTTTGGTCGTCAAGAATGTTCCCCCCGAATTCCCCGAGTTGCGACGCCAAGCATTATCGTATGCCTCATATCTTGGGAACCTGCCTAAAGCCGAGCTTGGTACGGTAACACTCCTCTGATCTGAGTTGGACCCCCAACTAACATCAGGCACACAGACAAGGTCGAAAACCCCGCTGCCAAATATCTAACAGGCTGGTCACTGGGCAAAGAGCAACTCAAAGACGGGCAAGTAGACACATTCAAAGGCTCATTCTACGCCAACTGCGCCTTCTACACCGACCCCGAACTAGATTGCGCAAAGCCGACGCCCGAATTTTCAGCAGAAAACTTCCCAGAGTACCTCTCACCAAACATCTGGCCCGAAGAAAAGGTCCTCCCGGGCTTCAAACGCAGCCTGGAAGACCTCTGCCGGCTTTTGATCGATACCGCTGTCATGGTTGCGCGGGCGTGTGACCGATACGCAGAGCGGGAAATCGAGGGGTACACCAAAGGCTACGTCGAGCACGTCGTCAGCACGAGCAACACCACCAAGGCCAGGTTGCTGCACTACTACCCCCAGTCCCAGGAGGGCTCAGGCGAGAACGAGGATGATTGGTGTGGTGTCCACCTGGATCATTCGGTCCTGACGGCCTTGACGTCTGCCATGTTCGTTGACGAGCACAACACGTCATCGACGTCGGCCTCACACACAAAAGAGGCCACGTCACTTGCCCCGCTAGAGGAGATGGCGGGGAGTCCCGATCCTCTGGCTGGGCTTTACATCAAGTCTCGGACGGGAGACACTGTTCAGGTGAAGATTCCGAGGGATTGTATCGCTTTCCAGACGGGCGAGGCCCTCGAACGGATCACAAAGGGGAAATTCAAGGCTGTGCCGCATTTTGTGAGAGGAGTCAGACCTGCCATGAGTAATGGCCGGGTGGCGAGGAATACTCTGGCAGTATTTACGCAGCCGAATCTTGGTGAGGAGGTTGACTCGGAGCAGCATATCACATTTGGCGAATTTGCCAGAGGAGTTGTAAGCAAGAACACTGTTGAGGCTTGAATGCTACAAACACGCGAAGAGTAGACTTTGCGAATAATGAAGAAAAATATGAATGTAACATCTTGACTATGAGCATCACGTGAGTGTGCACTCAGGCTATGGGCGATGATTCCTTGTACTACCTTATGTGAGGGCGTTGCAACTTCATCTAGGGCACGGGTCTGCTATCAGTCTTAGCATTCCTTGCTAGCTAGTGGTTTCTGAAGGTACATGATGACAGCCATGCTCTCAGTATGATGGCGGCTTGTTGTCAGAGACCTGGCTATTCATAGCAGTGTCGTGCTAACTAGGTCCCTTTCACTCCATATCTCACTCCTCCATGACGGCTCCAACTCCTCGAAGCTCTGTCTTGGAGCGCCGCTTGTCCATCAAACTATGTACGTTCTCTCTCGGGAGGGTTCTTTCAACGAAGAGGACGACGAGGCGAATAGTGATTCACGCCCTGCACATGGCGGCCTTTACGCAAGCCCCATGTACCTGATGACCCTCAACCCACCAGACTGACATTTACAAACACTACAGCCTTCGTTTTTTGTGTGTCTCATGCCCATCGCCCAAATCCTGACGATGATTCATGACCTCACTCTGGCTAGCTCATTCCTGTACAACAACGTGTGATGGGCGGGTCCAAAATCAACCTGTCGATTATTTCAGAAGCTAGTCAAACTTCCATCATGCAAGCTCCGAATCCCTTGTCAGACATTATGCGCAAGATATCTCTCTCTGGACCGTGCCGCGTCGGCAACCCTCTAGATAAATCTGACTCTGCAGAGACCATGAATCTCATGCACCAAGAGTCTTTACTCACCAATGGAAATTTCGAGTATATCGTACCCCCTGCTGTTTCAACATACTGGGAGTTTGAAAACCCCGAATGAAGCAACATCGAGATGTGTAAGAGGACAGAGATGATGAACCTTGATCTCTTTTACCCTTAATCTTCACTCCCAGGCCTTTTCGTTCACTCTTTATTCAACTTTGAGCAAAAGAATCAACGCCACAGAGAAAAAAACTAAGCTAAGTTTGCTTCAGTGATGCTTGTCGCGAGCATTATGGAGAGTGTCCTAATGCTTCCTTCTCGCGATTACCAAAAGCTTCGGTTTCGGCTTCGAATTGACCTCTACGATCGCCCATAGAAGCATCGAAGACCAATTCATCACCATGATCGGATCCAAGGCATGTCTACTAGATTGGCGGATAGTACGATTGATGTCTGTAAGCCTGGAGCAGACCAACTCTGCCCTTTGCGATAACCAAGCGCCAAGCATCTTCGCGTTGTCTGCTCGTGTCGATCTCACTGGCGATGGAGATGCGCGAGTTATTATCCAGGTTCACATATATCTGTATGAGGTTCATATCTAAATCTTCTATACGTTGAGTACACTGATCTGAAGGTCCTACAACTTCCACATGGGGGTCGAATCCATTGGCCCAAGCAAGCCTACGAGCTCTATCGTTGAGTTTTACAACCCCATACTTGGCCCGTTATTTCAAGCTTAATCTGGAGTAGTCCGCAGCACCTGCGAACATAACTTCTCAGGGTCTCAATTGGAATCCATCATAGTCAGGGCAGGTGCCTCCAGGCTGGTCGCGAGTCACGAATGGCATTGGGATCAAGAATGCTATCAAAGATGCCATCCTTATAATTTCGGATGCACATATAGTACTCATGAACAATAGCATGCTTCTCGGCCCAGCTCTTGGTAAAGACCTCGGCAAAAGCCAGCAATAATGAGAGAGGCAAGGCTATGTCGGGATCGTGAGTTAAGGGAGCCTCGCATATTGATATATTAATAACCTCCCGCAAGGCCAGGAACGACGAAATGATCAGCAAGGGTCTATGATTGTCGAAAGAGGTGCTCTTTTCCAATGATCTCCTTCTCAGTGGCGCCGATCGTCGACTCGCAGCTAGTGGTCTCCTCATTCAAGCCGCATCCACTGAGCTTCGTGTCTGGGTCCTGTTTTGCAACTATTTCACATCCAGTTTGGCCGAAATTGCAGCATTCGATAGTTGAATTTGAGATCACGGAACCATGCCACCGCATTACTTTCGTAGCCGGCGAAACCGCCAGCGGTCTCTAGCGCAGGGACCTTTTTAGTGAGAAACTTGGAGAGATATTCTTCACCCACGCCTCCCTTTTTCCGGATACTCTTTGATGGGGAAAGCGTTGCGAATTTCGGCACCAATTTTGTGGTACTTGGCTAATAATAGCACCATTGTAGAGTGAGGTGGCTTGAGATACATGTAGAGCTTCCCGAAAGACATTTTGCTGGCCATGCTTGTTCCCTTTCGCAATGAGTGGAAAACATGTATCATTTTGCGATCTGAAGAAATCCAAAGCGCTGGTTTTCATTGAACTTTGAGATGTAGCTGACTAAGTACTTAAGACAGACCTTATCATTCACTGTTAAATGTAGATAGGTCCGACGACTCCCATGCTCTCGTTGTTGGTGATTGCCGATGCCAGGAGGAGCTCAACTTAGTGATTTGATTACTACTCAGAGCAACAGCTGTATCAGCCAATCACCCTCCCCACCCTCCATTATCCTCATTATATGATATCTGCTAGTCTCAGATTAAGATTTAAGCTATCTGTCCCCTTGGTTGGGAACGTGGTGCTCGTCGGAGGTGCCCTGACTGCCCTGCAGCTTCCCTTCTTCAGTTGGATTCGAGTTGACAGCCCCGAGCGATAAGTGCTCCTGGAACGGCATCAAACGTGAGGGAGACGTGTATTATATCGCCACTTTCGAGGGCTTAGTGGTGAACAGCGACTGGAACATCAACTCGACGGGAGCGGCAGTCGAGCGGATGCCGTTGAGTGATTGGAGAGAGGTCTATCTCAGAATTGTTACTGATGCCCTGGCGGACCCAGCAATGTTGATTTCAGCTACAGCGTTGATGGGCAGAGTGTCTAGTCTGTGGACGCGTCTTTCCCCTTGTAAAAATGGTCGGAGTTCTTCATTGATTATCAGTATGGCAGTTTCAACCATGCGACAAAAGCATTACGTAGCTCTGCCTAGGCTTTGTCATTCATCAATGCCAAGGGGTTGGTGATATTTTATTTCCTGGCTCTTATTCCTGCGTCAAATCCATCCAACGAAGATTGAGAAGTCCTCTAGAAGAGTGTACCTCGTTTCATCCACATTTCAAAGTCATAATGCACGGGATCGAAAAGCCAACAAACTGGGCAAACCGCATCCCCTCCCCCGCACTCAAAAGTCCGCAGGCTCCAATGCCAACCCCAACCTCGCAGGATAACCCGGAGCTAAGCGGAACCAATAGTGGATGTCGAAGCAAGGTTGGTATGCGCCAGAGGGACCAGAGGCCTGGAGGGGGACCTGGGGTATTTGAACGCGATGCTTCCTTTGGATCCAATGCCGAGGTTTATTGGGTCCTGACCTCAACCCCTCATCGAGTCATCGTGCTTAGCTCCCCCCCAGATATGCTCAGATATGCCACTTATGGTCACCTTCTCGTGTGACGCCGCAACGGTAACGTTCTAGACCGGCGCGGCAGCTATTCTAGGCCAGTGTCCCGTTCTACTGTGTATTATTCCACGACTTCTCGAACATGTATGTGGAGTAGAGAGGGCTATCGATGGTGTTCGTTGGCGGCAGGGCTCAGCTGATTCTTCATCGGGGGGCGGTCCGGGATGACCCCTGGAGATCTAAACACCTCGATATGCATTAGTCTTCTATTTACCCCAGCTCACCGATGAGTCTCCGGGCTTACTGCGACCAGGAAAGCACGGCAATGGGAAACTGTTTTGTCCAAGTGGGGTTTCCCATCGAGAGCTGCCGCAGCAGCGGAAGAGAGAGTCTTGGTATCGGTTCTAGTTTGCTTGGCCGAAGGGGTTTCGGTGAGGTGTACGACGTCATGCAGGTCTTGATAAATACCTCTTCTCTCCCCCGAGCTTTCCCTTCGCGCTGACGTTGGAAAACGAGCCTTTGCTCCCGCCGGTCGTTCCGCTTGTGTCTGCTCATTTGCCCTGCCCTTTTTATGCCTCTCTTAGCGACACTGAATTTCATTGATCCATCATCTCTCGATCCCTCGCATTGGAACCCACAGAGACCGGCAGCTACGCCCCAAAGATGAGAATCAATACTAGCACGGCCGCCTTCGCCGGCCTCCTCGCCGCCGCCACCAGCGCCACGGCTCAAAACGCGACGAGCACCTGCGCGACTGGCGTGTACATCATCGTGGCCCGCGGCAGCAACGAAGCCCCCGGATCCGGCAGAATCGGTAGCGTCGCCAATGGCACCGTGGCAGCCATCCCCGGGTCCCAGATCGCGCCGCTCGACTATCCGGCGTCGTTTGACAACTACTCCAGCTCCGTCGCCGTGGGCGCGGAGGCCCTGAAGGCCGCGTTGACATTGTACAACTCGCGATGCCCAAACTCCAAGGTTGCGCTGTTGGGATACTCGCAGGTAAGCAATCATCAGGAAGGTTCCACTACGCATCCATCTGCATGAACGCCAAACCAACTCCTTGGGATGATATGAACATCCATCCACCAGGGCATCCGATCGAGGGTAATAAGTGGGCGGTAACATTGGATGGCCTCAAAAAACTCTCTTTTGCTTTCTCCCGCTGACTTGCATGAAACTTTAGGGTGCACAGGTGACAGGCGACATTTTGTGCGGCAGCGTCGACGAAGACGAGGGTGAGGCTCTGAACATTGAGTTCAACCAGACAGCTCCCGTTGCCGCATCCGTCGTGGACCAAAGTGGTTCGTTGCCACCCACCCATCATCTACTCATCATTAAAGCTTACTTTATTTTAGTCATTGCTGTGGTCCTCTTTGGAGACCCAACACACAATGTCAGTGCAAGCTGGAACAAGGGCACGAGTAAGCGTAATGGAGTAAGTTTCACCATGGGGAGACGTGGTTCAAGGTAGTGTAACGTCGGATTTTGCTGACTCGTCGTCCTCTCTAGCTCTTCCCCCGTGAGAATGTCACCAAGTGCGAGGCGTACGCGTCCAAGATCGAGTCATACTGCGACACGGGAGACATCTACTGCGATCTCGGTAACAACACCAGCGTTCACGGGTCATACTTTGCCAACTACACGGACGATGCAGTCGAGTTTATCGCGGCGCAGTATAATGCGTCCCAGGAAACAAAAGGTTCTTCCCCGACGGCCACCCCTACCACGATTCCAGGCTCCGGATCTGCCGCATCTGCTCCGGGCTTGCTGATGTCCTTGGCTGGTTTGTCTATGCTTGCCGCTTTCATCTTGTAAGACGTGAATCTTGCGTACTGGAGGCTCGGCATAATACGACACACGGCTGTATACACATTCAATAACGAAGACTACGATCTGTGTAGGCCGTAATAAGCTTTCACAAACCCCTCGTCTATGGGCCTCCTATTTCATCCTACTGAGTTTCAGGTACCCGCACAGGCATCCCTACGATAGATCAGCAGAACTCAATCTTATTAGATGTGGCTCCAGTGCTGATAAGCTGCTGCTTTGAACGCGTACTTTAAGCATGAATACAGCACTCGGTCCGAGGGAAACGAAACGTCGGTCCGAGGGAAACAGACCGAGAAAAATCTGTTGGCCATCCCACCGGCCACGTAATATGACCTATTCAAATGTATATATGCCTTTCATAGCGAATTGAAATCGTACAATTTGACACCGTATAGTTCGTGAACATTAAGCGCCAAAGGATGACTCTGAAAGTGAAACCTCCACGCACGCCCTGAACACAGCCCTTTTTTAGGATGCATTAAGTGATCTATTCAAGGCCGGCTGACCGATTGTCAAACTTAACCAGCATCGTAGCTACCATCTATTATTCGGATTACATGTAAGAAATTTATACGCGCACATTTTTCCAGTCCCCCCTTTGTACGGGATCTATATCCACAATTCCAAGTCAATCTCCATAAGGTTTCATTCTTCTTTGATGGCCTTGGTTACTTCCGGGCCATGAACCTCATTTTCATAGGGTGAGCAGGCGGTGCCGGCGCCTCAGCTGGTGCTGCTGGCGCCTCAGCTGGAGGGTTGATCGGCGTGAACCCGATCGTAGGTATCTGATGAGCAGGAGGCGCCGGCTCAGCGGGAGGCGCCAAGAGAGCCGGAGGTGCAACTGCCGGAGCTTCATGAACGGGAGATGCCACAACAGGTGTGTGTACCGGCATAGCCTCAGCCGGAGGCGTATGAACGGGCATGGCTTCTGCAGGCGGCGCCTGGTGAGCTGGGGGAGAAACCGGCGCAGGGTGCTCAGCCGGTGGAGTTTGGACCGGAGGAGCGGGCTGGTGTGGGTTCGCCGGTGCCATAGAGTGGATCGGTGGTGGGGCTTCATGAGCCGGTGGCATCACGGGTGCTACTGATGGGTGCGCTTCCGGAGTTGGGGAGGGTTGGTGGCCTATGACCGGCACCGCAATTGTTGCCACGCAGTGGCTGACCGTTTGGGTGATGTGAACCGTTTCGTGGATGAGTTGGGGAGGTTGAGTTATGTGTACAGTCTGCGGAGGCTGAGGGACGTGGATTGTTTCTTTGATAATGTGAGGTGGCTGCGTCACGTGAACTGTCTCCTTGATGATATGGGGAGGTAGAGTGACATGAATTGTCTCCTTTACCACCTGGGGAGGGAGGGTGACGTGCACCGTCTCCTTGACGACTTGAGGCGGACGAGTTTCCTTGATGATCTGGGGAGGCTGCGTGATGTGAATCGTCTCCTTGACAACTTGCGGAGGTTGAGTGACGTGGATGATCTCCTTTACCGGAGGTAAGGTCACGTGGATTGTCTCCTTGACTGGAGGCAGAGTGACATGAACGGTTTCCTTGACGATCTGGGGCGGCAGAGTCTCCTTGATAATCTGAGGAGGTTGAGTAATGTGGATAGTCTCCTTGATTACTTGCGGTGGCTGAGTGACGTGGATTGTCTGGGGAGGAAGGGTAACTTGGACGGTCTCCTTTACGACCTGCGGAGGTTGAGTGACATGAATTGTTTGAGGAGGCAAGAGAGGCAAGGTGACATGAACCGTTTCTTTGATAATCTGGGGCGGTTGGGTGATATGTATAGTCTCCTTGACGATTTGAGGCGGCTCAGTGACATGGACTGTCTGCGGAGGTAGGGTGACGTGGATCGTCTCCTTCACGACTTGAGGAGGCTGTGTGACATGGACCGTTTCCTGAACGATCTGAGGCGGCTGTGTGACGTGGATCGTTTGCGGAGGCAAGGTGACGTGAACCGTTTCTTTAATAATCTGGGGCGGTTGGGTGACATGTATAGTTTCCTTCACGACTTGAGGAGGCTGTGTGATATAGACTGTTTCCTTGACAATCTGGGGAGGCGGAGGAGGAACCGTGTGAATGACTGTATGGACTAGAGTCTGGACGTGTGTGACTGGCGGCAGCGGCGGAGGAGGAGGAAGAGTCTGGACCTCCTTTTTCGTTTCGACCACCCGTTCCGTCCGGATGTGCTCGCTTGTAACTGTGGTCGTGATGTGTATCGTTTCCGTCACCACTTGCGGTGGCACCGTGACGTGGACAGTCTCGATTTGATGTATCGTTGTCGGGACGGGCACGTGGACTGTCATCACTTCTCCCGGTAACGTGACGTGGACCGTCTCGTGGATTGTTTTGGGAACATGAACGATCTCATGGACGGTGTGGACAATCGTCTCGGTCTTGGGTGGCTCACATTGCTGCTGTGCTGGTGGTGCTGCTGGAGGGTTGGCGGCTGCCAGAGTCGACAAGGCGAGCCACGAGATGACTCCGTGTCGTGTGAGCATCGTGTGTTCGTCGGGCAAGGACTGCTTGGATAGGACTTTGGTATGTTTGTCGTAATGGGGCGGAGAAAAAAGGCACTAGAAGGAATAAAGGAACGTATGAAGTCTGAATGGAGTCGAGATACCGGTCTCTGGATGATCGAAGCGAAGTAAACAAACGGTAGCCCACTGATGAAATCGCGGGAGACTACCAGGAAACGAATGAAGACGGGCGCGCGGAGGAATTGAAGAGGTGGTGACAGTCCTGCTGATTACTGCAGACCAAGAAAGGAAGGGGAAAAGTCATTATATCAGGAGGGGTCTGGTTCATCGCCGCCTTGGCTGATGAACATGTCCCGCAGCAACTTGTGCACGGAATCTCGGATGCAGAAATTGCTGCTCATGGTTATTCCGAATCTAGGTCTGGTGTGGGCATGGGGGTGTTGGAGCCTGGTGTGAAGGAGACTTGCCAGGTATCGTTATTTGTGGAGTGCTTTGGCGAGGGCGCTGGGCGAAAATGTTCGAGACGACGCTATGTCCGGTGTTGTCCCTGGTGATGCTGAAGCTGGGCTCGTTTTTGTGAGCGTGTAAGTCAAAGTACCTAGTGTACAAGTCAACCTATCATCCCAGCTATCTATGTCTTACCAACTGGGATGGGATCAGATGTCGCGCTGCCATCTGAAGAGTGATGGGACGAATCCGCAGAAAGGGATAAAAACTAGGGACGCTCTGTTTTAGGTTTGCGGCTCTCGCAGGGGAGTTTAGCCAGGGCTGAATATGCACGGACAAGTGAGATTGAAAGTTGTTCGAGCATAGGCGGTCTCGAGGCTGGGCCCGGATGTACGGGAGGCTTGGTATGCTTGGGACTACCGGGGGTGGCTGTCCTCGCTATCGCTGAACCTTCAGGATCAGAATTTCTTGACCGGAATCATATCCTGCCGTCGGAGGAAACCACCTCTCCTGCTTCTCCTCATGGATGACATGACTGAGCTGAGAAGATGAAACCCAGCATCGTCGGGTTGGCTCTGCAAATGTCTTCCAAGGTAGCGGCAGTTGTGATTGTAAGACGATCAAGATAATCTTTCCTTCCACAAGGGGATGAGAATGCGTTGGCCGAGTCTTTCGGTTTTTATGCCATGATGATTGATATTCCTGTTCAACGAGCCATATTTCTTTTCTTAATGCCTTGAAGAGGAAAGCCCAGCATCGCATGAAGCCATACACGATTGTTTTATTCTCCACATACATCCGCCCCCACGAACGGCGTCTGACACCTGTCAGCGGCCACTTCTACTACCCTCAGGCTTTCCGAGGACGAGACGAATGTAATGACGTCCAAGGGGGGGTTCGAGCATGGGTCACTACATTGTAACGTTGGAGGAGCTCACCAAGCCCCGATCTCCTAGTGCGTGTGGGAAGCATGTCGTTTTTCCAGGGTTGGGTCATCCGAAACCCCCGCCAAGATTAAGCCCTTGTCAGAGCCACAATTGAAGATCGCGGGTAGACGTAAAAATTGGGCTGTCCGAAACAAAATCAGGTCAGATTCCGCTTGCAGGCCTGGTCAGTAGGGCAAAGCAGAGCAACAGGAGAATGCTTTAGGATGCTTCCGAAGTTTCAAAGGCAAGCCAGGGGATGTCGTCGCGTTAATAAGTAGTGACTAGAGGTCAGGTTAAAGACTTTGGAGGTGACAAAGGCAGAGTTTGAATTAAGCATTAAGGTTATTTTGTTGGTGACCTTATCTGAGGCCCGCCCGCCCCTGGACGGAATCCCAGCCGCCGGTCGGCTTCGAGGTGACCCGGGCCCCTTGCCAGGACCAAGCAGGGGTCGAGTCCACGAAATACGGTTCTGGCGCGGCCTCACGGTATCATTGACATGTGGAAATCAGTGAATACGACGGCGTTGGCGTTCCCCTCATACAGCTGCCATTCTATCATAAAAACCTGACGAGCCCCTTTGCCGTCTTTCGAAACTGGGCCACTCCTGCGCCTCAGATGCACGAGTCGGACGCACCGAAACGTGGAGAAAGCTGTCGAGACGCTTAGTTCGATCGAGACAATGGACCGCTTATTTCAGCGAGGCGGCAACCGAGCATGTTTGCGGAGCTCATTGGCACGAATCTACGTGATGAGCCTATTCTGGTTGTGTGTCAGCTTTTTACGTTTGACTTGAGCAGCGGCTCGAGATTTTTATTAGATACTGCCCTTCGTGTACTACATCCGATGACGTCGCAAAGTGTTTTTCATCACCAACGGCCTTCACTATGATGAATGTATCAGTGAATTTAATTTGCAATTGAGGAATTTGGTGATCTTGATGCGTCCGCCAAAACAAGTCCCCAACAAAAGATTTGCGTAATACATTTCTGCAACATAGAATAGACTCTAAGAAATTCTCAACCCTGTAGCTACTTGTAGCCATGAGTTTGGCAATGTTTTGGCGTTCTCCGGGTATAGAGATCGAACATACGCTTCTTCAGAGGCTGCACAAGCCTTCAGCTGGTGTAGAGGTTGGTCATGCCTTTGGCGATTTGTTTCTTCTCGGCAGCGTCGAAGACGCCGGCGTTGCAGTTGAAAACCCACTTGGGCATTTTGAACTCGTATTGTTGGATTTTTAATGATGTAGATTCTTTGAGGCGTTGTATACAATAGACTCGAAGTTGCTATTGTTCTCAAGTCTTTGAGTTATGGATATAGTCTGCTTGCAGTGTAGACTCCAGGCGCGCCGACCGGCGCGGGATCTGTGCGATGCCATAATAACTAAGCCGAGATATAGCAGCAACCACCGCTTCCGAGCCAGGTTTGATCAGGGAAAGGGTTTTTGGAACGTCGCGCCAATGATTTTATAATTTATAACGATATTAAAAAAAAAACGTACATACTTTCGCAAATCGGCTTCCGTAAAACATACCTCGCATTCAAGTGTCAATGTGCCGCCTGTCGTCCATAAAGCCGAACCGCAGCCACGCACGCTGAACTTCGCGAATGTGATTTTGCTGCATCGCAAATTGTGGTTGAAAACAGCTTCAAAGGGTTTACTGATATGACTTGCGAAAACATCATGAGTATTACAAATGTACTATTCTAGTACTTACGGCTCTGACATAGCCCAGACTTGTGTTACGGACAAGTACGTGAATCTTCGAGATGTCTAAATCCGCCTCTCCTGCTCTAGTGCCTGAGGTCTAGGATAGCTAAAAGACATATTTCAATTGAAATCCATGAAATTGGCAAATTTTGGTCTACCGGCAACTTACTGCCGCACGCATTTCGTCGAGCTTTCGCCAGAAAACATTTACACCGGTGGCAAGACGCCCAAAGTTCTGATGACCGTCTCCATTTACCATATCGCGCGAGACTTCGATGCCCCACAGGTCGAGGTCTTCTTCTTGAAGGCTCTAGATGATAAACTGAGGCCCATATTGAACCCCAGGGGGATCAAGTGGGAGTCTGGGATATATGAGGCGAGACGAGAGTTGTGGAGGGTCAACAGGCTTGTAACCACCGAGACTGGATAGGAAATCGAGAAGAAGTGGGCTGAGATGAATCGAATCATAGGCGAGGAAAACTTCTGGGAGGTTCAACGATTTCTAGACTACCTTATGATTCACGTTACTAGCAATTGACTATGTATCTTTTCTGTGCCTGAAGTATGCAGTCCAAGAAGTAATATTTAGAGAACATGTAGCAGCCACGTCCCTCATTTCCAATTACTTGGCCTAACATGTTTGAAGCATGACCAATTGCGGGTTGGGCCTCGCAATTCTCTGGATATTAAAATGATGAATAAGGGAAATGAGATATTAGTACAGAACGATTTCAAAAACTTCGAGTCATTCATGTGCGGCGGTGGCCTGGAAAGAATCGCAAGTCAGTCACAAGTACTCCTTCAAAACTGAGTTTCACCCCTGTCATTCTAAGTACGGGAAACTATTTATCCTTTTGTTAATGCAATATCTATATCTACTCAATAACCAAAGCTTTCATACATGTACACATTATCATTAGTAAATAACCTCTCTTCCTTTCCAAAGAAAGCCTGCAGTCTGGTCACTAAGCTGTGGTTGTAGGGTTGAATTAAGGGGGCGAAGCAGGCGAAGCTCCACCACCTCGTTCAAGTATAATGGAGAAAACGATGGAGGTTATTTGGAAGAATCTCAGTCGTGGCAATAGAGAAAAGGGTGAACTCGTTATGATTGGTGTTGCGGTCGAAGTACTGAGGAGGTGCCAACCGAGTATGAAAAGAGATGTGAAGGACGGGGAAGTCGGCGAAGAGACTTCAGTTAGCGAGGAGCCTGGCAAAACAATACAAAAATGGATAGTGAAGTAGGCGAGGAAGTGGAAGAGAAGCTAGATGTCGTCGTGGAATGGGAGCTTGACAGAGAGGTCGTAGAGGAGCTTAGTGGTGAGGCAGACGGGCAGACGAATAGAGATCTTGAAGGACTCGAACTAACCAAGCTGGAGGTCACCGATGATGGTAATAGAGGTAGGATGCCTGTCAACGTCGTTGATGGCAGGGTGATTATCGTTGTGGGGCTGAATGGTAGCAATGAGGCTAGGCTTACTGGTATGCTGGTGGTGCTGGTGCTCGGACTAGGTTCTGGGGTGAAGGTGGTCGAAGCAGTCCTGGAGATGTTTGAAAGAGTGCTGGAGGTTGTTGAGGAGATGGGTGAACTTGTTGAACTACTGGGTGAGATTGTAGAAATCGGGCCACTCGTGCTGCTGCTAGATGACTGAGAGCTTGTGAATGAAGAAGACAAGGTTGGTAAGACCGTAGAGCTAGAGCTGCTGGGGCTGCTGGAGCTGCTTGTAGTGCGTGAACTCGTTGTCATGCTTGACGACGACGAAGAGTACAAGGAGGAAGAAGTTGATGTTGGACTGCTCGAACTGCTGCTGCTCGTTCCCGAAGAGGTCTGAGATGAGCTGCTGGATGAAGTTGACGAGCTTGAAGTGCTGGGAGATATCTAAGAGCTACTCGAGATTGAACTCAATGAAGGTGTAGAAGTCGTCGAGCTTGACTGGGTACTCGATTCCGAAGTAGAGGAAGACGGCGTGCTTGCACATGTCGAGGAAGATGATCTTGTACTTGTCGCAGTTGATGGAGAAGGCATGGAAGAGAATGAAATGGTCGCAGGAGACGAGATTGAGGAGCTTGTGGACGATCTGACAAGGTGTTTGTTTGGGCCGTGGCATCCTAGACGGCATCGCATGGAATTGAGGTCGGCTCAACCCCTTCGGATCATCATCTAATTGAACTCAGTCCTCGGGTTCGGTTCTGTTCTTGGGATGGCACTACATAACATACGCATCCAGGACATCACCCGAGGTCGACGCCTCTCGCGCCGCACTACAATCTGGCGATCGAGGCAAAAGAAGAGGCACGGAGTGAAGGCACGAGTGAATGATCACTCTTCAGATAGATAAGTGTGTGGGAAAGGGCTGATAGTGAACACTTGAGATCTGAATTCTAATCCATGTCCCAGTTCGTGTCTCGATCACCCCGGACCCTAGACCCTGGGCAGTCTGGTCAAGGATAAGCACCTCTTTGGACCGATCTGGCAAGGAAGCAGGGAACCTGCATTCTACAAAGTTCAGCCCCAGATGATTCCCTCATTCTCTGCGATGCCTGCCGTAACATTGATCAAGACTCGCAATTATAGCAGGTCCCTGGGACACTTTACTCTCCTGCTTGATACTGTGAGCTAAATATCAATGAACTGCATCACATGCTCCTGGGTAGCCTCTGCTCCCATGTTGATGCTTGGCAAGACTGGATGCATCAAACTAGGTAGCAGGGACGGTGTGACGTGAACCGTGTAGCATGCGCGCATTCCCGCGCTTAATTCCACGTGAGCCATGCCAAGCAACCCTCCACGCCACCATTCCCTTTGATTCTCTCCCTAAGTGCCGTGCAGTCCGGACCTGTCACGTTAGGGACGCCCTTGGGTGGCAATCCAAACCATAGAGTTCTCAGGTCCAGTTAGCTAACCCCTTATGCAACGGTGAGTGGCTAATCGATGCGAGAGGCAGAGCCGCGAAGATTCGATACAACTGCCCCGAGGAGAAACAGTCATTCGATTGCCAGGAGGATCCGGTAACTTTATTAGTGCAACTATTCCATATCCTCAACTAGACAGGGCCAAGCAGGCATCAACGGCCTGTCCAACTCTTCCCTGTTTCTGGTGTACCACGTCCGAAATGATCTCCCTGTCTAGATCGGGGAACATCCCTGCAAGGGTCTCGACAACGTTGTTGTGCTCTACCCTGCTCAGACGTTGAGCTTCAGCAACTTCAGCGCTTGCCTGCCTTGCTGCAGCTTCTTCCGCCGATAGATGGTGACGAGACGATGGCTGCTGTCCATCGGGTGATATTTCGGTGCTTGGTCTAGGCGAGAGTCGCTCGGAGGAGTCTCGTGGCCTCGATGTGTTGCTGGGCACAAGTGGTGCAGGAGAGGGCTCGTCTGAGAACATGCGGCCGATTGAGCTCAGAGGCTTCTGAATGGAGCGGAGAAGTCCGGTGATGGGAGCTTGATCGTCTGGATCTTTTCCGCCCTCATTCGATGAAGTCGACCGACGTGGTGTGGATGACTCTCCCATGATGTCTAGGGAAGGCCTTGTCGAAGATTCCCCGGTCTGGTACCCAGTGGATGACTTTTCCGAAAAGACCGGTTCTTGCGCAACTGCGGGGGAGTCAAGGCGGTGTTTTTCGGCAATCGCAGACACGGCTGCTTCGACGTTTTTCTCGAACTCTTCATCCGTAATAGTCAGGGTCGTCCGATCCATGTTCTCGATAAACTGAATGGCGCCCATCTATGGCATGTCAGCTTTCTGCAGCGTTATTACGGCGTCAATGGTACTTACCAACGAGGAAAGGTAGTATCCGGCCTCGCCGCCCAGCTTCTCCTGGTTTCGGAACCGCAATATGTACTGTACGTTTGACACCAAGTGTTCTGGGTTGGCTTGGAGGACCACGTAAATTAGGAGGGGCATAAAAGAGTCGGCTGAGGAGTCCGACTTTGAGTGCTTGAGCAGGCCTGCCATTGGTGAGTCATCAAAGTCTCGACGTGGAGGAAGAACTATGGCTTACCGAAGATTACTTTGCAGCAGTTTAGTACGCAAATGATCTTGTCCCGCGGCGCTCGGTAGGACTTGATCTTAAGAATTTCTACGTATAGTCAGCGACGAGCTGTACCGGCTAGGATTCGGCTAGAAAATAACATACCTTGCTGGGCGAGCTTCAGGAATCGTTTGCCACTATCACCAGTCGGTGGTATGTCAAGATGCTCCTCTCGAAGCCAAGCATAAATGTTGATCTTCTGTGTCAAGATATCGTCTCGTTCCACGTCCTCTTGATGCTGGCCACGCCTGCCAGGCCCCATCGGTCGCTCTCCGCCACGTCTTTTTGGCTTTGCTCCGGGGATAGGTTGTGGGGGAGGGATCGCTGGCGAAAATGTTTGCGTATAGAGCCTGTTCATGACAAGCTTCTCCATGCCCTCGCGAGCGTTGTCGAACTCTGCGTCGGAGACATCTCGCCACACCTCGCACTGCGCCATCTTGTTGGCGATGAAGGCGAGGAAGTCGCTAATGATTTTGACTTGCTCGTGCACCATCCACTGCCGCTTGCCAAACTCTGACAAAAACGACTTGAGGTATCTAGCGACTGGGTCCGCTTTCTTGTTTCGTAGTTGCTCTAAAAATCGATGGAAGTCGAATGGAAGCGCTGGCTCTGGTTCGGGTTCAGGGGGTGGCGGCCGATGTATGGGTATGCCAGGAGACAGCTGGGAGTCGATGCTCATTTGCCGATCATCTTGAGACCGCGCAGGTGTCGCGGGTGGTCCGTCTTTTGGGGGCACTGGCGGCCCTTGATCGTCAGGTGCTCTTTCTCTGGAGAGCATACTGGCTGGAGAAGCCGAGTGTATTCTGAGACCTTGAAGTTCCTGCACTTGGTGGGATAGTGAAGGGACCAGTGGCTCGAGGCTGGACTTCCGGGGTGGATGCTGTATGCCAGGGCTACCTAGCATGGGCGAAGCAATTTCCAGCCTTGGGCTCATGACTTCTTCGGCTCCGGGGCCCCCACCGTCGCCGGTGAACTGCTCCATAATGCTCTGAATTTCGGAGCGCGACCCATTCTCTTGCTCATCTTCGCTTGCATATCTGCGCTCGTCATAGCCAGCATCAGATCTTGTAGGGGAACCGGAGGAGGGGCGGCGTTTGGCGTTTGAGGGGGTTCGAGAGGGAGGCTGAGATGTCCTCGGAGTTGGAGGTGTAGGGTCGACGTATGTCGTGGACTCGATGGTGAGATACTGCGTGGCAGTCTCGGCAGGAAGAGGGCTCGTGGGCTTCAAGGTAGCTGTCGATGAAGTCATCGGTTCCGGGATGCTCACTGGAGAGGGTTTGGATGCAGTCTTGGGTGAATTTTGAAAAGGTTCATCATTCTCTTTGGTGCCCTCTTTCGCACTGGTTGATGTGACCGGGGCGTCGTCGCCAAAGTCGATCAAATCTTCCGTCGCTTGTTGTTTGCCTGCCGCTTTCGCTGAGAGCACGGGCTGGCTGTCTTCGACATGGTTGTCAAGCTTGGGCAGCTTCGTTTCAGCCTTCGACCCCGCGGTCTCGGCGCTCGTCACCGTGGCGGCGGCGGTGTCATTCTGGGGGGCACCAGATAGGCCGGAAAAGTGATCTGTGGGATCTGTAGAAGACATACACCACAGATCTTCAAGAATGTCTTGGGTCGTTGTTCGTGAGCTCAAGTCAAGCCGAGCAGCGGGTATTGGCTTTGGGTTGTGAGAGGCGAGGCTCGAGCTCAGCTAAAAGCGGAGGAGAAACAGTCGCTAACATGCAGATGCTGTGGTCGGATAGGGCGAGCTGCGAAGGCCGGGGTTCGGTGTGGAACGGGAGGTGAGATCGAGGATCCGCAGATCAAAGGCCCTGGTTGCAGTTGGGAGACGTGCGGAGGTTATCGGTGGGAGTTGTGGTGGTGAGCTATCACGGGAATGGGATCAGCAATTCAGTGTAGTGTAGCAGCGGGTTGGCCGTGTTACGGCGGACAGAAGGCTGAGAATGTTGGTGTGCAACGGCAGAGATCCCCACAATTCGTGGGGTGTGGCGGGCCTGGAACTGCCCGTTGCAATGATTGACTGACGGGAGGGAAATTTAACCAGAGTTTTGCCGGAGGCAGGATCCAGGGTCCTCAGGTGCAGAAGGAGAGACCGACGTCACTCCTCACTCGGCACTCGGGTCCTTCTGTTCCCGTCTCTTGTTTGGTAAGGATCGCGGCGGAAAAGATAAACCGCTCCGACAGACTCACGTGATAAGCTAATCATGGGCTCCTTCCTGACGCCGGAGCCGAAAGTCTGGCCTTCCGGTGAAAACCGGGTCCGGTCGACTACACTCCCCGTTCCTGGGTGGTTCTTCCGTCCCGGCGCACGGAGCCTCTCTTAGCACCGTTAGTTTCTGTCTCATCTTCCCCTGACATTGACAGGGTATCAACATTTGACCCTGGCCTCGACCTCGGCTCATGGAGACACATCGCCGTTGTCGACCCATTGATGACCCATTGATGCATCAAAAGAGCTGAAGCACCTATGGTCCCAGGAGAATTTCTGCTCTCCGCGCCCATTTATGACAAGAATCAATCAATCAACCGGACTATCGGATCGGCGCAAGGGAGTATGTCTCGAAACCTCTCGCAGGTCTTTCTTATTCGGGGTGCTTTGACGGTTGGATTTCACTTTTTTTTTTTTTCATTTGTTTAATCTACATTCCGCTGCGACTGAGCCGTTGACCCACGGTGGAGTAGGACTTTTGACATCTGGTTGCTTCTGCTCACCGTCCGGTCGGAATCCCTTCAATGAACGTAGCCTCTCCATTTTTTTTTTACTTCTTCTGCCACCTCGGGGTCTAGAACATTGCGCTTCCCGCGTTCGGATCCCGATGTCTGACATTACGCTCGGTCCTTAGACAAGTGTCTGGCGGCGAAAGTCTCCAAAAGAGGTCGTGAGATGTCCTCACCAAGTCGGCCGCTGCCCACCACACCAGACGTCAGACGGGACGGGGAGCTTGAAGTCTTACCTGTCAGGACGCAGGGCTGGTAGTCGGCGCCATGAACTCGGACTGGCCACAACCCTCGTGCCCATCCTTGTTCAGGAGTCTCCTTTGTGTTCAGTTTTCAGTTTCGATCCGGTCATCTCAAGTTTCAGGTTGGAACTTCTAGAACGTATCCCGTTCCTCCCAACTTGGCGGTCCACCACGGACGCCGTCAAGTTCGCAAGCTACACTTTTATCGACAAGCGCCATTCCTGTTGCAGGGAACCTCGTCCTTGATGGGCCACCCTTCCATCTCTGGATATTGGTATGTGGCAGACTCGCTGTGCGGGAGGGTCACTGACAGCTAGCTGATCTGAAACCTGGATGTAGTCTGAGTCTAGCGTTAAGCGTCAGTGAAGGGCAGTTTCTTTTACTTTTCTAGCTTCCTCTGGGCATCCGGGGTGGAGAAGCTGTGCGCTTGCCTGTGTGTACCTTTGGGCGGCAGCAACCACAAAGATACATCACATCTCATTGACGCTTTCCTTCCGTTGGAGCCGATGAACATGGACCTTTGGCTGTTCGGTGGGCTGAATACGAGGCCACCCAAGGCCATCGCCTGCACGAGGCCCGAAGGATAGTGTTCTACGGCAAAATCCCCTGATCCCCTAGCCTTGTCGATCCCGTGTCGTTCTTTCAACAATATCTTCGAAACGGCGGTCCTCTTCCCAAAATGAACAAGGCATGAGGGGCTCTCGACCTTATCGGATTTAGGCTACCGAAGAGAAATCAAGCAGCCATGCCTCGGTCCACTCGATCCTCCTCCCGCCCATGGATTTCCGATAAACGACATCAACCAGGCTACATGCTAGATGTGCCAGTGCCAGGAGAATCCGGCGGTATGGTGTTCTGGAGTGGTCTTTCCGATAGCTTGGCTGCCGCCATCCTGGAGACCTGCGACCGTGCTCCTCCGGGAAGGGAGTAGTGTTTCCCAAAGCGGACAGACTTGCGATCTGGACAGTCCACATGCACCTGCGCCTCAGGAGATTCCATCGACCCCAGATGCATCTTACACACCAAGGGACACCTTTTGGGAGTGTCTCTTGCTTACTCGAGGTGATTCGAGAGATGCGACTGGCCGGGAGGTTTGGAGCTATGGGACGAAGGTGACTTGATGCGGAAACTTCAACAACGGCAGGGGAAACTTTGCACCAATCCTCATCTCAACACCAACCCAACGGTACGGCTTGACGTGCAGGAACTCTCTGTATAAAGGTTGCAGCCACACCCTCTGACGTTATTCATCCCATCATCATTATCAGCACTTCTCATTTTAAACGCAGCAATCAGCTCGCCATTTTCCAAGCCCCGGAGGCAGTCATTCTCTCTCGCGACGCTGTATTTCAGTCTGCTCTGTGAGCTTTTTGTCTTCGACCTTCAAACCTCTCCACATCACCACGATGAAGTTCTCCAACGTTCTCGCCCTTGTGTCCGCCGCGGCTGCGTTCCCTACGCTCTCCGAGCCTGTCCTTGACGAGGCCGACATTCGTAATATCGAGGCTCGCGATCTAGAAGCTCGCCAGCTCGGCCGCGTCGGTTCCGTTGCCAAAGAATTCTCTCAAGGTGGTTGCAAGGACGTCATCATGGTGTTCGCTCGTGGATCTACCGAGATCGGCAACATGGGAACCATCTGCGGTCCGCAGACCGCCAACAATGTCAAGGGCAACTTTCAGAGTGTGGCTGTTGAGGGAGTCGACTACGCGGCTGGTCTCGCTACCAACTTTCTGCCGGGCGGCGCCGACCCCGCCGGTGTCGCGGAGATGAAGAATATTATTGGCCAAGTCAACAGCCAATGCCCCAACTCCATGATGGTCGTGGGCGGTTACAGTCAAGGCGCCGCCGTCACTCATCGCGCAGTTGAGGACTTGCCCCAGGAACAAAAGGACCAGATTGTCGCAGCCTTCATGTTCGGCGACACCCAGAACACTCAGGACAAGGCCCAGATTCCCGACTTCCCCAAGTCCAAGACCAAGATCATCTGCGCCCCGGGAGATGCCGTCTGCAAAGGAACCCTCACCATCCTGCCGGCCCATCTTTCCTACGGCAGCCAAGCGGGCAAAATGGCTGACTTCATTACGCAGAAGCTCACCGCTGCTGGCGCTCAGAGGCGCAAGTAGACGAATATCACGATTGCATGTTGATGAGGCGGAACGAGGGGCATTTCATGAGCATCCATGTACGCTTGAGTTTGCATGCATTGAGCGGCGACCTTTTTTCTTCTTGTTTGTACTTCTCTCAACAGGCATTAGAGATATCCTTGTCTACACTTCAACAAGTGCTTAGGGAAAGGAACTCTCTGTGTCTGAAACAGTATATTGTTACTATGGCTCCTGGGTTGCTAATCTGGCGACGGAACACGCGGTGAGAGCTTGACATTTTTCTAGAAAGTTATGGTAGATCCTAGAAAGTTATGGGAGATGGGCAGCTAAGACACGCCCCAAACACTCGTTGATCGGTATGCGACAAGCAGAAGATTCTCCAAACCTTGTGCTCCATTATGAAAAACCATGTGATGCCTGTGACAGTTGAGGATTGACGGTCCCAGCTTTTCGGGACTTTATGAAGACGGGGATATGCTGGCAAGGTACCAGAGGCGGCTGGGGCCGAAGGTATGTTTCGCTTACATAAGTCCTCTCTCGATTAGCACCGTATCAGAGGCGCTGACTGGCTGCCCACAACCAGTCGCATTGGGCACAAAAATAGCCTTGCCCACTGTAAGCGATAGCTCCTTGCATTCCCCGTTACTTCTTCCTCCACGATGTACAAACTTCAATTGTCCCATCTCCCCGATGTCTCGTTTGTTTCCTCACCACCGGATCGCATACCAGGGCAAGTCAGATGGGACGATGGTATCATTCCATCGGCAATGCAAGAAACTCTCACCTGGAAATGATAAACACATGCCGATGGCGGCGGCGATTGGACCCCCCCGAGGCCGCCGTTCCTTTTCAAGGCGGCCATGAGGGTGCGCGATACTCCACCAATGTGCGACGTCTCGACATGGGATCTTGCCTGTTCAGCTTTCGCCCGAATTTCTGCTCTCGTATGACGCTCGCCGCCGTCGGGAAAAAGCTAAAGCGTCTGGTACTTTCAAGGCTGGGCGGCTGAAGACACCAGATGGCATCCGTGCTGCCTTTGTACCTCGGACGCCTTGTTTTCTCCGGCCGCGCAGAGCTCGATGGTGTCGGATCCGTGGGTCAAGAAGGACGGGGAAACATGATTGTCGCCAATACGCGGAGCCGCCTGGCAGATTTATTCCATGTGCCGATGCGCAGATCTACCTAAACAAGACGTCGAGATGGAACAAGGCCAAACGCTTCGGGTCCGGTTGGCCGGATCGCGGCTAGCGACGCTTCTAGCAGTGTGTCCGAAGCCAAGCAAAATGTTGGACGCAGTTCATCCCTGGCGTCAGCACGTTCCTTTCTTGGCGCTGTCGCGCGGTCGGCAGCCAACGTTGAGCTTTCGCTCAGCACCACATGAATTGCACGTGGGACAAGACTTCACCGGCAGCTGGGAGACGATGGCGTCGAGCTTCTTTTCAACTTTGGGAAAACCCTGAGTCGATTTCGATCAACCGTGAACGGTCTGGCTCCCCCTCGAGCCCATCGATCAAGTCCGCGAAGATACACATGCACTAACACCGATGCCCGCCACAAATGTCCATCAATGACCAGCGAGAACCCCCGGCCACTGTGCCCACCACGTGGGGAGATCAACGCGGGATAATGGTACCAACGTGGAATCCGTCCGCTAGTTTCTGCCCTGGGGAATCATCACTGATTGATATCTTTAGCAACAGATTACGCCTGCTGCCTCTAATTTCGCCAATTTTCCTTGGCAGCCCACCTTCGCGTGGGATGCAGGCCATTGATGACGAACTCGGTGTCCGCTGTTTCTTCTCCATCGCCACTCCCCATGGCTTTTTCTCTCCTGTCATCGAAACTGGCTGGGGAAACTGGAGAATGGCATTGCGCATAGTCGAACCCTCTTCTCTGCACGCCCGGCCTCATTGAAGAATTGAATGACCCCCAGTGCTGGGCTCGAGTCTGCTGCAGCCTTACGACTTCTGCTGGATCCGAACCGATGCGACTGCTCGATTTTCGCACGTAAATGATGCATCACGCAAGACGCGACTCTTGCAATAGTCACTTGCTCAATTCATGCCGCCGCTACGATGAACGAGAAACCGACCACCGAATCGCTATCTGCGGGCGATTCGCCGTCGCCTGGCCCCGATGAAGCCGCCGGCAAAGCGCGGTGGCTGGACGCCAATTCGAGGCGCGATGCTCTAATGTGGTGCAAGGGTGTATTCCACGCGGTCGTCCTGGGCCGAAAAACACTGCAGCCTTCGAAGAATGGCCGCATTATCCCACTGCAGCTGGACCAAGATGCGCCCCTGGCCGACGAACGACGGGGCGGCCATCCCTTCGTTTCCAACACCATCCGAACTTCCCGATATACCATTTATGACTTCATCCCAAAACAACTGCTCTTCCAGTTTTCCCGAATCGGCAATTTCTACTTTCTCTGTGTCGGCATACCCCAAACCGTGCCCGGACTCTCGACTACGGGAAATTTTACCACAATTTTGCCGCTGCTCTTTTTCGTTCTAGTCACTGTCGCAAAAGAGGGATACGACGACTTCAAGCGCCACCGGCTCGACAAGGTGGAGAATGCGGAAACAGCGCGCGTGCTCAAGCACTCGAAACATCGCAAGACTAGCCCGCAGACCTGGCAGTCCAAGCTTCGAAGCGCCCTCTCGCGGAACCACCAAGGACCGGACACTGGCCAAGAAGCAGCAGATGATGGACCCTGGATAACAACGAGGTGGTGTGATATCGAGATTGGCGACCTCATCAACTTACGGAGAGACAATCCGGTCCCTGCGGATATTGTGCTTCTCCATGCCGACGGCGAGAATGGCCTTGCTTACATCGAGACAATGGCTCTCGATGGTGAGACGAACCTCAAGAGTAAGCAAGTCTCGGCTGCTTTGGAGGGTTGTGATACTGTCGAGAAGATCCTGGCCTGCGATGCCGAGTTTGTGGTCGAGGACCCGAACCCTGATCTTTACAAATTCGATGGTAGAGTGACTGTCAACGGAAAGTCGCTGCCGCTGACGTCCGCCGAGGTCATCTACCGAGGGAGCATATTGAGAAATACGAGTTCTGCGATTGGTATCGTCGTCAACACTGGGGAGGAGTGCAAGATCCGCATGAATGCTAATCAGCACCCCAAGGCAAAGAAGCCCGCGTTAGAGACAGTGGCCAACAAGATTGTTGTTACACTCGCGCTCTATGTCGTTATCCTTTCCGTCGGCTGCTCTATGGGATACGTAATGTGGCAGCGGTCGCAGGAGCGAAGAACATGGTACCTTAAGGATGCCGAAGTCAAGTTCTACGAAATCATCATTGGTTTCATCATCCAGTTCAACAATGTCATTCCGCTGGCATTGTACGTCACTCTAGAGATCATCAAAGTTGGACAGCTACTCATGCTCAATTCCGATGTCGAGATGTACCATGCCGAGACAGACACTCCAGCTCGATGTAACACAAACACCATCCTCGAGAACTTGGGCCAGGTCGGCTACATCTTCACCGACAAAACGGGAACGCTGACGGAGAATGAGATGAAGTTCCGCAAACTAAGTATTGCTGGCACGGCTTGGCTCCATCAGCCGGATGTCGAAATTGCAGATGGAGACAGCGAAAATAATAGCTCTGTAGATACCCTGTCAGAAGCCAAGGGAATTCCACGGATATCAACCCAGCATATTCGAACCGACGCCATCGTCGACGACTACGTCCAATCTCCAACAACTCTCGGTAGGCCATCGATGGCTCGTTCACGGGCACCGTCTATCCGAAGATCCTCTTCCCAGTGGAGATCCACAGGCCGTCCGGACCATGTGCAACCCGACGTCACGACCACCGACCTTCTAGAGTTCATCGCTCTGAGGCCTCACTCTCTCTTCGCTAGAAGAGCCAGAGACTACATCCTTGCCATGGCCCTTTGCCATACTTGTCTCCCAGAAATCCGCCATGGCGAGGTGGAATACCAGTCTTCGTCTCCAGATGAGCTGGCCATGGTTCGGGCGGCACAGGAACTCGGCTACAGTGTCATTTCTCGGACATCATCAAACATCACCTTACGGCAGAGTTCCGACGCCGGCGATGCGGAGAAAGATATAACGTTCCAAATCTTGGATGTCATTGAGTTCAGCAGCCATCGGAAGAGAATGTCCATTGTCGTGCGATATCCCGATGGTCGTATTTGTATCATTTGCAAAGGTGCAGACTCGGTTATTATTCCAAGACTCAAGATGGCCAGCGTGGCTTTGCAAAAAGCCCAGGATGTGAGGAAAAGCGCAGAACTTGGACACGAGCTATTGCGAAAAAGTGAACAAAATGAGCCGAGAATCAGCATTGGGGGTCGGGCTAGCATGTCTTTGCGAAGAAGCATAGGCATCGCACGTAGTAACCCTGGCCCAAGTGTCCGGCCTCCTATGGATCGCAGCCAATCTCTCGAGACAAGTAAATTGCGTAAGTCGGGCGATCTATTGCGACCTTCAATCAGCATCCGTACGACATCATTCGAGTCGTCGTCAGGGTCTCCCACCCTTCCATATCACACCCCCGAGAAATTCGCCTTCCTCGACGACCCCGCCATTGCGGACGACTCGACCATCTTCACAAGATGTTTCAAGCATCTGGATGACTTTGCTACCGAAGGCTTGCGTACGCTACTTTTTGCCCAAAAGTTCATCTCTGAGCAGGACTACCTCGCCTGGAAGCAGACGTTCGACGCCGCGTCCACCAGCTTGACCGATCGCCAGGACAAGATCGAAGCTGCAGCAGAAACGATCGAGCAGTCCCTTAACCTCGTTGGTGCTTCGGCAATTGAAGACAAGCTTCAGCAAGGCGTTCCGGAAACCATCGACAAGCTGCGGAGGGCGAACATCAAGATCTGGATGTTAACAGGCGACAAACGCGAAACGGCCATCAACATTGCCCACTCGACTCGCATCTGCCAGCCAGTGTCCGACCTATACACCCTGGATGTTACTAAGGGAGACCTCGAGGGTCAACTCGTTGCACTCTCTGAAGACTTGCACTCTGGCTGTGTCCATAGTGTTGTTGTTATCGATGGCCAAACCCTCGCCACGATTGAAAAGTCTGATGACTTGACAGCTCAGTTCTACTCAGTGGTCCCCTTTGTAGACTCTGTCATTTGCTGTCGAGCTTCACCAGCGCAAAAGGCGCTCATGGTCACGACAGTCCGCTCTCAGCTCCGCAAGCAGAGAGGCCGCATGGGCCATGGCCTAACACTCGCCATCGGCGACGGCGCTAACGACTTGGCAATGATCTCTGCGAGTCACGTCGGCGTTGGCATCTCCGGGAAGGAGGGTCTGCAAGCTGCCCGAGTGGCTGACTACGCCATCGCGCAATTCAGATACCTCCAACGGCTACTACTCGTCCACGGGCGATGGAATTATGTTCGCACAGCCAAGTTTATCTTGTGTACTTTCTGGAAGGAGATGTTCTTCTACCTACCCACTGCCCTGTACCAGCGGTACAATGGGTATACAGGAACATCATTGTACGAATCGGCCAGTTTGACTGTCTTCAACACGCTCTTTACCAGCCTGTGCGTCATCTGTCCAGGAATCTGGGATCAGGACCTCAGCGCCGACACTCTGCTTGCCGTTCCCGAGCTGTATGTGTACGGCCAGCGAAACATGGGCCTGAACCTGGCAAAGTATGCTGGTTGGATGTTATCAGCGGCCATCCAAGGTGTATTGGCTTACTGGGGCGTCTGGGCGGGCTATGTCTGGTTCGCAAGCTCGAGCGATCAAGGCCTATACGCCGTCGGTAATCTTGCATTTACCCTTGGCGTTATCTGGATCAACTATAAGTGCTTGTAAGTTGACGGATCATACCTTGATGAAGATTGAGACTAACTGTATCCTAGCATTCTCGAGACGCACCACAAGTCAGGCATAGTATTGGGATGCTTTCTCCTCACCTTTTCCGGATGGTGGGCCTGGCAAGGGATCTTGTCATCAATCTACACCCGCACCCCGTCGATTTACGCGGTGCGAGACGGCTTCTCAAAGACGTTTGGTCGGGATTGGACTTGGTGGCTGACGTTAATTGTGATGATTACCCTCTTCATCCTCATGGAGACCATCTTCCGCACCTTGCAACGATCCCTCATCCTCGCGGGGATGTGGAGATGGCCTTGGGTTCGCAAAGAGGATGACGTTTGTGCGGACGAATGGCGTTTGGAGCTGTGGCAGGAGCTTGAGAAGGACCCTGCTGTTAGGGAGAGGCTGAGGAGGTTAGCGCGTGATGAGGATGAAGAAGAAGAGGTGGACGTGGATGCTTGCGAAGGCGGGGTTGAAGTTGATGGCGAGTCTGAGAGGGCGGCTTGAGTCATTGCTTTGCGAGAGATACCCATTCTGTTCTATCCGCAACTTGAATTGCTCAAATACCTTGGTCATTCCGCAATATACCACATGCCAATTTTTGTCCAGCGCAAGAAAAAGAAATCATGAAACCGAAGAAGAGACATATATCCCTACTATGTGCTATTTCTGGCCAGCGACTGGCCGCCCTGGAGCCCCCCATCCCGGCAATCTCCTCCAGTGGAACTCCGATAATTGAGCATTTGAGATTCCAGCTCTGTTTACCACCGCGTGTTGCCTTGTGGGAATCATGACCACGCTTCTGCTCCATAGCCAGCGTCCCTTGCCGCGGAATGGCCCTTTGGAATCGAGATCAACGTGCTGATACCGACTCTTTCTACTATCTCGAGGTGGGCCTTGGCCGGTGGGTGTGAACGCGACGGTCAGCCAACGGCAGTGGATTAGATTCAATAGGGGCATTTACCCGCTCGTCGACCTGGAGATGCATGATACTGCGAGTAAACGCCCATGGGGCTCCATGGCACTTTTTTCCCGCTAGGTTGGAGGTACGCCGAATTCTATTATCAAACGAGGTACAGAAGGAGCACGCACGGCCTTGAAGGTGATGTGGAGGATGGTCCATTTGTACAGCCATGCTGATGCCGGTGCTGCCGCCGAAACCGATTGCTCACACCGGATCCGAGTGCCCCACACGGAGCAGCACCGGCTCAGCTTCAGAAGTTGGCGGAGGACAGTGCACCGCTTTGGTGGATGCCACGGCCACAGCCAATCATTTACGACCAATTGCGACAAACCGGGACTGAACTAGTCCGATTCGCATCTGACAGGTGAAGTGTCTGGTTGGTCGGGCGCCGCCATTAGCATTAAACCTTGTCGTGTTTCTCCTGTGTTCGAATTGAAGACGCGAAGTTACAAGCTTGCTTCATACTTCTAAGAAGCACCTTCTACCGGTGTTCATTCCATTGTCCTGGGATTCCAGACGCCATGCTCAGCATCCTGGGGCTCGATAATGGCTTCGTGCCCTCAGCGGCACTGCTCGCTGCTATCCTTGTGATCCTGTACCTCGCCTATCTCATCAGATCTCCCGTGACAATGGACCCGAAAGAGCCGCCGCTGGTGCGACCGGCAGTACCCTTCGTCGGACACATTATTGGCCTCTTTCAACACTCGTGGGAGTATCTCGACATGGTCTAGTGAGTGTCCCGCCAATCTCCCTTGCATCACGATGCGCGTACCTCCCGTCACTAAACCACCACCGCCAGTGCAAAGTCGAAAGCTCCGATGTTCACTCTTCCCATGCTAGGAGGCAAGATGTACGTCATAACTGAACCAGAACTTGTACAAGCAGCACTCCGCAATCGCTCCCTCAGCTTTGACCCGTTCCTGAGGGACCTTATCAAAGGAATGGCTGGCGCCAGCGCGCAAACTATGAAGGCGTGGGATGACCCCGCCTTTTATGGTCCTTGGGTCAAGATCATCTACGGGGGGATGGCAGGGCAATCGCTACTCGGACTCAACGTCTCGGCCGTGGGAGGAATAGCAGCTGTATTGAATGAGATTGGCGACGACATGGAAATCGCAGACTTGTACAAGTGGACCCGAGAGGTGTTCACCCTGGCCAGCACGGATTCGCTGTACGGGAGCAAGAACCCGCTGCGTGCGGATAAGAAACTCATCGCGGCGTACTGGTGAGAGCACCTTCCAAGATGATCCTACCTGACGCGAGAGAAGTGGTCTGACTGCAGTAGGGACTATGAAACGGACGTCAACAAGCTCATGCTCGGCATCTTCCCATCTCTCGTCGCACCCCGCGGCTACCGCGGACAAGCCCTCATACAACAGGCCTTTACGTCCTTCTTCGACTCGCAGCTCCACGAGGGCGCCGACGTGCCCTCCCTCGTCAAATACCGCCGCAGGCTGAGCGCGAGCTTCGACATGCCTCCGTCGGAAGCCGCCAAGATCGAGTTGATGTTCCTCCACGGCGCCATCTCCAACACGTTTCCCGCCTTTTACTGGTTCTTCACGCGCGTCTTTAGCCAACCCAAGCTTCTTTTGCGACTTCGCGAAGAGGTGCAGTGCGTTATTGAGGAGAAGGCGACTGTCACTGTGGATGCGAAGGAGAAGAGAGTCTTTGTTCTGCACATTGAAAAGCTCGAGGAGAAGTGCCCGCTGCTCATGTCGTGTTTCCGGGAGACGCATCGGCTGTACGCTATGGGCGTCTTGGCGAGGAAGGTCATGGCTGATACGACGATCTCTGACGGGAAGATGAGCTACGTCGTGAAGAAGGATTGGCAGATTTCCGCGCCGCAAAGGATTCTGCAGACTAGCTTCGAGATTTGGGGGGATGATGCGTTGGATTTCATAGGGGATAGGTTCTTGAAGGTCGCTGAAGAGAGGGGGGAGGCAGTTGTCAATGTCGCCGTGAGAGGTTTCCTTGCCTTTGGCGGAGGAAAGCACATTTGGTAAGTTACTCCCACAATCATTTGGTTCGACGAGGGTGTCAATGGCTGACAATGGCGTAAAGTGCCGGCCGGTATCTCGCGAGCGGTGAGCTACTGGGATCCCTCGCACTCCTGGTCGCCGGCTTTGACGTCACCAATTTGGATGGCGATGCGCTCACTGTTCCCGAGGTCACGTCTGTGCCTGTGACTGGATCACTTGGCAAGCCGGTGCCTGGCAGCGACCTCGGTGGGCGGATGCGCAGGAGGACGGGGTGGGAAGATGTCCAATGGAAAGTGATTGCATGATTTGACGGCTGCCTATTATGAACGAAACACATGCTAGGTCTCTGCTCAGGTAAGAGTAGAGACTAGGAGGGCGTTACCTTTATCAATATCATCAACACAGATCGGAAGACTGAGAGGTCGTCTCGAGAAACTGAAGAAAACCATCTACGCCATCGAATCCAGTGTAGACAGCAACAACAAGGCCAACGCAGCTCGGCTCGATGAGCTTAAGAGCGACATCAAGTAAAAAATTACTGCCTTGCATATATCGCGCAAGATTCGCGCAAATATTTGGAAGCACATAAGGCCCATTTGAATCATTTGATGTAAGAGTGCGCCTTCCTCCTTCTCTAGAACGGATGCTTTCTTCAATACTACGCTCAAAGTGATGCTGCATTGCGAAGCGGATGGTGTAGGCGAGGAAGAGGCCAAGCCTTGCTTGACATACTGAATGTGGTTGGGCACATACCCGTGCAACAATGACCAAAGGTGTGGGATTTTAAATTCTGTCCCGCATTTTTTATGATTTTTACTTGGTCATGCTATCACCAAAGCGTCAACAGATGCCTCACTTGGTGGTGGTGAGTTGCTTCTTGAACTCTATACAGTCGTTAGCGCTAAAGACTATGCAAAGTATTCATCGATCAATTATTTTGAGCCCAATGTCTACATGTCTCCCGAAGAGATCACGTTGCATGAACCGGTCCATGGGGATTGGCTTGCTGAGGTAAAAACAGAAAGAGGAAACGGTGACACCGATATCTGGTTCGACAACCTTTGCTTTCAAATGTATGAACACCATTGGTAACAGGTGATAGAAATCTGGGCATATACCTTTCCTCGTGACGAAGTTGTCCTCTGCAACGCGAAGTAGGTCGGTAATCTAAAGGGAGAACTGGTCTCGAAGAAAGCGTGGCCCCTTACTCAACTATATCCACCTACGTTAGGCAAGAGCAAGTTTGTGTGTCGAAATGCCTCAATGACCGGCCATCATCATAGGTGACGTATGAGCAAAGCGTATCGCCATATCTTTGACCAAGTGCCCTCAACTCCTGAGAAAGACGAGCGTTCGTGACTTGCTCATTCTCATTCACCCGCAAGACCAGCAGGGTCCATTCAAATACCAGTAACACGCAGCGTTTCAAAGCGTTCCTCGTTCCCAAAATTGGTGTTCCTCGTGTGCCAAGATTATTCGGAGGGCGGTCGTGAAAGGAAAGGGAAGTCACGGCTTGGCTCTTTGGCTAGAGCCGAAGAAGCCACCTCTTTGCACTGGCTACAGCTTGCAAGCTGAAGTCCTCCAGAGATCCCCCAATTCTGTGATATCGTCCTCATTTGCATTTTTGAATGCTTGGCGGATAGAAAATGACGATATCGTGATTGTGGACAAAGTCGGGCAACCGCTTCGGAGCAGATTCATTCCCAAGTTTCACTGAATGTCTTATCCTGGTAAATTCTCCGGAAGATAAATGACACTGGGCGTGGCATGTAGATTTCAACAGTGTCCATTAATCGCATGATGCGAAGCAGCAACTCATCTGGTGTTCGTATCATCAGACTCTTATGATATGACTACGGCGTAGATTGAGATCGAATGGGACCTCTTAGCTCAATGGTTGATGAGTATGAAAGTGTTTTGCGTTATGTCCCTTATAGCTATGGGATTGATGTCGTCATTGGAAGCTTCGGGCGGTGCATGAGCCTCATTCACAGCGATTTGACCTGAACATGCCATATCTGGTGATTCAGGATGAGAACTGGAGTCTTTGGCTAAACGGTCAGCAGGCTTCTTCTTTTTATTGCGGTTTCCAACACTGTCTTTGGCTGAGCGATAGAGTGTGATGAGCCCGGGGTTGGCGAAAGTCATCTTGGTGGTTAGACGTCAAGAATGGGTCATTACTGAGTCTTAGGGAGGTAAATTCAATTTGACAACTGAAGCCGATCTGCAAATGATTGGATCATGGAGAGGTCGCTGGCTCACATGAACAAATAGCATAGCTCCTGGGGAAAGGTAGACTTATTGTCTCATTACCCATACTGTCACTCTCAGGCCAACATGGTCCCGAAACCGCCACCAAATTTACACTGAGCTTATGCGTCGTGCTGTCGTTCCTGATTGCTTCTCATTCAGCGCGATCCTTGGTAGCAGCAACAGAGAAATAGATCTGTCGGAGGGTACTGAAGAGAGAGGCTTTTCTTCTCCCGATAGACTTGAATCAGATATTCGTGTAACCCCATAACAGGGTCAATGGAATCTTTTCCAATTCCGGTTGGAGCATTTACGGTATTTTGAAGCCACCACACTGCAAAGTTCCATTGGCTGCACCCTGCCATTGATGCCAACGGCTGCACATGACTTCAGCATCACAATAGTCTATCACGGTACTATATCAATGAGCAGAAACAGTTATTGTGCGAGACAATTCCAAGGCCAAGAATGGGATCGGTCATGCATGCGGATGCGGACTGAGATTCCAAGAGAGGAGAATCTTGACCCCCGCGTCTGTTTATAGATGCTGCTGTGAAGTTTACGTTGGACGCAAGTCCTAGTCCGCCATCTTTGTCGAGGTTGACACCACATCTTCTAGAACGCAATTAAAACATGCGGTGAAGAGAGGTCGCATAGTTGCCGTTGGGACCGGGGTGCCTCAGCGACTGCAGGTCAAAGGCAAACAATCAACTTGCGGCGCAGAGCCATGCGGCCAGGATGAAGCATCGGAGCTTCCCCCAAAGGGTATCGGAGAGGGGCCACCGAATGCAAAAAAAGGTAATTTGGAAGCAGGTTCAGTCTCCTGGCCATATATAACCGAGATTTGAGGTGGAGCGGAATGATCAGTCCGCTAGCGAGAGAGCTTGCGTTCTTGGTTATGTCTCTCCCTCCTCTGGAATGCAGCAAGTGCTTCTCGAAGGAATTTGATCGTCTCTCTAATGCGTTCAGCTGCGTGTCCACCGCCGTTGTGGCGCACCTGAACTCGCGGCCACAGTCTCGATTCGTCACGTCTTGGACTAACACGTAAAATTGAGACAAAATCAAGGACCTAGAAAGCTTTTTCTTAAAAAAAAAATAACAAAAAGAGAACTTTTACATTTGGTGGTGAGACCTGTGAAATCTAAACTTAGACATACGAAACCTATCTCTTCTCGATGTTCGCATCATTCCCATTCGCGACGGCAGCCTCAGCCTCTGACTTTCCAGCCGTAGAGGGCTCGGCCCTGCCGACGATCTCTGAGCTGCGGAAGAATACTATCACAATCGTAAGAGAAGTGATGCCGAGCGCAAAGTTCATCCAGTTGGCGGCCCGTAGCCCGTCCAACGACGGCTGGTCCCACTCCAACATCGGGCCCGCTTCCTCAACCGATACACCCCTGGCCTTTGCCATGATGGCTGTCTGGACGGCTGTGGAGATGGCCAGGCCGATAGACCGGCCAACTTGACCCACAGAGTTGACCAGCGCGCCGCCAAGAGCTTGATCCTCTTGGGGCAGGGCCTTTGAGACAAACAAGATCAGGGTAGGCCATGCCATATCCGCGCCGATGACTGACAGGATCATAGCAGGTAGTCCATAGGCGAAGTATGATGTGCTCGTAGGGATTGGTGCTGCGAAGAGCAAACACGCGATGGAGACTGAGACGTTGCCGCATACGAGGAGGATGTAAGTAGGCACACGTGAGATGAGGAGCGCAGCAGCCCAGGCCACCATGATCCCACCGATACCGGTAGGAAGAAAGTAGAGCGTTGTCGTGAGGATGGACCTAGCCTGGTAGTCCTGGTAAAAATAGGTTGCAAAGATGAGAAAGTTGTTGAATGAGGCGAAGAACATGGCCATGATGGCGAGCGCGGCGCAGAACTTGCCGCTGTGGAAGATGGAAGTCTTCATGAGGGGTAGGCGATCTGTCTTGAACTCGAGGTAACGCTGCCAGAACCAGAAGACGCCCATAATGATGAAAGAGACGACAATCAGGACCGAGATCCAAGGCGTTCTCCAGCCAACCACGTTGCCCTCGGTCAGAGCCAACATGAGAGCGAGAAGGCCGACGGTAATCAAACCACCACCGATCCAGTCGACGGATTTTCTTACGCTGGCACCCTTCTCTGGCAACATGGGTACGACTGGAGGGATGAAGAAGACGCCCGCGACTGCAACTAGGCCTGCGAGGATAGCCATGACGCCAAACACCCACTTCCAGTTGGCATACTCGGCGATGAAGCCAGAGAGAATGGTGCCAAAGGTGCTTCCTAGGGGCACACCAGCTCCGTAGGCGACGAAAGCATACGTCTTTGCCCTTCCGGGAGGGAATGTTGTTCCAAGGATTCCGATAGCTGTTGGTACGTTGGCGGCGGCGCCCAGACCTTGTAAGCCGCGGAAGACGTTGAAGGCGATCTCGTTAGGGATGAATGGGTTGGCAATGGTCATGACGGCGAGCCAGGCAGTTCCCGCAATGAAGATGATACGCTTGTCGTAGATGTCGGCGATACGGCCCCAGAGGAGGAGAAAGCACCCGAAGGTGAGAGAGTAGGCTGAGACAATCCATTGGAGACGTGACTCTGGGATGCCAATGTCTCGACCGATCGTGGGGAGAATGATGACCACGGCCTGTACTGATAGAGTCTGCATGTGGTTGTTAGAGAGGCCGGAAGATCTTATGTCCTTGATTACATACGTTCATGAAGCTTGCGCCGCTGACGGTGGTGACAAGAGCGATGCTACGGGCCTTGGACATGCCCTGCTTCTCTGGCCCGCTGCTAATGCTGCTGGACTCATCGTCGGTTTGGAAACCTTGACTAGACATGACTCCTGATGTTGGGACATCTTTCTCAGAGTCTGTCAAGTCCCCAATGTTGTGGGTGATAATGATCTCGACGTCCTTCTCCTCGCAGATTGGAATCGTCGCGTGAGGCGCGTACTTGTCGTCTTGTAAGCCGCTCATCTTGCCACTAGTCTCTCTTGAATGGGGGTGAGAAGACGAAGAAGGATGCGAGAGGGCTAGGTGTTTTGAAAGCTCAAAGAATGTTGTTCTGCTGGGTGAAGCTATCTGTTGAATATCGCGCGAGGGACTTCACCTTTTGTATACAAGATCATGATGTGGATGCATACCCCGGCCCCGGCAATGTTTGCTCACTTCCCTCCCAACGGAGAGAGCGCCCCTCCTCTACCGCCGAACAACCCCAGTCAGGACTGAGTTGCTGTGGGTTGCAGATGAAGCTGGCAGTGGAGATCACCAAGAAGATGTTGGATCCTTTTTTTTCTGTGATGTGCTCGACTAGGCTCGCCCTGGCCTAGACGGATGGAGCCCCGCGAGCCAGTGGGATGGGATTCGCGCACATCTCGAGACATGCGGAATCTCAACCCCGGAGGCGGACTAGACACAGGTGGTAGATGATTGCGAGCACCGCCCTTGTGGCCGTCCCCCCCCCCTGGCGCCCCCATGTCCGTCTTCCGGGAGAGGCTTCCGGGTAATGTTCCGGCGCGGCGGGTGAGACCTGGGAGACCACATCCTTGCGCGGCGAAAGGGGCCCGTGAGGAATGAGCATCACCCTTCCAGTCGGCAGAAAAAGAAGTTTGGCGCTGACCCGCGGCCATGGCCTAGCCTCGCCGTTGCTTTCTTTCGCAAGTCAAAGTGCTTCGCTCACGGGAGGATGTACGGAGCTCATGTCGGTAGATTTTGCTTGCCGCGACTTGCTCAGGAGGAGAACTGCAACGCTCGTCCGACTACGGAACAAGGCACTTGTTGATCTCTCGAGTCTTATCGCCGCCAGTTTGGTTGGAGAGGGAACATAGCAGACTGAGAGCGTCTGTTCAGATTTCTTTGTGGGTGGAAAAGGTTTTGCGCCGGAGAAAAAAACAAAAACAATAACCACAGCTGAGGCGCTGCGGTGTCTGAGATGTTCCCACTCGGTAGATCGAACGTAGGGAGAAGGTGAGTAAACAGAACTGACAAAGTTTTTCTTGGGACTCGGGAGGGGAGCATCAGCTTCACATTTGCACATTTTGCACACTAAATCGAGACATTGGCGCATCGGGGCTTCCTGAAAGTAACTCGAAGAACGGCGTGAGTCGAGTCCTCCACCACTCCTCGTGCTGATGAAGAAGGGAAGGGAGACGGCCTCATGCAGTTGGTCGTCATTTTGGCGCCGATAGGATAGGGCCTCGGAAATGTCACCCCCCCTTGTTGAGAAAAGAACCTACTCCAGCGAAAGTCGATGCAGCAGTCCAATCCCAGAAGGGTTACATTACAATAACCGGTGCATTCCCAGAGGTTTGGCTGACCCCCAAAGGAGGAATCCTCACATAACATGCAGAAGAAAAAGCAATTATCCAGGAGATCCGAGTGTCCCCCCCAACAAGCAAAGAAAACTTGCGAGCTCAGACAATGATGCCAGGATTCGCACACAATGAGGCGTTCATGGACGCGTGCGATGGGAGACTCGTGAGAGCTGAGCTCGTGGTATGGCGCGCGCGCCTTGCATTTTGCATCAGTCGCCATTTTCCATTTCTTTTTGCTCTCTCAGATCTGCTGCCCCTCAGCCCCTGTAAGCCCTACTCTCTGGATGAAGCTTCCAAGATCCGGCAGGATCCCTTTCTCGATCTACGGTCAGGTACCTCACCGAGGGATAAACTCTTCGCCCCTTGCCATGCATTCGGGTTTGATGTGTGTAACGGAATAGACGCTGGACTAAAAGACATCGGCCGATTGGAATGTATCAAAAGAAAGGAATCGCAGACTTGATGCGCCCTGCCGAAGTTTGAGGTCCTGTAAGTGCCCGCAAGTCCTTTGCGAGCGCGAAGAGACGGACCAACTGTTGTTGGTACATTACCGCTCAGACCACCACCGGCATCTATGATGAGTGTGACTGAGTGGTCATCAGCGACCGTGAATAATTTCTATCAGATGTGATCCAATCAAATGGTGCTTTCTTTTTGAAAGCTGCCCCCCGCATGATCTTGTGGGACCCTGGAAATGCTCGCCATCCCTGGCACAGAGATCGGGAATCTCTCGCTTCGACTTTGCGCAATCGATTCCCCATTCCGTGGTAGTGGTTCCTCTGTGAGACACATGAGTGATCGCTCATCAGGATTTTTCCCATCCTCCGATGAGATAACTTGAGCCCAAGGGAGGCGGCGTCAAGGGTCCCGGTAGTGCTAGGCGACGGGGAACAGCATTCCGTCTGAGACTTTGCTTCCCAACTCGTCTCCAATAGCTCGAATCAGGCACGAGAAAATCGTCCACAAAAATGATGCCCGATCTCGGTAGCCCTTTGTTGATCTCGTATTTTGACACAGCTTCCAAATTTTTAGGAAAGGGATGAACGTCTGTCTTATTCGATGACATACTGCCAAGGTTCCGATTCCACGGCTTTTTTTCTTTAACTCACTGACAGGCGGCTGCAGATTACTCGATTTGAAGTTCCCGGAAGCACATTTTGTATGTTTGATGCAAGGGGCCGGAGGGTGACGGGGAGCCGCAGCCGCCCTCCCGTCGTCCGGTAGAGACTCGGTCGCGGGACGGCAGCACCCGGGTAGATCGATACTCTGGACCAAAATAACATCATGGATCTCTTGTTTTTGCAGGCTGTCAGAATTGCGCTTCTTTCAACTGTCAGTAACCATCGTCACAAATCACACAAATGTGAGACATTACAAGGCTCCAAACCCTAAGAAGCGCACCAAATTTCATCATGATCTTGGAGAATGGTGGATAGAAACCAGTCCACCCTCTTCGTCACCCATTGAGTGCAAGAAGTTTGGATACTCGGGTGGCGTCCGCCTAAATAGGGCTCGCCCGAATCATGATCATGCCTACTACCTAGTAGCTATCAACAGTGCCGGACGAAATTCTTGAGATCAAGATCCAAACAAATTCGACTCCCTACAAAAGACGCCAGGAGAAGAGATTGCCAAGAATATGAAATTTCATTCTAGGAGTCATTTTTCTGTCTCCTAAAACACAATCCCGCCGTTGAGAGTTAAGATTCTTGCTGATGTCCCTCAAGTTTTCTTCGAGTGTTTTCGAGGGTTTTCGACTTTCGTTGCCTAAAAGCCTTTGATGATTCCACAATGACCACTACGAAACAACAAAGCCTACTACCTTGTTTTTGTCGCGAGCATTTCCAAGCCTGCCCAACGTTATGATTATATAGAATGCGCTACGAGACCAAGTCGTGCCTACGCCTTGGAGGATCTGGAAGATTCGAGGAGCCCGATGGGCTTGTCGAAGTGTACTCAAAGACGTTTGGAATCAACGAGAAAGGTACCAGTCTAGATCAAGGTCCTGTTAGTTCCTGCGTCTGTCTTCTTCTCTTGAAAAGACAACATATTGTCTATATGACAGCCCTGGGTTGCTCAAACTTGAAGAAGCTTTCATTCGTTCTTCGTTTCACGCTAAACAATTCCCAAAATTCAAAATTCTGAAAGATGGTCAACTCAACAAAATCCTGTACACATGCAGTGTTCTCAAAGTTATGGCAATCTTACTTATATCTGTGTCTCGATGCTTCAAGTCTACCTATCTCGGCTCAGCAGGCTTAACTTAACCTCGAGCATCTACCGTGATATCATCGTCAGTAAATCTGATGCCTCGAAGCCTTGTTTGACGAGATCAACGAGCTATTCGCCTGGGATGCGTCGATGAAGCTCCTGGTTAAAGGCTCGCCAGTAAAAAGTGACGTCTTCCTTCACCAATTCTCTGCTCAGCCAGCTTATTCTGTCGTCGTCAATCCATCCAGACCCCTCTGAAATTTGGCTAAGCATCCGAAGTCTCATCATCTTGCTAACCTTTGGATTTTCTTTTTATCAAACTTGATCTTGATTTGATGGTTCTTTGTCTTTCGAGAATTTCCATCTAATTCTGACGGTTCACATGACGGTTCACCTGATGCTGCCAGCTGCTTCCGTCTCAGAAGCATCATCAACTTTCAATCCGTTTCACATGGCAGGCAGTATTGAGCGAACAGCAGAAAACGAGGCGATTTCATTCTATTATGCCGTTGAATCTATCCTGCTTCCTTTTATTCTGAGGCAAAAATGTGGCCATGATCTAGACGCAGGCGATTAACCAGTCGATTTCTCCCCTATCCTCACAAATTTCACCTTATCCTGCTTCGCGTCACCCTTCCTGCATATTCTTGAGATTTAGCAATCTCCGCAGTCAGCGCCTTGAGGTTTCGAAATTCCCTCAAAGGTGAATTTCAAAGTTTTCTTTCCTCACCCACCCACCCAAGGTACGGCCTTGAGAATATATGGTACTGACTTCAGTGGCTTGCCTAGATCCAACGACTAGACAGCCCGACGGTAGTTTTTTACCGAATCTTCGAGAACTTCATTGTCGTCATCCTCAACAACCTCACGATCGCTGCTTCCAATTCTCCTGGACTAGGCACAGCAAAGCTATCCATCTACCATAGTCAGATAAGCACACTTCGGGCTATTTCTTGCGCCTTCTATCTCACAGGCAGTCCGCCTTCTCATCCCATTGCTAAGACAGGATCGATGTCCGGCCCTAGCCTTTCACTATACCTATTCTGCTTCTCTTCTGTTCTCTTCATCTATGACATGAACCTTCTGAATCTCTCACTGACACCTTCACCTACCTGAACTCACAGTTCCTCAAACAAAGCTAGCCCTTTCAACTCGGAATTCCCAAGCAGTCATTTTTCTAACAGTCACATGCATTAAGCACAGGCACCAGCTCTGAGTTACAGACGAACAACTCATACCGACATCAAGTTTACGAACTTCACCTCTTGGCGCCCAAGAGACTGTCGAGAGAGTCCCCTCCAAGGTACCTAGGTAGGCAGCCCTTTGCTTTGCATCCCCAGATCCAGTGGTCTCAGTCTTTTTGCTCTACCTCCCAAACCCGAAGCCACCCTTCGTTCCTCCCCAGGCACCCCGAGTACCTTCCAGCACATCATCACGTGCCTAACGACCTCCCGGCCGCCCAACGACCTTCACCTTCCTTCCTTTCTTCCCGCCTGCCTCCTGAACCCGCCGACCACCTCAAACCGCCCTCAAACCGCCCATCCACCCATCCAACAGTATAAAAATCCCCTCCATCCGACCACCGGACCAAATCTCCTCTTCCCTTCATCCAACCCAAGGAAAACTTCCAGACTACAACCAATTGCTCTCTTCTTTGCTCATCCAGACTTTGAACACCAATACAAACAATCAAAGGATTGACTGTCATCTTACAGCGCAAGCTATCATCAACCGCAAAAACCTGCACAAAGCACTTGCAAGTGTTTCTTTACTTGCTCCCAAAGCCGAACACTTTCGCTGCATTCTTTTCTGGTTAGTATCCACAGCCACAGACCACATATCTCCTTTGACGACTTCCTTGCTGATCGCAGTCGTCAGTCACAGCAATCGTTCATCAAGACAAGCCACTGTCAAACTTCCCTACATAACAATGGCTGGTTTTGATCTTCTTTCAGGATCACCTCCTCGTGGAGGTCTTCTTCAAGCGCCTCTTCGTGCCACTGCAGACTCCCTCGGTGGTCAAGCTCAGAATTCTCATATTCGCAACGGCCAAGGACGTCAGGCCAATGGAACCCGCTTGATCGGATCTCCCATCACTTCCAATCAGACTAATGGATATCCTGCCGCCAGCCTTGTTCATGGAGCTGTGATGGGTCGAAATTCTCAGTACATCAACCGCTATCAGGATAGAAGCAACAGCATCAACGAAATCTTGGAAATGAATTACAATGACGATGCAGACTTGCCTCGAGGCATGGGTCAAATTGGTGTCACTCACAGCAACGCCGCTCACACGGAGGGCTTTCGCGCCATTACCAGCAACACCAACTTTCAACCTCGAGCTAGCTCATCTTCTTCTAGCTTCGGCTCTTCAAGCACTGATCCCTTCTCTGTTGGATCCACAGCCCTTCCAACCAGTGTCGTTCATGGTATGACCGCCCACAAAGCTGAAGCTGCTGGAAAGAATGAGGGCAAGGGCAAGGAGACGACTACATATTCTCCTCCTAGCTCTATCTCTCCTGATTGTTCTTCTGCCAACAACACCAGCTTCAACATTGAGGCCCACGGCCAGAAGTTCAATACCGAAGTTGAAACTTGCGAGGTGAGCGGACCTGGTTTCAATCACTGGGCCATTCCTCCTCTCCGCGATCAGGTTTTACCCAACAGAGAGCCTGCTACTCCTGGCTTCTCTGGTCGCGGTATCCCTGCAAACAACTTCCGGGGCGGTCCTCATTCCGATTTGGCTGCTCGACCTCAGCAGCTGCCGCAGCTGCAGCAGACGCAGGAGCCTGGCTCGTCGCAAAGCTACAATCAAGTCTTCAACACGCAGCCGGGTGTTGTGAAGCCATCCATCTATCGCAGCAACCAAGCTCCAATCGGCACAGGTCGGTTGAATCGGCAAGGCCTCAACAATTGGCAGCCTGTTCAAGCCAGCTCTAGCTTGGATCGGGAGGTTACTGGTTCTGTGGTCGCCAATCCAAAGTTCGAAGATTACGCCCCGCTTGGCGAGTTTCGACCTATGAATGCCGTCAATCGGACATTCTTTCGACCCGAGGATGACCCCCAGCAGGATCTCAAAGTGGCCCAGGGAGTGTCGGTCAACTACAAGGGCGACGCTACGAACCAGCGCAATCTGTCGGAAGATATTGCAGAATGGAAGAACGTTTCCTTCTTCCTCACCAATCTCCCTCCTGATGTTACATATAGCCAGCTCTTAAGCCAGATCCGCGGCATGGGACGTGTTTGGGCGACGGTCATCAATCCTCCCGACAATTCCAATCACCACACCTCGGCAGCCAAGCTGGTGTTTTTCGAACTCGCTGCGGCTCAGCGCTTCTACGCCTACTGTAGAAACCCGGCCCAGCGCCTCATCATCGGCGGCTATGCGGTCAAAATTGTTCGCAATCGAATCAAGAAGAGTGAGGAAGACGTCGGCGGCTACCACTCTCGGGTTCTAATCGTCATGGGTGACCTGGGATTTGTCAACAAGGACAGACTGCTGCGTTATTTCCGCTCCAAGCTCGAGTTCGATCTTGAGGAAGTCATTTGTCTTGTTCAAGACCCTCAGACTCGAATGGGCGAGCTAGAAATCCGATTCGCCTGCTACCGCAACCAGGCCGAGTCCGCTCGTAAGGCACTCAGCACGGAGTACCCTCCTGGCGCCACCCTTCCTGGAGGCAGAATATCTCCGATCTGGGAGCTCAGGTACGGCACCGACCCATGCTCTGTCTGAGAGCTCGAAACACTTGTTCTCCGGAAGCGTCGACGAAGAATTATGGGTAGCGGCATGGAGGGGAGAGGCATATGAAGGATGGTGTAGAGGTGGAGGGTTTACACTGGTCTTGGAAGAAGGGGATATTGCAACTGGGTTGTTTCGAGATACCACTGCGTTGATTTTGCTTTTGGAGCTGGGCACATGGGACTGTCATCGGTTTCGGTCAATAGTGGTGTTTGGAGGCATGGACTAGCACATAATGCTTGCTTTGAGTTTTCGCTGTAAGGGGAAGGGCTTTCGAGATGGGCACAGTCTCGGGCAGAAAGGCCCAGATAGATGGAGACAGAGTCCCGGGATCCAGAAAGCTCCCCTATAATCCAGTCTTCTGTCATGATTTTGCAACCAGTGGTCGTTCCAATGATTCCTAGTGATTGTGTCTGACAGGTGAGTTCCTTAAGGTGTCGTGAAGCTTAAGGTACCTATAAGGGGGAGGTATGTCTGATGATGACATAATCGAACTGCAGGTAGGTGGTCTGGGGAAGGAACGAAGCTAGAATAAGCGAGATGCCCTGCTCTTTCCGCGCTGACAGCTACCGGTATACCGTCATGGTCTGTGCGCTGGGCCCCTCACCGATTGGGCAGGCTCGGCGTGACGCAGCCTCCACACCTACCTGTTCGAGGTCTTTAGCAGCCACTCGGTGGCGGCGTCAACCTCTCATCTTCTCACCCTCAACTTTTCCCCATCACTCGAGAGAAGGCAAAGGCATCAGAGATTGAGGCTCATGAGGGCCTCATAGAAGATGCAGGGAGCCGAAAAAATCTCTCAAGTCCCATCGAAGGGTCTCAAAAGTTCTCAGAAGCGGAAGGAAGCGTCCACTATGAAAGCCAATCCTGACAAAGCCGCTGCAGCCACTGAAGGCTCACCACAACCAACGACGGCAGCGACAGCCGCAGCAGCAGCAGCAGCAGCAGAACCAGAACCAGCCGCTGATCATGCAATCTTCACAGTCATAAACAGTGACGGCACGACTTCCTACTATACAAGCAACGGTGATTTGATCGACGGTGAGATCTCAAGACCCACCGAGGCCACAAAGGAAGTCACCGACAGCGACCGCGTCACAGCAAAGGGCACACTCAATCTACGCTCCAAGAAGACCGAGAGAATGAAGCGAAAGCTTGAGAAGAAGAATGCAAAGTCTTCCGCTCGCCGGGTGACCCAGCTCCTCGACCTTCCAAACGAGACTCTTACAGACATCATCAGCCACATGCTCCCCAGCGAGGTCTATAAGACTGCCCAGACCTGCAAGACGCTCCACGAGCTCATCCAACACAATGAGAAATTACTCTCGCGCAGAATAATTTCTCAGCGGTACCCCATTCTTGCGAAATGCTTCCGGCTCCCAGTCATACTCGATGAGATCGACCCCGAGCTTCACCCGGTCCTCCAGAATAGCGCCAGAATCGAGATGCTCGGCGTCCACCGGCGATACGTACACGTTCCTCAACCCGAGCCCTACATCTTGTGCACCTGCCTCACCTGTGTTCTGCGCTGGCAGGCCTGCTGCGTCATCGTCGACTTTGACAAGTGGCGGCCCAATCTCGACTCGGGAGTCCCCATCACAAACATGCGCCGGGGACAAGATGCAGGATGGAACATGGTATGGAAGGATAGAATCACCGACATCGTCCTCCAAGCAGTCCGCTCCCCGCTCGCCCACGCTCATATGCTCGAAATCCATCTCAACAACACCTGTGCCGCGGTCAAGAGACAGAGCGAGAACAAGGGCAACAAGCGCCGCCACTTCAAAATGTCTAGGGCCGATGTGGAGTCACAGACCGACGCCTTCCTGGAAGGATACGGACAGCCCACTATCGACCTCCCCTACTCGCGGGACAACTACTACATGCTTGAGGCGTACATGCCCGGAAGAACCTGGCTCAAAGACGATGAGAAATGGGTGTACATCCCGCCGGACTTTCACGACCGAGACCTCGACTGGGTGGCGAAGCGATGGGGCCCGGAATGGGGTATCCCAAGCGGTGAGTGGGGGACCTTCAGTGCGAAGTTCGCCAAGGGACCAGCTTAGCAGGCTCTGGAGAACCCTATGGCTTATTACATACTCGAGCCGAGCTATGATCGACGTCACGTCAAGGAGATAGACGGCCCTATGGACTCTATTCCCTGGCAATTCAAATACGTCTACGAATCAGAGACGCATCAGTGGAGGACATCTCTCCTGCCTGTTCCGAAACTTTTGTGAAGGCTTCCTAGCAGGAGATGATGCGTGGCACTTCACTGCGAGATGAGAGATTTGCAGGGGAAAGCGTTGAGCTTTTGACAAACGTGAGCCAGGGGTAGCCGGCAGGGATTGGAATCTCCAAGGAGGCCTCGGGTGTCACATGACTACACACGAAGCTAATGGAAATGAAAATGGTGGTTCTTGCTGAAAAGGAAAATCGGATCAATATACATTTTGTTGTCCTTGCCTCTCCCAAGTTCCTCCTCTTGTCCCTTACACCCCTTTCATCGTGATCCTCCCCGAATGCGCGGCTTCCTACCTCAGGAATCTTGTAATTAATATACAAGCAACAGCCTAGAAGCTCTGTTCAATGCTTCTATTCTGATATTACCCTATTCGATTGCTGCTGTAGGCGCTTACGCCGACAACCACAGCGACGGCACCAGGTAGGACAAGTCATCGCAATGAAAAGCCCGGCAGCTTGTCCAGCCAACCAAGTTACAAAGTCTTGCTCGCAAAAACTCGTCTTGACCCTGCGACACTCGCGCTAGTATAACACGGATTTCTTTCAGGCCTGGCAATCCCTAGGTTCGCTCGGGCCTCTTCGTAAAGACGCAATCCAGCTTTGCCGGCTTGACAATCAGCTGGAACTTGGCCTCTTCCTCGAACGTCTTGCCGTATTCACCAGGAGCGAATTGGAAGTCGTAGTTCCAGAGCGTGTAAGCGATCGTGAGACGGAGAACGTTCCAAGCCAGACGCCTTCCCACGCAGTCATATCGACCTGGAAACACAATCTTCAGCTATGCCATCATTTTCATGGATGGAATGAACAGTCACTTACCGTAGCTGAAGGGCAAGAAGGCCCTGCGGTCGATTATCAACTCTGGACGCGTCGTCCAGCGCTCGGGGATAAATTCGTTGGGAGATCTCCAATACTTGTGGCCTTTCGAGCCCATTAGTTATGGGACATGTTCAAGGCCTATTTCGTAACTTACTCCTATGATAGCAGTGTATAGGAGTGAATAAAGTCACATTTCCAGGGATGTACGTCCCGTCAATGGTCACTCCCTCTGGCGGAGCCGTTCTTGGGCCGTTGATCGGCGCGGGCGCATGCATGCGAAGCGTCTCGGTGATGACGGCCTCGAGCAGCTCGAGCTTATTGAGGTCGGCCACTGCGAACTCTCCCTCCAGGGTCCTGGAGTGTATCGGCGCAATCTCTTCGTAAAGATGCTGACGGAGTTTGGCGTCGCGGGCGATGTAATAAAACGCGTAACCCAGGGTGCAGGAGATTGTGTCTCTGTATTCAGTTGATAAGGGTTGGGGATCTTCAAATGACAAAATGACAGGGAGATACGTACGTTGCGCCGATGAGGATGGCTTGTGAGTCGGTGTACATGATGTTGACGTTGAAGAAGGACTTGGGTTTCTCAGACTTGTAGTCGTCGAGGAAGTACTTCAACATATCATGCGACTCATCAGAGTCGACCTACTCAAATCATCAGCTACGGTTCACGGGGATCCATCAAGGTAGTCTAAACTTGCAGCAATTCTTTCATCAACAAGCCGGACTCCCAAATCCTCAAACTCTTTTTGCATACCTATCCGCGGTAACTTTGCCAGGAAGACGAGCGGCCAAGGCGTCTGCCCCAGTCGAGAGCCCAGCTTGAACGTCGTCTCGATGAGATCCAGCATCCTGTCTTCCCTGCCATCTCTGACGGTGCCGAAGTCGCGTCCGTAACCCACGCGGCCCATGTTGTCAAATGGGATGAGTTTTGCGTAATGCGAGGCGTTGATTGGCTTTCCTTGGACTTCTTCCAGGCGGTTCAGCCAAGTTCGAAGGACGATGCGGGTTTCTTCTTCGTATTTCTCCAGTGCTGGAGAATGGTTAGCAGAGGTCAACTCGATGGTTGGCAGGTCTCGTTGCAGGAAGATCGAGGCTGAGAAGGGCAGGATGATACCTTTACTTCCCAGCGCTTGGTCCCATATTTTGCGTCTGTCGCGGTGTACTTCATTGTGCCAGAGGGAATCCAAGTTTAGTTCACCCCTTGTCACCAAAGCGTCGTAAAATCCAGTGTTGTGTTTGGTACATTTTGTCTGTGGTCCGTGGATTTTGTTGATAGCGTCTAAATTCACAACTGAGATGTCATTCGGGCCTAAAGGTGTAATCATCAGCCTTCGCGGTAACCCCCTATCAATAGTGTGAGAGGAAAAGAGACTCCTACCCACGCGCACAAATTCTCCGTGCTTCTCGTGCATCTCGAGATATTTATCGTGCAACTTTAAATCTCTGTTCAACCACATAACGTAGGGTTTGGCGACTTTGACCGGGAAGGGACCGGGGAATCGACGCAGGGGGTGGAAGAGAAGACGGTAAACCCAGATGCTGGTGAACAGCGCAGCGAGGTAGGAGCTGGATGTCGCGACATGTGCCGTAATACCCTTTGTCAATCCCAAAGTCGAGACCGATTTGACAAACAAAAGCGCCAGTGCCACGCCGTGAACGACCAAGATATTGAAGACCTCCATGCTCCTATGCCCGCGGATGAAGTAGCCCCAGTGAGACAGGAGACCTGCTCCCGCGGCCAGGGCACAGGATAACATTATCCCAGTGCCCAAGTTGGCGTTTAGTGTCGAGGAAAAGTCTTGCATCGTATCTTTTGTTGATGAGTCGCTAGGTTTGGCGGATAGTAGCCATCAACGTCCACATTTGTTGTGTTGGAGACAGGACTAAGACCTTAAGGACTTTGGGGCTTATACTATCCGTCTGAGCTTCCCCCTCGGCTGCCGAGGCCAGGTTACTTTGGTCGCGCAATGTCCAGACCATCTGATACACCAGAAGCATTTCCGTCTTTGGAGACTTTGGGGAATCTCCTGAACATTTCTCATGGGGGAACCCTGTTATTAATCGAAGGATTCGACCGGCGGTCCGTCGGACGCCTGCAATATGTAATGTATCTTGTTCAGACTATGAATGTTGCTAGCCAAGTCAATCCATTGTTCCTGGTCGTTTTAAATCCGGCTTCCCCGCATCTAGTGAACCCCTACGCAGATGCTGCAGAAGTACAGGCGACGGCATAGAATCTGGACCCCGAAAGAACAAAAGAGAGCACGGTCTAGCATCCCAAGCAGCGAGAAGTCATCGGACACGTGGCGAATAGATTCTTGATAGTATTTTCAATGCTCTTCCGTTTACACCTGCTCTCCAGACTAGTACTACATCCACTGTTTCCCCCATAAACGGATGCTGGGCAGATATTTGGCCAGATTTATGTGTTGACCGCCCCGATTCTTCTGGTACATCTTCAGCGGTCGCACATGACCAAGGCTCATACCATAGAACATCATTCTCACACATGATTGACATCGTTAGTTGTGAACAATTTGTGAGCTTCTATGCCAAAGACCTTGGCTATTTGAGTAACATTTGAAGACGCGCTTGGACTAGGTGAAATAACTAAGTAACTTGCCAACGGCCCTTCGGAAAGATCATGGAGGAAAATAATGGCACTCGTAAGAAAAGCCCTCAGTCATCACATGCGAGTGCGGGCGTACAACGGAGCTTGGGCAACAATGACGTATTGTGTTTGGTAAATGTCGATTATTCATCATGAACTGTAAATCCGTGAAACGCCTAAGCCCTCCAAATCAAATCTCCGCCGTGGTATCAAACAATTCTATTGTATCCAAATCATTACATTGCAATCATCATCGTTCGCACCCGGGTCTACCAGCGACCTCTGCGTCCTCCCCAACCTCCTCCCATGCCGCCGCCGTACCCATGTCTGCCGTAGCCGCCGTAGCCGCCGCCGAAGCCGGGGCGAGGGCCGCATGGCCGAGGTCCGCCCAGCATTCCGCCGCCGTGGTGGCCGTGGTGATGGTTCTGCACCATGACCGGGCGGGGGCCGTAGCCGGGCCCACCATAGCATCCACCGTACCCTCTGCGTCTTGATAGGCCGAAGCACATATTGTGTTGGTCGTGAAGGTCGACTTGTAGTAGCTTTTAGTCCACGTTGAAGTCTGGTTTGAAGATTTTGTCGCAAAGGCTTGGTTTTGCGACGTGTAGTGGTTGTTTGATTGTAGTATTGGAGTAGTGTTCGTAAATTTGAAGTAAGCTAACTTATTGTTCTGGTTGTGGCAGACAAACGCACCTGTTCGGGGCATAGGGGTAGAGGGAGAGAAAGGTGTCACTTTATAGGTTATCTGCTTGATACATTCAGCAGCTCGGCGTGGTGCTGCCAGAACCTTCGTGCGTCATTTCGTCCCGTCCGGAGAGGCGCTAAGATGCCAATGCCCCGAGTCAACAAGAGTATAAACGAGCCAACTTGGCTCATGTCGCCATGTCATGAGGGGCCGCGCAAGCGGTCTCCGCACGGAAGACAGCGAAACGCCTAGTCCCACGTCACCGCGAACGCCGCAACCAGCGCTCCCAAGTCGCTAGACGGCACGAGCATCCGAGGCGAAGCCTCCAATAAGGCTCAAGGTCCATCCCAGACAACGTGATTTTGTGGCTGTTGGGTGCTGAGCCACAATGCATTTGGCTGGACCTCGGTCAATGCCAAGCCACACCGAAGCCCCCGTTGAAGAGTCTCAAGGTGCCGCCACATTCCGAGACATTGTGCGGACCCGAGCGCCTTGGTGGAGTGACCAATTGGGGCCGTTGGTCTCCGGCGCAGGAAGGCCGGCATGTGTGGTGCCGCATTTGGTGTGCCAAGTGCACCGAATGGGCTTGGTGTCTTGGCCATCGTCTGTTCTTGGGTTTTCTTCAGCTGCTCCATGTTGAGCAGGCGAGGTTTTGAGTTTTGCTGAGTGAGGTTCGCTTAGAAGTCAGTTGAGTAATGTCGTTCGTTGACTCGTTCGTTGACTCGGTTTTCTTTCCAACGTCATTCTGATGGCTGGAGCAGTTTTGGAGCGAGTGTCCAAGACTCAGCGGGGTAGGTGAGGCGTATGCAAAGCTCAGCTGCATGTTCAAGGTCTTTCAGGGACGTCTCGTTGACAGCTGCAGCTAATATTCATGAACCGGCCCTCAGATGAGTCAGGATGCGGTAAAGGCGATTGAATTCTCTGTGCGGCCTAGGATGTGGCGAAAAGGCGGCTACTCTTCTCAAGCTTGAGGGAAGAAACTGCGCGGAAGGCAAGTAACATAGCATCAAGTCGGAACAAGAGGCATGGTAGCTGGGTTGTCCTTGATCAACTGCCATCGGAAAGAAAAGGTCGCAGAACCAGTTTCAGTACATTCTTCTTTTCTCAACTTCTATTTTATCGCAAGTTTGAGAGATTCACGGTTTCGAAACTTGCAATCCGCTTTGCACACACTGAACAATGCCCACCAACGCGCCGAGTACCAAAAGCAAGATTGCCAACCAGAAAGTGCACCAAAAAAACCCTGTTTCGGCGATCATGCCACCATTGAGACAGTGTACGAGGAGTTGCATCATCGTATGCCTGCTTGAGGACGATCAGACGATTCCTCCAGAAGCTAAACCTCTCAATCCTCCGGGCTTCTGCAGATAGTGTTCCGTCGGCGCCAAGCCTCCAGTCAATGGGCGGGCACGGCTGTTTGGACAGAAGCTTCTGAAACCAAGACCAGCGGCGACGTTGAGTTATACCCAAACCACCAAAATCTGATTCAGGGAAGAGGATTTGCAGTGTCTCCCGAGTCTCCTCAAGGAATCCGACTGGAAACATTGAGCTGAGTGAAAATCGCATCAGCATCTAGTCCTTCTAAAAAGCGTTGAAACGCTAGCGAATCTACTTACCTTCTGTGACATCGGAGGAATGAAACGTGATGAAATAACAACAACTTCATTCCATTCTCTTCTTCAATAAGGAGAAGATGATTTGCTAAATTATCTGTAAACTCAACTTGGACGCCGCCGATTGCAACCAAACTCCAAGCGTGAAATGTCTTGGGCAGACGAACTGCTTTTACATCCAGGCGGGGACCTTCATCCGAGTATTTCGAACTGCAATCTCTCAAGCCCCCGCAGACCCAAACGAAATGATGATGTGGCAAAGCCTCACCTTGCACTGGCCCAAACTTAATTATAAGCACGTCACGTAAGACTAGGTTGATCGTTCAATTGTCTCTTGCGCTTTTCAATTTGGTCGTTCTACATATTTTCTCTCGAAATAGACAGAAATGTCGCCTTTTGTGACTGAATCTGTAGTCGACCAGTAGAGAATGAATGTCTTGAGTTGCTCCGAGTCCTTGAATGCCATGTAAAGGCCATGTAAAGATCATCGTTGTATCCAGCAATCACGCCCCATTGGCGATAGCAGTATCCAAGGTGGGCGGATTGACTACAAGGTGCGCAAGCTGGCAACCTTCTAGAGCGAACGGAATTATCAGGTTTCGGCAGACTGCATAGAAATGCAGCAAGGTCTCGATATCTCAGACAACGCATGCAACCACTATTATTGCAATTTTTAAAAGTTTCCTTAAATCTCCTTGCGTCGCAAAAATGGCACCGCTAATTTTAGGTAGTAATACTCCATAATATATACCTTTGTTTTGCAAAGATCATTCTCGGTGAACCAATCTGAAGGCTCTTTTTGGGACAGCGAGAGCTCTAACGCAGGGGCTTGGACGAGTCGAGAGGATACAGAATCGGATGCCGGCATGACATCAAGGAATCAGGAGCATCAGATTCGCAGCAATCTTGATGCTATGCCGCAAACTATCCGTGGTTCATACCCTCATATAGGCGAAGAGTAACAAGCACTAGATTTGGAGGCGTGAAGCATTCTGGATTTTGTGTTGAAGACAGCAAATATGGGCTCGAGGATATTTGACCAAAAAGATGATTTTAGCTGGCGACATTAGCACAGGTCAGTAAAACCTCAACGGAGTAGTAAGTCAAGTCAAATATCGCAACAATTTGAAGCAGCAGACCGTCAAAAGTTCTCACGCATCACACTCACCCTCATACAAAGTCAAAGAAAGAGCACAGGTGACGCAACGGCAATGTCATTTCAAGGCCGTAGAGTCACATTCTCAATTTTGAGTATCGCTAGAGTAAAACTTCAATCCGCTTTTTATGCTCATCTCATCGTAACCGTTCAGACAAGGAACAGGGTTCCGTTGTTGTTTCCTATTCTCTCATCCAAGTTCACAGAGCTGCGCACCCACTGTCCGTTGCGGGACAGCTCGGCTTCGAGAACCTGGCCACCCTGGACCAGGCGCGCATCCCGCGCCGAGGCGCCAAAGTTGCCGCCGGAGCTTCCGCCGCGGCCGGGGATCTGGAGGACCTGGCCAGGCCAAATCTGGTCCGGGTTGGGGATGTTGTTGTGTCTCGCAATCTCCTCGAATCCGACGTTGAATCTCGCGGCGATGTTGCGGAGGGTGTCGCCCTGCTGGACAGTCACGGAAGAGTCTCCGCCGCCGCCACCTCCAGAAGACCAGCGGAAGCTGCCTTGGTCGTTCTCGAGAATTCTATTCAGGCTGATGGTGCTGCTCTGCCACTCGCCATCGCGACGCTTGCATGACGCGTGGAGGTTATACTCTCCGTGCGCGTCGAGACGGATGTCTCTAGATGAGCCGGTGAACCCACCGCCATAGTTTCCACTGCGAGGCTTGTCATCGCCGTGGTGATCGCCGTGGTGGCCGCCATGATGGTGCTCCTTGGGAGGGGAGTGCGGGCGGTCGTGTTCGTGCTTCTTCTCCTCGTCCCGCTTGTCCTTCCAGTCAGACACGCCATCTTGCAGCTTGTGTCCGGCAAAGGCTCCCGCGACGGCACCGATGAAAGTGCTAGTCTTGCTGTGACCGAAATTACCGCCAACCTTGTGACCGCCGAAAGCGCCGGCAGCACCGCCGGCGAGAGCACCCGTCAGGCCACGCTCACCATCCTCGCCCTCTGGACCGCCGGATCCGGGCGGGCCGTCATTACGGTAGCCCTGGTTGCCGTAGTTGTCTTGGTTCTGGTAGGGAGGGGGTCCAGATTGGTACTGAGATTGGCCGTAGCCCTGTTGTTGCCCGTAACCCTGCTGGCCGTGTCCTTGCTGCTGGCCGAACTGTGGCTGGCCTTGAGAATAGTATGAGCCGGCCTCGCCAGAAGGAGGGCGGTCTTGTTGGTAGCCGCCCTGCTGATGGCCTCCTTGCTGCTGGAAGCCTCCTTGCTGGTAACCACCTTGCTGGTAGCCACCTTGTTGGTATCCACCCTGCTGGTGGCCACCGTTGTTGTCGTAGTAACTCATGATGATGGGTTTTGGTACAAAAGTACAGTTCGAACTTGGATGCTAGGTCAATGGAGAGAGATGTCTTAGAGCAAGCTACTGCAAGATCTAGACTCAAGATGCGGGGAAACGGAGGTTATATAAGCTTCCTTGAGCCTCCAACAATGGGGTCAACGAAGCCTGTGATACCTAAGAATATTTACACCGCCGCCATGGTGGGGTGAGGCTTATGAAAGTATCGACTCAGAATGTCCGCGCGTATTCTCTCTTTCGGTCCAATCGGGAACACCGCGTCAAGGTTCACGGCCCACCGCGCAGACACAGCCCCGGGAGTCGGCACGGCTTTTGGTATGTAAACGGACACGTTAAAGTCTGGGCACTCTCGGGCCCCTGCCACGTAGCTTGTTCTGATGTTTCTGAAAGCTTCTGACCCGGGCCAAACAGAGCCAAACAGAAACACGGCGGGACCATCAGAAGCCAGACGAGACCCGCCACAGAGCCCCTGGCGGTCCGTCAGGCCCCTAGCCCCCTCAACAGCGCCACGATGAACCCTTCAGCCCGAAATGATGGGACCCTATTGCCCCCCCGAGGACCCCTCCCCGCACAGTGGCTGGAGAGAAATGGCGTCAGAGGCCTTGAAAGGTAAGATCCGAAGTTGTTCGTGGCGGGCCAGCCGAAGCAACGTGGCAATGGGAAGCCACCGCAGTCATCGGCATGCAATGTTCGGTATGCATATGTCTGCATTCGTATCCAGCAGTATCCAGGAGGGCCAGTGTAGCTATGTAAGTATGCATCAATCGTCCGAGTGCGAGTCCGACTTTCGGACCTCAAGAGCCAGGAACTGCGTTATCCGCTTATCGTACAACATGCTTCATGTACAGTAATCGTACACAAAAAGTTGTGAACTAAACCCGGGAGCTCCGGGATGCCCGACCGAGTTTCAAGCCGACCCTCACTATCTGCGCTAACCGTCTGCGGAGTCCCACCTCATTCCCGTCACCCGCCATCGCCGCTTCGTGTGCTTCGACTACCGGGTGGATCCGAACCAGATCGGCGTGCTCCGGTGTAATGAATCGAGTGCACTTGAGGATCTTCCAGCCGCAGAACAAACAGATTGCGAGGCATCACATGGTTTAGTTGCTGGGTGATATTCTAATATTTCATAGACCTCGTAAGAGGATGGCATAGCCATAGAATATCTCCACCACCAAGAGCCATTTCAAAGCAATCCAGGTACCTTGGGTCTGGAGATACACACAGTATGTAAGGTCGGATCTGCTCAAGTTCTGGGCTTTCAAAGCTCCATGACGGTAGAAGAATAGAAAGTTGGTGCAAATCATGATATAAGTTACCAGAGTTACGCCAGTGATGAGGCAAGTGAGCCTTTCAAGTGAGCTCATGACAATGCACACGAGCATAATGAGGTGGAAGTCAAGCACTCAGCTTGCCAAGTCAAGACTTTTACAGAGCTACTGATCAGTTTGAGAAACGAAAGACTGTCAAAGGCGAGTGCAACGAGCAGGTAGCGAAATGGAACACCCTGCTTAGTGTTTTGTGAGGAACCTGGGAGCGACACCGTTCAACGCCAATTCGTAAAGAGTGTGAGAGGAGCAGTATATCTAGGCATTTCCAGCCGAGCAGATTCTCAAGTGTGAAGCGTTAAACAGGTGCGGCGGGACACCGACATTCATGTTCTTCATAGCAATGACGAAGATGAGGCTGCTTCGGTGCCCGTCTCGCCTGAGCTCAGCTTATCCGAAAGAGTCGGGACGTTGGCTGGAACATCACCAATGAAGAAGATCCCGAAAATCCAAAACACAGATTTGAAAGCTGGTTTCATGATAGCTCGGGGCCGCTGCACTTCACCAGCGACAGTGGCCAAGTATTCGGGGCCGACGAAGGTGAAGGCAGCTTGCCGTAGCGCAGCACGGAACCCATAGATACGGCCTGGGATGCCAGGATCAATATGTTCGACGAATAGGTTCTGAATTATGAATAAGTCAGGTGCAGCTCAAGGATGAAAGACACGAACGAGAGAATCTGAGGCGTCCTACTGGCTTAGGGCCCGCAACCTATCCTACCAGTCTTGCATCCATGCTCACGCACGCAGTCTTCGTGTCCCCAAAAATGTCACCCGCAGGCGGATCAAATCGGGGTTCCGATAGAAGAAAGCTATTAAGACGTTCGACAAATGCGTAAGTGAACATCCTTTGACCAATATCCTTCAACAGCGGGTGATCCCTGACCATGTGTCAGTAGCATGAGTTGTCACTGAAATAAAATAAAAATGCTACGGCGAAGAGCCGTGCGCAAATTGCTAACGGCATCTCATCAATTATGAATACTCGGAGGGAACAAACCCACATGATCTCATCAGATAGGTATGCATTTAAACTGTGAATCAGTCTCTAGAGGCAGTCTGGGACGGCCAAGGCGTGGTTCGGAGCATTAATCGACGCCAGAGAGCAAGCGGTCGCACGTTGCTGCATTTGGATCCGACAATGAGGATAGCAATGAGCATACCAACCGTCCTCTCTATTGCTTTAATTAACCAATCCAAGAACTTCAGATTGTCAGTGCCTTTGATATAGGTCGCCTCACACGCATGACTCGTCTAAGTGTGTGTCCACAAGCCCTTTCAGTTTACCTTTTACGACCATCAAGAATACCCATCAGAATAGGCGCAACTGGATTAAGTGAAGAACTGAGGCTTGAAAAAGGTATCGGCATCTCTTTTAATGGTTTTATTCAAATCGTGGAACAGATAGGGGACGAAGATGATCTACCGTTCTCAATATTAGATTCAGGGCAGTTTTTAGAAATAAGGGCATTGAGACTGGCTACTGACTCATCCGATGAAGACCTCAGAAACTATTATTCAAGCCTTCAACTTTGAGCTTTGCTCATAAACAATGCCTCGTAAGAGCCTTATTAGATTAGATTTTTAATATTGTTTTGTTCCACATTATCACTCAATGCCATTTCTTACATTAAAGTACAAAGACCATTACTCGTTACAGGTTTGAGCCACAAACACATGCTCATCTACATAGTCAGCTACCATCCCGTGTGATAGTATCCATCCCAGCTTTGATGATGCTGGACGTGGGGCTGTTGCATGTTAACTGGCTGGTACACAGGGCTGTGCTGGTATCCAGAGTTCTGCTGCCACATCGGAGTTTGAACCTGTCCAGGAGTCGCCGGCGACGATAATGACGTAGATATAGACATTGTTGACATGGTTGAGGTATGCTTCATGTCGTACATGGAGCCTCTGTCGAGAAGAGGAACTCCCATGGTCTGGTCTGGCTGCGTAACATGTGTCGCATGGTAATCGGCAGGCATATGGCCTGACAAGCCCTCTTCTAGGCCGACTGAGACATCCATCAGTATTGTACGTGCAAAATCGCTATTCTGTTTTTTTTTTTTTTGTGGGCGAAATTGACTTACAGATCAAGATGTAGAGCAGCTCAGCGACGATTGGTACCCACGTTGCCAGCGCAAGAACTTGCCCAAAGGTCCACTTGTCATTCTTGTCGATGCCATCAGCAGCATTAATAATTTTCTGGCGGAAGTGAGTGAAGTAGCCCAAGATCCCCCACATGACCAACAAGTTGATCCAAGCAACTAGCATTCGCCAGGAAGATCTCCATCTCTTGACCCACGGCTTGTCGACCATGCCGGGAATCTTGAACCCAGTAGTGACAAAGAGCGTAAGGAGAAGCCATATCATTGGCAGGGCAATGACCAAGAACTGAGTGGCCTTGACGACGGGCCAGTACTGCGAGCCGCGCTGATCGCAGTCAAAATTCCTGTGTCCACTCTTTCGTTGGTTGTAGTCTATCTCGGCCCTTGGCGCTAAATAAACGACTGTTGCACTCAATCCCCAGAGAAGAGCAAGGACAGAGCGATGAAGCCATTTGCGATGGCCATCATGCTTGGCCAGGGCGTAGAGCAACATGACTGGAAACACAGAGAAGTTGGATGCGATAAGTGCCAATGCTTGCTCGTAAATCGCATCCGCCGATGGCAGGTCAGGATTGATCTCTGATCTCTCCTTGACGTCTGCTGCGGCTGAGTAGACGGAGGCTCCGAGCATGGCCATGGAAATCAGCATTGAGCCGCTAAGGAACATGTCAAGGGATCCACGGAACGAGTCGAGAATGCGGCCACTAAACCCTTGTTTCTGCTTTGGCCGTGTCTTTTCGTAAATATTCTTGTTGAAGTGACGACGCAGTTGGTGGATAGTAAATGCAAGGAGGTACATTGTTGCTAGGATGCCTTCGAGGTAGTAAGACACCACGACCTGAGATTTGTCAGTTATCATCAGTGCCGTGACCTGGTCGGCAACTTGAAGATTTCTTACCCCAATACCGCAAAGATCTTGGCTTCCTGTGTATCCGACGGCCTTGCAGAATTCGGCCTCGCAATGCGCCTTCGGACCCCACAAAACAGTTTCGTTGAATCGAGTGCTGAAAAGGTAGTAATCTGGATCGCTCGAGTTTGCTGGGTATGGTGTATGGTACATATTGTAAGCGAACCAGTATGATACATCAGAGTATGTCGTTTCGTATCCCTTCGGCATGGCTGTAGAGTACAATCTCATTGACAACTGGACACTCATTCCTCGAGTCGATTTTGGATCCCAGGTGTCCGGTTGGAGCATCGCAGCTAGCCATTGGCCCCAGTTTGTGCAATTGCGATTGAAATCCAGTTGCTCCCATGTCAGGTTCCCCGAGCCTTTGACCTCAGTGCCTGGAACCCAAAGGTCCATGGACTCGGTATCGTAGGAACTCATGGCGGAGTAGGTGTGGCGTATCTTCCACCTGCTCAAGATATCTCTTCACAGGAGCCGAACTTATTTTACAAGACGATGTGCGTTCAAATGGTGGACAAGCATCTGTTGATGGCGCGGGGCACAGAGACATTCTTAAGGCTGGCATGCCAGCTTGCTCAGGATCTAGGTCCAGCATTGCTCTCCCCATCCCGCGGCAATAATCCCCGTTTAACAGCCGCACTCTGTCTTTATCGTGGGCGTCTGGGAATTGCTCTCAAAATGGATCGGCTAGACGCAGCTGAGCGCCAGGGCTGACGGCTAAGACAGATAAAGAGCGAATCATCGCAATCAAAATCCTGCGGTCATTGACTAGCGTCAGCCACCATCCCAAAAGTGATTTACGAGCTGCCGCTCGTAGCCTGTTTCTAATAAGGCTGACCATTCACAGCATTTTCAGACCGCCATCTCGCTTCCGAAATATCCGCTAACGGGGGTTGGGCAGAAACTAGACGTTGGGGGCCGGGGGGGATTTCATTGTTGCCTTCAACTTGATTTCGGTTTCTAATCGGGGCCGCTCTTTGGAGTCGCCCTGGTCAAAGGTGGGTCTGCATTGCACGTTATGACAGTTGTATTGAGCGCGCATACATCTATCTATCGATGGGTATGACTTTCAACTTCTTCGTTAATCGCGATGCTGTGTTCGTACGTGTCTTTGCCAGTTGTATTTCCTCTTGATGCCAATACCTTTCTCCTGGGAGTATTTGCATCCCGCGATAGGGCAAAAATAGGGCCCAACGTCTGAATGCCTCTCGTTGCGATGACGATCAAGGTCTTTGCTGTATCGGAAAGCCCAAGAGCAGTCTTCCACTGGGCACTTGAACGGCTTTCTGTGCTTAACCTTACACCGGCTGCACAGACAGTTAAATACCGTACCCTTCATCATTTGGAAACGACTCACTTCAGATCGCATCGCCTGGCGTAGACACTTCCACAGTCGGCACATCGCAGCATGCTTGGCTGTATGCCGCCAATTCTCGGAACAGAGCGCGCGGGAATCTGTTCTCCCGAGCTTGTCTGGCTGCCATGCTCGTGGTCTTCTTGTTGCAGTAAGGACGGGCTAGGGGCAAGTGCCCCATACTGTTGAATTGAACTTGGCTCATTGTTGCTCTGCTCCCCATCCTGCTCAACAGGCTGGGGAAGACTTGACGAATTACCCCAGTCATAGTCACCCAGCGGCCCGCCACTTCCGGTCTTTACCCACGACGGATCAACGGTCTCAAAGCGATTTCGATGATGTTCTTTTTGTTGACCGGTCGAGCCACGTGAGGTCGAACTAGATATGTAAACGGACTGCCAAACTTAGAGGAGGAGTGTTGAGCCTGTTGAGAAAATCCGATGGCAAGAGCAGAGGTCGTATGGCCAAGACGAGAGAATCAGAAAAGGAGGAAGAAACGGTCGACAAAGAGCACCTTGCTTGCTGTAAGGAACGAGTGGCTTAGCACCACCGTGCCGGCCGTGAAAAGAGGAAGTTGAATCCTTGAATTTCTCAAGGGAGTACGCTCTTTTTATGGTCAACTGCCCGCCCGGAAAGTTCAAGCCGATGGCGATTAAGTAATACCACGCGATCCAAGTGATTGGCCACACGAGCTTGTAGGCCTCAACTTAAATTTAGGCACCATACCTCAGTATTCTGTATCCCGAAGGTATACGCGGTCGTAGCTTCATCTGATCATCAGCACTGAGCCACCAGAAATCAGGCCATGTTAGCACCCTAGCTTATGATAGTTTTTGAAGCCACAGTAAATATGGTTCAATCATACAGCAAACTTGACTTGTGCTTCCCTCTAATCATGCATTAGAATTGTCCAGCCCCCAGGGAGAAGCCTTGTATACAAAGTACCTTACTAAAGTAACAATCATCTCAATTTCACCAACCCTCAAGTATGAAAGGCATGGCCATTGCTGTCTTGATGGGCCCCAGAGACTCCGAAAGGCAAAACTACGATGCCATGAGCCGCTGTCAGCCAAAAAGCAAAGGCTCAATAGGAGACAATGGTAGCTTGCCCGAAACATTGCCAGGCCGTCATCGCCAAACTGAGAGTCGTGAGGCTATGCCGATAAGATATACGACTTGCACCCGGTATCATGAGAATCGACGCCATCACGAGCGGCAACGCAAGTAGCCACCGACTAGCAACGAGTCAAAGCCTCACAAGCGACGCCATGCAGCCAATATCTGCCCATGGTTGTGTGGGCAGACTCTCGAGGCAGACTGGAGAATGTTATCAATTTGTTCAATTTAACTGAGGCTTACATGCGGCCATCCCTTAGCTCCAAGGGGCTAAATGTCAGGCGATGTGGCGTGCCGGTCCATTTAGACACTTGTCTCACTTGCAAGACGCTAAACTATCCTCCATCACGGGCTCAATCTTGTCGTCACAACATAAGTACTTTATTCTGCATTTGACATGTGCTGCAATTAAGGTCAGGGCTCTAATTGAGATGCATGGTCCATGCATTGCAGTTGGGCAACAGATATCAATAGTTTGATGGCTAGATCAGACAATTTTGCGCGCAATCCAAAAGGACGCATGAAGATATGGAAGCTCTCAACAAAGACACATGCAATCGTGGGCTGCTCTTCCCCTACAAGAAATGACAGCTTTCAGGCAAGATGACAGAGTTATCTGAAAGAAGCAGCGGAGAATTTCACGTGTCTTAAAGATACTCCCTTTGGCCAACTCTCAACTGCGATGGGAAGTCTTAATGAAAGCCAAGATGGAAAAATTGGGTTATTCCAATGTCAAACAATTACATCAAGCTACAGCAATGGCGAACAAAGTATGTGGACATCTGATTTCTCTTGTCACTGAATTCTGGCTGCTTTTAGGCATCTCTTGCTTCAAGAAGATCATAAAGCTTTCATAAAGCTTTGTCCTGCAGCAAGATGACACAAAGCAGCCGTATCTGCACAGTTTGGTTCTTACTAGGGGCACTGATTACACTCAACCACCTGTATTAAGATTCCTGATACAACTGTCCAGGATTTTCATAATTGCGGCCGTTTTCTGCGTCAGACCTCTCTACCTCTTTGATCCCAAAAAGTCTTTTCTACAGAGGTTACATGTACTGACGCCGCCGTGATCCTCGCCTGGAATTCAGGCACTCACAACATTTGGGACATGTTGAAAATGCCTCCCCATGCCGACCATTGCGCAGCCACTGTTGAATACGCTGAGCGCGTCTTCCAACACCTAGAAGACAATCGTCCGTCCAATACACCTACCGACTTCTCAGGCGCCCACCCAGAGAATCCCAAGACCGTCAAGTCAAAGACCCAAAACCTCAAGTCCCAACTCAATGGAAGCAACACGTTTGCCTTTGCTGATATCTACACGCACTCCGCAAGTGGTAAGTTTCCTCTCAAACGCACTGGATCTTTTGGAAACGGCCGTGTGAAGGAGCTCGTGGCTGCCTACGAAGCTCGTTCTCACCATACCGAGGAGCTAGCCAAGGAAGCTACGCGGCGTAAGCGTGAGCTCGCTGCTTTCATCCATGGGACTCCCGAAGAGACCTCCACGGAAGATTCTGAAGGGACTGAAACTACCGCTTTCAGTGATATTGAAGAGGATGGGAAGGAATGGGTCAAGGTTTTCGATGCAGACTTGGACTAGAGAGCTGATCTAACACCTTCACCCAGAAAGTGCAATAGACTGAGACTTCTGGAATTCCAGTTATTTGATTGTTGTCTGTTTTTTCAGAATGAGTGAATCCCTTCTTACCTCCTTCGTCACAATTAGGACAAACTTGTCCCAAGAAGACTTGCCTGAAAGCCATTCGGTCTGGTACTTACTTCCGACAGGGTGTTTCACACTGCAAACTGAGACTTATCTCAGCGGCGTTTCTAATCAATGTCCAGCTATAAACTGTGGATGGTGTTTGTGGATATCTAGTACACTGGTGAGTGATAGTTTAGGCATGAATCTTGATTTTTGACTTACACGATTGAAGAAGATATCTTCAAGGTCACTAAGGCGGCGAAAGGCATGGACCTGGCATTCTCAGACAGGAAGAATTTGTTCCATCGGGTCACAGCAAGATATTTGATAGCTCAACTTTAGCTTGCCCATCTATATTGTGTCTCTGTTCTGATCCTGAGGCTGCCATCTGGTTTGAGACGACCACATACAAAGCTTTTACAGGTGATGTTACCAGCCACCATGGCTGCTCAAAGCACTTTGTAGCACAGTGTAGGCACCATTATCTTTATTACGCTGTTTCTCCAGAACAGCCGCCTGTCTCACACTCTCATGTCGCCGTACTGGAGCTTCCAATGGCTTCTGGGGGACTCCTTTGCTGATCCCGCTCACATAGAAAAAGCAGTCGACCATCCGCAGCTTTTTCGAAAGCGGCCAATCGACCAGTCGGTTTTGCAAGACGCTTGACTTTGATACCATGCCACCCATCATGACGCAACCCAATGACGACAATGACGATGACGATTATATCTTTCCTGATGTTCCCAAACCCCCCAACGAAGGATACAATCATTCCCTCACGGTCACCAAAAGTCCGACTTCTCCAGTGTCCTCGGGTTGGACGGTTCTTGAGGACCCCGACGGCTCATTCGATGCTATATCAGAACCCAAAGATGATGAAGAATCTTCCGCCCAGTCTCTATGCGCTTCGAACAACACCACACCCGAGCCGAAGGGAAAGTTGCCGTTGCCCACACCTTCCACCAAGGTCACCATACCAGGACCAGCCACAACATCGCAACCTACCTACAACAACAAACCCAAACAATCTCCCCTTGTTTTTGCTCCATCCCAGCTTCCGCCGATCTCCAGGCTGAGGCCCCTAGAGCAATTCTCAGAGCAGGACTTTAACGGTGGCACAACGGAGTCTCTGGGAGCCGGCCCCTCGCAAGGAAACCTGAAGAAGGATGGCTTGAATCCGACTGGTAGTCTTCGTGGAGAGGTTCTTCGCTCCGAACGCCTTTCCCAGCAGGACAAAGCTCATGAGCAGTACTATCGACAGCTGCTACGATCCCGGGCAGTCCAGTCCAATTACCGTGCCCGCGACCTCGAAGACCGTGCCGGCAAGGCCCCGGATGCCGATTGGCGCTGGTGCGGCTTCCCCGAGTGCCAGAATGACGCCTGCCGGTATGGCAATCAAAAGCAGGACACCCAGGCTATCGTGGCTGCTCGAGATCTAGGCAGAGACTGCGACATTCTGAAAGATTTTCTCGATACCTTTCGGTCTCAGACCTGGAGTTACTACACTGAGGTCCATTGTCGGGTGTCTTTTGCCACTTCCCCTCCAGTCATGCGTGCCGTTGCCCACTACCTAACTCACTTGGCTAATCAGCAGGACGATACGATGGAGATGTTGTTCGCTGTGCACTATAGTCAAGCAACGGCACGGTTCGTTGTAATGAGCAATGGGTTCACTGGAATGGACGAGCGACAATTAGAGAGAATCCACATCAAGGAGATGGACTCTGATGTCGACGATCAAGATTCCATTCCCACACCGAGAGTTATCCTTCAGTTCATTATGCGACTCGAGGCGTGGAGGCAGAGGCAGATCAAGGAAGGATACCCCTGGGACTGGCCTTTATCGGACGCTCTCAAGATGTACAAGATCATACTTGAGACCTATCGACAAACAGACGGCCGGGGCTATTCGCTTCTAAAGGATGTGGACAAGAAAGCCCAGGATAAAGCTTGGTTGCTCTGGTGGGATCGCCACCGCCCCTGGACCAGCTGTAAGGTTGCCTTTCTTTCCGTTCTTGAAAATACTGACACGTCGGCCAGAATTAATAGCATGGAAGGGGATTTTGGAGGGAATTCTGTTTTTGATGCTTGGAGTTATGAGGGTGTGGGACAGTACAAGCCGCATTGGTGGCCCAATAGGCCAAGAGCACCTGGAGTGGACGCATCTCTACAGCATTGAATCAGTTTGGGATATTAGACATTGCTTAGTATGATTTGCTTTTTGGCCGATACATTGAGTGTCGTTGTGCAGTTTTCATAGATCGAGCTGCAACATAGACGAATTATGTCAAGAGACAAACGAGTCTGCTGATACACCCAGCTTCCAACCTGACTATCAACGGGCTACATAAAGTTTGTGATGTTACTTGTTTTTGCCTTTGTACACATACCCCTTCATTTGATTGCTTTGCATTGTGGAGTGTCAATATCACTATTTGTCTCTTTGTGGGTTGTCCTTCATCCAAAAATTCAACTCCTACCTTTGAATACGACAGAGATCCATACATGGCAAGAACCAAGAACACTTCAAGGAAGGATGTGACGGCGAGAGGAAGGTCTCCCTCCTTCCTACATTGATCTGGATGCTTCTGTAAGCACCTGCCTTTATGGATATGGGCCTGAGGTGCAGTTACCTGCATTACAGGATCAAGCCGTACCTTCCCTCAGCCGCGGGTCTCAGGGCATGGGATTTCTTCAAGAGGTGGGCCAGAAGGGCCTAGAAACAAAGTAGATACATCTTTTTGCTGAACACTCCAAACCAACCTTGACCTGAGACTAGCCTCTTTTATTTTTTTGAGGTTGCTGGAAAAGAGATTACCGAGACGTCGCAGTCCATTCATCACCACTACCACCCAGCGAGAACCTTCATTCGAGGTGAGGCAGAAGCCCAAGAGAAGAGTCTCAAGATGAGTACGGCCCGTCTCCAGGCGACACCTCTCGCCTCAAGCTCAGGTGCCGGCTCTGGTGCAGGAAGGAAGCAACCTGAATCTCTCTGCTACCAACTCGCTACCCCCGCCAACGGCCCTGAAGAAATGGCCGATCTTCTCGATCCCGTCGTCACCAAATCCAAGAAGAAGGAACCCGCCGGTGGTATCGTCGTCGTCACGATCCTCAACACCTCATCGAGTGGCTGTCTTTTCCCTCTGGCCTGCCTTGTTCATTTCTTCACCTCATTCATCCCTCGTCCCATCATCTCTTTCCTTCAGAGCGATTCTTGTCTCGAGAAAAGCGTCAAAGCCATCCTGATGGAGGCCGAGACGTCAGCGCAGGGTCTCTTCCAAGGCTTGAAGCACGGCTTCTACCCCTCGACCGGCCGGAACCATCTTCTTCGCCTCCTCAACGTGTCCGGTTCCTCGGTAAGCCATCTCTTGATATTCCTCCATCTCAACTTCTCATTATCTGTCAACCTAACAACTTTCATCTCAGTGCAAGAGGAACAAGAACACGCCGGATGCGGGTCGCAGAGGCCTCCCCGAGCTCGACTACATCCTCTTCCAGGAAGGTCTCCCCTCCTACTTCGAACGTACCGAGCGTTACGACATCTTGCCCGGCGACCCGGTTGATTACCTGTTCGCAGCTCTCCCCCTGATCGAGGAAGACGATGCAGGCTTCAAAGGACACGAAAAGTCCGCAGATTACGATCGCCGCTTCGCTCTCGCTGTCTGGCCGTATGCCAACTCCGATGTCGAGGAGATCATCGCCAAGTCCAAGGACAAGTGCGCCTCCGACTACTGGTGGGCCGCTCGTTTCGCCTTCTCCCTCTGGAATCGATCCGACCTGTCCATTCGGTGCGCCTTCACCCAGCTCCTTGGCGAGATTGCAGCGTCCCGCTACGTCGAGATGGATGAGAAGCCGCCCGCTATCAAGCCGAACCACAATCACAGCGCAGCCGATGTTTCCCCTTGTCCCGGCACGGCATATGTCCAGAAGCATAGGTGGTTGAAGTATACGCGCTGGGTTTATCGTGGAAGAAAGGACGAGGACGCGGACATCAAGCTCCGCCAGAACTCCAAGTGCGACTTAGGGGAGCTTCTGGGCAAGGACGAGTGTGTCGTCTGCGGTCACCGGCGCCAGGAGCCTCGCAGCAGTACAAAGAAGAAGCCCATGCTCTACTGCAGCGGCTGCTACGTCGAGTGGTTCCCTCATCTTCGCCGTAACTACTGCGGCCCACAGTGCCAGAAGAAGGACTGGAAGAAGCACTTTGCCGAATGCCAGCGTCGCAAACACTTTATCCGAGCCGTCTTCATTCTGAAAGGCATCGCGGAAAAGTTCATGGCCACGACCTTTTCCGGCCAGGCCGTTGATATCGCCCCCACCGAGCCGTGTGGCAATAAGAGCATCGACGTTGACCGCGCCGGCGTTCCGCGCACCACTATTACCCCAGCTGCGTACGCTGTTGGACCCTGGATCGGTGAGCAGGTGTTCCCTCTCGGCCAGTCGTTTTTGGCGGAAAAGAGCCAGGAGGACCGTGAGAGGGCGTTGGCTTGGGATGCTGGCGACAACATTTACTACCACCTACAGCTTGTCATTCGCCAAATCATCAGCCGTAAGTTTCGCTATTAGTCCTTCTGTCCCCAATCTGTCCTCAATTTGTCCCGATATTGTATCCATCCCACGAGATATACGATATCAGAAGCTAACCAAATATGACAGCGCTCTGCGATAATGTGGTCGAGATGCAAATGTTTGTGCGCAACGCAAACACCGTCACCTCCTTTGCCAGTGATCGCTGCCGCGAAGGCCCCATCATTCACACCTCCAAGGGCAAGGACCCTATGTTCTGGCCTCATCCTGTCCTCAACTGCCGGCTGAAGGGAAGTGATGATTTGTTCATTATCGATCTGCTCGGAGCTAAGTTCGGCTTTGCCGACGTCATTCTTCCGGGCGAGCCATGGGTCAAGGCTAGGTACTCACCCAAAATATATACTAGACACAATCCCCATAGCGAGGATGAAGCTGACTAGAAGATCTTATAGACTCGCTTACTGCGTCTCCTCGACGGTTCTGAAGAACATGAAACCTCACTGGTATCCCCGTGAGCAGGAGGGTCTTATATCTTGCCGTGATGAGGTTGCCTACCTTTGGAAGGAGTGCATCAAAACCTACATCAGCAGCAAGTGGCCGAACATTCAGGGACCCTTTGCCTTGTCGCACCTCAAAGAACAACTGTTTCGCGAAAGAACTCACAGCGTCATGCTTTACTCAGATGTCATCTTCAAGGAGGCCACCGACCGCATCCGCGACGAGGGCATTTACCGACAATTCCTGGTCCACGACCCAAACCCGTACTCTCACGAGTTCAGAATTGGCGTTACCGACTCTCAGGAAGAGTGCGACCTCTACAAGGAGATCTGGATGGACCGGCGCGCCTACGACATTATCATCAAGAACAAGCTGAGCGAGCAGAACCAGCTGCTACCCCCCGGTTCCGAGACCCTCCGCCTCACGGCGCTCTGGGTCGATCGTCTGAGAAAGTACGGTGAGAAGAACAGGTTCGACTCGGTCAAGCTCCTCGGCCCCTGCATTGCCAAGCATTACAACATTCGCGCCGCGCACTCGTCGGAGGAGGACCGTGAGGTTTCGACGGCATGGCTCATGCACCACGGCATCTCCAAAAGTGCTGCCGACAAGTTCTTTGAGCAGTGCAAGGCCATAGTCAGCGAATGCATAAACTCGGGTGCAACCACGCCCGAGCTGATGCTGGCTCAGATGGCTATGCCCGGCGGTTTCTCCGAGTACACCAAAAACATGTCGATGGAGGATGCCCGGGACTTTGCGTCGATCGGAGCATTCCTCAACTCGCACAACGCCATGAAGGCCATGTCACAGATGAAGACGGAGATTTTGAAGCGAGTCAATGACAGGGGTTAAGGGAGGTCGTTGAGTTGGAGTTATTGGACTGTGATCAAGCTGGTTTAATTGTTGTGCCTTGAGATTCAATCTCCATTAGGGAGAAGAGTGACATGGAATGGTTCCTGAGAAGCAGAGGAGACTTGAAAATAATAATAACCATTGAGCTCAGTGACTGAAAGAGGAAATGTTTACTCTGCCTTACAGCTCCCTGCTCTGAGAGTTGAATGCTGAAGCATCGTCGAATACCTGTCTGTGATTGGCCAATCTATTCTTGCCGTTGGTGTCGTGCACGGACCACATGAAATTTGTCCGACTGGCGATTGAAGCTCGGGAGCTCCATCAACTTTTTCCCATCACCAGGTGCACCCCATCACGCACGCAGGACAGACATCTGCTGCCATCCAGACACGTACGGCTACCCCGCAGACAATATCAAAGACTCTCCGTTGTTCTCAATACTAACGAGATCGCTAGGATGCCACCGAGGTTACCACAGCAGGCCGCGCGCGCCCTGCGCAGGCTGGCGATGCCCTCAACCCCCGTCACACGATCCTTCACCACGTCGACCGCTTTCCTCGCCGCCCCAGCCGCCTCGAGCCACCCGTCGCTCCGCCTCCCCGCCGACTACGTTCCGCCCACGAAGCCCCCCTCCGCCCGTCCCCCCGAAACCCGCAAGTCCCAGCTCATCAGAACCTACACCTCGCTCCTCCGCACCACGCCCCTGATCCTCTTCTTCCAGCACAGCAACCTGACGGCCGACGAGTGGTCCGCCGTCCGCCGCGAGCTCAACAACGCCCTCGTCGCCGCCACCCCCGCGGGTAGCGCGAGCCCCCTCGACGGCCGCGAGGTCCACCTCCAGGCCCTGCGCACGCGCATGTTCAACGTCGCGCTCAAGCTCGCCGAGTTCTACGACCCCGAGGTCGCCAAGGCCAAGGCCGGCACGCGGACGGGTCCCAGGGGTCCCCTGGTGCACGATCTGAGTATGGCGGCCTACGAGGCGATGAAGGACTTTGAGGTCCCCGAGGACTCGGCCTACGCGCAAATCTCCCCCCTCCTCTGCGGTCCCACGGCGGCGCTGGTCTTCCCTGCCGTCTCGCCCGCGCACCTGGCCGCCGCGCTGAAGGTGCTGGCGCCGAGCCCGCCGGGGTTCGCGGCACCCGCGAGGAAAAAGAACCCGGGGTACTACGAGCCGCTGTGCCAGAGCGCGCTGCAAAAGCTGCTGCTCGTCGGCGGGCGGGTCGAGGGCGATGTCTTTGACGTGGATGGCGTCAGGTGGGTTGGCGGTATCGAGGGCGGTCTCGATGGGCTCCGGGCGCAGCTTGTGCACATGCTCCAGAGCGCCGGGCTCGGTCTTACTGCGGCTCTCGAGGGCGGTAGCAAGAGCCTTTGGTTGGCGCTGGAGGGGCGGAGGACGCAGTTGGAGGATGAGGGAAAGCCTAAGGAGAGCGTGGAGGAGACGAAGAGCGAGTAAAAGATTGTGTGGGGATGTGTATGATAGTGCTGTAAAAGTCTGTATTATCACGGGATACGGATCTCTACTATAGAGCTAAACTATTTGTTCATGGCATTTGAAGTTGAGCAGTTCGTGGGTCGATGGATTTGGTCAGTGACTAGTCGTGAAGATTCAACGCCTCTCCTTCAAGCAAGTTATGCTGGATTGTTTTTCAAGTTTCAGTTAATATTTCTGAAATAATACTGAACAGGTCGAGGCTGTGTAAAGGAAGGGGATTTAGGTACGTCGAACGGCTTCAGCAAGCCTCCTCCGTCAGCAAACAGGTAAAGCAGGTTTAATTAAGTCATAGAATTGATCAAACAACTGCGCTTCGTTAAATTGGCAACTTCTCTGGGAATCTAGCCTTCGGGGCTAACAGCCTCTCAAGCTTCGTTTCAGCCGCCTCAATCTAAGAGTGAGTTGGATGAGAAATGGGAGGTTGAGGTGAGTTCGATTTTAGCGGGCCGGCACCTCCAAATGCGGGGCGGGAGCCACCAACAATGACCGCTGCAGGCGACCTGCATGAACACGCCGCCGGACCGGGAAAAGACCCCTAATTAAGCCTGGAGCGTGGGTTCCAGTTGTGCTACTGCTACCTCCGCGTAGTACCTGACGCCATGGCATTGCGCGTTTCTGAGCTCCCAAAGTTCCCAAGCTGACGTACTTCGGCCTCGACAGCTCATCATCCAGCGAACATCCCCACGACAACACGGCGCTCACCAGCATACAACTATCTCGAGAACCCCACAATCGCTAAAGGCAACAACGAAGCCTTCCTCCCTTGTCGTGCGAAACCCCGCGTTCCCTTCACGCCCCAAACCTCGACAGCACAACAGAAATACACACCATGGACTTTGCTCCCTACCAGTCCTCCCCGCCGGAGCGCGAACGAGCCCTCTCCCCGCCTCTGGCGTCGCCTCGCGCCTCGGCTGACATTCGAAGACCGTTCTCGCCGTATGGCCAGCCGTCGCCCCCACCTCTGCAACACCCGCAACCGCAGCGCGGCTGGCAGCCGAATCTGCCAGGATCCTACCCCACGGCGGACGCGCACCGGGAGGGCGTGAGTGAGTTTGACACGAGCTTGGGGATCAGGCTGGACTACGAGGCTGCGCTGGCGTACTTGGCGTTCCCGCCGCTGGGTGCGATATTATTGTTGATTGGGGAGCGGAACAGTGATTATGTGAGGTACGTGGGATCTTGTTGTGTTGGAGGGCATTGGGAGCGTCTGAGCTTTTGCAAGAACAAGACGGGTTTTTGCTACGAGCGAGGCACTTTGCCGGGCATTTGATACTCGACTCTAGTTTTACTACGGATCGCTGACAGCAAGCAGGTTTCACGCATGGCAGTCCGCACTGCTGTTCACGGCCGTCATGGTCTTCCACTTGGTGTTCCTCTCCTGGTCCAAATTCCTAAGCTGGTTCTTCTTCATTGGCGACCTGTTCGTCATGGTGTGGCTGGCGTTGAGGGCCTACCAAGACGCGGATACGCTAGATAGGTACGTTGGGGGCAGAGAATGCGTCCGTTGCTAGGGGCCATGCACTGACGACTAATACTAGGTTCGAGGTCCCCGTGCTTGGCGCGCTGGCAAGCCGAATTCTTGATGATGAATAATGTTACGACAAAGAAGCCTGGGAAATGACTATCTTGTAAGACGGCGAAGGGCGTGCCTTGATGACTATTGTGCATATCATATACCCTTTTTAATCTGTCGGAGAAGAGGCATCTTGAACTTGTCTGGGCTGGCTTTTCTGTCTTGGTAGATGTACCGCGTTTTCTGTTTGAAAAGATGAGAGAGTTTTGAAACCAAAAGTGCAATCAAATCTTACCAAGGTCCAAGGTTGAGAATTGAGACCATCAACCTACAATGTTCCGTGAGCATTCAGTAACACAGTACAGTGTTCAGGGCTGTGTTTAAACAGGATGGAACACTGTGACCGGATCCGGTCGGACTTTCCTCCTAGCGCTTTCCGGCCTGGCCACTGGACGCACAGGGCAACACCAGGCTGATTACGCGACTGTTGCTTGCCTTGAGGTCCAGCTCGAGCCTCACTGCCAGTACCTCACCCACGCAGCTCCGAAGCTGTCCCTTTCTGCTCCATCACAACCCACGACGACACACCGGCATCGAACCGAACCAACCTCATCACCAATCCCCTTCACGCTTTGACGATAGAAACGGCGAATTGTAACTTTGACGAACGCTTACATTTAATACCCTCCCCGTCCCACACACCCCGCCACCATGTCGACCCTTGAAGAGCTCGACGACCTCGATCGTCAGGACAAGAACGACAAGAGAGAGGATGGCGACAAGGATAAGAAGGACAAGAAGCCTTCTGCCGACGGTGATGCTGAAATGGAGGATGCCGAAAAGGAGGAAGACATCCTGGACGACGAGATCCTGAACCTCAGCACTCAGGACATCCAGACCCGCAAACGGCTGCTCGAGAACGACTCCAGAATCATGCGCAGCGAGCTGCAACGGCTGACGCATGAGAAGGCGACTATGGGGGAGAAGATCAAGGAGAACCTCGACAAGATTGCAAACAACCGGTATGCACCTCCCTTCCATCCGCCCAACAATGACGACACGGACAACTGACATACTTCACCCTTAGGCAATTACCTTACCTTGTGGGCAATGTCGTCGAACTTCTCGACCTCGACCCTACTGCCGAGTCATTGGAGGAGGGTGCCAACATCGACCTGGATGCCACCCGTGTGGGCAAGTCCGCAGTGATCAAGACATCCACAAGACAAACCATCTTCCTCCCGTTGATCGGCCTTGTCGACCCTACGACCTTGAAGCCTGGCGACCTTATTGGTGTCAACAAGGACTCTTATCTCATTCTCGATACGCTCCCGGCCGAGTATGACAGCAGAGTCAAGGCCATGGAGGTGGATGAGAAGCCGACAGAGAAGTACACGGACGTTGGTGGTCTCGACAAGCAGATCGAGGAGCTGGTCGAGGCCATTGTCTGGCCTATGAAGGAGGCGGAGCGGTTCAAGAAGATTGGCATCAAGGCGCCAAAGGGTATGTTCCGAACCCAGAGATTCTCACGGTGGGATACTGATGATGAACAGGTGCCCTGATGTACGGACCCCCCGGTACCGGAAAGACGCTGCTGGCTCGAGCCTGTGCAGCACAAACCGACGCTACATTCCTCAAGCTTGCAGGCCCCCAACTGGTTCAGATGTTCATTGGTGACGGTGCTAAGCTTGTGCGCGACTGCTTCGCCCTGGCCAAGGAGAAGGCCCCCGCGATTATCTTCATTGACGAGTTGGATGCCGTCGGTACAAAGCGTTTCGACAGCGAGAAGAGCGGTGACAGAGAAGTGCAGCGAACTATGCTGGAGCTCCTTAACCAGCTTGACGGGTTCGCATCAGACGACCGTATCAAGGTGCTGGCTGCTACCAACCGTGTGGACGTCCTGGATCCCGCGCTGCTTCGTTCAGGCCGTCTCGACCGAAAGATTGAGTTCCCCCTGCCGAACGAGGAGGCGCGTGCGCAGATTCTTAAGATTCACTCTCGCAAGATGAGGGTCGACCCCGCCGTCAACTGGGGTGAACTGGCCCGCAGCACGGATGAGTTTGGTGGTGCCATGCTCAAGGCCGTTTGCGTGGAGGCCGGCATGATTGCTCTGCGAATGGGCAAGAACAAGATCAGCCACGAGCACTACGTGGACGCCATTGCCGAGGTGCAGGCCAAGAAGAAGGACGTACGTGCTATTATCTGCTGCTCCGGGACTGCATGCATACTGACTCTTTCCAGACGGTTAACTTCTACGCTTAATCCATTCACATGTTGGGTGGTGCCGCTGGGTATCTGGGGTTATTGCTTCTGGCGGGAACGGGAATGCATAGAGGAGTCGAATGCGATAGACAACAACTTTGTACGATTACCACGGACACTCAAGCGGCTCTATAGGAATGGAAAGCAGGGTTGGCGTGATCCCAGCAAGCGGTCCAACAGTGTCCTGCTGATATTTACCGGGTCGGATAATGCCATCTGTGAATCCGATGTCTGAACATGGGGAAGTGAGGCCTCTTGCCAAGTGGCAAATTCACCGAGGGCCAGCAGTCATCCGTATTTGGATACGGTGAAGGAGGCGGCGAGATATCCTGACCTGAAGCTGACGATGGTTATCGAAGATCGGCGCGTAAGAAGCGAAGTGAGAATCAAACACGCGTTCAGCTATGTGACCTCCAAAAGATTGACAAGTTGTCAGGAACACTCGCGAGACACCGAATCTGGGGCTACTGCAGGTTGGAAAGACCATGTCTAGCTGAGGACGATCTCTTCTGCGAGGCCAGCACAGGGTTGAGTCGAGCAGGCATTCGGGATGGCTGTACGAATGCGCGCGTCCTGAGTTACAGCTCCTAGCAAGGCCATCGATCCGTTACGTCGTCGCCATCCGTTCATCCGTGCCTATCTCCCCACTTGGGATGAACGGCCAATGACGAGGGCCAATGGCAATTCACGGAGGGGATTTGAAGGGGGTTACAAGCACGGCCAAGGAGCCGAGCATCCCTAGCATTGCGTAGTAAGTTCCTATATCGCGTGGCGTTGTATACCTACCTTGCCTAAATCCCAAGTCTCTTCCGTGTGCCGTTCTCAGAGCATCATTGGCGGCATGGAAGCTGCGACTTTTGATTACTCTTTAGTTTCTGCCATTGACAGGCAGATAGGGACGTAGGTGAGAAGGATTTGAACAGCCTTGGGTGGTTGCCAGGCCTTGGTTCTCTCCGAAAAGAAGGCTGATCCTTGCCTGGTTTGGGGTCGCTTCGAGATTCGGGTGGTGGACAGGGGAGCTCAAGATGGAAATCAAGTCCTAGCGCGCTCCCTTTTTTGTGGCTTTTTTTTTTCTTCTTCTCCATCAAGCATTACACGGCATTTGTCACGACTGCAGATTCGCTGTGAAGGGTGACAGCTCAGAGCCTTGAGAAGTTGATGGTGAGAAGACGGGGTGACATCGTGGGAGGCGAGTTTGTCCTGCCCAGTGTTTTTTCCTTGATGTGTCCAAGTGGAAGTGGAAATTCACAACGCATGACGGTTGGGCTACCGGCACGCTGCCCTGCTCATGTTGAGTAGTACTGGTGTCATGCAGTCCGGCGCTGTCGATGCAGGTTCAGAGTTCTAGCATGCAGCTTCGGGACTTTTTTTTTTTTTTTCTGCCCTCCTTCGCTGGTGACTGCTGTTGTGCTCCAGCCTCTGGGTGTCATGGTCTCATGTTAATGACACCGTACCGTTGCGGCGTGGAGATGGGAGGAGGTGTTACCGAGAGTTCGGACCGTGGCCGGGGGTGTGGAGGGGAGGCGAGGCCGATGACGCCACCGCGGCTGAGGGGCGGAAACCAGGCGGAAGAGAGGAAGAAAGACAGAGGGAGTAAAGCTTATTCCCCTTTCCCCTTGCGCCTATTTTCACTACCTTCTTCGATGCATTGCGTGATGGCAAAAGTCTGCGGTTAGCCCTATGGGGTGAGACAACATTTCGGCCCCCCGATCTGGAGCGAGTTTAGGTAGGTAGCTATTGCGGCCGGCCCCATCTGCCGCCCGGGCTCCACGTCCGACTTCACGGCTACGTACCATGTCAAGTACCTACCCGTGCTACGTCAGGTACTAAGAGAAGAGGTCTGGCGGCTAAAGTTCCGTGGTTGATCGTCATAATCATGCACTCCTTCCCCGGTACGAGCTGAAATACGCTGTGTTGATCAGTACTTTGTCTTTCACAGCTTTTGTTCATTTCCAATTTCCTCATTTGATCTGCAAGAGGCTCAGGTCGGTCTATTGTTAGAACGCTTGACACGTTTTTGAGAGTCCTCTAAGCGGTCAAGATTGGCCATGGTCCAGCTGTCCAGGGGAGGACCAGTCTACCAGATGCAAGATGCAGCAAGTAGTCGTGGCGTCGATGCTGATCTTTCTGGCTTGAATGGGAGACCCGCTCAGCCACTGATTGTCCTGCCGTTGGACACGAGGGGATCGTCGACTGTTGGAGAGAGGGCAAAAAAAAAAAAAAAAAAAAAAAGGAGAATTGAGGCAAAGACAGTCTTGGTTGCCCAACTCCCAACGGTCAAGGCCGACAGCATACAAAGGTACCTTGGCCAGTCACTCACTAGTCACCGTTTGGCAGCTAGCATACGCCGAAATGACGCTCCTTTTCCCCCTTCCAGAGGACCAATCAAGGATGGAAGACTTCTTCCAGGGAGGGTGGCAGGGCGTGTACTTGAGTGGTGTGTATTGTGCGCGTGTGCCAAGTGTGCGTGGTATGAATACCGGCAGTTAAGATGCAGGGGAGCGGCACATATAGCTCCTCTCCTACCCTCCCTCCCTCCTCCTCCTCCTCCCCGCTTTCCTCCTAGTCATGGGCTCCCGTAGGCGCGGACCAACGACATGTCGGGACGTTTGTGGTTTTTCGTTTGGCTGTTTGTTAGTTCATTTGCTGGGGGGAACCCCAGTCGTGCCCGCGTCCCCTTCCTTGGCCATGATTTGATCAAGTCCTTATTTGCCTGCCGGTGCCGTGCCGAATATTCCATGCGGCTGTATTGCGATGAGGTCAGACCCGGTTGGGATCTAGCGCATTGGGGAACTTATGCTACCTTATCGGAGCCTCTTGGTCCTCTCGCCACCGCGACCCACGATAGACTGCTGCTGCGGCGACGATCCCTATTGTCCTCGGGTTTGGGAATGGGCAATGCAATGCAGTGCAGTGCGGTGCAATGTAGTATAAGGTGAGCTGAGGCGAGGCGAGGGGAGGTGAGACGAGGTAAGCCCGGATATTATCCCATCTATACTACCATCCTCGCCCCGATCGCCGCAACCCCAGCTCTCAATCCTGCCTTCATCCTCCACCATCACCATCTTGATCCCTACGAGGTACCTCAGCTCTCAGCCAATCTTGAAATCCTGTTCTGGCAGAACCTCCCAAATGAATAAATGCGGTTCAGGGACCACAAGCAGGCCAGCCTCCCCCGGACCGCGACTCGGAAAGAATTCACCGGCTTGGTCCGATCTGGGAAAAGAAGAGCGTAGTACTTGACGTAAGCGCGCCGCCGCAACGCCCATCTGGGCTGTCAAACTGCAGACAGACGAGGCAAGCAAGGAATAAAGTGTCCGTTTCTGGGGGAGGGAGCAGCTAGCTAGCGGTACCTACTGGCTGGGGTCCGCGGCCGTTTTCTGCCATGCGAGATTGGGGCTCATGCGTTGGTGTTTGCTAGTTTTGATTCTGGAAGAGTACCTCACTGCGAATGTCTGTGTGTATGGCTTGTAAGCCCCCATGTCTCTATTGTTCAAGATCACGCCCACACGCCCCGCCCCACCTTTTTTTCGTGTTTGTCTCTGCCATGTTCTGGAACGAGGCGCTGTCGTTGAGGTTTGGGCCCGGGGTTGGTTCTGCCACTGTCGTCAGTGTTAATCTGCTTACGCCTATGCTCTGGTAGTCCGCCCAAGAAGTCATGGGGCTTGGTAGCGATATCTCGTCGCGTCGTCATTGTCGGTTTGATGTTTGAACGCCATGTCACGCTGAGAGCATCAGAGGACTCATGTGTCAGACAGCGGTTCGGCCCATGTTGTCGGTCTATTACTATTATCCACATTCTTTTTCCACTCTCTCTCTCTCTATCTCACTCTCTGCGGACGTTTACACAGATTATTCCGGGGTAAGTGAAAAGAAAAGGGCATCATCTTGTTTCCTGTTCGAGGACCATTGTTCATGTAGAGTTCAGGTCGAATGGACCACCACCGTTAGGTTCTTGCATCCGAACCCGGCGTCAGAGCAACCGGGGGTTGCGGACAATTCACGGCGCTATGCAGATGCGGGTGGCATTATACATGCCTGTCCCGCAGACGACGCAGTCTCCATTGTCGCGGGCTTGGGATGGGATGTCCCCCGATGATGATTTGTGCCTGCGTCCCCCGGTGACCCCGACACCTCCAACTACGAACCCCCGTCATCCCAAGACTAAGGACCGATTGACGACCACGTCGATTTTTCCCCTACTCCCATGCTCCGGGAACTACCACTATTGTCCTTACGTTTGCTGAACGGCGGTTGGGTAGTCTTTTAGTCAGAGGCTCTACTGAGTCCGCTCTGTTGTCTTTTCGTCCACTTATACGATGAAGCCCACTTCCATTCTTCTTTTGCTGATGAATGGTGTGGGCAACGACAGCCTATCATGTGAAGAAGATGGTCATTTGCTCGCCAAGGTCACGGCTGAACGGCCGCAGCCGGCTGAGAGGTGTGTGTACTCGGAGTACATGTGGCAACCTTGAGGAGTCCCACTGGCGATTTCAGGTACCGATCCGAGTAGTCTCCTTAACACCTCCATCACTCTCAACAATAGGGGGCAGACTGCGACTAGAACCACCCAGCTACCTTGCAGGCCCTACACTCGGCTACCTCCCATGATCTGTCTCTTCACATTGTCGAGTCCTGGTCGAATATGAGATCGACAAAAGCCGTCTTCGTCACTCCACAACTGAAGAGGGGCAGGGGGGGGGGATATAGGTGTTCCCCGTCTAAGACGGTTGGAGCCATCACGATGTCACCCTATTCAGGGATTGGAACATTGGTGGTCTTCGAGCGCGGCGCGAGCGCTTCGTCTGCTTGGTAAACTTGGTCAGAGGGACATCATCATAGAGACGGGAGGCCTGTGACGAAGGTCAAGACGAACTTCTTGACTTGTCTTTCGAGGCTGTCTTCTCGCGGCTGAAATATCTATATAAGAAAGCACGTCAGTCCCCCGTTGACACCATTCTCCTTTCTACTCTTCAGCCCATCACTTCCAACAAGCCTCTTCTACAGCTTCACTAGTTTCTTACCTATTAAACCATCACACACTTTGCCCTAAAAAAATAAGACACCCGTCTCAACCAACACCGCCACAATGAGAGTCACCATCGCCCTCACCGCCCTCTTCGCCGGCGTCGCCCTCTCGGCCCCCGTCGAGGAGCGCCAGGCCGTCTACGTCCCCTGCTCCGGCCTCTACGGCACCTCGCAGTGCTGCGCGACGGACGTCCTGGGCGTCGCCGACCTCGACTGCGGCAACCCGCCCGAGGCCCCCACCTCGGCCGATGAGTTCAGCTCCATCTGCTCCGCCATCGGACAGCGCGCCCGCTGCTGCGTCCTGCCCCTTGTGAGTCCCCTTGCCTCGGAATCGGACATATTGCACATGATGCTAACAGACGACCACAGCTTGACCAGGGAATTCTCTGCAACACCCCCACTGGTGTCACCGACTAAAACGTCTCGTGTTGGGGGTTCATTCTTGAAGCCAGCGATGCTTCAAGGGTTGGTGTGCGAGCTTCTTGTGTGGGATGAAGCACCTTGTGCCTTGGGAGCTTTGTACGAGTTGGGGAGGATGTAACGGTACTCTTGATTCGACATATACGGGCAACAATTGTTATACATACTGGGATGGAAGGTGGGAGGAAGAAGGGGCGGGGGGGGGGGGGGTGTGTTGTTGTTTTTGTGGTTGGAAGAGATGGGTTGGAGGGGAAGAGGTTTTTGGATATTAGGAAACAATAATGTAGAGATAGATAATGATTGAAGGGTGAGAGGAGGGGGGGAAGGGGGGGGGGGGGGGGGGGGGGGGGGGTTGGTTCAGGGGCGGAAAAGGCTTGGAGTCTATGAGGGCTATGTAGGCTGTTCTCGCAACTTGTACAACAGCTATGTCTAGAGAAACGACTGTTTTGACTAAGTCTGTCAACCTTGCCTATGGTGAACGGGTTGAGACGGTCTTTGAGTGCATGGTTTGTGCAGGTGCGTTGAAGGCATCAACATTACAACATCAGAGCTTCACAGCAGAGTACAACCTCGCGATGGACGACTTACACACTTAGATGAGGGATGTATTAGAGTGAGTCTGATCTTTTCGGGAAGTTATGATTCAGCGATGTATCCTGCTCTGATGCTAAGTCAAAATGCTACCGCTTTTAACATAGAGCAACGCGAATAGCAAGAGTTCGTACCGTGTCATGAGGGGTCTAACAAGTACAAGGCAATAATATCACAGGATTTAAGTGCGCACTCTCAGCTGTATTAGTAGACTGCTGGAGGTTTCTCTCAATGCCTCATATTGAGGGTCAAGGTTTTGCAAAAACACGCTTCCTTACGGCAAACAGAACACTTAGCTAACATTTCGATCAGACGCATGATTCAAAGCGCAGGGCTCGAGATGGTCAAGTCACAGCGAAGAACACCACAATTTATGTCTCTTTGGCTAAGATCGAGCGGAGAAAGAGCAGCTGTTTTTGGGGGGTAATAAAAGAAAAAGAAAAAAAAAGAACCAACCACAGTCAGTCAGCAGTTGCATCGCAGCACCAGCAGGGAAGAGCAATGACGATGATGGACCGGTCCAGGCCCTCGTTCGGTCTAGCAGTCTCGGTGAGGCATGTGAGTTTGCGGTCGGGGGAGCATTGACCGCCAGCTGGCGGCCTGTTCCCCACACATCGGCCCCGTCCGTCCCATCACTCAAATGGAAGCAGGCACAACCACCTTGTTCTCTGGTGACTGCCAAGGATCACGATGAGGACGAGCTCGGTGGTGACGGGTGGTGGCGGTGCGGAGAAGTGGCTTATTTTTCCCTCTTCAATCTCCATTGTTGACTGCGGGGTTAGCTCAGAATGACATCACCGGAGCAATTGGTCCTAGAGCAGAGCCAGTGGGCGGGCAGGGAGTAAGACAGAGCTCGCAGCTTCCCGCTGGAGGTGAGAATGACATGGGAAGTGCACCTCAACTTTCCACCTGCCTCGGGTGCGTTAGGGTTCGGTCAAAATGTTGAGCTTCAACCCGTGGACTCGGTTACCAATACATGTAGAAATATAAAGCCATCTCGAGTCTTTAATCCAAGACGACAATTCAAATATCTCAGTCTGACGGCATGAATGGAATTAAGGTCTCCCCCGTTTTTCCCATCAAAAAAATGGTTTCACCGTCCTGGCTCCAAACTGACCTGCAACCTTAATGTTCAGCGCTATGCACGTTGCAGAGGGTACGTACCGTGCCGCACGAAGGCTCAACCACCCGGACACCGCAGCAAACCCGCACCGCGTAGGTACCTAGTCGGAAATCCACTAGACAGGGGTGGTAGCTACGTCATGCTGAACAGAGATGAGCTTCACGGAGCTCTCTGAATGGCTGACGAGGGCAGAGAGCTTTTGTTGTTGCCCTTTCCCGCATCGTCTCTGAAGCACATCATCGTGGCATGTGGCCTGTCCCGGCCGGTGCCATTGCATTGAATTGACGTGACCAGCTTCATGGCTATTGTTGCTGCCCCGATTGCTTCCTACCAAGTGGTAGCTGGGCATCCCTCTCCCTCTCTCAAATTGATTCTCAGTTGCCTGACAGTTACCTGAGGGAGCTTGGGCGCGCCAACGAGTGTGTGCGTCCTTCTCTTTGTTTTATAAGAATGTCTCAACTTCTGACCCGGCTACCTACCTAGGTACTACAAACACTATGAACAGAGAGCCAGGAAATGAGAGAAAGATGAGGCAGGTGCAATCAAATCAAATCGAAGCAGGGGCGGAGCTCCTCGTCACTCCTTCGACTGCAAGCCAGGCAGGTGCGACTATCTTATAAGGTAATGTACAGCAATGCACCTTACCCAGGAAAGCACCTCAGGCAAGAGGCAAAGTACGTATGTATGTACGTACAAGCGTCCGCTCCTTCCTCCACGGCCTCGAATGTCACGGCCACCTCAGCAACCAGATGGGATGCACCTAAATGCAGCCACAATTTCCCCCCAAGTGCACTGCAGTGACGTGATGGATTCCTGCCGTGAATTGGATCATCCAATCCGTGGACCATTGGGTGACGATTGCGCTTAACGCTTGACGCTTGCCTACCTTGGGTTGACCCAAGGCCCCTTCTCTGTCCGCCTCTCCTCCCTGTCGTCAACTTGCCCGCCTAGGTATTGCCTGCACCTCCACGCCACATCCATCTTCCCCAGGGCGTACACTTTGCCTCCCAATCTTCCCTGCACACACACACGCAGCTTGCCATCCCGCCTCCCATCGACACAACAAAAACCACCTACACCCTTGGCAACCTCTTCCCCGAAGTTTACTCGTTTGTTTCTTCCTCTCTACATCAAAGCTCTGTGATTTCTCCATCTTCTCAGCTCTTTCCAGACCTCTTTATTTTCCGTGATACCCCCATCTCTGGCTCTTCATTGCAAGACTGATCGCAAACCACCATCATGCGTTTCCTCCCCGCCGTCCTGACGGCTCTGGCTGCCCAGGGCGTCATCGCGAGCTCTTGGTTCTCCAAGGCCGGTACGTCATATTTGACTTTTATACGCTCTTGAGTTGAGTGTCACAAAACTTACAACGTTACCCGCAGCCTACAACAAGTGGCACGAGACGGAGCTTGAGCGCTGGCTCTCCGACCACGATATTCCCTATCCTACCCCCGCCGACCGCAAGGATCTCGAGAAGCTGATTGAGAACAACTGGAACGACTACGTCGTCTCCCCTTACAACTTGTGGGACACCGACCGTCTTCAGACCTACTTGAAAGCCAAGGGTCTCGAGACAGAGGGCGCCGCCAAAGCCAACAAGGAGTCTCTCGTCTCTCAGGTTCAGAGCTCTTGGTATGAGACGGGCGACCAGGCTCAGAACGCCTACCTCAACGTCAAGGACTGGATCTTGGACAGCTGGACCGACAGCCAGCTCAAGGCCTTTGCCGACAAGCACGGTATTCCCGGTATGTCCACGCGCCGCAATCTTGGTACCACAAGTAAATGAGACTGACATCATTCTAGTCCCCCAACCCCGCAACCGTGACAGCATCCTCCAGAAGGCCCGCGCCAACTATGAGACCATTGCCCAAAAGGCTGGCGAGACTGCCTCTTACCCTGGAAACTGGCTGTACGAAACCTGGTCCGGTATGTTTCAACATCATCTTTCTTGTCGATGCAGAGCTAACCATCCTTTCAGAGTCTGACTTCAAGGAGTGGCTCGATACTCATGGATTCCCTGCCCCTCAGATTACCAACGTAAGTGCAGTGAAGAGCCCTGTGCAATGCGCATGCGCTAACTCCTACACAGCGTGACAAGTTGATTGCCTCTGTTCGCCGCAACTCCCGTCTTGCCTCTCTCAAGGCTCAGGAGCAGGCTGCCAGCGCTTCCGCTTCCGCCCAGAAGGCCTACGCCACTCTCACTGACCTGGTCATTGACGCCTGGAGCGAGTCCCAGCTCAAGGAGTTTGCTGACAAGAACGGCATTCCTGGTAGGAAACTCATGCTACCCAATACTCGGTGCCCCACCACTAATAATCTGTAGTTCCCCAGGGTACCAAGGCCAACGAGCTGAGGGCTCTTGTACGCAAGCACCGTGCTGACTTCCTCAACCCCAACATTGCCGGCAAGGCCTCCAACGCTTTCGGTGCTGCTACCTCCAACGTCAACCAGGCAGCCGCAAAGGCTACCGATGCCATCTCCAATGCCGCTACCGAGGCCTTCAACGAGGCTGTTGGTACTTGGTCTGAGAGCCGTCTTAAGGGTTACCTCGACTCTCGCGGTGTTCCCGTCCCCCAAGGATCCAAGACAGATGAGCTCCGTGCTCTTGTTCGCAAGAACCAGCACAAGGCCGCCACCGGCTGGAGCGCCTGGACTTATGATGACCTTTCCACCGAGAATCTTCGCAAGTACCTTTCTTCCAGCACTGACGCTGCTATCAAGAATGTTGCCGACAAGAAGGACGCTACCCGAGACGAGCTTGTGAACGCTGCTCAGTCTGCTTACAGCTCTGCCTCCTCTGCCGGCGGTACCTCGTACGCCTCCGTCACCAGCTACCTGTCTCAGGCCACCGACACGGTCAAGTCCAACTTCTTTGACACGTGGAGCGAGAGCGAGCTCAAGAGCTACCTCGACAGCTACGGTGTCAAGATTCCCCAGGGCTCCACCGTCAATGAGCTCCGCGCCTACGCTCGCAAGCAGTACACGTACTTCAAGTACGGTACCTCGACTCCTTCCGAGACTCTCTTCGCTAAGATTGCAGAGAATGCCAAGGACACCTGGAACTGGGTTTCCAACCAGATTGGTCTGGGAGCCGATGCTGCTCAGAAGAAGGCCGCCGAGTCCAAGGACAAGATCAAGCAAGAGCTGTAAATGCACTTGACATGTTTTAATTGATACCCATCTCGTATGAGGATGGCATTGGTGACTCTTAGTCACGTTGATGACGGATGACAAAATTTGGTTTTCGGCTTGCTTTATCAATGATTTTGCTTTGGGAAATGGCTTGGTTCGGAGGGGATACCTTCAGGTTCCTGGGGTAGAATGGCAATCGATTTCGAATGCCTCGATCAAGCCTCTATGAGCATGGGCCAGGACTGTACACTATTCAATTAGGGATGAGCCATGAGATTAATCATTCAGAGCACTGGAACTGGCAAGATTGTGATTTTGGCTACCTGAACTACTCACCATGCCAATGCCCTTGTTAACTTCATTCGTCCTTTCGTTTTTGCGTCCCTCGCTCTCTCTCTCTCTCTCTCTGAACGTGATGAATAGCGCATATTGATTGATGAACCATCACACGATGCATCCCACCTTGCTAAGATAACTCTGCCAAAGTGACTACCAAGGGCCACTGGTCTCAATAATGATTATCCACGATATAGACCTTGGCTAGTGCCCAAAACTAACACTTTTGGTATTTGAAAGGAACAACAACAACCCCCAACCCCCAAACCCCCCTTTTCCGAGATTCCCTTCTACCGAAAATGCAATTCGTATCCCATACCACCACGCAGCCATGAGCTCAACAAAGGCAGCGTTTGCCGCGGTCCACCCCCTCCCTATCTTGAGAGAACGCCCTGGACGGTCCCCTCCAGGCTGGGCTTGTTATCAAAGACCACTTCTTCGATACCCGTGTCGCCGCCGGTGCCCTTCTCCAACCAGCGTGCGAGGAGGTCGTTGCTCTCCTTTGGTTTCACGGCGTCGTCGCGGGTGCCGACTGTGATGTGGGCGACGTTGTTTGTGCACTTCCACTGGCCGGTGGGATCGACCAGCCGGACGACTATCGCCATGACGCGGTCGTCAAAGACCACCTATAACAAAAATGTTAATGGATGAAAAAGGAAAACCAGATCAAGGACGAAAAGTGCTTTGCTTACCCGCTCGAGCTCGACGGAGCACTCGCCCAGGGGGCGGATGCTGGCCTGGTCCTGTGTGCCGTTCGCCTTTTCCGCCTCGGCGTGGAGGGCCAGGTACTTTTCCCATAGCGCCGGGTTGTCCTTTGAGCTGGCGCGGTGCATGAGCGTCACGTGGAACTTTGGCTGCACGCGGCGGGTCTGGTAGAGCTGCTTGTAGAAGCGGGAGGTGGAGGCGTCGACCTTGTTGAAGGCGCCGTCGAGGACGCCGCGGACCTCCTGGGACTGCACCTCGACGGACATGTATTCGAGGGGCTTCTTCTTCTTCGTCTTGGGCGCCTGCTGCTGGCCCTGGCCCTGCTTGTCCTTGCGGGGACCGCGGTCGGGGATGTTGTGCTTGAAGTCGGGTTTGTACTCGATAAAGGCGGACTCGATGGCCTTGTCGAGGCGGTCGGCGGAGGGGACCTCGGTGACGAGGTTCGGGTACATTCGGTGCAGCTCGGTGATGACCTTTTCGAGGTTCTCGCGGCTGCCGGCGGTGGGGTCGAGGTGGATGACATTGTCGAAGCCGTCGTCTGGCGGGGAGAAGGCGGAGAGGGGCTCGAAGCGGCTGATGAAGCCCTCCATGACGCCGAGGAACTTTGACGCGTCGGTGGCGGCGTGGATGGTCTGGTGGTTGTCACCGCGGGCGATGACGCGCTCCTGGGTGATGCGCCGGACCTCGTCCAGGTTGGAATCGTCGTGGTCAAAGTAGAGGGCGACGAGGCGGGCCGTCCGGTGCTGGACTTTTACGTCTGTGAGGATCTGTTTGCGCTCGTGCTTCTGGGCGTTGTTGCGGTCGGCGATGACGACGGGGTGGTCCTTTAGGAGGTCGAGGATGGCCTTTGTGAAACGAGGCGGCCGGCCCTTGCCTGCAATGTTGTCGTTCTGGACATGGCCCCAGTTGAAGAGGCGCTGGAGGGCGACGGCGATGGTGGTCTTGCCGCAGCCGATAGTCGCGATGGGGCACAGGATCACGTCCCTAGAGACATCGGCGTTGACGTTGCCGGGCTCGTCCTCGAGCTCCAGGTTGGCGGCGTCGGAGCCCTTCATGTTCTTGTAGGCGAGGAAGTCGTTGCGTAGGGCGATGATGCCGTGGTTCTGCTGGTAGAGCTTGGCGAGGTTGGGGTCGGCCTGGAGGCGTCGGCGGGCGTAGAGGAGGTACTCTTCGGTGATCTTGACGTGCTTCTTGTAGCGGGGCGCTTTCCCGGAGATCATGGATTTCGTGCACTCTCGCCACTGGCGGTACATCAGATAGGGTTCCTCGAACTTGTACTTGAAGAACCAGTCGCGGTAGGGGACCGATTCCGGGTTGTGACTCTCCTTGCAGCGGATGACGAAGCCCTCGACGTCGCGGTCGCCGTAGGCGCCCGTCTCTGCCACCTCCTCGAGGAAGGACTTGACCTCGTTGACGTCGTTCATGACGATCAAGCCCACCTGCTTGAAACCCCAGTCGTTGCCGAAGCTCTGAACAAGGGCGCTGGGGTAGGTCGCGAACTCGGGGAGGTTCAGGTTGATGCCGTGGATGTAGAGGCCCGCCTTATCTGGGCCGTACTCGAGGATGTGCTCCTCAAAGGAGTCGTCGCAGAGCTCGGCCACGGCGGTGGCATTCCGGCGCCGCAGTTCCCTGGCCAAGTCTTCCTTTGTCTTTCCCAGGGCAGCGAGCTGCTGCTCAATCATGCGCTCTCCGGCAGTAGCATGGCTAAGCTCGGCATCGGCCCTCTCACCCGTCGAGTGCTTGCTGCACACCAGCAGCGTCCCATCTTCCAAGCCGGAAATGAAGATGATGCAGCCGTTCTCCTTGAGGGTGAGTTCGTAGGGGCCCTTTGTCCTCGGAATGATGTTTTCCCACTTTGTCTCGTGAACCTCGCCGACGTTGAAGAACTTGTCGTAGCCGCGCGTCACAATCTCATGCTCGTTCTGGCGGTTCCTTGCGGTGAAGAGACCTCTGGCGTATGTAGGCAGGCCTCGCTTCTTGTAGTCCCATTCCTGCATCTTCCAGGAGTCGACAGCGACGCCATCCTGGGAGTTCTTGACGTCAAAGGACGTCTTCTTGCAGGAGAAGCCGCCGCCTTTTGACTTTGCAAACTTGTTGTAGGCCTTTGCGTCGTTGAGTGCGTGCACCATCTCCGAGACCTTTCCGGCGTCCTGCGGGACGTAGGGGACCTTGGGCATGAGTGCCTCGGCCGTGGCAGCGCTTGTCGTCGCCATTGCTGTGTTGAAGATGAGAGATTTGTTAAAGTTGAGGGGAGATGGTCTAGAAGCAAAGAAAAGTGCCCGTCGGGCTATGAACATGAGTAAAGACAGGATAAGCCACTTGAATTGTCCTTTTCTGGTCTGAGAGAAGACAAAGTTGTATGGAGATAATCTCACTTGACCGTCCGTCGTAGGAGGGTGAGATATCCGTTCGTTTTGTAGTAAGAGAGAACAGAGAAGTAAGACTAATCCCTGTCAGCCTTGGGACTGGAGCAAGGTGAACGATCAGGTACAGACCGCAGCAAACAGAGGTGAGTCACTATTACTGGCTCCTTTGGGGAGTGGATGAGGGAAAGTTCCAACTTGGTGTCTCGATCAAGCGGCCTCAGCTCAAGGTATGGGCGTGTAGCTACACCTTGAGGGGTGGGGCATGAAAGAGTAAGAGAGTGCGCGCGAGAGAGAAGCAGAGCCCTCAAGCTGTGCAAGTTGAACCCTTGGACGTCGGTAGTCACACCGGAGGCCAATCGACTTGTTGGAGAGAAATGGTGTGGTGGTTTGTGCCTGCCTGGTGTTGGTGTGCCTTGCGCTTTCCACATTGGGCGGTTACTTGGGCTGGGAGGAGCGCCACCAGCGTTGGATTCGGGGGCTTGGAGGGGCACAGTCCCAAAGTCCCAGGGCCTCCAACCCCCGGCTCTGCAGCTTACCTCATCTGAATTAGGAAAGCGGTAAGGCAATCTTGGAGGGGTTATGCGTCACGCCGGGAGCTCCCCTCGTATGGCAGAAAATTTCCAACAGCAACACGGCAACATTGTTGGACGAAAGAAAAAAAAAGTCCACCATTGAGTTTGGCCTCAAATTCTCGATCAAGAGTCGTCCCTGAAATCTTTCACAAGTTCACATCTTGACCAAACCAACCATGGCCCCCAATCCCTACCTCTTGGCTGCCGACAACCCAGATGCCCTGCTCACCCTCCTCCGCGAGAACCCCGCCATCGCCTCCGGCCAAGATGAGCACGGCTACTCCCTCGTCCACGCCGCCGCGAGCTACAACCACCTCGAACTCCTCCGCGCACTGATCCGCGAGTTCAACGTCAACGTCGACATCAAGGACGAAGACGAGGAGACTGCGCTCTTCGTCGTCGAGACCGTCGCCGCCGCCAAGTGCCTGGTCGAGGAGCTTGGCGCCGACATTAATGCCAAGGGCGCCGACGGCATCACTGCTAGCCAGAAGATCGAGGGCGAGGGAGACTACCCCGAGGTTGCCGAGTATCTGCAGGGTATTGAGACACAGAGAATTGCCTCTGCCGCCGCCGCTGCAGAAGCTGCCGCTCCTGCTTCCAACACCGATACTGCCGATACCGCCGCCCCACCCATTGATATGCCGCCCGTCCCCGAAGGTCTCGCCGTGACGCTCGGCACCATGGACCAAGCCGAAGAGGTCCCTGCCGAAGTCGACCCCGAGTTTAAGCGCCGGATAGAGCAGCTGGCCGAGAGGGAGGACTTTCACACTGCCGTGGGTCAGGCTGAGTTGCGCCGCCTCATCGAGGACGCCGTCCTTGGCCAGGAGCTTGGCGACGAGCGCAGTGTGCGTCAGAAGCAGGGCTAAAGAAAGAAAAAGCACTTTTGTTTTTTATTCATCACCTTTGATTTCCCAAAAGAGATAATGGCCTGGCGACTCGGGCGGCCGGAAGAAGGCTACTTCGGCGCTGTCGCCTGTCATGCCCTTTGCGAAGGACGTCGCGCTCAGTGAGAACCATGTCCGCGACGGTAGGGCGACGAGGGCGTTGATGAGGACGCTGCGCACCCAGTGCGAGGTGAAGAAGCCTTGCCATGAGATCTTGCACACCTCTGCGGATAAGGGCGTGTCCGAGTCCCCGGGGACTTGGTAGCGCGAAAGGTACGGGTCGATGTTGTCTCCCGCCACGACGCGGGGGCTCTGCAGACGGATCAGGGACAGCCACTCGTACGTCTCTGTTGCAAAGTCTTCAAGGCCGGGTCTGTCGCCGTTTTGGATAATGTCCAAGGGGATCGACAGTGGTGGTGTCTGTACCTGGAAGTCGGACGCGAGGGATGGCTCGCACGTGTATCTTGTTGGGGAATACTGGTCCAGGGGATCTGGTGAGGGTGCTGGGTAAATTCCATATCAGAGGGGAATACGAGACGAGATAGGCACGGCCAAAGGACTTACCAGTAGTCGCCGCGTTGCAAAATAACCACGTCACGGGCGTGTTGAGAACATTCCTGCATGCGTACACCAATCTATCGAACCCCTTTTTACCAGAAAACATTGACGGGTCTCGCAACTGATAGCTCACAACTTTGAGGAAGTTAGTCTCGCGACGTGGCGTGTCAGAGAATGGGAAGTTGGTCTTGCTTACTCCATCTCGGCTTCAATCCTCTCTTTCCCTTGACGCCGTGGGGTTTGCCGACCAGACCCGCGCGCTCGTACGCCTCCTTGTCGAGATACATGGTCAGGAGGCCCTCTCGAAGTGAAAAGACGTTTTCGACGGTTGTCCTGCCCTCGGAGAGCATGAGAATGTTGCCTGATGCAAAGTCAGTCTCTAATCTAGTTGCACACCCTCATGGGACTCTGTGGAGGGTAAGATACCTTTCTTGATGTACTCGTTGAAGAATGCACCGTCGAGAACCTGTCCGAGGGTCATGATGACGCGCTGGAAGGTCGGTGCCGGAGGCTCCTCGACGAGCTTCTGGCGGACCAGCTCTAAGCACTCTTGCGGTAGGACAAGGTCGACCTTTGCAACGTCAGTCAAAAGTCTTGGAAACAAAACATGATAACAAATGCTAAAACATGAAATTTATCTCCGGAAAAACGAACTTTGTAGTTGAATCCCTGGCTCAGGATAGGCGCCCACGGCTTCCCCTTTGTGGGCAGCTGCTTGGGCTCGACGTGAGGCATGGTGCCGTATGTGACGAAGCATTTTGGCGACTGATAGACGCTGGGCGTCGGGAATGAGAGCATTCTGATCGAATCCTGATCTGAGATGTTTCGGCTTGGCTGGGGTTTCGTTGACTTTGGGCGGCCCAATGACCCTTTTCGGGCGTGTTAGTTGCCGTGATAGTGAGTGAGTGACAGAGAGCTCAACCGTGGAATCGAGAATTGCATATTGGAGCTCGAGGCCTTATGCTTACGGTAGGCGTTGGTCGAGAAGCGCCAGGTTCCACTAGGGTGCATTTCGGAGCCACTGATTGGTTCTATGGGGCGTGTGCGCATCCAAGTGACTCTCAGCCCAGAAAATACCGTATTTCGAGTCAGCGGCAAGAAAGACGCTTCTTTTTAGCAGCACCAGAAAAGGAACTTTTCAACACCATTACTCAACTTGCCGTGACTTTGCAGTAAAAATTCGAGTAATGATTCTTCTTTCCTCTTTTCGCTCGAAGCTGGACAAGTGCTAATACGAAGGACAGACCCAAGCCAGCCGCCTGAGCGCAAACGACTTGGGAGACGGGAAAAAAAAAAAAAACGAGGGGCACATTTCCCACCCCGCGCTTGCGCCAGGATTTTTCAAACGGCTGCCCCTCGTCACTCATCCGAGTCAAGTCTCACGAGAGACGACCGGCAAGCCATCTTGAAAAGATCAAAGGCCAGGGACGACCGAGTATATCCTCGTTCACGATGGAGTTTCTCGTCCGTTTCTCTCAGGCCCATGAGTCTTTTCGGCTCCCCGAGCTCCAGGCTCTCGCCGACTTGGAGGGCATCGACATGAAAGTCGTCGAGTATAGCCTAGATGTGAGTGAGTTCTCAATGTTCGTGTCTTTACTGTACATGAGCAACAACAACAACGACAAGTCTCTCCTTTTTTGGTTTCACCAAAATCTGCCTCATAAACGCCGACTTTGGTTTTAGTTCTTTTCTTTCTCATTCTTGCAGTCTTGTTGGTTCATTCTCAATATCAACTCACTCATGCGCTCCTCTTCTCACCCCTAACCAACACCTGACCTCCCAAACCTGGCACCCATCTCGCACATCTCCTCTCACTCACTCTGTCCACCCGTTTGAACAAAGCTAATAAACCACCAGTCTCCCTTCTGTATCATCACCCTTCCTTCACCCTCTCTGGCTCCTCGTCTCGTAGCCCGTTCCCTCTTAACCCAATCCATCCACCAACTCCTCGCCTCCGCCCCAACCCACGAGAAAATCCACCCTATCCTCAAGTCCCAACTCTCCTCCTCCTCTTCCGACTCGCCGTCATCCACCACAAACACCTTTGACTGGTCCACCGTCACAAAATCCACCTTCAAATTCTCCCTCGACACATACCAATCCTCCCGGCCCCACGCCTCCTTCGTATCCCTCATAAACGCCTACAAATACCTCCCCCTAAAGGGCGCCATCGACCTCAAAACCCCCGACCTCGAGCTCACAATCTTTGAAGACTGGGACCTCCGCGGCGCCGAGTCCCCCAAACGCGTCCACCTAGGCCGCTTCCTCGCCACCGGAGCCCGCTCCCTGTCGCTCAAATACGACCTCAAGAAACGGGGGTACATTAGCACGACATCAATGGACTCGGAACTCGCCCTCGTCACCGCGAACCTGGCTCACGCCGCCCCCGGCAAACTCTTTTACGACCCCTTTGTCGGGACGGGTTCCTTCCCCGTTGCGTGTGCGCATTTCGGGGCGCTGGGGTTCGGGAGCGATATCGACGGGCGTGCGATCCGCGGCAGCGGAGGGGAGAAGAGCGTAAAGGGGAATTTCGCGCAGTACGGCCTCTTGGAGCGCGTGGGCGAGTTCTGGACGGCGGATTTGACCAACTCGCCGGTGCGGAGGGTCCGGTGGCTCGACGGCATCGTGTGCGATCCGCCGTACGGCGTCAGGGAGGGGTTGCGGGTGCTGGGGTGCAGAGATCCGGAGAAGACGCCGTGGGTTGTCGAAGCTGGAAAGCAGCGGTATAAGTGAGCAAATTCTTCCAGGCACCATCCCCTTGCCCCCCTTTCCACACCTCTCTCTTTGCTCCCTTCTTTTTGTCCTTTTCACTTTCTTCTCGTGATGAATGAGGGATCGCAATGCTGACGACACCAGGTCGGGAGACTTCATCGCCCCCAAGAAGCCGTACAGCTTCCTCGCCATGCTCGACGACATCCTCGAGTTCGCCTCTGAAACACTCGTCGACGGCGGCCGCCTCTCCTTCTGGATGCCAACGGCCAACGATGAGGACCAGGAGATTCCGACACCCCAGCATCCCCGGCTCGACATCGTCGTCACATGCGTACAACCGTTTAACAAATGTGAGTGTTTCCATGTTATTTACCGGCCTAACCCCCCCTTGCCCATCCTACAGACATTTCTCAGCCATGAATTCCGTCCTACATCGATTGCAGCAGTGATGCTCACTCCCAAACCAGGGTCCCGTAGACTTATTACATACCGACGCATTCCCGACAGCCAGGTCGACCCGGAAAGGCTGGCGGCCTACAAACGCACATTTGTAGCAGGAACAACAGCAGATGAGTTGAACCCCTTTCGACGGGGCTACTTCACAAAGTTTGAAAAAGAGGAAGCCTGATAGATGAAGAGAAAAAAAGACATGTACAGCAAGTACCCCGCCCCTTTCTTTGATGATGCCATGACCGTTTGCCTGATAAAAAAAAATAATAACACTGTGTTTCTCTTCTGTACGTGTCATGACCCACTCAAATCGCTGGCCTCGGAATGTCCCTCCATATACCCAAGGCGTACCATGGCATCGTCATTTGATATCATTTGCAAAAGAAAAAAAAAAAGAAGAAGAATAAAACACGCGTGCGTCCAGCCAGACAAACTCTCGCGGTCCGCGGGCGCGCACGCACACACCGGATTGAGTTGGGCGTCGCGCTTGTGCCTCCTGCACCCTTTCCTGTCTCCTTTCCCTTCTTTCCCTGGTCTGTTGTCTGATCTCATCTGAATTCCATGGCGCCGAAGCAGCCCCTATCCTCCACGTGCTTGAGCTCAAGCTGCTGAAACCTGGCAATGACTGTTAGCCAACAACGAAACCAAAAGGTGTTGGAAGGGTATCGTCGGCACATACTTTTCGCTCTTGGAGTGGAAGTAGATTCCACTCACTTCACCCTTGACTTGGTTGAAGCAGATGTAGTAGAAGCCCTCGAAACTAGCTCCGGAGATGGTGCGCACGCGGTGGTCAGGGACAAGGAAATGTTCCTTCCAACGCATGAAGATATTTTCTCGCTGCGCAACGTCACGGATCACCACCGGGCCCTTGCGTGCCTGCTTTTGGAGAGGGCGGAAGGCGTTGAACTTGCCCCAGTGGCTGAGGTCGATCTTATCGGTGGCGCCCCAGCTCTCGTGGCCGGTGATGAAGCTGTACTTGGGGCCAATAATTTCGCCTTCAAAGTACGTCGTCAATGTGGGGTGGTCCTCAGTAAGGCCTGCAGACACAGAGTTTAGCAACGGGTTACACGACGGGCGGGGAAGCTAGACGTTTCGCACCTTGAATTCGCAGGTAGCCGCACAGAAACGACTCCCGGAGATCGACGTGCTTGATTTCGACCTGCACGTCATATACCTGTCGCTCGGATTGTTGCGTGCCGTGGAACTTGCTCCCAGGGCGTAAATATGAAGATGCCGTTGATGGAATAATCTATCGGGGCGTTCGTCAGTCACTGGCGCGCTAGTATGCATGATTGGGCACGTACCCGCATGTTGGAAAAGTCAGAACCCATGGACGGAGCCATGAGCTCCTCTTCCCACACATCGTTAACATCAATTTCCATGCCCTTGCTGTCTCCTTGCACCGAAGTCGGCGATAGCCTGGAGTCATGCCGCCGCGCGCCATCTGACCGGGACGTTCTCAGCCTGTCACCGGCCGACTGCGCCTCTTCATCAGACTCGGCGTGCTTGAAAGACTCGATATCGGCTGCTGGTGACGAGTGGGCGGTGTCACCCGATTGTGGCCTCGGCGACATTGTGGTAGACCTTGAAGACGACACGGCGGATGTGGGCTCGTCATCCAGGATGACCTCTGTGCTCATGCCCTCGGCTTGTGACATTGGTGCGCTGACGGGGGCGGGCGACGAGTCGTCGTCCATGCGGTCGTCGTGATGGGGATCCATCTCGGGAGGGGCCTGGCTTACATCGGTCGGCGGCCGCCAGCTGCGCTGTGGAGATCTTGAGCTGCTATCTTCTGGGCATGTCGAGAAACTATGTGATCGGGGCGAGTGAGGATCGGGAGGAGGATTGGAGGATGGCGTAGGCATGTTGGGCGTAAGAGTCGAGGTCGCGTCTCGTCAAGTGTGGCGGTGGATGTCGATGTCGGGCGATGGGGTCGGTCGCCTCGACGGGGAACGGCTGCGGGTTTACCGCCGGCAGGGGGAGAGGGCTCCGCAATGATGTAGCAGGGGAGCAACGGCGCTGTTCGAGGTTTGGCGATGTCGGTGATGGAGCGATGTCGGTGGTCGTCGGTGACTCGCCGCGAAAAAAATGCAGTCGCGGGATCGAGACGAACTCAACTCGGTCGACGGGATACGATAAGGAGTAGAGTTTGGGCAGGCGACTTGGAGGAATCGGTGACCTTGGGGCCGAATTAATCACAGGCCTGGCAAGGGAAAGGAAGCGGTCGGGGGGAGCGAGGACGGTATTGGTCGAGAGAGAACACCACCCCAGAAATCAACGAGGTACTCTGTAGGTTGTCGCGGGACGGCGATAGGGTTGAGTGGGTGAGGTTGATTGGGAGTAGGGTTCGCAGAGGATAAGCCGAGTGGTCGCGAAGCTCGTCGCGGATGACGAAGCTTTCCTGGCTTTGAGTGGAATATCAAATGCACATTAGGAGCAGCGGACAGATGACTGATGATGTGACGAAAGCGGACCGTGGCTGCTTGAAGGAGACTGAGGTGGGCGAGAAAAATATGGAAGGGTTGTTTGTAGCGACGGTGGCAGCGATGCAGTAATGCAGTGGCAGCGGGAGCGGCAGAGGGAATAATAGGTATGAAGTATCCTCACTGCCAATCGGAACAGCTAGCAACAAGCAACAGCGACAGCGACGGGACACTAGAACCAAGGTGGTGACTGGATGCAGACGGGAGGGCGGTGTCCAAGGTACGGGAAATGGGATGGGGGGGTGACGATTAGGATGCGGGATTGGAGGGGAAAGCTTGGTAAGGTTACCGCGGGTACAACGGGCATGTACCTTTACGTCCTCCCGGCCGTGGTTTTTCGAGCCGTTGTGGGTGTCGGGTGGGATGAGAGAGTTGGGGTTGACGGGGGGAGGCCCTGGGACGGGATGGGCCTGCGATGCTGCTGGCTGGGTGCTATACCAGATGACTCTTCCGCGGAGTTCATCAAAGAATTCTGTGCAGCAAGACTGTATGAGTCTAGAGCTGTGAAATGAGTGAGATGTCTTGACTGGCCAAAATTCATCTCACCTCCCAGTTAGTCAGTTATACGTATGTCTATTTTGTATCTCTACCTCACTTAGACAAGTGAAATTGAGGAGTGAATGATCGCAGAGGGGGGTGAGATGAAATGCGGGAGAGTGAGGTCGGGCAGGTGCAGTCCATGCATTGCAGCCGATGACGCCTGTGTCCCCGCCCTGTGTTCGCGGCCTGGAAGCTCAGTCGTCCAGCTGAGGGAGACTGCCTTAGCTAAGGAAGGGGAAAAAAAAAAAGGAAAGGGATGTGAGACACGGGGACACCTCACGCATCCGCATCGTTTATCGCTAGCCACGTTGGAAGGGTCTCCCCGGCCTGTGCCATTTCTGCGCTGTCAAGCCCTGCGCCGCCTTCATTTTCCTTCCATCCGCCATGGACAGAGCTTGTCCGTTTATCCCTCTTGCACTAACGAGTTGTCACTGCCACGCGCCTGAGCTAAGATATCGTGGGTAGGTACCTACCTCCAACTGTGACTCCTACGAACCGACTTCTTGTCGCTTCTGGCGCCCCGCGCGTTGGCTGATGGCTGCGCTAATTTGATCTTATACTTTTAGCGAGCAACTGAGCTGCGCTTCGCCATTTTGCCTTCTTCCTTTCCATGTCGTGGCTTGTGTTAGACGAACTGCTGGGCTGCAAGCGTCGCGGAAGAGAGACACTTGACCACCTCAACTCACGTTGACAGCCACCATAGGCGCAGTTTGCGGTCCAGCGTCCGTTTTTACCCTTTTCTAACTCACGAACCCTCTTCTCGTTCAATTGGGAACTCATCCACCCGCGGGCTGCCGGCGTCTCAGCACAACCCCCATCTCACACCTGCTTCTGCGCCCACACGCGCGAACCGTCAAGTCCCGAACACGATAGCAGCACACTCATTGACACGAGACCGCCCTATAGCTTTGCCCTGCATGTGCTGAAGAAGAGTCCCATGTACCTGTGGACGCCTGCTGGGTCTTCCTCACTTCTAACACAAGGCACTCGAGTTGACTCCTTTGGGGTCAACGCTCTTTACTCATCGGGCTTGCGGACTCTCTTCACTCATCGGGCTTGCGGGCTTGCGGGCTTTTCTCTGCGCCCGCCCTACAGTCCTTGAAAAAAAGAAAAGCCCAGAGCCTCGGGCGGCGGGGGAACGGAGGCTTCGGCAGGGCGCTGAATCCAATCTAACACTCGCGAGTTGGAGAAAATGGGCACAGACTGGAGCCAAACTCTGTGCTCCTGCAGCGTCTTTCCTGCACCCAAGCCCTCAGACACCGTCCAAGCACTCACGCCTACTGCCACTCATTTCGCTCTCACTCTACGGGTACGCACCTCACCTACGCCTACCCCTCACAGGTACATCTCCTACAGTGTACGAGGTGTGCTCACTAATTCAGTTACAACCGATGGAGCTACAACCTCAGCCTTGGTCCTCACTACATTACTATGTAGCTTTTTGCCCCTCACACCCACTGGCCCTTTTTTCTTTTCATTTGCCTCAAGAGTTGACACTCAGAGGAGCTCACCTTACCCGCCCCATCTTCGAGGTTTAAGCCTCAGCCTCATGTTGAAAAGGGCTGTGCAAATTGACACTTACTCTATTCATCCATCCCTTGCACTCAGTCCCTGCTCGCCCTCTCAAATGGCGTGAGACTCCAACAGGTCACAGATTCCGACCAAGCAATCCCCTGTCATCGCCGTCTGCAATCCTCCTTTTGGGCTCGCATTCTTCATTGCACTAGTGTTACAGTCTGTGGGCTACGGCTTGTCCAACTCATCTCTCTGCGAATAAGTCGAATCACCTTCCTCCCGTGCCCCCTTACTTGATCCCTTTTCCAGGCAAAAAGCTTGGTCACATTCATTTGTTTGGTATGCTCAATGGCATGCGTGTCCACTCGTAAGAGAAGTCATCATACACATTCATCGCATAAGAGACGATCTGCGATCGGCATCGCCCTTCAACGCCACGTCCCCGAAGTCTACCCCAGCTCCGTGTTCTGTCACACGCCTTGCCTGGCGTGAATGCACCGTTGCGAAGACTGACTCGAACTGATGGCATCATCTGCGAACTGCACCACCACCATCCTCGAACCAAGTGCTGCGTCCCATGAGGACAAAACTGACCGATCAACAAGTGTGCCATTCCTTGACAGCGGGCTCCATGCTACCTCAAAATCAAGCTCTTTACTATCTCTCAATCTCATGAACCTCAACGTCAACCATCAACCTCTGAGTCTTCACTGTAGCGAAGTAGGGGGCGATATGGCGCGTGCGTGCATCAAAAAGCGAAAACCGTATCTCGTTATATCTTGCCTAAAGACACATGACCAAGAGCCATGCATTTTGGTCTGCCTTAGTCTACCTCGTATAAGGGACGACCAGCAGGGCTATTTAATCTCCCGCCTGCCCGTCTGTCCGTTCGCCAGCTCGTCGTCTGAGCTGAAGGGCCCAAGACCCTACTCCATGCAGCCGACATGCAGCATCATGCTTTTTTTTCTAGAAAAATGGTCGTTCCGCAGGTCACATGCGGTTCATTCGTCATGGCCGTCACGTAGCCGGCTCGTAGGCCTCTAGTGTAGCCCTCTGAGGGAACAGATGCTGGCCAATCTCCGGGGTATCTCCCAATTATTTTGTCGTTGCCGCCCAAATAGCCAAAATTTCGCTCGTCGCTTTTAGATGGGCTTGATCTTGAAGTGCAGAGCAATCAAGCTGAACACGAGCGCTTTCAGGTCCTGCACCAGGTAGTAGAAGACGCGCAGGCCTTCAGGGTCGGCCGACTCCGTCACGTCAACCAATGAGCCGATCTTGGCCGTCTGTTCGAAACACATCAGCCCGAAGCTCCGAGTCCAACACAGCCGTCATCGCCTACCTCAAAGGAGATGTGGTCGTTGCCCAACCGAATCTCCAGCTCTTGACGTCCATCCTTGTTCTTCTGCGGCCACTTGGAGTCATCTTCCCTTCACCGTGTGTGTCAGCATGTCGCCGGGCATGGTTGCAGTCGGGTTTCGTACTTCATAATCTCGCTCGTCTTGATGATGCGCTTGATCTCGTCGATGATAAGAGCGCTGACGCACACTAGGTGTTCTCATTAGCATTGCTCAATCTGACTTGATGGGAAAGGCGCCGCACTCTCTTTGCGAATCAAACTGTCATTTCGGTAGTTGGAGTTGTTCGCATAACGCGCTACTGCGCTCCGTCCATCGCCAACGACGCGGAAATCGAATTCTGAGGGCATCAACGTCAGAGGGCCTTTCGAAGAACCGGATAGTGGGGTTGGGGTTCGGCGTTACCCAAGAACTCGTGTCCGAACCGTCCAGAGTGACCTGAGCTGCGTCTCTTTTAGCATTCATACCCGAGATAGCATATAGGCATGGTTGCGTACTAGTAGCGGAGATAGAATTGGTCGTTAGGGGCCGCCATCGTGACAGCGTTGGCGACAAATGACGATATCGGTGAAATGCCACGGCTAATGTCCTCGAGCTGCAAGGCTGGAGATGGAAATGCGAGAAAAAGCGGGATGGTCCCCATCCAGCCCAGCCTAGCCCACACTGCCTCGCCTCGCCGGTAGAGTAGCGGGGTCCGATCAGACATGGTCCAAGCTTGAGCCGCCAATTGAGAGCTCTCGCCCTTCAAGGGAGGGAGGTAGGTTCTAGCCAGTTAATCCGTTCCGTCTCTAAGGGTCTGGTCCCACCGAAACCTGAATCACGTGTGCTTACCTAAGTGGTGACACCTGGCCGGCGCAGGTCGTGCCCAGGGACAGATATTCGCGAAGGCCAGAGAGTGAGAGAAAGAGGAATCGCTGCCGAGCCGTAGGTCGGAGAGAATTGTTTCCAACACAGCACAACGAGGCGACGCATGCCTACCTAGAACTCGTGAGGAATAGGACAATCTCGCTGGATGGCTTAGAGTTCGTCATTTTCCCTCTCCTACAAATTCTGGCCACTTTTGGGCCACACATGCAGTAAACTCGTAGCGACAGACAGCTTCCCTAAGCTAACACGTATTCCGCCCCCGTCCTTAGACCGTCCAATCCCCACCGCCCAGCTTCGATACATCCCACTCGAACCCCCGAATCCCCCCTTGAACACGTCCTCAACCTCCAGCGCCGGCACATCGCCAGCAACACCACACCGACCTGCCACGATGGCCTCCTTTCTGGAAAATGCATACAGCTTGGTGCACCAGGACAATGCCGCCGACGTCCCTTCCCTCTCGGACCTGCGCACGCAGCTCGAGAAGGGCACCGACGAGAGCAAGGTCGAGACCATGAAGCGCATTCTCACAATCATGCTCAACGGCGACCCCATGCCCAACCTGCTCATGCACATCATTCGATTCGTCATGCCCTCGAAGCACAAGGCTCTGAAAAAGCTGTTGTACTTTTACTACGAGATTTGCCCCAAGCTCGACTCCAATGGCAAGCTGAAGCAGGAAATGATCTTGGTCTGGTTCGTGGCTGGCTCGTTCCCTTCGCAGCTGCACCCCTGCTGACACTCTGGCCTTAGTAACGGCATCAGGAACGACCTGCAGCATCCCAACGAGTACATCCGGGGAAACACTCTTCGCTTCTTGTGCAAGCTTAGAGAAGCAGAGCTCATTGAGCCTCTCCTCTCCTCCGCCAGACAATGTCTCGAGCACCGCCACGCCTACGTGCGCAAGAACGCCGTCTTCGCGGTTTCCTCCATCTACACACACTCTGCCAGCCTAATTCCCGATGCCCCAGATCTCATTGCCGTATTCCTCGAAGCCGAGACCGATCCCACATGCAAGCGCAACGCTTTCGCCGCGCTCGCCTCCATCGACCACGAGAAGGCCCTGCTCTACCTGAGCACGGTATTCGAGGGTATCCCGAACGCAGAAGAGCTGTTGCAGCTCGTTGAGCTCGAATTCATCCGCAAGGATGCCGTTCAGAACTCTCAGAACAAGGTAAAGACCTAAAGAGGATGTTCAACTTAGCGCACATCTGACATACTTGTATCAGGCACGGTATCTCAGACTCATTTTCGACCTGCTCGAAGCCAACACCTCGACCGTCGTGTACGAAGCCGCCTCCTCATTAACCGCCCTCACAAACAACCCTGTCGCAGTTAAGGCCGCGGCCGCCAAGTTCATCGAGCTTAGCATCAAGGAGGCCGATAATAATGTCAAGCTCATCGTGCTGGACCGGGTTAACCAGCTACGGAAAAAGAACGAGGGTATCTTGGACGACCTAGTGATGGAAATCCTCCGCGTTCTTTCCAGCCCCGATATCGACGTCAGACGCAAGGCCCTGGATATTGCCCTCGAGATGGTATCGAGCAAAAACGTCGAAGAGGTCGTCTTGCTGCTCAAGAAGGAGCTCTCCAAGACGGTCGACCAGGAGTACGAGAAGAATACCGAGTACCGCCAACTCCTTATTCACACCATCCACCAGTGCGCCATCAAATTTTCAGAGGTTGCCGCTAGCGTTGTTGACCTGCTCATGGACTTCATCGCCGACTTTAATAACACTTCAGCCGTCGATGTTATCAACTTCGTCAAAGAGGTCGTGGAGAAGTTTCCCAAGCTGCGCAAGCCGATCGTCCAGAGGCTGGTCGCTACCCTCAGCGAGGTGCGTGCCGGAAAGGTGTACAGAGGTATCATGTGGATCATAGGAGAATACTCCCTGGAGGAGCGCGACATCCGGGATGCATGGAAGAGCATTCGTGCCAGCCTCGGCGAGATCCCGATCCTCGCCTCGGAACAACGGCTTCTGGATGGCGATGGCGAGGAGGAAAACAAGGAGCAGGTTAACGGTCACTCGAAGCCTGCGGCGCCAACAGGCTCGCGCAAGGTCCTTGCCGACGGAACCTACGCTACCGAAACCGCCCTTACCAGCCAGTCTGCTGTTGCTGCCAAGTTGGAGGCTGTCAAGGCTGCTCAGAAGCCTCCTCTGCGCCAGCTCATTCTCGATGGTGACTACTACCTCGCCACCGTCCTCTCTGCCACCCTCGTCAAGCTGGTCATGCGCCACGCCGAGATCTCTGCCGAGTCAGCGCGTACCAACGCTCTTCGCGGTGAGGCCATGCTTATCATGATCTCCATCATTCGCGTCGGTCAGTCACAATTCGTCAAGGCTCCCATCGACGAGGACTCGGTGGACCGCATCATGTCTTGCGTGCGCTCGCTCGCCGAGTTCGCCCAGAACAAGGAGCTCGAGACTGTCTACCTCGATGACACCCGCAAGGCATTCAGAGCGATGGTCCAGGCCGAGGAAAAGAAGAAGGCCGCCAAGGAGGCTGTGGAGAAGGCGAAGACAGCCATCCAGGTTGATGACGTCGTTCAGATCCGCCAGCTTTCCAAGAAGAACGCTAGTGATGGCCTGGACGAGATCCAGGTTGATCTGGAGCGGGCAACAGGCGGAGAGGCTACAGCCGAGGACCTCTCATCTAAGCTCAGCCGTGTGGTGCAGCTCACCGGCTTCTCCGACCCCGTCTACGCCGAGGCCTACGTCAAGGTGCACCAGTTCGATATTGTCTTGGACGTACTTTTAGTCAATCAGACGATGGAGACGCTGCAGAACCTTTCCGTCGAGTTTGCCACTCTCGGTGACTTGAAGGTCGTCGAGCGACCAACGACACAGAACTTGGGCCCCCACGACTTCCACAACGTACAGTGCACAATCAAGGTGTCCTCCACGGACACTGGCGTCATATTCGGCAACGTTGTCTATGATGGCGCCCACTCGACGGACACCAATGTCGTCATCCTCAATGACCTCCACGTGGACATTATGGACTACATCCAACCCGCGACGTGCACCGAGACACAGTTCCGCACTATGTGGACCGAGTTCGAATGGGAGAACAAGGTCAACATCAACTCCAAGGCCAAGTCCCTGCGCGATTTCCTCGAGCAGCTGATGGCAGCGACCAATATGAACTGCCTGACCCCCGAGGCCAGCATGAAGGGCGACTGCCAGTTCCTGAGCGCCAACCTGTACGCTCGCAGTGTATTCGGTGAGTTCCCTCTTCCCCAGCCCTTGACATGCGGACGATTGTAAGCTAACAGAATCGCAGGCGAGGATGCTCTGGCCAACTTGAGCATCGAGAAGGAAGGCGAGGACGGGCCTATCACGGGTTTCGTCAGAATAAGAAGCAGATCGCAGGGTCTGGCACTGAGCTTGGGGTCCCTCAAGGGACTCAACAAGATTGGGTCAGCGGCATAGACCTGTCGAGAGATGTAGGTGCTATATGTCGAGATTGCAGTATCGCCCCGGCTGCCTGAGGATACACGCCTACAGGTGTAATGAAATTCGAAAAAGGAGAGGTGAAAGTTTTCGACGGTGTAGGCCGAGAAACGCAGACATGCTGTGCTCTGAGGGAGAAACGTATGTATGGCTGGCTGGCAGATAAGGGAGCAGCAGCTGGTACCGTTGAAATCGGCATGAATTAGGGGGGTGTAAAAAGATGGGGAGAGGGGAGAGAAGTCTTGTCTGTGTGTGCCTTCCCTTGGCCTCTCCCTCTCTCGTCTCTCCTTTTTCTCTTTGTGGTTAAGAGTTAAAAGTGCAGCCCGGTCAGGCGTCATGAGTAGGTAGAAATGAGATGTTCTTGATGTTCAACTGATGGACTTTTTGAGGGGGACTTTGGGTGATTGTCGTCTTGAAGCATATCTTATGGATGACGGTCTTGTGGAAAGCTTTAGACTTTGCAATTCCTCTGCCTTACTCTTCTTTCAAACGAACGTGGTATGATGGCATCGGACGGAGACATTGACGCACATCTCAGGATATCATCGTAATAATTATTGGTCTTGTAACTCTCTAAGTGACACCCACTGATCGCCGCCATGCCAAAAGGAGAACCTCGCTCGTTGGATGACCGTAATGACCGCTATTAACAACTAAAAAAAAGAGAAGAGGCAACACGTTTGCAGTGAAGTCCTCATAATAAAACGAACGCCTGCAATGGGTGGCCATTGTCTTTTGTGTGGCAGTGGGTTTCCACCCTCCGGGACGCCAAATCGATCATAAGAAGGGGGGGAAATAATCCCGCACCGCGATGAAAGGGGGTATTTATCCAGACTGAGAACCGGACTGAGAAATGCCAGACCAAGGAAATTTGTGCTGAGGTATGCCGAGCGTGTAAAGTCGAGAAGTATGAAGGGGGGATGAAGGTCAAAAGTGAACTCTCTGTAGCCGTTGTCTCTGGAGCCCGGTGATGCGCCTGGAGCTGGTCGTTGTTCTTCACAGGGAAGGGTATGAGTTGCGCCGCAGGTCCTGGGACGGCATTCTTCTCCTGAGAGTCCACGCCTTCTTAAGCACAACAGGCGCATATCGGTCCATTGGCGATTGCCCTCGATGATGCTATCTGTCGAAGACGAGGGCGTTGACCACATGGCCCTCCTTCCAGCCCTGCTCGGTGAGTGGAAGATTGTCCTTAAGGATCTTGCCCATATAGGCGACGCGGACCTTTTTGGTGGTGGCAAGCTGGGTAACCGATTAGCTGAGACATCCTCTGGGGCAAGTGGAATAACGCGGAATTGAATGTGCTCTACTCACTCCTGACTGCTCCTGGATCTTGCGAGCAACGGTCCTGACGCTATCGCTCTTGGCGATGCTGACAGTGACATCGCGCGCAGTCTCGCTCAGACGAGCTAGGAGGGAGAGCTGGTCCCGGGCGTCGACAACGGCCTTACCCTTCTCCTCCCTCCGGCGGATGTTGTCGTCCTCATCCAGCTCCTCCGTGGTCTCTTCTCCTCCCGCAAGGTCGTCCTTGAAATCTCCCGTCGAGAGCGCCTCGTCGGCACCGTCTATGGTGGCATCGTCCTCAACCAAATTAGTCGGATCGGCGACAAGCCACTCAGACAGGGGATAATAGTTGCCCAGCTGATCGTAGGCGCCCTGAGCAAGATCGCCCGTGGGGAGAGTGATCTCTGCCGCATCGAGGATGCCTTGCGCTGTTGCAAGACCACCAGTGCCGTCGTCTGCGGCACCCTGGCCAACGGGGTCCCAAACGACCTCGAGGGCGGCGCGCAGCGACTGCCAGACCTCTGGGCGTCCGGTGACGCGGGTGTCGAAGAAATCTATTCGTTCGCGGTCCAAGGCGACGCGGGTCCAGGCGCGACCCTTTGAAGTCCAGACGTGGCGGCGAAGAGCCTTGTTGATGTGCTTGTCGAGGGGCATGCTGGAGTGGTGGCGGCGACGGCGACCCGAGGAGGTCTGCGTCGTCTCGGCAGGGGAGCCATCGCGGGAGAGGGAGGCGGGCGCGGGATTGATAGCTCTCGTGGAGCCCGTGTTGGTCGGACCCGGGTAGGGGACGTTGGAGCCCTGGGGATGGGAGAGACAGCAGCCCTATGCGAGTAGAGTCGTCAGTTTGGAGGGTATGCGAGAGGTGGTCGGACGATATATGCAGGTTTGACAGGGTGCTTGGGCGCTCGGAGTAGTGTCCGGTGGCGAGATCAAACAAAGGCGAGGGGGAACAGAGTCAATGTTTACCATGTTGTTTGAGCCTCCAGGTGGAAGAGGGGTTCTTTGTGTCTGCGCAGGGATTTGGTTCTAGCAAGTTGCAATGTCGCGTGCCATCGCCCTGGGTGTGTTGGTGGCGTGTTGCTGATGGTCAAGTTGTGGTTGACCTCAAGATGAAAGATAAGTAAAGGCAGCTGGCTAGCTGTACTGGACAAAGATGTCAAAGGTTGGCGAGTACTAGTGGCTTTGTGTAGAGGAATCGAGTGGTGAGGTGAGAATGGGAACGATGTCGAAAAGAGGAGGATAGGCGGAATCGGGCGAGGGCTGTTGAAAGGTCTAGACCCTTGGGCCGTTGACGTGACGCTTCGACGCTGGTTGGTCGACGGGCTGCGGCTTCCTTGTCAAGGTGTGTTGGTCCCGGACGGAGCGTGAGGAGGGCGACGGGAAGTGGTGTAGGTAAGGTACGTATTGGAAGATAGGCGTCACGGATGGAAAGAGAGAAGAAAAGGTGAGTGGTGAGTGGTCGGTGATGCGTGGTGTGGATGAGAGGCTCAGACGGAGCTCTTCCTCCAAGGTGAGTGATTGACAAACACGCAAAGCGCCGTAGGAGGCAGGAAGAAGGCAGAAGAGCCAAGTTAAGAGTGACGAGAGAAGGAGAGGGACCAGGAAGGCGTTCGGGAGGGTGGGTAAGGTGCCTTGGATGCTTTGGAGGTGATGGAAGGAAGGACGTGAGGTAGGTGAGGTGGTGAGCGTGAGGCAAGGCGAGAGTGAGTCCCGGTCCTTCTCTTATCGTCAGCAATCCGTATCGGTACCGTTCCTCGAGCAAAAATGGAAAGGATGCAGCAGATGATCAGTGAGGATCGCTGCAGCAGGGGTGGTGCTAACTTAGTCTACCTTCCGTAGTACCAAGAAACCGTCCAGTGGGTTGCTGCTGTGAGACGCCTAAAATTTGCTTGTTTTCGTTTCCCGTCCGTCTCGCCTGGGAGAGAGATAAGGTAAGAGGTCTGGGGCCAGTGGACCTCGACTTTTCGTCCCTTTTTTGCCTTTTTTTTCTATTTTCTGTTTCCTGCGTTGCGGTATGCACCCGTGTTTTATCTGTTGTCCCGGGTGCAGCATTCCCAATTCAAGACATGGCTCGATCCTGCGATTCTCCGTTTGCACGTGGACTGTCTCTCCCCTTTCAAAATTCCAGCTGCGCTAAGAGACAATGGTTCGAGACATTGGATCGGCCCAACCCGACGACGGTTGTTTCTCCTTTCGAATTCTCTCTCATAGCAAACTGGTTTTCCTCTTCTTTCTGTAAGCTCTTGGTCACAATGGAAGTGGCCTTGGCGAGATCCATCCGAAGAGTCGGCCCAACACAGGGTCCTCCCCAGCATCCCCCACCGCAGCCCACTCGCTTGCTTCATGGTGGAGGACCACAGCGCCCCCACTGGGCCTCGATTGGTCTTTAATTGGCCGTCAATCTGGCCGTGTTGGTTGTGAGGGACCATCCCAAGGTTCTGCTGAGCCACCATGGATTTCAAAATTCAAGTCGCCTGATCAATGACACGGATAGCGGCCAAAGATCGATCGATGGATGATGACAGGCGCCTCTGCCGTGATGCCTCGATTACGCACACACATCAAAGACACTAATAAGGGCAATTGACTTCGTCTTTCTAGTGTATGACTCCCAAGGTGATATGGATATCGGCCAGGGCCCGTCTCGTATTACATTACACTACACCAATTGGGACGCCGTTGCCGAGATCCCGTTAGCTCATTCATACCAATTTGGGAGCTTGCCTTAGTAACGTACGACGATCTGCGTTTCCGTAAAGACACCAGATCTGACACCTCAATTTACGTCTCTAGGCTCAAATGCCTTTTATCGCGTCATGCTGCTACTTATCCTTACAACATAACACTTGGCGTGTACGTCGTGCGCCAATTGGACGTCGATAGGGACGTGTCTCATACTCCCCAACCCAGGGCATCCCCTTTTGGCATCCCGAGTTGTCCGTCTCTTCAGACGAACCGGGCGCACCGCCCATCTCTGAAGATCCAAATTGTGGGCTTCGAGGCTCCACGGAGCTTCCGGGTAATGCCGTTTCGGCACCTGGCCCAGTCTTCCTCGCCCGCCCTCTCCCGGCGTGTATCCATCAGGGCCCTGTCTTTGATACCAAACTTCCCTCCGTATCCATGTACAAGGTTGACGGGGAGGTAAATGCCCGATGCCGATGACGTTGGCATATTTCGTCATTGGATGATGCTCCTTGACTTCCGTAGAGCCCTCCACCGCGGACTGCGCGTGGTACCTATCAGCTAGCATCGAATTGCAGCCGGCCTCTCCACGATTCGGAGGTGTGGTCTCGTCTCGTCCGGACAGATCCAGCCATCCCTCGATGACTACCACAGAAACTCGCGGCAATTCTTGCTGCCGCAGAGACACGGAACCATTTCGCCTTGCTTGCTCTTGTCCTTCGCATCCGCAGCGTCCTCACTCACACCATCGACGTAGTCGAACGTGAGCTGCTCTCCGCGGGGAATGTCACGCAGCGCAAAGAAGGCGAGATCATGGATATGCTTGTCGGCATGATCTCCTACCCGCGCAAAGATCCGCAGATTCGGGTTGCAGGAGTGGTTAATAAACCGTGTCGGACCGGACATGAATTCGCCGTCAATTTCGAGTGGGGGACCTTGCAGGCGCATATCGGGGGAGTTTTCATCGGTGAACTTGTCGAGTGCGAAAAGGTAGACGTCCTTTTGCTGCGCAATGTTGGATGTATTGCGGCGGCGCTGGGCTTCCTCCGGTGTGATGATTTCGCCAATGTAGTTATCGACGAACTGCCCCCTTCTGATGTCAACCAACGATCGGACACCTATTGTCAGCAAGTCAGCTTCTCTCCAGCGAAACAGCAGATTTCTAGTGAAACTCACCCCAGCCCGTTCTCTCCGTCCGAAAGATCTGGAGAGGGATCTGTCGACCTCTCTCCACCACCCGGTTGGGACAACTGACGTCGCACGCGCAGCCTTGGTGACATTCGTAGATGGGTCGCGTCGAGCTCAGGAACTTTGACCGCAGCAAACCGGCCTTGGCGCCGTGCATATGGTACATGTACGCCTTCTTCCTCGCTTCGCCCTCGTCTTCGGAGCCATCCTCCTGCTCCTGCAGGCAGAGGCAGCCCTTGTACTGGCATTCATCCTCGTCTTCACATTCACATCCACTTCGGAAACTATCCTCTGCGGCCTGGACGCCGTGACCGAGCTTCGAGTGCTGGAGGAATCGAAAGGTGGGCGGGATGACTTCGTCATCTACTTCGTTCACGATTGTGATTGGGTACTGTTTGTGGTTCGGGAACGCTCGTATCTGGCACCATTGACAATCCGCCTTTTCTTTTTCGATGGCCTGCAATGCAATCCGGTCAGACTAACTCTCGCCATCTAGCAGTGTTGATGGGACAATTGCAATGTCCTTTGCGGGAATCCATACCCTTAGCGGTGTCTTGTTGGCATCAGGCTTAGGAGCGCCATGGTGAAAAAAGTGACGCACAGTGACCGCCTCCATTTTGTCAGCTTCTGTGGAATGACCCGCAAATGCTTGAAGGCATCCCGAGGGTGACGGTGTAGGTGCGAGAAGGTGTTCGCAGCCAGTCCATGTACGGAGCTGGGACCGCGGGGCAACCGAACCATCGGTGGCAGAAACCACCGACCACTTTACGCGACGCGTCCAGCTAGGTCCTTGATTCTGCTGACTCAGCGAATGATGGTGGGGCCGGTTTCGGGGGTCTCGCCGGCCGGGAACTTTCCTCCTTCCGTCCTTCTTTGCATGTTGCCTTTGCCTAAGGTACCTAGTTAGGTAAGTAGGTAATGTTAAGTAGGTAGCAAGGTACCTTGGGACGGTTGCGAATTCAAACTTGAAGCTTTACAGTGATCATGACGGAATAATCAACCACGAAAGACCCATGAAAATCGGCATTTGAATGAGGACTGGTATTTCGCAAGCAAACTACACATTCCGAGGCTTGTTCTTACACTGAGGCTTGAACGTAGACCCAAGTTCGCCCCATTTGATGTTGCTGAACGTCACAACCGGGTTCGGCTCGACCTTGACGACATTCTCCGGGAACCCTTCCGTCTCGTCGCAAGGCCCGGCGTCCGGAGCGCCGTCTAGCCAACTCATTCCACCGCCGGCATCCCACCATATGCTAAACGCGAGGACCACGCCGCGGTCGAACGACTCGCCCATCTCCCGGTGTGCGCCCAGATCCACGAACCGCCGCGAGCCGGTCGCCGCGCAGAACTCGTCGTTGAGGTAGTTGACCTGCGGCAGATCCGGGTTGTTGACGACTTCGCTGCGGATCAGGTGTCCGTCCTGGATGTACAGGCGGTGGATCTCGGTGAGGACGCCGGCCTTGTTGGCGGGAAACTGCGTGATGACGGTGAAGGGGCGCGTTGTGTCGACGTCGAATTCCGGGCCGCGGCCGTAGTAGTCGTCTTGGTTGACGCTTTTTTTTTCCACCGGAATTAGGTCTTGAGCTCTACTTCCCGGGTTGCCACACTGAACACTCACCGATACGGATTCCACGCGCAACCGTTCTTGTCGCAGACGCCTTCGAAGGCGCAGTCTTCACCCTCGCAGAGATAGACACCTGTCTGGTTGCACGGGTGCGGCGCCAGGTGAGCAGAACGCGAGTTTGCCTCCCAGATGTCCTATGCCAGCGTGTCAGTCGGTTCTGGGAGCGCGTACGTGGTCCAAAGGCAGACAACTCACCATCTCATTGCAGCATGCGCCGTAGCCTTCGATGTTGGCTTCGCCGTTGATGAACGGCGTAGTGTAGCACTGGGCATCGCAGTAACCCGTGCCATGACGGGCGCCACCGGTATTGAGTGCGCTCTTCCCGCCGTTGGCTTCCATCTCCGAGGTGTACAGGGCGCTGTTCATGCCACAGGGCAGCTTCGAGACGTCGACGTCAAAGGCGAATTCCTTGCCTGTCAGGTGCATCATCTCGTACTGCTCCTTGGACGGGTCAAGAAGATAGACGCGTGGAGACACCTGCACGCCGTCCTTGAGCTGATACATGGTTATGGCGCTGCCGTCCGTCGTGACGCCGACGCGGCTGTAGTCGTCGAGGCCCTCCTGAACACAGTTCTCGGCGCAGGCCTCCTTGGTTGGGCATGCTGTCTCGTTGGGCGGGCTGCCCCAGGAGCCGCAACTTCCTCCGCCGTTGGCCTGGTACACGTTATGCGCGAGAGAGTCGAGGACGATGAAGTTGTTAACTTCGGTGCATCCCCCGGCCTTGGTGCAGCGCCATGTTGTGAGAGGCGGGTGGTTCTCGGCAGGTCCGATCTGGCGCTGGGCTGTTGCCAGGCTCATGAAGAGGGTGACAAGACCAAAGCAGGAGATTGAAAGGGCCATCATGATTGTCCAGCGGCGGTGACGATCCTTGGGAACTGGACCAGAAGCGTCAAGAAGAAAGAGGAGAATGCGACGATAGCACCAGGAGACAGAGGAGTGTGGTCCTTGACCAAAGACTCGAGAGAACCGGGATCATGATATATACTCAGGAACAGACATCTACCTCCAGCTTCACCCTCAGCTGTCGGGTCTCTTCCCGTATACCCATTACGAACTTGCTCAGGGGTGCATTGGCACGGAAGGCGTTCTCCAGAGAGTTATGTTTTCCCGTGAACCTCTGTTTCTTCTCTTCATCCCGGAGTACTCCTCTTGAGGCGAAGGAAGGTCACCCTCCGAAGGCCTCGTCGGACAGTCTAGGCGCTGTGCCATTGATTGCCAACAGGGATTAGCAGCTCAGCCCCAAGACTGTGTCCGCCACGAGGTTAAGTTGAAAATGGGCCTTGTGTCATGCCAAGGTGCCAAACAGTCGTCCTCCATACTCTAATCCCTCTTGATCTCACGGCAGAACGGGCCAGGAACAGTGCATAGGTGGGATCTTGCTGCTCGCTTGGATACAACTCTACCCTCACCTTTCATCTTGGTGCAGCTGAACCTGCAGTGATAGATTGCCCAAATCCTTGAACTATGCAGCAAAGTAGTCCTCTGTATATCCGTCAATTAGCCGACCATTGTTGCTGACAGGGGCGATCTTCACACTACATGTACGATGAGTCTTCCGATCAGTCTGCTCGTGGCGTTTATTGGAGTCTAGGAGACGGGCAGAAAGCGGGGAGAGCCAGAATCCAGGCCAGCCTGCCTGCCCTGCCATGGACATGCCCTAGTTCTCCGCGTGAAGCCATTGCAGGGGTGCATGACCAGGGTCGATGATTCGTTCCATTTTGGCGAGAGGGGCAGCTCTTCCGGTTCGGATTCTGGGTTGGATACCAAGCTGTTCTGCGCCCATAGCAGAGAAGCATTCGACTGTTAAAAGCAACTTAGATATCCTCCCCCCTTGTCGTTCCCGTACAGTCTCTTTCCCATCGCGGGTCTTGGGTTTTTGGTGTCTCTTGAAGGTGGTAATAAGCCCAACCTCGGATCGGGAGTGTTAGACACCATCTACGGCCTCATTGTGGAGATATCAAGCATCGCTAAGATCAGCGCCAGGCAGCAAGATACCATCAAAAGTTGATTCGTGAGGCGCGTCTTACCTGCATACGCCAATCCAACATCTTGACGCCAGGGTTTGAAAAAGGATTCTGGCCCCTGAAACAACGACACCGAAACTCTTGCTTCAAGACATAAATACTCAAGCGTTGGATGGGTGAAGCGCAGTCGAGACCCTGTGAAATCCAAACTTCCCCAAACATCACATAGTCCCAACGCCTTGCTCAAATAACAACAATTGGATGCCATCTGATTCGTCTCAGCCGAGCCACCACCTTTCGGTAAGTTGAATGGGTGCGTCCAGAGTCTTTCTGACCGCCAAGGAGCAGAAACAATGGGGTCAGCTGATGTCGACATCATCACCGAACTCACCCAGTGGTACGAGGAAAGATACAGCGAAAAGACCGATAACGATATTCGCCTTGCCTACCTACTCTCGCCCGAGTGGGAAGCACTGGTATACCCTCGCTTAGCCGCCTACGATGACTTGGAAAAGAGGCGCCAGGCCGAAGGAGCTCCTCGACAGGAATGGCAGGACGCGGTCGACCAGGACCGACGGTCGTTCTCACACCATCAAAACATGTACTTCAAGCCCATCGAGCCTAGGCTCTGGCCGATATGTCCGCTGTGGGTTCATCTCGCCAGATACAAGGGACGGCCAGATTTCGATGCTCACCAGAGGCTACATGGTTGGGCCTCTCTGCTCGACGACTGGGAGGAAATACAGCGGCTTGTAAGGGATGAATCTGAGTTCTGCAACACACTGTCGCCCGCCCAGAGACGGTCATTTGATCTTCTCCAGTCATGGTGGAAGGCGGCCTACTGCGATGACGACCTCTTGAACGCTACGATTGCACACCTGCAAAGCCGCCGGCCTTTCTGGACGATAAACAACCCTTCCGCGGATGAAAATCTTTGTCTTGTCGCCAGTAGAGTCAAGACTGACACCTCCCTCTACCATTCACACCTTTTCAGACTCTTTCTCCTGGAATTCCATCCGCAGTCTTGGGAGCCTTTTCTCTGCCAAGTCAAATTATTCATGCTGCAGTCTGCGCGATATCGGTCTTCTTGTATTGCGACAATCCAAAAGCTTTCGTACCCAGTACTCCATCCGAGCCGCTCCCTAGCGGATGGGCAAGTTACATATCCCATCGTGGTTCAGAATGACGCGGAGCATCAGACCATAACTTCGGCACAGGCCAGCATCAATCCATACTACCTATGGGACAACAAGGGCCAAAAAACAGTGGCCGTCAAAGACCTACCCGAATGCCCCCCATACGTGTGCATCAGCCACACATGGGGTCGCTGGCGAACACGTACCGACACAACCGTTCCTGGAGTGCCGTGGCTGGTCCCAGAAAACACGCGGTACGATGTACGCGATCTTCCGGGGCAGCTCAAGGAACTAGGGTACCGATTCATCTGGTTTGATCTCTTCTGCATTCCTCAGGATAGGAGCGAGAGGGCTGCCCTAGAGATTGCAAGCCAAGCATCCATATTCAAGGGCTCGAGCAATTGTATCGCCTGGATCAACGACGTTGACTCCTGGCATGGCGTATTAGCCGCGTTAGACTGGATGAGCCTCAGGTCACAGTCGCTCACGTCGACTCGAGATACCAATGCAATCAAAGAAAGGATGGCAGAAGTGACCCAAGCTGCCAAGGTGCCGATGGAACTATTAAAGAGAAAGCCCCGAGATGAAACAGAAAACCTAGCCGACCTTGCTGATGATGTGACAGCAGGCGAGCCGACCTTTTGGATGTCCTCATTATGGACTTTGCAAGAGTGTATTCTCTGTCCCGAGATCCAGCTTTACTCACGCACCTGGGCGAGACTGGAAGACAGAGGTGGTTCAGCAATCTCGCTGAGAACGCTCATGGTGTTTCTCAGAGATACCCTACTTCACAACCGGCTAGAAGAACCCATCGCAGCCCCCTTCAGCGATCCTGTCAAACACGACTCGGAAGTTGCGAATGATCCTGGAAGGAAGCTCTATCTCAATGTCAGCAACTGGAAATTTCCTAGGGCGGTAAGGGACCTCTACTATCTTTGCATGATGACTCGACTCGACAATGCCCTCACGAGCGGCTCGCCGACAACGATCCTGACGAACGCCAACCTCCGGCAATGTACGTCAAGCCGCGCTCCCGCCATCATGTCTGCCGTCGGCGTGACGGACTGGTACCTGGAAGGCATGCAGGCGTCAAAGTCTGGCAAGGCCACGTCGCCGCAGCCCTTGGTCTTTGAGACCTATCCCCTGGCCTTCCTACGCGAAGCCTCGCGCAAGTTTGGCGCAATGTTCTACGAGAGCATCGCCAACAACCTGTCTCGGAAGAGCACCACCCAAGAGCTACGGCGGGTCCTGCTCCGCAACGAGCGCGGCGGGACTATGCTTCCCATCTCCAGGTCCAAGGGCTGGTTCTCCAACATTTCGGGATCATACGAGCACACCTACATTGACCGCCGCGACCACGAGGCCGTGGCGGACTGGATGGTCAACGAGGACGGCAGCGTGTCGATGCCCTCGGCGGGCATCGCCATGACGTCGGATGACGAGCCGGGAACGCGCAAACTTTCAGGGACCATTAACTGTGTCCTCGCACAGACTGATGCCGAGGGGAAGCTGGAGATGTACACGTCAGTCGTCAAGGATATGCTGTCGACGCTCAAGGACTTGAGCTATAGCTCTCGGCGTATTTATGCGGTCGCACTCTATCAAGACATGAGCTTTTTGCACGGCGTACTGCTGGAGAAGGTGCCGCTGTCTATCTTTGGCAAGCACTATCTCAATAAGATTGGGAGTTTTGTTTTGACAGACATGTCTCTTCCTCCGACTTCCAAGGTCGACTGGAAGGTGTTGTAGAGGCTGCTTGAGTCTTTGCATCATGTACAGCTCAACAATTTCTGCAGATCCATGGTAGAGATTCGCATTTCGAAGTAGTAAAGTTCTGAACATTTGTTGTTGGTACCTAGGAGTAATTCCTCAAGCCGAAGAAAGAATTGCCAACATTTCGCATGATAAAGGTTTATCAACGATGTCAACATGTACAATTCTAAAATCCTTCCAAAATTTCATGTACCCTCTTCCTCCCCTCCTTGACCGACGTGACCTCCTCCATCAGTAGCGTAGCCTTGACACCCGCATTGCCCCCAGCCAGCACGACCTTAAAGTCTCGAACCAGGGCGGCCGCCACCGCCTCTTCCGTCCGCGCGGTGCCCTCCCAACCGAAAAGACGCACGAGATGCATGACCAAGACGCTCCACAGCTGCTGGCCCAACCACAGGTACTGCATGGGCTGGTTCATCCAAGAGAGCAGCAGCAGCCCCGCCGGGAAGTAGAGGACAAAGGCGTATACCGTCGCCATGCTGGCCACCTCCCTAGCACGGTCGAAGGCGCTGTAGCGGATCGGGTGGCCGTAGTGGCGGAAGAACTGGAAGCTCGCCGGAGAGGCTGGCGATGGCGTGGAGACGAGGAAGAAGCCGATGGAGGGGACCTGGATTTCGAATATTTCTGCCTCTTGGCAGGGGGTTGGAGAGGCAACATATGTGTCATTCTTGGTGATTGAAGAATCACTTGCTGGGGATGAGGGAGTTGTCGTGTCAAGGGTCGACGACGCCGGGGAGGCCTCAGTGTCCATCAAGCCCTCCCGTCGAACGCGTGCCGCGGCGGCGAACAACTTGAGACCAAGAGGGATGCACAGAAAGCCAACAAACCACCTCGCTGGAGTATCCTGTCCGTTCTTGCTGAAATTCAACCAGATTCCCGAAGCCATCGCAAGCAAAATCGAGGATAGTTCGGAGACGATTATTCCCAACAACGTTCTGAACCCGAAGCTTTCGTCGATGGATGTTGACTGAGTGTCTATTTCAACTTCTTGAGGCGACAGGAATTCCAGAGAAAGTCGGTATATCCGTCTGGTCGTCCTGACGGCGTCTCCTCTCTCGTCACTTTCCCCTTTCGAACGCGCGATGCCTTCAGCATCGGCGCGGACCCTAGACCCGCCCAGGCCGATGCGGTCGTCAACGTGCTTCAGGACCTCGATCCAGAAGCCGTTCCGCACGGCCCGGGGCAGTTCCCGGCCTTCGGGGGTAGTCGCCGTCTTATGGAGGTAGTGAAGGCTCGTTTTGTCGGCAAAGAAGGTGGTGCCGAGCATGTCACCCCGACGACGACCCTTGTACAGGCCGTGATCGCGGAACTTGTCCAGCGTCTTGAGGGCTGCGCGGTGGAGGGGCCCGCCCATGGGCATGAAGAGGGCCAGACGGATGAGCGCGATGGCGTCGACAGCGTTGTAGAAGCGTTCGGGCCATAGGAGGCGCTCGAAGAGGCTGATGCCCGCGACTTCGGCGCCTAGGTAACCCAAGACTGCGCCGAGGGCTGAAGATGTTGCTGACATTTCTTCGATGCCGTTTGTCTGTGGCCACGATAAATGGATCCCGTTTGGTGGGGTAGGAGACTTGGGAGACTTGAAGGTGCTATCGAGAGGGTTTCAGCCCATCTTTGAAGACGGCGAGTTTCTGAAGCGTGCTCAACTTGAATCCTTCCTTGTCTGAAGCCAACAGGACGAAGCTCACCGAAGTGGGTTCATGTTGTCTTGCTGACTGTGAGAGAGCTGATGTCACGTCGGGGCCTGCACTAGACCCTAGCCCGCATGACATCTACGTCTATCTATTCGTCCCAGAGCGACTCTGCCGTAGGGCTTGACGCACATTGAAATGTAACAAGTCCTTTGTACCCAGACACAAGAAGTTGTAGCAGGGCCCTGCTGCTTACATCCCCCTGGTCCTCATCCCACTTTAGGGATGTGGATTTGCCTCATTTGGGACTTCGGTTTGAGCCTAATGAAATTCTGCTACGAATAAATCTGCCTTGCCGAGAGCCTGGTAGAATTGCTGCACGACGCGCCCAACTGGGGGTTGAAATAGTTACGGACTGGAGATTCAGAATTGCGAATCAATACGACGTCATGGTATGTGCAGCCGATGATGGAATCGAGAGCTATTGGATGCAAGTACTCATCGAATCGCGCGGCGCACAGGAAAGGTTGACTGCTTTAGAAGACATCGAAGACTACTGGCCACGGCGGCTGCTACACATCCCGACACTGACCTCAGTCGAGAGAGACGAGAACAATGTCTACGGCGCCACCGAGAAGCCAAAGTACAGCATCCTCACTTACACCTGGGGCCGCTGGAAAGTCAGGAATGGCAACGACGACACCGCTGCGTTGCCGGTGAAGGGCGCTCCGTGGAAGATCCCCTCGATACAGGAGGCTCATTTCACGGTGGCCTCGTTCCGAGCCGTCATCGAAGCTATGGCGTCTCAAGACGTCCAATGGGCTTGGGTCGATATCGCTTGCATACACCAAGAAGACGAGATCATGAATGCTGAAGAAGTCGGCCACCAGGTCGCCATTTTCGATAAAGCAGTCAAGGCGCATGTTTGGCTATCTGGGGCTAATCACGAGAGTCTCACCAAGGCTTTTTATACCATAAATGAAGAAATAGGATACCTTACATTCAGCTCGTTCCGTACAACAGAGAACTACTTGTCGGCCTTGATCACGACTTGGGCGGACATTCACCTGGAAGAGATTAGGATGGCCACCACATGCAAAGCAATCGATCGTATCAGTTCCGGGCTCCTAATTGTGCTGCAGGACCCTTGGTTTTCATCTCTCTGGACCCTGCAGGAGGCCGTACTGCGCAACGATGCTCTGATCCTGAGCTCAGAAGGACTTCCCTGCGTTTGGACCACGACCGGTGACGGCAAAGAATACCAAGCTCATCTCTCCATGTTTGTCAATGTCTGCAACAACATTTACTTGGATCTCATCAACATGCAGAGAGGCATCGAGTACCATGAGGTTACGGGTAACGCCCTAATGGACTGGGAATTCGATCTGAAAAGCAAGATTGACAGCATGCTGGCGCTGCTCATCCGTTCGGGCACGTACAACTTGCCTACATCAAACCCGAACATCCCATACAGCATGGCGCGGTACAGACAGACCTCCAGACCGGTGGACCGCATCTACGGAATCATGCAGACGTATAACCTGCGTGTGGGCAAGGTCATTCGGCCGCAAGACAACCCGTCACTAGCAGATCTTGTTCAGGAATTTGCCGTGGCAATTGCCACAAAGAACCCCATTCTCTGCCAGCTTTTTGTTCACACGAAAAAGGCAGACAAGCTTTCGAGCTGGCGCATCACAGAAAATTCGTTTGTGCCGGCCAACTTTAGGACACCGACAAACTACATTTTCCGGTCCAAGTTCTATCCACATAGCCACGAGATCATGAGGGCATCCGGCCGTGTCTGCCGTTTGACTGATGCACTCAGGGTGCAAGACGACCTGGTTCAATTCCTCCACCGAACAGATAAATCCGGCAATGTAATGTTCATAGACAGGGTCTACAGCAATGGTCGCATAAGGATCATGACGGACGAGGGCTTCACGAAAGAGCATCTCAACCTCAATGGCTACTTGTGGCAGCTCGGTATACCCGGGTTTCGTTGGCTGTTTCCTCTCAGCGCCAACTTGCCGATTGTTCTCCGCGACTTGTGGATATTCCATCTTGGAGATGTCGACGGCGATTTTGACTCACGGATCAGAAAGCATGTTCCGAGGAGCGTTGGTGTACTGCTTCGTCCTGCATATGAGCCAACAGAATCAGCTAGAGACGGGGCTGACTGGGCTAATGTTCCTCACACGCGAGTCGGACTTTGTACATGGAGTCCATGGGAGGATGAGGGCCGGCGGATGATGGATAAAGATGTCAAATGGAAGTCTGTGGATTTCGAGTTTTTTTAGGACACACCTTCCTCTCCTGGGGAGTGTCTCATCGCTGATTAAGTAGGCTTTTTGCATCACAAATAGTTCGAAAAAGGATATGTGGGGTTGATACTTGATTCTAGATGTTTCTTGTTGGCTTGCAGGCTTTTACATATGCCGGTAGAACGTTTATTGGTTATCAAGTAAAAGAATTCAAGGGGACCGCGGCAATAAAAGTAAGGTAGTTCAACACATGTCCTAGTATTCTAAGGCTTATTCAGGTTGCACTTACATAGATTAAGGGTTGAACTGTCAGTGGCAATGAGAGGGCTGTGTTGTGTCTATTCTGCCATTCTATCTAGCGATCAACTTTTCGATTCCTGTATCTTACGACTCTAGGCTACTGCCCTTGAATGTTAACCTGCTCGACAAGTCTCAATAGTGTCTCAAGTTACTGTCGCGTCTACTGTTCAATTTCTTCCAAATCAATTCTCACACCCGCTGCTTCTCTTTTGCAGTCATTGGTAATGAGCCTTGATAACATCAACAATCACACCGTGATCCTCATCCTGCTTCAAACCACTGACAACGACAACAGCAAGTACGCCCTCGACGCCCTGCACACGAATAGGCACACCGCCGCCGTGAATGGCATACTTTCCAGCCTGCTCCGTGCTCATGCCAAACTTTGACGCAAAGAGCTGCTCATCGCCGCCTAGCTTGTTGTGGAGGAGCCAGGTGCTACAGCCCCATCGGAGCACGGCGTTGCGTTTGCGCTGCACCCACGTCTCGTTATCGGGGAGCGAGCCGGATCCGACGGCCGTCTGGAAGAGGACCTGTTGGCTGTTTGCCAGCGCGATTGAGATGACTGTGGGCTTCTTGTTGACGAGGGCAAAGGGGAGGAGGCGGGCGTGCAGGAGGTGGCCTAGCTCAAACGCATCCTCGTATGTAAAGGACTGAAATGTGAAGGAGTCACATTCTTGCTGAATAACCTCGACCTGCGAAATCATTAGAGTTTGTTGCTGTTTCGTTTGTCGTGTTGTTGGCTCATGGTGGCTCATGTTAGCCTCGGGCAACACTCACGTCGCGGGGCGGCGATGGGATGGGGATCGGAGCGGCGGCAGGGTCGCGGATGGCGGCGAGGGACATCTCCAGGCCGAAGCCTGCGGGGTGTTGGCGGGTCCAGACTCTTTGAGACATGTGTAGGTGTGGCCGTGGCGCTGAACTCCGCGAGAGCGGTTTTAATCTTTCAAGATATGTGTTGAAGATTGAAGAGTTGTTTCGCGGCGCCTTTGGTGACGAATCGGCTGACAGGATACTTGCTGATGAGTCGCCGCCGTCGTCGTCGTCGTCTTCGTCTTCCTGCAACTGAAGAATGAGTCAAGTTTGTTAGATACGGTGGTGATTCTTCTCATTCCGCGTTCCGAGTGAGCGAAAGCAGCGCGCATTTGCTCTTAAAAACCCCTTGCAAGAATGAATCCCCCCCAATCCCATCCTATCCCACACCCGCTGGGTCCCAACCGTCAGGCAGCCCACTTGGTGCTCTCAACTGTTACAGTTACCTAATTGGGAAAGGAGAGTCCAAGAACTTACGGAGCCGGGAATATCTCCATGTTGCGTGATAGGCTGCAAGAAGGGGGGTATGGTGACGGGTGTCGTCACGCTCGGTGCCCGGGCTTGCGTTGCGCTCTGCGCTGTGCTCTCTTCCGCTGCCGATGTGCTCGCTCGTGCGCTGAAGCTTGATTGACCAGCTGCAGCTGATGTTGCTGCTGTGCTATTCCGCCCATTCTTCTTGTTGGGCGTCTTGGAATACCGATATAGCCCCCATTCTCGGAGCCGGCGTTGGAACGTCTTGCCGTTGATTTCGTATCCCTTTGCGGCGAGGCCCTTTAACATGCTCTCGACCGTCTCGCGCCGGTTAAACGCCTCAATGATTTCATCCTTGAAGGGCTCCAGGTCGAGACGGGGCCGCCCAGGAGGCATTGTCATTGTCCGATGTGCTTTCGCAGCGAGTACATATACCTCTCCCACAACACGGCTTTGTCAGTCATGGACACATGAATGATTGGAGGCGCGATTCCATGGGTGCACCCGACGAGATGTCCGCGAGGGGATGGCGGGTATTGATCCCAGGTTCCCGGGCGCGCTTTCGACGGATTGGCGATTTTGCCTTTCTGCTATGCGCTGTGGCTGACAGCCACAGTGGCTGGGATTCCATTCCGCGTATCGACAATTGTTCCTCACTCCCAGCAATGTTGTTCAGAGTTGAGGGTTGCAAGTACCACGAGTCGCCGGGGTCGATCAAAGATCTCATCCTTCAATTGCGTAATTTTCCCTTAAGAGTTTCGGGCTGGATATGCGACTCTGCCATTCTACTCTTTACCTCTAAACCAAATTCAAAGATTAGTTCTGCTCATGCAAATGCCGTCCGTAGTCTTAGGCCATAAGTTTGACGGCGCCTCTGGGGATTAATTTTATGTACAACATGAACTCAGTCTATGAAGTGCAATTTTATTGAGCACACTCTGCTTTTATATATTCTCCAATGCCGCAATAATGCTATTTCTCTCGTTCTTCAACGTCATCTGGATGTATACATGCAATATTTGCATCAGGGAGTATAAGTGGTAATAAAGAGTTCCCCTAGAATTGTTGAAGTGAGCACAGTAGTGTTAGATCTAGAGATGTTGGACAGATTGGAGAATGTGTCTTGTTCCACGTATATGACACACACACAAGTTCTAGGTATTAGAGTAAGAATTGAGCAACTGCGAACAACCGCGGGTTCGCTGGAGGTTTCCAATCTGAAGCAGAAATTTGAAAGATTGTATTGCGCCTGTCGATGTAGCACTCGTTGCGACTACGTTTGTAAGAAATACCTCTCAACGCGGCAATGCTTTATCTTGCAATGTGAAACAAGTTACAGATTATAGGTGTCTCGTATGAATCATCACTATGAAAATTTTCTAGCGCATCGTAATGCTATCGCGAAAGACAGAAGTATGCAGGTTGATGCAGCGATGATTTACGGGTACCAGACTCACTCAGACCATAGATGCCAAGAAAGTCCAGATATTCTCTCGCGATAGACCTTGCTCTTTGACGGTAAGAGTCGGACGATCTGTATAGATTCATCGTTGCCTAGCCAATCGTTTTCCGGACTCTAGACGAGCCTTCCATGTCGTGTTGATGAGGACTAATGACCGCCATCCAAAATGGAACGTTGTTGGCACAACGGAGTCAACTCTGAACTAAGATCATTAGGTTGCGTCTGTCAAGAGCCATTTGCGTTGAACGGGAGTTAGTTCGTGCTTGCGGATCTGCCGTATTCAGAATCAGATCTATGTAAGTATGATGTTTGCTCTATTGGAATGGTTATGTTGTCGGCGGATATTGGCTATCGAGCCGCGAGAGCATGATTACCGTAATATCAGATATTTAAATTGCGATCTCTCAGTCATCATCGGCCACTGGGTTCGGTATGAAACTCTGGGTGAGTAAGCGAATGTAAGTTTCTGAGAGATGTGTATCCGTCCGAGACTAGAGATAGACTACCCCAGTTGAGTTGGGGGAGAAAGACCGGACGAGGCTATGAACTTTAGTTGGTCTGTGTTGTATTCAACTCACGGATCAACTCTAGAATCGCTGAGATGACGGCCAGGAAGAAAATGAATCTGCCACAACTTGCGCGCAACTTGAGCCCCATCCTGGGCCGGAGAGCACAATACAACCACGAGTCCATTCGGACAGCGGCCGGTTGGCCCAATGGCAAGGCGTCTGACTACGATTCAATGTGTAATCAGGAGATTCTGGGTTCGACCCCCAGGCTGGTCAATTTCATTTTTTGCCGTGGAAGAAAATGGCCCTGAAGTGTGCTTAAATCCGTTGTGCCACCTATGTAGGGTATTCAATATCTTTGAAGACTCCAGGGGACACCCCACATGATCGTTATGAACGGAGTGGGCCGAAGCACGGTTCGTTGGTTGTTTTCTCGGCGAAAAGCTTGCACTCGCCGCATCGTCACCGGCTAACTTGTGGGAGGTGCCGCTTACGTGGATGAGGTAGTAACAAAGATCGGACGCGCGAGCAGCTTGACACGGTTCAGCATCGGTCTTGAGCGTTCGACATCTCGGATGGTACATGTATAATGGTCGAAGTGGGCATTGAGTGCCTGTTAATTGACAATAGGTATCAGTAATTGAGAGCGAGAACGAGCGGATTCCATCATGATTAAGATCTGGGGAATGACGGCTCAGAGTCAGGGAATGCTCGTATCCCATCGGCACCACCGCTCCGTCGGCGACCCGTGGGCGCCGGCAACGCCGTGGGACCCTGGTCGGCACTCTGAGCTTGTGGGAGGGCTCTTGACTGCCAACTTCACCTCTTCAGGGCTTGCCGTTCTCCCGGATGTTCTCCTCCCTGGGGCGGGCTTGACGTTCCCGGATGACGCTAAAGGGGCATCGACAAGTCTAATCAGTCCAGGTCTGATACTTGATACACGGTAGGGCAAAGCCAACATCGGCGAGCCGTTCACAATTGCCTGGTGAAGAAAGGCACAACGGCGCACTACAATCTACGCAAGACAATTAGCAACCAACGCATAAAGTAAAATCAAACTCTAATGACCGGCAAGTGGAACCACTCGCTGCTGCTGCCCCTGGCCAGCAGCCAATCTCCCCTTGGTGCCTGACTCATTTCTCGACCAGGGTGAAGGTTTCAACCGGGACTCGGGTCTCATGCTGCCCCCACACGATGTCGAGTTCCCCTGGCTAAAACTGAAAGACAAGCGAACGAGTGATCACGACAGACGTCAACGGTGCTGCGGAAGAGCCAGGTTTTAGTCCTTTGGACCACTGGGTCAAAGTGTGCCCCTAATCCCGCAGTGGCCGAGCCTTCGGGTCCTGTCCTCTTTGGGAGGAACTGGAGTTCAAGGATGTTTATCAATACCAAGGTCCCCAGTGAACCGTGCCATCTCCAGCGGCGCGCTGTCGCACGAAGTTGTTCCTTTTCAAGTAGTGTTGTCCGTCCACCATCCCCCTCCTCCACAGTTACCTAAAACTCTTCCTCATCCCAAAACCGACCTCCTCTGAACCCCGATATCCCGCCCCGGTGAACGCATTGAACGTGTTGGACGTATCGAAAGGAGACCAATGTTGAAAACGGACTTGGCCAAGGCGCTGCCCTGTTAGAGAAAACAGACAAAAAAAAATCCAAACACGATTTCCGACGCGATCGTGCGTCGACCCAAGCCGGGGCGAAGATGTCTTCGAGACATCGGAATCGAATCATCCCGACTTCATCGATCCTCATCTCATACCTCGCGTCGATAACTCATGCCACATTTATCAATGATTTCTCAGCGTACCCAGCAGCAGCAAGACCATGTCTCGACTCAGCGGCCGCCGCGTCCGGGTGTACCGGTAACACGGTGACGGAGATGAATACATGTTTGTGCGGGAATGGCGGGAACTTTGTGCTGGGGACGTCGAAATGTGTGGAAAACCAGGCAAAAGACAAGCTTGGCGATGTTTATGAGATGCTTCTGACCTCCTGCACGGATTCGAGAACGCCATTGGGCATTTCACAGGCACAATTCCTAGATGCCGACGACAACGACGATGCAAAGTCAACAACTTCTTCTTCCTCTACTTCTTCTACTATTACTACTACTACTACTACTTCTCAAAGTACCACAATGCTTTTCATATCCACAAGCGCACCACCAACCGAAACACCATCATCTTCAACAACCTCGACTTCGCTATCTCTCACGACGTACAAGAGCGTTATAGCAGGCGGAGTCACAGTGACAGTAACGAGAGGAGTTGAGACAGTGCCGACTGGAGCGGCAAGTGGAAACCAAGCCACCACCAACGCGCATCCAGGGCCAAGCCATACGGCTCTTGCGGCAGGACTAGTAGGAGGACTGGCATTCCTATTGGGTGCACTGGCGTTAGTTTGCTTCATTCGCAAGAAGCAACGCAAGGAGCGAAAGGGGCAGGTCGGTACCGGTGGAAAATTCGCAGCCTTATCCAGCGCGACTAGCCTCACCACGATGTCGGCCTCACCACCTCGGGGGCAGGCGACGACGGCATACCACGGCGTGAACGACCAACGACCCGATACGGCAAACACGATAAACATGGCGGTGGGCACTCCAGGATGGGACCGCCAGCAACAAGGACCACAAAGTCCTCAACATTGGCAGAACAACTCTCCCGGGCACTACGGCCAGCCCACAGCAACCTGGCCATCACCAGTCGCCAACGGCGACGGGACTACAGGAACATGGGGGTTTTCGCCCGTATCGCAGTACTATGCGAACTCATCAAGAGGCCACGACCCGTCATCACAGACCGGCACCTGGAACGCGCATGCCGTTGAGGTGGCAGCCGCTCCGGTTCCCGCTCCTCACCCTTCACATTCCTCGAATAACACATACTCTCCCGTCTTTGAACTGCCAGGAGACCAAATACAAGCCGTAGAGGCAGACTCGACACCAGTCGGCCATGTTCAGCCGCCGGTGGTGCTACCACCTTCGCAATCAATACAATCGACTCCCGCTCAGATGCGAGCGCAACCAGTGCAGCCAGCACCAGCACATTACGGAATGCCGAGACAGATCGACGATGCACTTCAAATATCGCGAATAGAACTACCGCCGCCTCGGTACTCGGGCCCGTCATCATCAGAATGGGTCAGCGAGGATAAAAAGTTTGGTTAGATGGGGGACTGGGGCGAGATAGCACTGAGCTCTTCAGCATAATGATATTTTATAAATCTTGTAATATTACCCACATGTAGACTTCGGGGCATCACTGCCGATATGATGCATAAGCCTTCAAATTTCGCATAAGATCAGGAATCAACCCACACAGCCCTGTAGCCTGTGTGATGTTATGGCCACTGTGCATATATAGAGATGTTGAGGATGACCCAGTTCTTTATTTCTGTTCCAACTGAATGTAAAAAGCAAGACAAAGGGAGGACTCATTGGTCAAGCAAAAGCCAATGTCCCTGGCAAGGCTCGAACTTGCGACCTTTGGATGTCCCTGGCTTCAAGCCAAGTCATATCTATTGGGTAATATGAGACCAACGCTCTTCCAACTGAGCCACAGAGACGATGATTGGCTCCCGTGCAGTCAACAGGACCTCAAGACAGACCTGCCAACCGGAAGTCTGTCGATTGAATTGAGACTTTGTCAGTTGGCCGAGCACGCCGAGATCACACGTAAGCAGCTACCACTTTGAGAATCTGGTTGTGTCTGACCAAACCGCCTAGTCTAGAGGCCAAACCTGATAAAACCATGGTAGCCAGCCCTACAGAGTCGTTAGCTTTGTCACTCACGTGTCTCCCGTGTCTCTCTCTTCCTCTTGATCCAATGAAATCCCCAAAAAACTAAAGTTACGATGGGTCGAAGACCAGGTTAACCTGACTGCTTCTGTTAGCGAAGAGGCCTCTTGTCAACCTTACCAAGCCACAACATGCGGGTGTCGTGTGCCGAACGCGCGTCTCAACACCGCTAGCCCGTTTTCTCGACTTGATTGGGTGGGCCGACTGCTGCGGCTGAGCTATTCACCTGCGAGAATGCGGCGCAGGATTCCTGCCTGGCATGATGGCTGTGTACCCAATCAAGACTTGGCATCTGACTGTTCGTAGCATCATTCCACCGGACAACTGATTATCAGCGGGGTCAGGCAGACCCCTGCCTCATGATTTAACCATAAATCACCCCCCAACGACCAGGACCGGCGCCAAGAAGAGTCACGAAGCGTAGACGTGATTAACACACTATCGAACTTTCATCTTCGATTGAAGATGAGATTTCGGGCTCGATAATGGCAGGCTTCTCTTCCGCAGCGGTGACATCTAGTTGTGATGACATCACTCACCGAATCGTCTCCACGTCAGCCGAGCTCGACAGTCTGTTGAAGGCCATCGACCCCGGGAGCACCGCAGCGCAGCACTTGATTTCGGTTTCAGCAAAGCTCGACCAGTTTAGAGATACCACGGAGCAGCTTCGAAGGTCCCTCAACGATTCGTCAGCCATTTCGCCAGGCCTGCGAAATGCTTTGGCCATCGCCATCCAGCCTTGCGCAGATGCTGCGGCAGTCGTAGACAAGCAGATACGCAGGCTCGACCCTGGAAATGTGACGGGCCTCAATTCTGATGTGATACTGCAATACGAGGCCTACCATTTGACGAATACTCGCTTATTCACACAGTTCGTCTCCGTAGCTCACATGTACGTCGCCAAGATGGCCCTTTCTCCTCCCTGCTGCTGATCTGACTCCTTAGGCCCACGATCGCCCAACAAGACGCACGACTCTCCTCTTCTGATGGGCATGGAATGTTGGAATCGGCAGTAGAAGCGTCTCAAATCGTTCTAACACGCAGCGACATACTGCAACCCTCCGATGAAGCTGGACAATCGGCCCCAGATATTGCTGCTTTTGCCGGTGAACTTGGAGACGCCCAAACAGACGAGCCACCGCCGGATTATACCTCGGGTACAGCCAACAAGGGGAAAAGCAAGGCGTCAGGCCAATTCTTCACCTCAATCTCAAGCTCTTTCAAAGCGATGACTGCTGGTTTACGAGCCAAGCCAGAGCCCATGGTCATCGCCATGTGCCAGGCGGCCAAGAGCGGCGACGTGGGGCACCTCAAAGGCTTTGTCTCGCAAGGGGTCAACACCAACGGCCAGAACGATGAGGGGTACACGCCGCTCATCTGTGCCATCAGAGCTAATCAAATGGAAGCCGTCAAATTCCTCGTCAAGTCCGGAGCTGATCGGTCGACTAAGGACTCTCACAGCGGCAAGAAGAAGCCGCCCCTATTCCACGCCGCCGAATGTGGCTTTGTGGCAGTCGCAGAGTTTCTTATTAATCATGGCTTCGAGATGAAAGAGCGATCGTGGTCTGGGCAGCCGTACTTCATCGAGGTAGCAAACAGCGACCAGCTCGATATCATCAAGCTTTTCTTGCGACGAGGCTGCGATGCCAACACAGCTGCTATCAGTGGCCGTACCATTTTCATCCACGCCATACTGAGCGGCAGTCTTCCGCATATCAAGACCCTGCAGGAATATGGTGCCGACGTTAATGCTCGTGATATCAGCGGACAGCCTGCGCTGCATATGGCTCTGGGCCAGAACCGTCTGGACATCGTCACGTTTCTGCTGGAACACGGTGCGGACCCAAATGCCATGGACCTTACTGGCAGTACGATGATCATTTCTGCCCTACACAAGAAGAAGTACGAGCTTGTCAAGACGCTGCTAACCCGAGGCGCCGACCCCAATGCCACGGGATTAATGGGCAAGGGCATACTGTGGACTTTGTTGCAAAACAAAGATATGGAAGAGGGGATCAAAGTCGAACTCATCAAATCGCTCCTGGCACGAGGGGCCAACCCGAACCAAGTCGATAACTGGGGGGAATCCATCATGAGCTTGGTCATCACCTTGGGAAACACCGACCTTCTGCGCATGTTCCTTGCTCACGGCGGCAATCCAAACAAGAAGATCAAAGACACGACGTTCTTGCTCTATGCTATCGACCAAAACAGACAGGAAGATGCCAAGGTGCTCCTCCTACACGGAGCCGACCCGAATGAAGCAGACAGCAAGGGCAGAACTCCCTTGGTCGAAGCACTTCAGGCGGATAATTATGCTTTGGTGAAGGCGGTTCTCGCCCACGGCGCAGATGTCAACAAGATGGGGCAGATCAAACCGTTGGCGTTGGCGCGGCTGCTGCAGAACCAAGAAACTATCAAGTCGCTGTCGGACCGAGGCGCCCAGGCCCCAGAGCGTCCGGCGGCAATGAGAACGCCGTCAACGCCTGTCAGTCCGAGGCGGCCAAATGCGTCATCTACGCAGAGTCGACCGGGTGAGAGTGCGGCGGATATGCCACCGCCTTATGTGGAGGTAGGTGGTGTGGAGGAAGCAGGGGCAGCGAGCCCACCGAGCAGCGCAAGGAGGCTGGTATAGGTTGGCTCTTCAAGCCTGCAAGAGTCAAAGTAAAGGCCAGGCCCTTGATTCGAACGTGAAGAAACTAGATAGTTTAAATTTTGGGACGAGACGCCAAAGGCGCTAATGACAATGTTCAATTGGGGGCTAATGGGTCAATGAATGATGGATGGGTAAATATTCCTTATAGTGTAATAATATCAGAACTCAGAGATCGCATGGTGATGATCAATAAGTGTCATCTTTGTCTATGGAGAGTCTATAATTATGATGAAGCCTTCATGTTGCCAAGTAGTGGCGTCCTAATTTCTAGTTCCAGATTAGATGTTGGTACGATGACGGGTGACGACTACGTTATCTGTTATTCATCATCAGACATCCAATCTATTTTCTCTCGCGCATTTCAGACACAACTTTGCATCTACAGCAGCAGTGCTGGACCTATTTCACAGTTAACCTCTATCGAAATCAAACTTCCAGCGCTGCTTATCAGGCTGATGTGGATAAATCATTTTGAGTCGTATATTCGGACTTGGATCCATATCAGAGACAATCTTGAAGCACGTCTCTGTTATGTGGCATGGTGTAAATTTGAGGACAGAGAGCGAGGTTTGAGTAGAGACTACTAGTCTGGCACAGAGGAAGGGAAACGATAGAGTCTATGTGCGTAGCGTGTATATATTACTTGTCAGCTCGACTTTGCTGGAGAACATCACCTTTGAGTAACATTTTGGGCTTAATTCTCCAATATTACAAGTGTACATAATCGTTGTGTACAGCCTCATCCTTTGATGGCTGTCTTGATGATCTGTTCCAGCCCCTCCCTGCCTATAGGATCGATACCAAGCAGCTTGTTGTCAGTTATGGGGAAATAACCAGCCTCTGTGCCGATAAAAGCACGGTTGATAAACATCTCCACCACCTCCTCGCTGTGATCGCCCGAGTTCCATCTCTCGTGTGCTATCTTCTCCAAGTCTTCAGTCTTAGAATGCTTGATTTCCCATTCTCCTGTCGGGTCGATGCTTTTTGAAATCTCGACAATCTCGTTTTGCGTGGTCTCAACACTGCTGATCTTCACCGGGCGGTTTGCAGTTTCCTCAAGATGAGTGAGAATGCCAATGATAGCTTGACCAATGTGTGGCATGGTCGTTGCGCAGAATCTCACGTCGCCGCCGTCCTTGATGTGGGCTTTCTTGCCTTTGACATCTACAAGGAAGTCGAGTGCGTACCCAGGCGCCAAGAAAGAGACATTCATGATGATGGTATATGAGAACGAGGGCCTTGCAGCTACCTTTTCATCAAGGTACTTGCGGATAGCAATCTTGGGCTGATAGATGGGTATGAGAGCGAGCTTGGGGTTCATGGTGTCATTGCCGTATTCGGAGGGAATCATCCGCCGTATGCCAGCATTGAAGGCCGCATCGACAACGTTCCTCTGGATATGGATTGCGTCGAATGCCAAGGCTGAAACGAGAGCATCTTGTCCTCCAAGGGCAGCTTCAAGACTGAGGACTGACTCGTAGTCGACCTTCTTCACTGTAACGCCTGCAGGGAATTCGTGGCGGGACCCCTCACGAGTGAGAACGGTGAGCTCAAATAGTTTCGACTTTAGGAGAACATCAAGGAGAACACGTCCCAAGAAACCATTTGCCTGCAATGTTCGTCAGCTCCGATCTTTCATAATCATGCAGTCACCGTGATGGGGTTTGAATGACTTACACCTGCAAGTGCGACGGTTTTGATTGGAGCCGACATGATGAAAGGGAATTTTTCTTGACAGATTCTAGTGAAGTGGCCAGAACCAATGTCTGAAAAGCTGCGTGAAAATGGTTGTAGGATGAACCTCTGAATGCTGGAGACAAATGGGGCTGTGATGAGTTGGAGAATGAATCAATCAAACTTGGAAGCCATATTTAAAAGCACACGACTGTGACTGTTTCGCTTTCTAGACGTTATTTTTGGTTGATTTAATTATGAAGACCCGATTTCACGGCATGCATCTCACAGCCCGTGTAAACCCACACCTTAGAGTTTACCGGGACCGCCTGTCGAATGGCCAGCCACGCGGCTACCTTCCCCTGCCCGTTCAGAAATACCGCATGTAGCGGAGCTCTAGAAAAGAAGGCCAAGGAAACGACGATGTCAAGTATCAGGCAAAGTATTGCCCTGGTGCAAGACGCGCGCTGAGGAGGCGGACTAGAGCCTATCGTATGATTGTGCTGTGGAGCGAAGCATTGTACCAAAAAAGTGACGCCTAGTGACCCTGCTACCATCCAAGCTTGATCCAGCTGATCCAGCTTGACTGCCACGCAGCTAGGAAGAGGTCGAATGAAAAATGAATGAATAATAGTCCCCAAGGTTCAAGGGCTGTCTTGTTAGAACTAGGTTCTTGACACATCAGGTGAGCACCGAGACCGAACACAGGGAGGCTCGGACAACAATCAAGCGATAGAGAGGACGGAAGTGCCCACCGTAGGAGGGGAGGGCATGCGACCTCGATATTGTATCTCTTCACATGGCGGATTTGAGGTGCCTAGGCTTATAGACGGGGACAATACAATGAGTGAATCTTGGGTATAAAAGTCCTCTTACCCTTCATCGAGCATTTTTGCTACAGAGGTGCTCGGTGGACCAAATCCATATTAAAATTGTGACAGGGACAGGCACATACTGAGGTGTCATAACATATCAGAGTTGACTCTCATCATCATGTTGATCCCTGCTTTGACGCTTGTTGCGTCTCTTGCAACAGTTCTCTATTCTCTGTACATCATCGTTTCTACACACATTCTCCGCCACCGCATGAAGAGAGAATACGGCACTCTTCCACCCAAGAGGCTACCCCAAAAGGATCCAATCTTTGGAACTGACATTGTCCTTCAGAATCTGGCTGCTGCGAAAAGATTTGGCTTTCTTGCTCTTCTAAAGAAGCGCCATGCCGAGCAAGGTCAGACCTTCACTACGAACACATACCTACGGACCACCATCAACACTTGCGACCCTAAGTTGATCCAGACTGTGCTGTCAAATCAGTTCGAAGACTTTGGGATGGGCCCTTTAAGAAGAAAGAGTGCATCCCCTCTTCTTGGCCGAGGCATCTTCACCACCGACAACGAGATCTGGGCCCATCAGAGAGCACTGATCAGATCCAGCTTCATCCGAGCCCAGGTGACAGACTTCAGCATCTTTGAAACGCACGTCGATCAGCTCATACAACTGATCACCCGGGAAAATTACATTGTCGATTTGCAACAGTTGTTTTTTCGCATGGTAAGCTTTGAACCGCGACGGACTTTTTCTCTTCGATTTTAAGTACACTAACTTTCCCTCATAGGTTCTTGATTCAAACAGCGAGTATCTTTTTGGAGAATCGGTTGGTCTCATGTCAGATCACGCTTCCGACTCTGCTCACACTTTCCATCACGCTCTGGATTACGCTCAACAAGGCACTATTCTCCGACTTCGTCTCGGCAACTTGATGTTCGCCCACAGAGATGCCAAGTTCAGGGATTCATGTAATATTGTCCACGCGTATGCCGACAAGTTCGTCAAGCAAGCCCTTGAATTCCGTGAGCGTGAGACGCTATACCCTATGGAAAAGAAAGACGAGTACACTCGCACGAAGTACGTTTTCCTCAACGAGCTGGCCAAAGACACCGACAACCCCATCATGTTGCGCGACCAGATTGTCAACATGCTGCTCGCCGCCAGAGACACGACAGCAGGACTGCTGGCATTTGCCTTCTTCTTGCTGGCACGAGACCCCAGAGTTTGGGACAAGCTCAGAGCCGATATACTTGACCATTACACCGAGCCCTTGACCTATGATGCTGTTATGCAGATGACATATCTGCGCTACGTGCTTCAAGAAAGTAAGTTTGCGGGCCGCTGTCTAACCCTCCCTGGCTTCCTCCGACTAATCCCAACCTCAGCTCTTCGTCTTTTCCCTCCCATTGCCACTAATAGTCGCATGGCCAACAAAGACTGCGTAATTCCGGTGGGCGGTGGTCCCGACGGACGCTCGCCAATATTCGTTGCCAAGAACAACGTCGTCACTTACAGTACGTTCGTCATGCATCGTCGCCCAGAGCTCTTTGGCCCTGATGCTGAGGAATTCATCCCGGAGCGTTGGGAGGCCCTCCGGCCAGGCTGGGAGTATCTGCCCTTCAACGGTGGCCCCCGTGTTTGCCCTGGGCAGAAATTCGCACTCACCGAGTCGTCATACACCATTGCAAGGTTGCTGCATGCCTTCTCCGGGATTGAAAATCTGGATCCGACTGACTGGCGCGAGCAACTCACCTTATCCCTGACGTTGAACAATGGGGTAAAGGTGCGACTCCACCCGGAAGCTTAGAGCCCCTGGAGTTATCTCTACCATGGACCATAGCCACGAACAACATCGGGCTGTTTGCATGGAACCTGTCTTCGCTAAGAATTAAATATTAAAAAGACTCCTCAAGAATGAAACCCTGTCAGCTAATCCTGCTATGATGGGAATTTCTCCCAGCCTTTGACCTCACTGAATCAGTGACGAGAATTATGTGCATGTGTGCATGTGTACATCGTATGATCTGATATTCTCAGACCTTTAATGAGTTCTGAATGAGAGCAAAGTGACCTCGCTGACGGTGCATTTCTTAGCATGCCATTCAATGCAAGTCTCAGCTCCTGCAGAAGAGCGGAAAGCTGAGTCTTGTGAGTACCTTGGTGTAAGTGGAACAAGGTGGTAACAGACCCTGGGCGCGAACTTCGCCACAGACCCTTGCAAACGATGGGATTGAGTACACATGTATTGGCAACACTCCCTCTGACCAGAGTTAGGGACATTTCTCAAGCTCGATGATTCAAATGATTGAACTAGGATACCAAGACACATTCGGACACATTCAAATAGCCGAAGGAGGCGAATAAGAAAACCGCCAAAGGCGGGGCCCCAATATGATAGAGTTACGGATGCAGCAAGAAACTCGTCCGAGTGAGCTTTGACCACGTATCTCTGAGCGCTTCAACTCTTCACCGCCATGGTCTAGTTAACATGCCACCTGGTTTAGAACGTCTCATGCCAAAGATGACACGACAGGGCTTTATCTTCTCGAACGACCACGCACTAGGTGGCTCCCGCTTTCTCGCCTCGACTTCCCCGTTCACATGATCCCTAAGTCGAAGCCCTCCAATCAGCATGAATATACTCCCTGTCTTGTCATTCGGGAAACCTGTATTCGAACGAGTAATCTATAACGCTGTTGGCTACCCTTGGGTTTTTGGGCCTAGACTTATCGAGAGATGATGGGCCAACGAACGTCTTTGAAGACAACCCATGGGAAATTTAAACTCTCCCCCGCTTCAGATCAGACTTCTGCCCACCTCCACCGGGTTTGAGTCAGGTCAAATAAGCGAAGGCTGCAACAGGAATCATCGAGTCCCCGACACGTGGAGATGGTCTGGTCATCTCAAGACTGAACCTTCATATGGAATAGAGTTTACTGTTTTTCTTCTGAGCTTTGGCTCCCCAGTGCTTTGAATGCTCCGCAGGTCGTTTCGATCGAACTCAAAGACTTATTCGTACGTAAGCGCAACGTTTATACGGTCTCAACTAAATTCTTCCACCGCTCCTACCGCATCATTTAGGCCTTGGCCAAGAAAGTGTAGCATCGCGGCCGCGACTGCGCAATACAGAGGGTCGTATTTGACTCGAGTGATAGTGGAACTGAGACGGACCGAGACGAACGACTTGGTCATACAACGGCTTTTGGCCGATTATCTAAGCGGACACCGTGTGGTATTCTTTGCTGAAGATCTGATGTGTTCTGTGGTTGTACACAGCCCAGTAAAGTGCAGTCTAAGACATCTGCCCGTACTAAGATTGCCGTTCCTTCTGACGGCCACAACTAATGATTCCAAGAGGCAGCCTTTGTTGGAATAGTTGCTGATCGCTTTTGGTCGTTTTTGACGGTTTCTTATCTCTTTCTACGCCGATTCACCTACGTAGTAGCATCATGTGCGGGATCACAGCAACCATCAGACTTCGACGAGGTGCCGCTGTTTTCGCCACAAACGGACACGTCGGTCTCAATGAAAATGGCCCAAATGGATTGCCAAACAACCAGGCTTTACACCAACAGTTGGCGCAAAGTCTTGCAACAATTGCTCATCGAGGCCCAGACGCTGAGGGCATCTGGATCAGTCACGATGGAGCCATCGGTATGTTTGCGTTTTTATAGCTAGCTCCCTTCGACTGACTCTGCGGGCCGCAGGTCTGGGCCACCGTCGCCTTGCCATCAACGACTTGACGTCTGACGGTGTGCAACCTCTGCACAGCGACGACGGAATGATACATGCCGTCGTCAATGGAGAGATCTATGACCATGACGCTATCCGAGAACGGTGCATTCAAGATCATGAATATCAGTTTAAGGGCCACTGTGATAGCGAGGTTTTAATTGCCCTGTACAAGATCTATGGAGCTCCTGGATTCTTCAAACATTTGAGGGGAGAATTCTCCTTTGTGATTTTTGACGAGAGAGACGGACGGGTGATCATAGCTCGTGATCGCTTCGGCATCAAGCCTATGTACTGGACGATTGTGGGTGAAGGCGCAGAGCAACGCTTACTATTGACATCTGAAGTCAAAGGCTTTTTACCCCTTGGTTGGGCGCCTGAGTGGAATGTGCCTGGTCTCGTCAGTGGACTGGCCCTACAAGCTGAGAATACGGTTTACAAGGATGTCTGGAAATTGAACCCAGGTTCTTGGATGGAGATGACGCAAAGTGGTGTGATTAAACACCATCAATACTGGGATCCTGAGTACAAGGATAAGGTAAGAAGCACCAGGAATCGCCATCTCCTCAGAACCTCAAGCTAATGAACGAAAGCATGAAGTAGAGACGCGTAGCTTGGATGAAATTGTTCTGGGAGTCAGAGAGCGAATTATCGAAGCTGTGAGGCTTCGGCTCCGTGCTGACGTGCCAGTGGGCATCTATTTGTCAGGAGGCATTGACTCCTCAATCATCGCCGGAATTGTGACAAAGCTTGTCCGAGAGGAAGGCGTTATGCTGGGTAATCAAGATGCCACGAAACGGATTTCCTGCTTCAGCATCCAGTTCCCTGAGGACTCGGGATTCAACGAAGCTGGTATGGTTTCCATCGAGCCTATGATGGACACGCCGCCCAGTTGAGAATTGAGTGACTAACTGGACCTACAGATATTGCGCAGCGGACGGCAGACTGGCTCGGTGTGCAAATCCTCAAGAAAGACATGAACGAAGAAGAGCTTGCGAAAAACTTTGTTGATTGTGTCTATCACACCGAGCACCACCACTTCGATCTCAACTCCGTCGGGAAATTTTGTCTTTCCGCGCTTCCACGACAGTATGGCGTGCCAGTTGTTCTCACGGGTGAAGGGGCTGACGAACACTTCGCCGGGTACCCATTCCTGATGCCAGACTTTCTCATGGAGCCGGATTACGCATGGCGAGACTCTGATTTGGCAAAGAATGACCAGATACGAGAGGTCATGCAGAAGGAAATGGCGGACGACCTCAGAAAAATGTTCACAAGAGTCGGCATGTTTGATCACAAGTGGGACAAGACGCCTCCGGCCTCCCACCATCATGGCATAGGGAATAATGCTTTGAAATGGCAGCCTCACTCGGACATGTTCGCACCTTGGGTCCAAGATTCTCACGGGAGAACCGATATGAGAGAAAGTGTGGCCAAGACCATGTCAGCCGAAGTACGCAAAAACATGGACGAAAAGTGGCACACACTGCACTCTTCCCTTTACTACTACACTCGCGGTGCGCTTCCCAACATGATCCTCACCTGCTTGGGTGATCGTACCGAAATGGCGCACAGCATCGAAGCAAGGCCCCCTTTCTTGGACCATCACTTGGCTGAGTATGTCAATGGTCTTCCACCGAGTCTGAAGATTGCATACAATCAGCCAGAGGGCGATACGGATGGAACGGGATCGAGTTTGTGGTGGAAGAATCTTAGTGCTGCCCGCCAATCCTTGAGCGAGAAGTGGATTCTCAAGGAGGCTGGCAAGCCCTTCATCACTCAGGAACTGCATGATCGTCGGAAGCACCCGTATTCAGCACCCGTTAAGTGGCCTCGGGAAGGGCCCATACACCAGCTCTTCAAGAAGCTAATTACGAAGGATTCGGTGGATAACCTGGGCTTCTTGGAGTGGGAGGACGTGAAGAGCTGGCTGGAGCGCGGGTTTGGGGATGATTCTGATCCCAACGCTTTCAGAAAGTTGGTCATTACCGGATCGTGGGTTGTCCTAAGCCGGCGATTCGGCATCAAAAAAGCGGTCCCAGCGGAGAAGACCGGCTTTACATGAACGCTCGCTGTCGACTAAGATTAGGAACATGCAAATGGCAGAGAGTATCTTATCGAATATCTCTGTTTCTTCACCTTTGATATATAGAAAAGCCCTGGTGAACGCCACCTGGTAGAAAGTCACGAGCATGGCAAAAGAGATTGAAGTAAGAACACGTGACGCGGCATCTTCTAGTGATGAGACAAAGAGCATGTGTAAATATATGTACGAAGCGTATCTACATGTAGTGTTCTGATATTACAAATTGACGGAACCTGTCTCTCACCGAGACCAGATGACGAGGTTCGGAAAAGGTGACAAATAGAGAGAATTGCAGGCTAGCTCGGCCAAGGATCACAGACCAGAAGACAGTTTCTTGTCTGGTATGTAGCTGAGTAATGAGCAATCTGTACGCTTGGCTCTTCTCATCTTGAACCCGGTGGGAAGCTTAGTAGTAACCGCCCTTGTTGTCCTTGCCGTTCTTGTCATCGTTCTTCTTGTCATCGTTCTTCTTGTCGTCGTTCTTCTTGTCGCCCTTCTTCTTCTCATCCTCAGAATCAGAGCAGTCGCCCTTCTTGTTGCGCTTGCACTGCTTCTTCTTCTTCTTCTCATCCTCGGAATCAGAGCAGTCGCCCTTCTTGTTGCGCTTGCACTGCTTGTTCTTCTTCTTGTCCTTCTTGTCGTCATCGGAGTCGGTGCAGTAGCCCTTGTTGTTGTTACGCTTGCATTTCTTCTTGCTGTTGCGCTGCTCAAGGCCGTTGATGGCGCCGGTGAAGGCCTGAAGTGAGTGATCAGTTTGGATCATTAAAAGAAGATATGTTGCTAGATGCTTACTGCAATTCCCTCGCCACGAGCCTGTTTGGTTAATAAGTTAGTAAAGGACTTCCGTTGACGATACAATTGCCATGTTTCAAGAACCAGGGATTGGTTTTGCTTATGCGCCGAAACTTACAGCAACATCGGTGGATCGCTGAGAAATATTAGTCATTTTGAAATATTATTATTGGTGAAAGGGCATTCTTACCTCGACGAGCTCCGCATCAAGAGGCTCGGCAATGGGGGCAGCCAGAGCAGCAACGGCGAAGAAAGCCATGCCAATGGTGGCAACCTGACCGAAAGTAGGGATATGCATCTTGAGGTTGAGAGTGAGGAGATGATGGAAAGGTTAGAAAGTTGGAATAAGTGATGAAAGTGAGCTGAGTAGAAGCGACTGTGATCTTGAGAGTGAGTGTGATGATGAAGAGGAATATGATTTTTCTGTGCGAAAATGGGGATTATTTATAACCTTTCGTCGTCCTCGTTGAGAATTTGTCACTTGTGTACAGTATCAAAATCGAATGCTTCATGTTGTGAGCCAGGGCTACACTTGCGACCGGAATTTGGTGAAGCGAGGATGGAATTTGCTTGAGTGGCTTGAATATCCATCCTGGTTCTCGGTTCACGGTCAAGCACGTTCGTCGTAGTCAAGCCAAGATGATTGGTGTCTTCTTGGCGATGAGCTGCGTCTGCCCAAATATAGCCCATTTGGATGCGCCAAGGAGGCCAGTCAGATTCCGAGATCTTGGTACGAGGGCATGCGATGCCAAGCTTGACGGCTTCAACGCTACCGCAATGCTCGCTCGACCCGTTTTCGTCTAGGGTTTCCCAAAGGCGAATTCTTGTTCTCGAGGTAGGCACATATGTAGGCTAAAACGAGGGGCCGAGGTGCTCTGTTTATGGCGATTCACGAATAACCTGACTGAAGCAAACTGGGATTGGTAATTTTTCAATTTGTTCTAAGCTGGCGGAAGTATTTGGAGAATCTCAGTTGCTGATGCGATTAATAGCCATGCAATGTGGATCAAGACATTGTCTCATGACAAAAGCAACATTGTCAATCGCATTTGGAAATCTGGAAGCCTTTCTTGGGTGAGAAAGTTTGAAACGACCGATGGAGTCAAGTGCAATCAGTAAATCTGTCTTCTGCAAAGACCTCGAAATCAGTATTAAACGCATGGTAGCGATAGCTTAGACGGGGTCTCGAAGAATGACTAGACAATGGAATTGCTGGACCCGCGTGAGCGTTGACTAGAGGCTCACAGACCGCAGACCTACATCTGAGGGCCGCATCGCGTGAAAGTCTACGATGAAGCTCAAGAATAAATGTGGAATTGGATAAAGGGGAACGCACGAGCGTTGCGGGGTGGCGTACATTTTGAGATCCAAGTCGTGGGCCAAGTCTGGCGCGGCGTGGCGCCGCTGGCGGGATTTCCGTCCGACTGGTTTCACAAGCCAGACGCGGGTTTGTCGATGGGGGTCCAGATCGTCGAGCACGGGAAATGAAATCAAGCTTAAGATAAACATCGCCTTTAACCTTAAAGTTGATGGGCCTGTGGTGTTCCTGGTAACCAGACTTGGCATACGTCAATGACTTCTTACTAGAGGTTCGCGTCAGGTGTGCAAATATTGGGTCAGGCGGGTATCGACGGTGACTTGGCATTTTCTTAGTACAATTCCAACAATATGCTCTCTTGAACTCATTTTTGTGACTCGAAGGTGGATTATTTCGCAATATCATGTTGCTGGTCTACCCAGCTTCATACCTCCCGAGCTATCAATGTCGATTGTGGTTACAGAACGCCCTCGGGAGTACAATCCATGACGTAAATAATCGCATCTCCGAGGTATTTCGATGGAAACACCTATCATAACTTGCTATGTTATCGCTTCACTAGATGGCGATGTTTACATGCAAATCTGTGATTCATGCCTAGTCAACTCGAAGATCGTGAGATCCGAGAAGGTCTAGGCGACCGATCAGTGCACCGAGATCACCACAGCTTTGACCGATTCGTAAGCCAAATGGGTCGTAGGACGGACTGCCAAGGAAAGCAAGCCATGAATGCTACTTAGTGCTGGCTCATCTGTTGCTGTGTCTATTGAGTGACTGGGGAGCTATTCTACTCTCCCACCTGCCGCTTATTCTATATGGTGTATGCGTTTAACAAGACGAGTCGTCGGGTTTGCCACTGGTTGGCTTTGGAGTTCACCTCGACTGCGAAGCCGACCTTCTCTTATTCCTCAACCATGTTGTTTCGGTCACTGAAGGATAGTAAGTAATAGTACGCAGCACATTCCAGGCTTAATAGGACAGCGTGGATGGACTTACGGCAACACAAAATCTGGCAGGAACCAGGCCAAAATAACCCCAGGGGCCGATGCTCCGACAGCGGTGTAGACCATGAATTTCATTACATCCGTGAACTATATTCGTTGAAATTCGGGATTAGCTTGTTACAGCAGGAGAACATTTGCTGGTCTCAAGACAGAACGACTTACAGCGTGATTGATCGCGGTTCTCTCCGGAGTACCCCATGCAGGCGCGGTGCCAACAATAGAGTCGAATAAAGAGTCAACAAGCTCTGACGAAGCGCTGGCGCCCAAGTATTTGTACAGCATCGGCTTGAACGTGTTGGTGTAGATACCGCCTGCTATGCAGCCTCCGATACTTCCACCAATGACCGAGCAGCAGATAACCAGAGCAGTAATTTGCGGCATCTCGCGATGCGGCACGACGACTTGCGCAGGCACAAGAATCGATAGCTGCATGATTCCGGAACCCAGACCCTGGATCATTTGCACAATGAAGAGCTCAGCCACGGAGTTGTCGGCGCCGCGTAGGCGGAGCATGACGCCGTATCCGATGAGACGGATGATTGCGCCGCCGATGAGCAGCCACTTGTATCGACGTGTGTATGCCATTGCCAGACCTGCGATGATTCCCATCACGCACTGCATCACACCGTTGGTGTATTGGAAAAACGTGGCGTCACGGGCGACGAAGCCGCGAGCCACGGTGGACCAGGAGTAAAGATATGTGTGTGTGCACGAGAAGCCGACCGAGTCACTTGTGATGAGAAAGAGACAGAGCACGATGGTCTTGTTGCGAAAGTACCGCGTGGGCATGATTGGGTTGCGTGCCAGAAACTTCTCGTAGAGTGGCAGTGCGGCCAGGAGAATGACACCCACCACGGTGAGGACGATGATGTATGGCGTGCCCCACCTGCTTGGGGTTGACGCCGCTAGTGTCAGCGGGATCAAGACCATCGAGAAGCCTGCGCAGAGAAGGGCTGAACCACCGAGGTCGATCTGGGAGCAGAAGCTGTAGAGCGTCGTCTTCTGCCTTGGAGTGAGACCCATATCCTTTGCCTTCTTCTGGTAGTGTAGGAGAGTGGAAATGATGAACGCCGCGCCGATGGGCATGAGGATGGCGAACATGCCAATGCCCCATCGCCAACCGATACCCCCAGGTTTGACGACGTCGTCGACGATGAACGCGGCGGCCCATGGCGTGATGAGAAAAGGAAAGAAGGAGAAACTGAGGGCGAAGCCACGCCAGCGAGCCGTGGTGATGTCGGCAATGACGATGTCGTTCATGATGTTGGTGCCGGATTGGCCGACGACGTAAAAGACCGCTCCTGCAGCGTACGCGTTGAATGTCGTCGACGTTGCCATGAGGATGTAACCCAAGACGTAGAACGATATGCTCATGATGTAGGTTTCCCCTCGTCCAATAACGTTGGATAGCTTGGCAACTGGGGGCTTGATGACGGCGAATACGATGCCGCTGGCGGTGCTGAGAGTTGCTAGCTTGGACAGAGCTGAAAAGGCGGATGTCGCATAGTTGTTGTAGATGTAGACAGTTGTGTTGTCAATTTCGCTTTTCATTAATCAGCTAAGTTCAGGAGCAGGAACATAATTACGCGTAAGGAGCGTGCACTTACTACACAATCATCACCAAGGCCAAGCTAGTGTAAAGGTGAGCATAAAAGGCTCCATCAATAATGCTATACGGGAGGTGGCAACATGGACTTACCCGACAATAACGAGCCATCTTCCCTTCTTCCCCCATAACGTCTGAGCAGCTTCGATGGTGCCAACGCCAGACTCAAGCGGCTTGGAAGTGTCGAGCTTTTTGACATGTTCGTGATCTTCGAGAGTGTCATCCTTCTTACCGGCCATTTCAACATCCCTGGGTGCTTCAGACGCGGCAATATCCGCATTGGCAGGGTCTACTGACGACGACCCCTCCGCATGAAGGTGCCCCCTCAGCGACGTGACAAAGCCCATAGTCTGTCTCTGTTCTTCAGTCTTCGGGAGCAGACACGTGCGTTCGTCACTGTCGTACGAAGACGTACGGCCGGCTCGTCGGCACATGGTGAGCCGGGCGCGAGACTGAGAAGCAGATGCGAGGAGCTTTTAACTATTTTTGAGTCATGCTCGCACTGCAGAAACCACGCAAACTTCTTGGCCCAAATTCAATAGTATCAGTCGAGACGGCCCCCCGCGAACCTTGCCTGGAGGAATTGAGTAGAGAGTAAAAAGCATGGATAACAAACAGGCCGCCAATTGGGGCATCGGCTTGGTTTGAACCGATGAACATCCTGACAATGAGGATTCTTCGCTTGCTTACCTTTCGCGTAAAGGCTGCCTCAGTCTCGCGCTCGTTATCTTCTGCCCACCGACCAACTGCTCGCGCGGGGTTGGCGTGGAGAGGGGAGGGGCCTATCACGTCGAGGACATTGTCATCCCTCGTGCATCCTCCGAGGTGTCGTGTGATAGCGTTCGGTGATAGCGTTGGAATGATTCGGCATCCGAAGCTATCTGTACGTCGTCCGATGTATCGATAGGATCAGGCACCCTGCCTTGATGTCTGTTCCCTTCCAGCAACGATGTGCGCTGTGACACGGGTGCTTCTAGACGTTTGAAGGAAGTCGGCTCATTGATACATACAGGTAGCCACGAACGGAACGGCAGGATTCTTCATGTTGATAGTTGCAGTCGAGATAAGGCGCCGGCACAGAGGAGCCGACCGGTCGGGTTGGACCCTGAAGCCATTCCCACAAACGCTCCACTTGAACCCCGAAGCCGCCCGCGATCAAGTGGGAATTCCCTCGACACCTCATCGGCGACCCGGAGTTTTGACCGACCCCTGATGGGGACGCCCGCTCCGTTCGTCATTTTGGACCCGCCCGGCCGGTCAACCTTTCATGGTTAAGGTAAACTACCACAGCAGGAGAATGTCACCGAGAGATCTCGCGGGATTGGTTCTGGAACCCCGTGTCACTTGATCTCGAACGGCGCGAGACTCTGAGGGGGGCTTGGGATTAGCGTCAACGTGGCCAAATGAGATGCCCAGAAACTGACACAAGCGTGCCAGCGCCCTGCAAACTCTCTTCGCCCGACAGCCCTGATAATCAGATGAAAAAGATAATGCACAAACGTCGGGGATCAGCACAGCACTGCGCCCCTACTTTCCCCTTATCTACCCTTGATTCGTAGGAGCCAAGACTCAGGAGGGCACACACATAGACTGGCGCTAATCCCAAACAAGCCAGCAACATGCCGGCTTCGAAGAGTCGTGTTTGGCCGCTGAGTCGGTGATCCGGGGCTTGGGGGACCCCCACACAAAGATCAGCTGCTGTGAAATACAGCCCGTCCGAGTTGCTCAACATTTCCTGCCCACCGTTCCCTCGCTGTCTGATAAAAGACCTTCTGAAGCTACATGTATCACCAAGCATACCATCGTGCTATATTGACATGGACTGCAAGAATTCGTCAGGATTGCCGGGGCCCAAAGAGGCTATCAAGCCAAGGTATCAGTGCAGAACGGTGGTCACTGCTGCTCTATCAGTCCTCGCGGTGACGGCGCTCATCAAAGGCAACTTCTTGCCGGCTCCGTGGTCTCTGCCCGGTCGTGGAAACACTTTCGAACAAATCTATGCTCCAGAATGGACCTGGTCAAGCGTATGTCGAGACATCTGCGGCACCACATGTCTGAAATGAGAAACTGATAGGCTTCACAGATCAAGCCCAGTCGGACCCTTGAGTGGCACAGCTGCTTCGAGAACGGAGAGTATGACTGCGCCAGACTAGACGTTAGTGCCCGAAAGCCTATCTCCACAAAACCAGCAGCACGTTTAACAGAACACCTCGCAGGTCCCTATGGACTGGCAAGAACCATCGGACGACCGTCGAGTTGTTCTCGCAATCAGCAGAATCCGTGCCGTAGACAAGTCTGACTATAGAGGGCCGGTCATCTTTAACCCCGGTGTAAGTAATAATGAGGTGTCCCCACTAAGGGCGTCGAGGTGCTAAAACCCATGTCTAGGGTCCCGGTGGTTCCGGCGTCTGGTCACTGAAAGACCATGGCAAGATGTTGCAGGAGATTGTGGGTGTAAACCACGTAAGTCTAACTACGAGCCTATATCATCAAGATTATAGATCGGAAAAGACTGATATTATACAGGATATCATCAGCTTTGATCCTAGAGGTGGTAAGTCGGACTTTTAACCACACAGAAGTCGGATAATTGTTGACAGGCAACTTGGACAGTTGGCGCGTCGGTTCCCAGAATTCAGTGTTGGTCAACACCACAACAGAGCCAGAACTGGGGCCTACAAGACCCGGGGATTCTCGACTCCCACGAAGGTATCCTCGGCGAGCTGTTCGTCAGAGCGACGGCATACTCGCAAGCATGCGAAAGCGCCATGAAAGCGTCCGGCATCCTGCAACACTCTGGCACAACCCCGGCCGCCAGGGACATGCTCGAGATCGTGTACCAGACCGGGTACAGCAAGATCAAGTACTGGGGCTTCAGCTACGGCACCATCCTCGGCGGCGTCTTCGCAGCCATGTACCCGGACAAGGTCGAGCGCCTCGTCAGCGACGGCAACGTCGACTACCGGGAATGGTTCAACTCGGAACACGTCAACTTCATCCGTGACACGGACAAGGTCCTGTTCGCCTTTTATGAGTTTTGCTTCCAGGCCGGGCCTGAAAAATGCGCCTTTCACGGTCCCACTTCGGAAGCCATCATGGGACGCTTTGTTGAACTGCTTTCCACCCTCAAGACGCATCCAGTCATCGTTCCGGCCGACCCAGAGAATGGTCCCGAAGTGCCCATGCTGGTCACCTACTCCAAGGTGATGCGTCTTCTTTCGTCAACACTGTATCAGCCGCTAGAGCAATTCGAGAATTTCGCCAACATCATTGCCGCGCTCGAGAAGAAGGATGGGCGCCCTTACTACAAGCGATATAACCCGAGCAAACCGGCACCGGCTCCGGTCTGCGCATCACAGCCAGTCTCACCGTTTGAGCCGCTTCCAGGCATTATTGAAGCCACCGGGGATGCGTTCCCGGTCATCATGTGTGCCGATCATCCCGCGGTCAATGACATGACTCTCGAGGAGATTCAGCGGGAGACAGATGGCATTCTCGAACTTAGCCCGGCGACTGGAGCTACAAGTGTGCCGTATCAAATGACATGCAATCAGCGAACTACACGTCCTCGGTGGCGTTTCAGTGGTAAATATCGGCAAAGAAGCTCCGTGGACATGTCCCTGCTAACCCGGTTCAGGACCGTTCGAAGGCAAGACCAGCCACCCTATCTTGTTCATTGCCAACCAAGCCGACAACATCACTCCGCTAGTCAGCGCTCGGAATAATTCTGCCGGGTTTCCTGGATCAACAGTCCTGGTCCAAAACTCGTACGGCGTGAGTACTCCTTCATCAAGAGTCGTGCTTTATACGGACGACCATTTCCACAGGGGTTCGAGAACTAACATCTCCTTCTCGCAGCATACAACTCTCGCAGCCCCCTCGGAATGTACTAGGGGGTACATTAGGGCATATTTCCAAAACGGAACGCTGCCGGAGCCCGATGCAAAGTGCGAGGGCGACTCACATCCGTTTGGCCCCGTAGCTAAACCTGGAGTCCAGTTTTACCAACCTCCACTGTTTATGTGACTCCAAACATGCCATGGGCATTTGACCCATATACTAGATGTATGTAGTCGACGTAGAGGTAGAATGTCGTTTTCGTTTCTAGTGTTGCATTTTCTTTGTCTTGTTGCTGTCTTGTCAAGTTCTCACACTAGACTCCTTCCATAGGTTTTCCATTCAAGAAGAGAAATTCGACTTTGGGTATTTGACGAGACAATCAATCTAGGGAACTATATATTACATGAGATTTTCATTCGAACTCGGCCACTCATTGTGTCTTGTTTGGTCGTTCGGAGTCAGCGGGCAACTCAAACACCATATGATCGCCCGGCGCCTCATGTCTGACTGGATGATGATCCGTAGAGCTAATCTCATGCGGCAACGGCGTTCCCAACTCATTGGGAGGCGACCGCGAATCCAACTCGTTGACGAGGCTCCCTTCCCCCTGAACCTTTGGCTCCGCCTGATAATCCAGATGGATCCCCCCGTTTGCCCCGTTCTCGGCCATCGAGCTCGTCTGGCTCGCCACCTGCGTCCTCCCACCTTTGCCTCTCTTCTCGTTGAACCACAAGACAGCCTTATCCACCGCATCAGGCGGCGAGTCGGGACCCCGTTTTTGCTTCCTGCGGCGGCGCAAGAACCACAGAGCCGCGAGGACCACCACGACCACCGCCGCGACCGCGATGCCCACCTTGCCACCCGTCGACAACCCCTTGCCGTCCATGTCAACACCCTGCAAAACTGGCTGGTTTTCCCAGGCGTCGCCCCACGTCGTGACGAAAGACGTGGCCGGGTTCGTGCTGATGACGGAGCCGTCAAACTTCTTCACGATGCTCTGTTCTATGCGTGGGCCCGGGGCTTGTGCCATGTACGTGACGTTCAATTCGTAGTCGACGGCGAGGAACGCGGCTTGTAGAAAGGCGCGCCCCAGCTGCCAGAAGCCGTAGGCCGGGTTGATGGATTTACAGGGGAAGTAGCTGGTGTTCTGCGCAACCAAGGGCGGCTCCAATGTGAGGTTGAGGAGTTGGAACGGAACTTTGATGGTCAGGTTTGTCGCGCTCTGGTCGGAAAAGACAAAGGCGAGGTATGCGGTCTGGTTGACGAATAGTTGAGCAGATAAATCAGTTGCCCATAGGTAGAATCCCGTCTCGTTATGGTACGTCATGTGAAGATTCTCTGCTATGGCTTCACAGATGCCCGGCGGTAGATACATATACGGCGAGGCCGGATCCGGCACCACGACCACCGACCCAGCAGCGCCGCCGAGATGTTGAGTGAACTGTTTGCCGAGGGCTGTTGGATCCTTCCAAAAGCTCACGTTGGTTTGGCTTGGATAGGAAGACGTGTTCCGTACCTGGAAGTCGAAGATGATGTCCCGGAGAAACATCATGGGCACCGAATCCTGAAGGGCAAACGTGCCGACCTGACCGAGCGCCCTGTTCTGCTCGTACCCACCGAGGACCAGCGATCCGGGAATGTCGAGAACGGCACTCCCCATATGCACGCTGAAAGCGGTTCTGTCGATATCGCCCGAGCCTTTGAGCTGTTCGAGAATCCCCGGGGGGGTCTTGTCATCGCTTCTGTCGGTTGGTCCGAGGCCCAGGGTGCCGACCGACGGCATGTAGGCGGTCGGTTTGGACTCGGTAGCGCCGACCCATTCCGCAGCAGCGACGATGGTCGCGTTGACTTTGATCTCGTGACTGGTGTCCATCCTCGAGTCGATCACCATGCCGTCCCAGTACTCCATCCCCGACCAACTCGCCCCCATGAAGACGCTGCTGAACCAGGTCTCAGAGAAGGACCTCATGCTCCCAGTCTCGACGGCGCCGGTCGACGGCGTGTAATCACCGCCGACTTTGGTTGTCAATAGCTCAGAAACGTCAGATCCGGTTGGCCAAAGAGGCATCCGAGTACCGTTCAGCTCCAGGAGCGGCGCCTGCCATGGTCCATCGGGCCCAAAAGTTTTGTTGTCGGTGATTCCAAGTTCGGTTGACCAGAGGAGTTGTATCTGTGCGTTCGCAACGGCGACGGCGGCCGAGGCGAGCGAGATGCGACGCAGCAGCATTGCCAATGTTTCGCTCACTTGAGTACTTGGGCTGCGTGATTACTCAGGTGGTCATTTGTCTTTGACTTTGGGCCCGCGCGTACAAGGTGAGAGATGCCAGACTGCGAGAAGGGGAAGAAAAAAAACAGGTAACCCCAAAGAACCAGAGAGTAGGTTCAAGTGCCGGGCGAAAAGGATACACGTGTGAGGGTCCCGGCCAATACAACGGGTCGGTCAATAGTGTGCCGCATGCGAGTCTTACAGGCGTGTCAGCAATTAAATCAGCCCGTTGATCGCCATGGAATTGACTCCATCGCAGGCAGCAGGCAAAAGATTCCGCCGGTCTCTGCGCACCGTCAACGGAGCTGTCCTTTCTATATCGGCTAAGTAAATGAATTTTAGAATATAAAAGGTTTATTAAAATTCTGTTTTATAAGTTTAGTTATAAAGTATTTAAATTGATGATTATCTTTTTTTTTCCTCTAAATAGATAGTAGATTGTTGAGAGTAGAGAGAGCGTCAGAGGACCGGCGGAATTTTCTGACCCGTGCATGCCAGGGCTACCGGGGTTGAGATCCAGATCCATAATCCATAATGGGGCTGAATTTTCTGCCTGTCAAAAGACAAGTAAGATTTAAGCTTGAGTGTGAATTCGAGGTGCTCATCAAGGGCTTAGGGACTCTCCTCCTTTGGCCATTTAACGCCATAGTATAAATACGTGAAGATTGAACAGGCGTCCACCAAAGTACGGTTTGTCACTTTCGACACCTTTTCGTTTTCGTAAATCTTGCATAGTAAACGCAAAGTAGTCCGGTTGAAGGTCCCACTCGAAAAATCTACCTCCCTACAATTTGCTAGCTACGCAGGTGCTACGGATACGGTATCGAAGGTTGACGTGAGGCTATGTGGCGGCGTCAGGGATGGCCATCCTTCAGGATGCAAGATGGTGCAGGTCCACCGACCATTGCTCACCATGCTTGTGAAAGTGGAGTGTGGATGAGGGTGGATGCAGCACCGATATTGAAGTTCTCAAATACGAGACTCAATGATCTAGCTTGGTAATATCTGCAATCCAAGAGGGAGAGGTAGGAAGAGGAAAAATCAGGAATAATACACCCCGAACCTGACCGGTGCTTTTGGTTTCCACCGGTCCGCTCCTTTGCAACGCATTCGCTGCTTCGCCCGGCCCCACCACCGGGTTTTGTCCCCACTTCTCCCCGTTCGCTCCGGTCCGAGCCAATCCGGCACTCGGTAAATATTGACAGTACCGCATATCTGCAGTTGATCCGAGCGTTGAGAAACGGATCCGATGAAGAAGAATGACCCAAGAGCTCCCAAATTGCACATTCGATTCTCATTCATTACTCTCGCACAGGACCTCCCTCAAAAAAGTCGAGCCCCTTTCATCTTGACCATCAGAATTGTCTCCGCCCGAACAACATGAGAGCCACGCCGGTTTCACTGTTTACCGCCGCTGTTGTCAGGGCATTTGAGGCACAGCAAATGCTTATCCGCGCACTGTTCGCGCCACTTCTGCTTACTTACCGTCGTCTTCTTCAGGCTTTTGAGCAAAAGTCTCGTCCTCGACTACCACTACGGCTTGCCCTGGCTTGCGATGCACCATCGAAGGAATATCAGCAAAGAGGAAATTTGACCGATTCTTCCTCACAGAGCAACATCTCGCGAATTGTCAGCAAGGGCTCATTCGAATGCACCTCTCAAAGTCAAGCTTGGTTCCAGACTCGGATGAAACTCATCTGGCGGCTATCGCTGGCGAGATTTTATTCTCCAAGTAAACAGAACCCACTGAATGGTTATCTGTCATTCAGGTAACTCGTGGATCAGACACGTTCCAGACGGCCCAATCGTAACGGGCACATCGCCGTCTGCTCCAAAGGCAGAGCCTGCCTCTGTTCTCCCTGTGTCGTTGGCTCGGTGGCTAAGGAAAGGGTTATGGCACGACAAAGTTCAAGCAGTCTCTGCGGGGATGTTCCAGTGTCGGTCAGCAAGTGCAGAACAGCATCCCGGATACACAGAGTGATATAATCGCGACTGTTGGCGGCATCTCGAGCTCTCTCAATCAAGACGTCGAGTATCTCAATGAGCGATACCAATTCGTCGGGACCAATGCTGGAAACATTCCCAGTCAAACATCGACTTCGCATCTGCTGTGGTGGCAAGCATCGCTTGACGAGTCGTCTCAGAGATGATTCGAGGGATATGCTGGATCCAGACTGTGGCCGACGGCAGCGTCTTCGGGACACGCGGAGGCGGCGACGGACTACCTCTCGTCAGTCCTATTGGTCATCAAAAGGTAGGCGTAATCACCGATTTGCGAAGCTGCCGTGGGACAGAGTTTGTCACAGAAGGAGAGTTGGGCGCCCCCAAGGATGCGAATATAATCGCTTCCAGGTTGATATCGTACCCCAAGCAGCATGGCTTCCTGTAAGAAATTGGAGAATGACAGTCTCCAACTGTGCTCATCGTCCAGAAGCTGACGGTCCCACATTGCGTGCCTCGAATCGTATTTCGCGTCTGCAACAACCAGCCAAGCTGAAAGCCAGGGCGGCGTAACATCAGACGTGGCTTGCGCCAACGAATCAAGATGAACAGATGGTGTGGCGGATCAAATCCCCGGACTGGGGCCGTTCTCCAGGTTGTGAGCGCCACCGAGGATCCCGTCCATCACGAGACGCGTGCGGGGTACTGGGGTATGACCCTCTGCTATGTCGTCAGGTGCATCTGGGAATAGCACCAAGCTTGGAGCACTGGTGGTAGTAAGTAGATGAGTGATTCTGGGAACATTTAGAGATGTTGTTATGAGTATTCACTATGTACTCGGGCTGCTAGTATTTACACCAGTTCACGACGAACCAGTCCATGGTGGTGCATTCCATGGATTTTCGCCTCCTTTAACGCCGTGTCCTTGTCCTCGAAAATGCAAGCTGTCACCTTGTGCAGCTTCAGCGCCCGTTGACGTGTTCAAAACGTTCCCTTGTAATCCCGCCTAATGATATCCGTAATCGCTGTAAAAAAACGCCATTGCCAATGCTGGGGTTGATCCATTCTCCGATGGTGATGTGATGGTAACAAAAAGAGAGTTGACGTGGTTTTGCTGGAATGCCCAAGTCGACCCGTGGTAGGGAGACCTAGTTCTGGGATTCGTAGACTGCCATGGCCTTCTCGAGCTCCTCTAGACTCGATCGATCGCCATAGGCATCCATGAGTTGCGCCGCTCGCTTGCGGTCTTCAATTGCCTGTTTCTCCGCCGCGGCGTTTTTGGCTAGACGACGTTCGACCATGCCTTCTCGGTAGGCGTTGAGGCCGTAGCCAACGGCGACGACTGCTACTGTGGGCGGGATCCTGTTGAGCCGGATTCGTCAGTTCCAAACTCTCGAGAAGCGCACGTTGGTTTACCCCAGGATTCGGAGGGGGCGGAACGGAGAGGGGAAATCACAATCGGATCGGAGAGTAAGACGTACCATCTCATGGCGAGTCGACGAGGAGTTTGCAGAAAGTAGCTCGGCGGCATGCGAGCGTTGGTGGTGAAGTTTCTTGAAGCTTGTCTGACCATCGTATGGATGGGATATCTCAGTGGGTGGTGGTGTGGGATGGGGTGTAATCGGTATTTGTATCTTGGTTCCGTGTGGGTTAAAATCGCAAGGGATGATTAGATAGGTCTTTCGGGCTTAAGGCAAGCTTTCATGAAAAGGTGGCAGCGGCAAGCAATGTATTCATATAACACCCCGTCTCGACCCTCGCGCCGCCTCGCGCCGCGCCAATCTTGTGTCTGAGAACCCCGTCACCCCCAGGGCCCCCAGCCGTTCCCTCCCACGCCTCCCCATGGCCTAGGGCCCTAGGGGGGGTCCCAAGCATGGCACCGCCCAGCCAGGTTGAGATGAGCATTGAGCGGTACATGGCGTCTCCGCAGGGGAGGGAGGCAAAACGGGATTCGCGGCCAGAATCAGAATCAGTGTGACACCAACATGGCACCACGCTCAGCAGCGGCCCCAATTGGGCATGGCGCCGCCATCGTCCCAGAGTGTCGATTGTGGGGTGATGTCGACCTATATGCGGGGTGCAATCGGCACAGCCCGGGTGCAGTAACGTGATGTCGCTGGGGAGTCGGGACAGACAAACTGGACCTTTGCTCTCTCTGCGCAGTGGGTAGTCACTATTGCAGTGCTGTCTGTGCCCTCTCGGTGAAAAGAGTCTTGTCCTTCTTGAGGGCCAAGAGAGTTCCTGTATGAGACTTGGAGACTTGAAGCAGAGGATCACCGCTGGTTTGCTGGAGCTTTGGAAAAGGCTGGAGGATGTTGAGGAAGCCCCTTGTTTGTGCATCTCTGGTGCACCTCCGTCCATCTAATGATCCTTGGCCGTCCAAACACAGCCCCCGCAGACTTGTTTTGGCTTTTGGCTGGTGTGGTAGGTAGCTCCTCCTCACGTGCTCGACGTTTCTAGAGCCTGTGCAGTTTCTGGGTTCCCCGTGCTGTGTGGTTTGCTTTCTTCCCAGCGGCACTTGGAGTCGGCTTCTCGCCACACACGCGACCGATTGACGCAGCATTGACCAGACGGAGAACGGCCAGCGGAGTCCTCCGTGGCCGTCCTCTACACCATGGCGGTGCTGGCAGCTGTTGAGAACCGTGAGATTATGACATGTTACGGGGGTGTGTCTTCGCACCGAAATCAAACTGTCGGTGCTCAAGCATGTCGATATTTTCAGTCCCCAACTTTTCATTCTGTGTCTCTACTCAACATGGGAACCCGAACCTATTATCGTGACCCCATTCGCAAAGCCCATCCATAGTCCGTATCTCTGCTAGTTCTCCATCGTGGACTACGGAAATGCCGATTCCACCCGCGAAAAAACATCAGACTCCACCCAATTTTGTCCCGAAAGTTCGTCACATAGCCGAAAACCCTCGTTGATGTCATCTCTGGTCCCTGGATTTGCACCTCTAATCTCAATTTTCCTATTCCCTAGTGTACTCTGCCAAACAACCCTGGCACCAACCAACCTGACGCTTAGCCTGATCTCGACTGCGTCTCCATCCGCACTACCGCCTTTGGGGGGGAGCTCGAGTCCGACGCCTTCTTCCGGTGAGAATCTGGATGCCCCGTTGCCAAGGTAAGGGAGAGCGAGACCCTTGTACGACCATGTCATCCAACCAAAATTCCATCAATAAACTCAACGCATTTTCCGAGCTGAGTCTCCACACCACAAACCACCGCCAACGCGGCTTGCGCACCAAGAGAACCCCGGCGGTTATGTTTCACGTCGTCACAACACACGATCAAATGATGTTGCAGCGGAAAGTGGCGGGTCGTCGTTGACGGCCATTGTCGCCGATTCTACAACATGACGATGACTCCAAATTAAGCCCCTTGTTGGTCAAGATCGCTTGATTTAAACTTGTTAAGCATTCTCTTTGCCATCGCCCTTGACTGCATTGCCGTGATGACGAGCGCATGCATGTGTACATGGTGGATTGGCACCCCCATCCGTAACTGACCGGGGCTCTCCATGCCACTTTTCAGCCTTTCCGCTCTGTTTTGGCGCAGCGCATCTCAACACAGCACAATCTGTATGACAGCTAAATTTTGAATTAGGTTATGAGGCTCAATGTGGATCAGATATCAATACTGTCTACAATTGACAACTTCCCTTCCTCTCTGCTCATCTTTTAATCCTTTGGAACCTGGTAATCTTTGACCCGTCACTCAGCTCTTGCTGAATTTCTTGGTGTCTATAACCAAAGAGTCTTGGAACGAGCACAAATCGCAATGCATAGTAGATGATGCCAAGTGAAAGAATACCCAGTGCGACGACCGAGGAAAGCCAGTAGGGCAGCGAAGTACTGCCTTTCCCATTCGGCAGTCGTACAAACGGCATCACGATCAAGAACTATTGCGAAGCGTCAGCGACCGTTTCTTGCAACCAGATCTCCCAACACATGAAGAGGACTTACAATGTTTGCCGCAAGATAGGTCACAATCAAAACCCACGGGGCCCGGAACGGCGACTGGAAATTCTCTCGGTCGGTGAAGCGTAACTTGACCAGGCCAATGGTAATGGCTGTCAATAAGACGGTCGTCGGGTAGCTAGACAAGCTGACGACGAAGTTGAAGGCATCTCCAGCCGGCGGTGCGCAGATGAAGAGGATCGTTACTCCAAGATGAAGGATCAAGGCGTAAATAGGAGTGCGGAAAGGCCTGTTCTCCATGAAGAGGTTGGAAAAGGGCAGCACACCATCCTTTGCTAGTTCTTGTAGCAGACGAGCTGATCAGGAAGTCAGCACATTCAGCTTCAGGTGCCGATTGTCAAGGGAATTCAAAATTCCATCAAGAATTCAACTCACGAATCGTAAACGCAACACCCAGAAGGTGTCCCAGTGCTGACAGAGCCACTAGAGCTGGAAGAGCTTTGGCTCCTGCTGAAGGTCCAAAGACGTTCTCGAACAGAGTTGCGGCTACGGTGACCTTTGCCGCAATGAAAGCTTCTTTCGGTACGGCGGCAAACTTTTCCCTTCGTGTTAGCGGAAAGAAAGGTTACCATGGCGATGAGCACCAGTGCACTTACGTATGCAACGTTTGCTAGCAGATACAGCACTGCAATGACGCTCATTGAGAGCGGTAGGGCGATTCGCAACGTCTTTTGCGGGTTGCGGACTTCAGATAAGACCTAGGTAGTCAAAAGGTCAGCGAAACACAACTACCAAAAACTTGTTGACACGGCACTTACAGCATTGACATTGTCATAGCCCTGAAAGGAGAAAATGACGTTGAGAATGGCAGTGCCGATGTTGTATCCGCTGTTGGAAGTGCCCTCGAATGCGTTATGGAAATTATGCGGGTTTTCGACCCTCAGGTGGCCCGACAATGCAGCAAAGCCGCAACACACAATAAATAGCAGTGTAAACAGCTTCACCGCGGAAAGAAGGTCCTGGATTGCTCTTCCTGCTCGAGGCGCAACCGTGTGGATTCCAACAGAGAACACGGCGCCGGCAATGGCAACTCCGCGTAGTTTCCACGTTGTCGAGACAGCATCCGACGCAACGAGGATATAAGACGAGAATGTGATAGCGTTACTAGCGGAAACCTCTACGGTGTGCGTGTCAATAGAGCCCTTGGCCTGGCAGTGATATGCAGGTAATGAAGGACCAGAAAGACTCACGCAAGAACACGCAGTAAAAGACGTAGATGCAAGTCTGCATGATCCGGGGACTGAAAGAACGCTCTAGGTAGTTCTTGATACCACCTGACCTGGGGATCGCACTTCCAAACTCGAGCATGACGAAGATGCCGCACGTTGAGATGATTGCTCCAATGACCCAACACATCATTGCCATACCCACACTACCTGAGAGCTTGAAAATAGTACTGGGAGTCGAGAAGATGCTGCGTTTGTCAGTGAAGGCACGCAGGCGACGGCAAGGCGTTCTCAGACGCACCCTGCGCCAATAATCTTATTGACGATCAAGGAGACGGCGCCAAAGAGACCAATAGTCCGCTCTTGCAGGACGTTGACCTCGACAACGCCGAGCTTGACATCCTTGTCAGAATCGTCGCCGCCATCGCTAAGAGAGCGAGTGGCAGGCACAGCTGATACACCATGTTAGAGCTCTCCTCTGTAAAACTCTCTCAGTTTTTCACTTTTTGCTGACCTTGAATGCTGTCTTGTCTGGATGCCATGATCTCAGTTACGCCAATTGAAGGTTTGGAGTTGAATCAACCAGAAGATTATTCGGCCCACGCAACAGCCATATTTGATTCAGCAGAAGAATGCAAAACTTTCACTCTTATGGACTTTGAGGCTCAATCAAGCCTTTGTGGTGGTATCCGTTATTCTGGAAAATGTAAGGTAAGCTAACGGGGCGCGTCGGCGTCTGTAGGAAGCGAAGCACGCCATTATGGAGCCAAGATGTCGTGTGAAGATACCGGACCGTGAAGATACAGCAAAAAGAAAGCAACAACCGGAGTCTTCGCCCAGTTACTGATACTGACCTTTCAGCGGATTTTTGCATTTGCGTACCTAACTAATTGCTTGGGGTGAAATACGGAACGCTTGTCTACTTTTAGCTGCATATTGTCACGAAGCACAAGGGCGCGCTGTTGGAGTCGGGGATCTTCCGATCATGTCGTGCTTTGCTCCTGGGATTCGCCATCAAATTCACACAAACCATTGGACACTAACAACATGCAACGTTGTCTGGGCTGAACGTAGACCCGGACCGCATCCGACAACGGACCGAGAAGCTCGTAATGCACCCGGTATCTGATGTGATTATGAAGTAGCATAAATGTGTTGGAAGCTGGTTGAGCATCTCAGTCATATGGTAAATTCAAGTGAATACATATCTATCTTTACAGACGGACCGCGCCAAATACTAGAAAAAATGACTGTCGAAATCGAGACCTTTGAAGTCCCCGGTGCCAGGAGCTATTTTGGCAACGCCCTGCCTTATGGACTGCAGGTCAAGTCGAGGGACGGATCCACTGTTGCGCCTCCCGTCGCCGAGTCTGCGGCAGCACTGCGAGCTTTGGGAGAGTCCGGAAAACTCCAAGAATTGTTGGACAAGCATGGGGCCGTCTTGATCCGTGGTGCTGGGAACGCCTCCGCCGAGACTTTCTCGAAACTCGTGGGCGCTGCCGAGAAAGGCCGCGGCTCGTACCCTCATGTGCAAATTGGGCTGGCCGGCAAGAGAACTCCGCTTGCGGACAATGTGTGGACGGCAAACGAAGGGTCTCCGAGCACTCGATTCTACCAACACAATGAGGTGAGGGCAATCTGGCTCAGATTCTAGGTAACAACGGGAATAATTAAACTCATGAACCGTGGTTAGTATTCCAGATACACTCGCTTCCCTTCAAATATTCACTTTTACTGTGCGAAGAAAGCCCCCAAAGGTGAGTCTAGTTCAAGCCAGCGAGGTAGCCTAGGCTGCTGTAGACATGCGTGATGATATTGATTAACCTGGGGATGCAGGTGGCGCAACACCAATCGCAAACAGCGCCAACGTGTTTGAAAAGGTCCATGCCGAAATCCCAGAGCTTGTAGAGGAAATTGGAAAGCGTGGCTTGGGCATGAAAATGCTCTTCCGTGCCCCCGGAAACGAAGCCAAGGTCAACCAGTTCAATTGGGCCGGCGAGCACAGCTTCGGACAGGAACTTACGCCGGAAGACGACGAAGCGACGACAAAGCAAAAGGTGGAAAAACAAGTGCGCAAGTTGACATCAGACTTCAAGTGGAACGATGACGGGAGTCTCGAGCTGACGCAGCATATCCCTGGTAAGCCTTGTCTCATCGTAGCCTTCTCTACTTACTACCACTCAATCCTGACATGAATCGCAACCGCAGGAATCCGCAGGTTGCCATCAAGCGGTCGACCTGTGTGGTTCAATGGCCTTGTTGGCCGCCATGGTATCACTCGCGATATTGGTGCTCTCGAGCCTCCACACATTGGCCGCGACGGAATGACTTGTAAGTATTCGGAAAAGGATAATATTATATAATCTCATTAACCTATTACTAGATCTCCCTTGTGTCTATGGAGACGACACCGAGATCCCGCGCAGACTCCTCGACAAGCTTATTGATGTGATTGATAAGGAGGAGATCAGCTTAAATCTTGAGGAAGGAGATCTCTTGCTGGTTGACAATTTTCAAGTATCTCACGGGAGAGAGCCGTGGGAGGGCGACAGGCAGATATTGGTCTCGATGTGGGACACTTCAATCCCAATCGGAGCGTATTAATAGACTTTCCGTTCTTTTCAGAGCAAGATCTAACAGTCGCCGGACGGATCATCCCGTTTTAGACAGGGGGACAACCACTTAGTTCATACTACGCCATAGGCTAAACTAACTTCCTGCTTCTGTTGATTTGGAGACAGGATTGAGATATTGCTAGGTACGATGCTTCACAATTTCATGACCTTCCCAACGCCGTTGTGGCGTCGGATTGGTTCTCGTGTCGAGTGCCCGCCTACGTGATGATGATGAAGCCTCAACTTCTACCAGGGACAAACCCCATAAACGCCAATCACACGACCAGCATTTCCATCATGCTCCCCTCTGATAACAGTAGCAACACGCTCGCCACCATCAGACGGCTCCGCCGCACCCCTATCCTTGAGAGAACCTGGGTCGCCGGTAAAGTTGGTAGCGCATAGCCCCGGGTCGGCCCCATGGACCATGAACCCATCAGGCTTCAAGCGCGCCGCATAAACCGTGAGCAGCATATTCAGCGCTGCCTTACTGACTCTGTACTCGGTAACATGGGGACTGTAGTAAGGCGAACTTGGATCGGCGGCGTGAGCGATGGATCCCATGCTGGAGCTAACAAAGACCAGACGCGGTGGCGTATGAGCGGCTTTCTTCAAAAGTGGGAGAAAGGCCTCGGTCACACTGAGAGCACCGATTACGTTGGTGTCTAGGGTGCGTCGGAACTCAGCCGTTGAGGGCGGGCTTTTCATGGAGACGATGCCTGCGTTGTTGACGAGGATGTCTAGTCTTCCCCACTCGCGCTCAACATACTGGGCTGCAGCATCGATCGACTCGGTGTCGGTTACATCTAGCTGAGTGAATGTGACTGAACCATTTTCAATGGTAGTTGATTGTAGTTTGTTGACGGCAATTTCCCCTTTTGCGGTATCGCGACTTCCAATTATGATATGATAGTCGCTGGAAGATCGGAGAAGGTTCTTGGCTGTCTCGTATCCAACACCTTGATTGGCGCCTATCACAGTGAATACCGAAACCTAGAACGAAACGTTTCCACGAATGGGACGTGAAATCATGTTGCTTACCTGTTATCAAAACAACCTTCTTAGGGGACGAGGCCATGTTGAGGTAAGTCAAAGTCCAAACGGTGATTTATGCCAAGATGTTGTTCATTCATGTGTAGCATCAGTCGAATTCTCAGGAATGCAAAGCAATAGACCAATGCGATAGGCGTGAAGGAGACATATAAATGACAGGCACCGGCCTGGAAACAACCGACACGCACTCATGCGGGTGTGCGGCGCGGCTCGGAGATAATACGACGCACTGTTATGTCCGGCTTTCCTCCGGTTCGTTTGTGAAACCCTGCCATATCTGCGGACACCTATTCTCATGAAAGCCTGTTGAATAGTCGACTAGCAAGAGACCGCTGGCTGGATTTCGCTATCTGAAGCCGTCCTTATCAAAAGCAAAAATATCTCATGAGATCTTTGCTGTCCTATTGTACGACATTCAGGGCCTGGTCCGGACCACAGGCCTATATCGACCTTTCAATAACGATAATCTGAGATTTTCGGCTAAGTTAAGGGCGAGCTCGAGCTAGCCTGGGTGAGCTACCATACACTTTGTCACAATCTCATGTTGAATCGGTTTGCAGGAACTTTTAGAAAAGCCTTATTGGGATATGTCTGAAGGTGGAGGTGATCCTAGGTGCTTTGCCGTACCTTGGGTTCAAGTGAATGTGATAAAAACAAGACAGTCTTGGTTCCATGTCCCTGTCTGAATCGACGTACAGCTTCCTACAAGAACATCCGTTCAACACATGTAATGTATGGCATAGGCCGGGGTGCTGATTATCCCCTACAGGGTATACTGATAGGCAGGATGACACTGCCACCTCGCACCTAACATTGTTGATCGTGATCCCGAGCGTGTGCCTTCATTCTGGAGATCCTCGTCTCCGGCTACGCGAAGCCTACGGTTACGCCAGCGAAGGTAGAAGTGCAACAAGGTAGCCAAAAGAATGCATAATCCAGAAAATGCCACATTGATAATGTTTGCCTGCCAGTACTGTGGGCCATGCGACTTCGGGTAGAAGTAGCTGGCATAGATGGAAGCCAAATTAGATCCAGCGTTGACGACAGCGTACGAGACCGCTCGTTTCGTTGCTGGCCGAGGGAGTGTTGTCGAAATCCATGATAGGATGCAACCAAACGAGCCGTATACGCTCATCATCATGAATGTCGCGGTGTAGCGGGCTGCTACGTTGAGAGTAGTCGCAGAGATGATGAAGCCGATACTGCAGAAGATTTGGGGCCATACGATATGGAGCCATCGCTCACGGTGCTTGTCGCTATGCCAAGAATTTGTGATGCCAAGTATTGCTGCGAAGACGTACGGCGGAGCGGAGAGAAGGAGGGTGTTTCGTTGGCTATATCCGAGGGTCGCCACAATTGTAGGAAAGAAGTTGGTAAAGGCCGCGGCAGTGTTGAGTCCAAGCTGCATGAGCCAGATCATATAGAGCGCTGGGTCCGTGGAAGCCATTTTCAGGCTTTGCAACGCGGACGCCTCTTCTCGATTATCTTCTTCCACTGCTTCTTCGGTGATTCGGAGGATGGCCAGCTTTCTCTCCTCGTCGGTGAGCCATCTGGTTGTCGCTGGGTAATCTGGAAGTACGAGGTAGGTAGCAAAAGCGACTGGGATGGGAATCGTTCCCTCAATGATGACTGTTGAGACGCCGTTGGCACGTTTCGAGAAATTTGTGAAAAGGGCGCAGACTCACAAAGCCATCGCCAATTGGCGAGGTTTAGCTTTCCATCCATTCCTCCCATGATTGCGCTGCCGAGAAGGCCACCAAAGGCTCCTGCCATCTGTCCCGCGGCATACAACACTGAGATGCGAACCGCCAGTTCCTTCTTCGTGTACCATGAGCTAAAAAGGTACAAGGCGCCAGCTGAAGCCTGTTGAGTAACCAAATTCACGCGACGTAGAGGAGTGACAACTCACGGAAAAAGGGCGCCTCGACAAATCCCAGTAAGAATCGAAGAATAATAGCACCCTTGTAGTTCTGAACTGCGCCAGTGGAGGCACTGACAACGGCCCAGCAGCACATGACAACTGGAAGGAAAATGCTGGGCCTCATCTTGTTGAGAATCATGTTCGTGGGAACCTGAGTGAGGATGTATCCAACAAAGAAGACACTGATGATGGTATTGTACTGGGTTCCAACCAGACCGATATCCTTCTCAAAGTTTCCCAATCGAGCAGCCGCAATCTGATAGCATTTAGCATGTTCTTCTTCACTGTACGTTTCGTTTCTTTACATTATTGCGGTCCAGGTAATTGAGCACATGTATTCCTCGACGCTCACGTCAGTAACAGGTTTATCGAAGAAATCTGGGACAAACTTATAGAGCAGCATCATTAGAGGCATCCTAGGACATGCGTCAGAAAACTTGTATCCTATTCCATTGAGTTACTCACATTCGAATGTCGATTCTCCGCACCAGTCGTCGCTCTTTCAAGTCCCGGTCTTCAATAGGTACATCGTGGGCCGTGTCAGGTTTGACTGCATGGTCCAGCGTTTCGATATGAATGTCCTCAGTGGTATCTTTACGAACTTCATCAGAGTCCATTTTCGTAGATGTTGTAAGGTGCGAGTAAGTTCGACTCTCCTACACATTAATGAATGAGTCTCGATCATGATTATATAGTAAAAGCCAGCCGATGAAAGACCACCGGACTACTGGTCGATATCCGCACACGACGGATACAACATCCCCATTATGCAAATCTATGTTCTTTCCCCGCAAGTCGGCAGAGGCTTGTTTTCACAGCAGTGGATCTCGAGTGTGGAGAAAGGTGTCAGTAGCCAGATGTGTACTGAGACCAGGCCAGCCGCGGACAATCGTTGGTCGGTACAGTCTTACGAGCCGATCGGTTCTCGCATGATTTCTTCCGGCTTACCGTGAACGGATCGATCGACAGGGCATCATCGGAAAGCAATCTTGTTGGCTGTTTCGAGACAAGGGTATCAGTGCGGAGAGAGAAGAAGCTTGTTTCTACATATGTAACAAGAAAGCAACTAGACGATTCGCACGGCTTGCAAGTCCTGCGTATCGGGCTTCACGTTGTGATCTTGCAAGAGAAGCACATAATGGTTTATGGAGCTTCAATTATTTCCAGAGATGTTCAGGAATGTGCTTCTTACTTCAGTCCACCTGCCTCAGAAGATACATGTAATATTTTGCATTTGGCATAATAGCTGGGTGCCCGTCCAGATTCGGGCATTTCCCCCGCAACTCCGGATACGTATAGCCGCTAGGGTCGAACCTGGATCGTGGGGTCATCTTACATGACGATCTGCTGGTCACTTCGAACCCCCAACTTCCTCGGGTGGCACAGCGGCTCGGGAATCGGATATTCTGGGATTTTGAACTCGCGTCGCACTCCATGACGGTCGGCTATTGTCACAATACATCAGATCTCCTAAAACACCCCACTCCATCATTGGGACTTGATACATGGAAGTTGGGCTGCATGGAAATGTAATGGAGGGGCAAGAGACTCGATACGAGGTTAGGATGATGTGCTCGGAAAAGTCCCCGATATCGCAGAGTACTGCGGGAACTTGACCCGATTATCCTGTTTTTTGAATGAATATAACAACCATGAATTCCCATCTCACTGTGGTCTGGTGTAGTTCTATCGTATTATTTTCTGCAGTGCTTTACAAGATATAAACCCCAGTCTCTACCAGCCCACCATTCTGTGCATCAATAATAACATTCACAAAATGCCCAGCGCCATCAAACCCATAGTTCTCCATTTAGGAGATCAAATCAGGTACAATCCAGGACGATACAAAGAATTGGAAAAGATTGCCACAGTCGTGAGGCCACCCGTCGAAGAAAGACAGAGGAAAGCATTCTTGGAGGCCCTGAAGGAGCAGCGATGGGGCAACTTCTCAGCAATCATGCGACCCTTCTGGAACTCTGGAGGTGAGATGGGTCGTTGGGACAAAGACCTAGTTTCGCTCCTACCTCCGTCCGTCAAAGTCTTTGCTTCAGCGGGTGCCGGATATGATTGGGCAGACGTTGATATCCTGGCTCAAAAAGGTACATCGCCCCCTTTGGCATCACCGTATTCTATATCTACACTTTCTGATGACTTGAACATTAGGAATCTTCTACTGCAATGGTGCATCGGCATCGACAGAGGCTGTGGCAGACATGGCGCTCTACCACATCATATCAGTCTTCCGTAACATGCAATGGACCAACACAGCAGCACGCAGTGGTGACGCAGAACAATTTCTCGATGCACATCGGCACAACAGCGAGACAGCACACAACCCTGCAGGCCATACACTCGGCATCATTGGTCTCGGTAACATTGGCTACCGAATAGCACAAAAGGCTCATGCTGCTTTCGACATGAAGATAGCCTACGTCGATCCTATTCCCAAGTCAGCTGAGCAGGAAGCAACGGTCAAAGCTGTGAGATACCCAGACCTGGACTCGATGCTCGCCGTAGCAGATTGCGTGGTCATCTCCGCCCCAGGAGGTGCAGAAGGCGGCAAGGCACTCATGGACGCCCCGCGCCTAGTGAAGATGAAGGCGGGATCTCGACTCGTCAACGTTGGGCGTGGAAATTTGGTGGACGAGGAGGCTTTGGCTGATGCGCTGAACTCAGGGCATCTATTCGCTGCTGGTCTCGATGTGCACTCTAATGAGCCACACGTCAACACCCGTCTGATTTCTATGCGGAATGTGAGTCTTACATGTCATACCGCTGGCGGGGCCGTTGAGACAAGAAGTGGGTTTGAGGACTTGGCCATCCGAAACGTCATTGAGGTACTTCTCGGAAAAGAACCCTTGACACCGGTTAACAAACATCTCCTCGGGTAGATCGGAGTCTATGACTATAGAGATAATCAAGTACGAGACATTTGACTTTATTCATATGCCGCTTTATGACACAGTTGTAAATGCTCAATCACATAATCTGCGCCCAATAGAATGCAGCCTGAAAAAGAGTCTGCAGCAAGGATGATTGAGTATTGTTGTTGCTTTATCTGATGCTATGAGTGCACGGGCAGTAGATAAAAGAAGATGCAGGATTATTTCGCAGTTCTAAAAACCCCCAGTATCAACGGAGAATGGTCCGCTACCTTGGCAACACATTTGATGGCTTAAGAGAAGCCTTGTACTTCCTCACCATCATGCTACTGAGTGATTGATTAAATTGAGTGGCCAAGCTATATGATTGCTCAAATTTCTGCGATAGCCACAGCTAACTATCATGAATTTCGACACCCTTAACGCGTGTTATACTAATCTCAGTTGTACCTTATCACAATTGCCTATTGAAGCTTTTGCCCGATTGCTATCAGCATGCCTATATTTAGGGCGGGTTTCCTGACCATATGAACAATTTGTCGTGCATACCTGTCCCTACTTACGTCATTTATACGTCTGCCCCTCGGAGAGTTTGCTGATATTGAGCACTAACATCGAGTCGAGGGGTTCACATGCCGTTGTGACGTCAGGTACGGTCCTTGATTCGCGGAGTTCGTCAAGCTCGGTTGACCACGTGTCACTGCATAGGTGAGTTTCCGGCCTCCTGCAGCTGTCTCAGCCAAAATGATAAGCCAAAGCGAGAGCTACATTCAGTGCCTCTTGTCTTATAACTACATGCTGACCCCAATGGGGTCCATCTGACCACAGGATAGGAACATTCTCTCCCCAGCTTCATGTGTCAATCTGCGGGACCGAGCATTGAGAGCCGCAGAATTATTGACTCCACTTGAACTCTGTGTCAAACCCATAGCCAAGGTTAGTCAAGATAACTTTTCAGCAACTACTCCTGCACTCGGTGCCTCAGGAGGCTTGTCAGAGTCTCGATACTGAATCTTTCTTAGCTAACTTTTAGGTCAAGATATCTAGACTGAAATAGTGTGTGTCAGTGGTAGCAGCAATGGCCAACGCAAGACTCCAGCGTGTCGAAGCGAACTGCAAGATCATCTGGGGAGACCACTTCGAATACGACTTGGACTGCGAAACCGATGACTATATCCACTTCTCATACGTCGTCAAACGAGATTTTGGGACTTCATTCGGTCCACCACTGACTATGACTGGACCTTGCGGCTCAGAAGAGGCCGCTTTCAAGGAATTGGACCGGATGTTAGGATTGTGGGCAGCGCAGGTCACACGCGGAACGCCGATGACCAGGGAGGAAAGTTTGAAGATATTTGGCGGGCCTAGAGGAGGACAACGGTGGATTCTGAATAGAGTCTGGGATACACTTGAGAAACGAGAAGGTGCTGTTTAGACTCGCTAATCAGGTTTCGGATGAATGAGAACAAAGGAAACTTGGACAGAGTCAGAGTAGTTTCATCAATTAACTACATTTTTGTGACTAAACGTCGGACCGAAGTCTCTTGGACACTTGAGAGCCACAGCACAAGCGAACTCGAATCAAGACTGTAACTAATGATTCAGATAAGCTACATTACTTTTGGGAAGCTAAATGCGTAGATCGGAGAGCTATGCTCAAAGTAACTTATCTGACAAATTGAAAGATTTATGTTCTGGAAAATGTACATCTCAAATCGTCATGCCATTTCCCCTTCTCTTACTTACGTTCAATTTGCCGACGCTCATACTCTACAAGAGCAAGAGCTCGAAAAAAAAGATGATACCGGCGGCAATCTTCACAAACACTCTGAGCAACGCTTCCACCATCAAGCTCGATGATCTTCTTACAAGGCTTTGAGTTCTGGCAGCGTTCAAACTTACCAGGGATAAAAACTGAGGTATATGGTTTGCCGCAATCGGTGCAACAAAAGGCGATAGACGGTTGGTCGCACATGGTGAAAGGTTGGCGCAACACTTTCAGCAAAGTTTCTTTCGATGGTTATTTGGGTTAAGATGGCTGCGAAGAACCCTCAACGGTCTGTCTGAAATGTGCTGGCGATGCCTAGAGTGATGTGTCTAAACTCTGAGTGGTAGTCCTGACGCTGTCGTTGTAGAAGTGAAGTAAAGGACCAAATGTGCCAGTGCAGCCTTGATTTTGGGGGAATTTTTATCATTTAAAAGAGTTGAATGAGATCTCTGAAACCATCAAGTAAAAACCGAGGTCCATGAACAATGGCAACATGCAAAACACCACCGTCTAAGGCCTTTGTTCAACTGCCGATACAGCGAACCTGCACGAGCTCGGTTGTGCACTGTCTTGTGTTTGCAGGCTTTTTATTCAGTACATTTTTACTCTGTAGGAAATAAAATCTCGTTACCAAAATCCCTCTAATTTTGAACAACGAACTAAACTCATCTCAAGACACTTGGAGACGAGTAATTACAGTGGCAATAGCTCATTGCTTTAAAATATAACTACATTTGTGGATCAGTAGCTAGCTCACTATTTCAGGATCAAGTCGCAAGTACGGCTTATGCATTGAGTATGTCTTTGAAAAAAATCGAAACATCCAACAGGAATAAGGGCATTATTTTGATTCAGTTCAATGCGGTTAAAATCTGTACGAGATACAAGCTCCCTAGTTATTAATAGCCTAAAGTGCCATTGAGATGTTCTTCATCTACCAGCAAGACCTTGAAATTCTGTAGAGAACTCATACTCTTACATAAAAATCATCAGCAGATCGCATCATCTTGAATTTAGCTTTGATTTCTTGGTATTCATCCAGGGCAAATAGGCTAAGCTTGTTAGTGGAACCAAACTAATGGGCGCCATGCAAGGCTAATGAAAGTTTCCTGGGCAATTGGCGAGATCTGGTTGTACTTGAGCCATGAACTCCTCCAGCCTTGAATTTGCCTAGGTATGCCATGAGAAGTTGGCGGGGGTAGGAAGCCCTCGAAGGGCTATAGTGACTTTGCCATTACCTCGGCAAGCATCATCGCGATGATCGAATGGGACCATCTAACTGAAGAGCCAAGTGTGTCCACTTTAAGCTTAGATGCAATGCAACCTGCACTCCGTCCGGCATTTCGCCTGGGGTAAATTCAGCCTGGCATTTATCCGTGAGGGGATGCAGGCTAAACGTCATCTAGTGCAATGGTATATGAATATGAAATGCTTATAAAGTAGTAATTAATTCTCGATATGAAAGATCAGGTTGCACAACGTTTTTAGCCATAGTTGCATCGCATCGAAATCAAGTACCTGCAATGAAGTCCACTATCTTCATGCGGCTGGTATCAGTCGTGGCTCTGCTTCCTAGTCAGTGCACCTGTCCAAAGAGATCAACTAGATGCTTACTGTTCGCACAGCATTTGCTCGAGGACTCCTTAATCCAATTATTCCAGGCTTCAATCCAGACCCCACAATCATCAGAGTCGGCCAAGACTTCTTCCTCGCAACTAGCACTTTCGAGTTCTTCCCGGGTGTGCCTATATATCACTCAACCGATCTGTGAGCACTCAACCAAAAGATGCTGATATGTACATGTAGTTCGACGATGTTTTAACTCAACTGGCACAGCGTCAAGTGGGAAAACATTGGCCATGCACTCTCTCGGCCGTCGCAGTTGAACATGCGCGGCACCGCTCCGAGTGGAGGCATTTTTGCGCCGACGCTAAGACACCATGATGGCACCTTTTACCTGATCGATACTGATTTTGATTTGATCAACCCCCCGGACAATGTAAGCACATTTCGAATGGTTTGAGGTTTCTGCTGCATAATGTACTTACTCGATGGCTCTCACCCCAGGTCACACGCGTTCCCCGCTCGTTCTACGTTACGACCTCGAATATCTTCGACCAGGCCAGCTGGAGTGAACCTACGTACGTCGACCAGTGGGGATTTGATCCGGATCTGTTTTTCGACGATGACGGGAAAGTCTACTTGACCTCCACGTTCTCGGAGTTTGTTGAGAATGGCAACTTTGCCAACTGGATTACGGAGATTGATATCAAGACTGGCGACTCTTTGAGCGAATCTCGAGTTCTTCACACCACGACGGTGCCGCCAGAGCTTGGCTACCCACTTGTAAGTTTCCCATGTCCCAGCTTTTCTCATTGAATACCGTTCTGACCAATGATCAATCGACATTTGAAGACCGAGGGAAGCCACTTGTACAAACTCAATGGAACTTACTACATGGTTACTGCGGATTCTGGAACCGAGGCTAATCATAAAGCAAATGTTTATCGCTCCCAGACCTTGGATGGACCATGGGAAGGTAACCCGCATAACCCTGTACTGTGGAATGGCAAAGACATGTCTTTGCCGGTGCTAGCTACCGGCCATGCCGATATCGTTGATGATGCCGATGGTAACTGGTGGGCGGTGTTCCTCGCGATTCGACCCCAGAACCCCAGAAACAGCACCGGACTTCCTCAGCTTGGTCGCGAGACGTTCCTGTGCCCCGTAACATGGGATGCTGATGGCTGGCCCATTTTCAACAATGACAAGCCAATTACAGAGTATATGCCGGGCGTTCTGTACGACTTGGAGCGGCCACAGGTTTGGCGCGACGATTTCGATGGAAGGCTCGTGGACGAAGCCTACTACTACCTCCGGACACCATACAAAACCTTCACAGATTTTGAGTCCAGTCCTGGGAAGCTTCAGATCAGAGGCAATGTTTATACCCTCAACGATCGCGAAACCCCGGCAGCACTACTCCGCAAGCAGGTCGACATCAATACCACCTTCAGCACCGAAGTTAGCTCATTCAGCCCGGCCTCGTGGAGACAAGAGGCTGGTGCCAGTGTTTATCTCAGCATCCACTATCACAACGAGGTCGCTATTACTAACTCGAACGACACTGGCAAGCGATGCATAGTCACGCATACCAGAACAGGCCCAGATGCAACTCTCAACACCACCTACATCGAGGATGAAGACGTCGCCAAAGGTGATCCAGTCAAGCTCTTCATCGAGGCCAAGGACGTGGGATATCGTCTGGGATACGCAACAGGTAACAAAGAACCAAGGTGGCTTGCCACTGTTGAGAACCGTTGGCTGCAGTCATACGTCGAGGGCTGGCAGAACTTTGTCGGGACCCATTTCGCGATCTACAGTACTGGAACCAGGCTTCCGACTTTGAATTCCGCGGTACGTCTTCATGCACAACTGCTCCCACAGTGCACTGCTCCTGACAATCTTTATAGGACTTTGAGTACATCCAGACGGAGTTAAACTAGTGCAGATGTTTAGTCAGAAGAGGGTCTACTGGAACAGGCTGCTACTAGTACATGTAGTCAACCCAGCATAAATGTACAGGAAATCAGACGTCTCTTTCGGCTGCGAAAATCAAATAAGGAAAGCACCATCCTTACATTATAGTTGGTTGATTGGTTGGCGTTATTTTGAAAGTTGACTGATTTGGTTGAAGAGTTGGTTGTTGACGTTGCTCCGAGGGAAGCGCTGGCCAAACCTTAGCAGAGCCCTCGTGAAGGTGGTGATTGATGACTGCGAATTAAAAAGCCCGTCTGGTTGGACCCTGTCTGCTTGCTATCGAGTTCACTGTACAAATTCTACCAAAGCCCCGAATTCGCTGACGAGCCTCTGCAATCAATGCCATGCCTGGTGGAGTGGAGGCCTGGAGGATAATGTGGTCTTACTGGGTCTCCCAACGGCGCCCCATGTCACTGGTAGGGCAAATGGATTGCCCCGAAGTGAGTGACTGAGTGTCTCCAAGACTCACGTGCCAACTATAAGCCGTGCACTGAAATAAAGTGAAGCATTCTATCCTCTGCAACACGGACTGGTAGTCGAAAGCTCGTGCAGGGTATCATCTCAAAGCCTCCAACAAGGTCATCGTTCAAAGTCATCGTTTGAGATGCTATCATTAACCGTCCTCTGTTCTATTGTTTTGAAAATTACACCGGCAGCACCGGTATGAATATACTAGTGCAAGGCCTGATGCATGGTGGAAGAAAGAATATCCATTTGTTCAGATACAAAAAGTGAAGTGCTCTTACTACCACGCAATCTTCTGACCTGTCTGCGTGACAAAGTTTCCGGACGTGGACTCACGACTCGCTCCATCGACGACTTGGAGAACTCCAGTGACGGAGCTCTCAATCGTGTCTAGTCGATTCAGATCATAGTTCCACTGCCTCGCAGCATTTTCACCCATGGATGTCCGCACAAATCCAGGGTGAACAGCCACACTGATCAAATTCTCATGCTGCACATGCAACGATTTGATCAACCAGTTAAGCGCAGCCTTGCTGGGACCATAAGCACCTGCAGGAACGGGCTCCAATTCTTCAATGGATCCAAGCGATGACGTGATTCCGATGAATTTAGCAGAGGATCCGTCTGCTCCTTGCGGTCTATTCATCAAAGGCCACAGACCCTGGAATACCATCAAAGGTGCGACGGTGTTGGTCTCAAACGCGCTCCTGAGATCCTCAGCGCTGGTCACAATCGAAGGCGACGCTGCAAAGGCTGCGGCAGCGTTGCTGATGAGAACATCAACCCGGTCAAGGGCGCCACCGGTCGCTGCATCAAAGGCTTTTCGAACCGCAGTAGGATCAGGAGCGCTGTTGAAGTCGAGCAACATGACAAAAAGTTTGCTACCATCGCCCGTGTTGACATCTTGAATGCTTGATTTTAGTGAAGCAGCAGCTTCATCGTTTCTGACGGACGCGACAACTGTTGTAAATGATCTCGTCAACAGGTTCTTGACCAGACCAAGACCAATGCCTTTGTTGGTTCCAGTAACAACATAGATCGTGTTCTGCATGCTGACGGTGAAGGTTTACTTCGGAAGTAACGGCTAGAGAGTTAGCGGCTAACTCAGAGATTAATGATAGACCACGGCTTTAATAACCCAGTACCTTATTTGACAAATAGTCAGTGTGACGTGATGATGTGTGGTGGTAAAAGTAATGGCGAGAGAGAAGAAGCAAGCTTGATGGAGGCCTCCACTCTGCGTGACAATGTTGAAGGATGGGGGCAAGGGGGTCAGAAAAACACGTGGGTAATTTAGGGCCAATCCTTCGACCATACAAGCATCTCACGTCAGCAAAAGGCATTTGCTGCTCAATGTAATGTTCTAGTTATGGCTACATACCTTATGCAGCACCTTGCCTCCTTCTCAAGCTTCTAGTACTCTAACATGTCTCTCTATCGGCTTGGCGTCTCATGAAATGTCATCAGTATTCACCGGTCACATCAACAGATGGGCTTTCTCGTGCGCCGCATCCAGACCGCCGGCAAACCCATCAGCAGTTTGCAATGCTTGCACCCGCTCCTCCTCTACCTTTGCCCAAGTCCACCCCTCGGCCTCATCTGGCCCCAGTGCGACTTCCGCAACAAGGCTCTCCGAATCATCCTCAGATGGAAGAACACCTGCCGCCCGGAAGAACTTCTCTGGGGGCACCGTGAGACGGCCGGCTTTGACAACACATTTTGAGATTGCTGTCGCATAGATAAGAGGAGGTGTCGAAGCATCTTTTCTGTCGTCTGCCTCCTTCCACGGCTGGTAGGTTTGTAGCTCAGCTCCATTCCGCTTCTCTACGAAATGCGTGACAATATAGAGCCACTTTTTATCCCAGCTGAGAATTCTGCTTTGCATGTCGAAAGCGGCTCCTGGCTTCATTTCCTTCTTGAAGGTGCAAGAGGTGCCTGCAAGCAAAACCATGACGCCTTTCTTGTATTCCTTATACAATCCACCTTGAATTGCCTGAGCTCTCAAGGCCGCAAGGAGGTCGGTCCTTGCGACGTCAAGGTCGGAGAAGTAGGTGCTGTTCGACTTGTGTAGATTATAGTCTGTCTCCAACATAGCAACATGAGAGGGTGTAACCACCGGGTGGAAAATTGCTCCAGGTTTGTGTTCGAAAAGACCAGTCTTTGGCCACCAAATGTGGCTGAATACACGAAGCTAGCACTAAGCGTTAGGATTTCTTCAGAATAGTGTAATTGAGACCAGACCGGCTACTGACATGCCACATAAATGGGATCCTTTTCAGGTTCAGGTACAGCAGTGCGGCTGTCGCGACTCCCCATACAGTCTGGATTTTGTTCGAAGTGATAGATTGCAAGACCTGCGCTAGGACCCGACGAAAGCATGGCCTAGCAGCGCCCAATACGTCTGTCATCGTCCCGCGTAGCGTCGAGTTTATCATTTTGACGTAATCTGCAGAAGATCGTGGAGTAGTTGATGAGACATGCAGAGACCGAAGTTGAGACTGCGCTAGATGGCCACAGCGCAGCCTTCCAAGCCTCGACGTGGCCACACGAGTCAGTCGCTTAGCAGCGACGTTGTAACGAGTCAGTTACAGCCTCCATTAATGCACTTGGAGGCTGAACATTAGACAGGAAACAAAGTCCCATAGATTATAGCCGTATTTCGCAGCAAGCCGTCTCGTAGCGGGCTCAAAAAGCCTATTTGTAAGTTATCCCCACGACGAATATTGCTGAACGTACAGATTGAGGTTCACCGGGGCAATTGAGATTGTGCGTCCGACGTTTTTACGACCTTGTGTAGAGAGACCGACCTGGTTTTTGTTGATCTAGACCCTCGTGAGGAGACTGTAGCATCGTAGAGGGAAGACTTCGTGACTATATGTCCCTCTTAGTAACTTAACTTGGAGGGAGATATGGATACTTCCAGCCGAAACCTATCCGAGCAGCCAGCGGGCTGTGGGGCCGATCAGCGCCGTAATTTCATTCCGGGTCCGGTGGCGGAGTGGGAATTTCTCGGCCGAAACTTTCAGGAACCCGTCAGGCATGCTGAAATGCTTCTTGCCCTGCGAATCAGAGAAAAAAATCGACACCACAGCCATCAAGCCTGATTGCAATTATGTATTTGACTTCGGAAATCGCTGAGAAATAACAAATTGGTGTCTTTCGGTGATGCGACACACTCTTCTGTTTTCAAAAACATGATGACACCGAAACGGGGTACCACTGGAACGAATATTACTCTTGGTTTTAGCCGTCTTCGATGTTGCTACATGTGGTCTTTTCTCGCCTGATCAATTCGCATTCACGAAGCTTTGAGGAGTAGTTTTAGCTTCGAGATGTAACCCTAGCTAACGGTTCTCATTCGAGGAGCGACACGCCGTGAGTTGAGTGTGAGTTTCCGTCGTGTTCACCTTTCGCCGCATTTGTGGCTTCCTGCAAAATACATAACAATATGCACTAATAAGCCGAGGAGACAACATGAACCCATGCTGCAGATCCAGCTGTGACGCATCACAGACTGGGTTAGCTTTACACTATTTACTCCAAGGTACCTTTTGCGGGGTCTGGACTTGGCCAGCTGTTCAGCTCCCAAAACACACGGACGGCTAGCTGGGATGACAGCACGATACACGCGTCAGTGATTTTGATGCGTGTTCGTACCACGAGCATTTTGTTAAAACACAAGGTACAGAGCACATCGCGACCAGCCGTCTGCAACACGTCTTCTCCAGGTCAATACTTCCCGTCTGCTGACGCTCTGCTGACGCTCTATGCGGCCTACGGACGCCCCTGACAAGCGCTATCATGTAGCGGCACAACGCATCGGGCCGCGGAACAAACAAGCTTATCTGGGTAAAATTCGGTGTGGTACCTAACAGTAGAGCCGCAGCGCCTCGACGGAGGCGATATTCCCTCCCGCCATGACGTAGAAATGGTCAGGCACAGGCCAAGCAAGGTCTCCGTCTTGGCTTCGAGCCGGCTTCCCGGTTGTCCGTGGAGAACTCCAGAGCCCCATCCCCCGTCCCATCTCCATTGCCCATTTTGTCCAGCCAGTCAACTAGTTCGAGACATTTGTTCTTGACGTCAACAGAACAGGGAAGTTTGTGGGAACAGAAGTTTACCACTTTTTCCGGCTCCTCAATGATCTCACTCAGGCTGGACGCAGCAAGAAGCCACCCCAATTGGACCAAAACGTCAATACAGCGGAAGCTATATCAGCTCCGCGCGGCTACTCAGAATATTTGGACAATTTCTAGTTTTGTTCCACGCTGATTTTCAACCTTAACTTGCGGAATTAATCACATCACAATCGTTTGCGCGACAAGATGGCTCGCCAACAGAGCCTGAGCTCCAAGCTCGTCCAATTCCTACCTTTTGTTGCCTACACTTCGGCATCGGCTCTGTATTCTACCTACAGCTTCAACCCATTGACGCACCTTGGAGGCATCGCACCCTACTTCGAGCCACAAGATCCTCCGTCATCGCCCGACGCGCCTCAGGGCTGCAAAGCAGCGCGTGCAGCCTACCTTGTGCGCCATGCAGCCATTTACGCAAACGATTTTGACTTTGAAGAGTACATCGGGCCCTTTCTCGAAAAGCTGGGCAACAAGACGGGAATCGAATGGAGCAAAATCCCGTACCTAAATTTTTTGGCCGGCTGGAATGCGCCCATCTCTGAGGCCGAGGCCGAGATATTGACTCGGGTCGGGAGACTTGAAGCAACTCAACTCGGCGTCGACCTCGAGTTCAGATATCCCAACCTCAGACTCCCCAAGAGAGTCTGGACCTCTTCAGCAGAGAGGACAGAAAAGTCTGCTCAGTCTCTCGTGCGCGGGCTGGAGAGAGACGACAATACCATGAATGTCGTCAGCATCTACGAATCAGGCGAGTCCGGCGCCGACAGCTTGACGCCGTACAAGGCCTGCCCGGCCTACTCTTCTTCTGCGGGTAGCGACCAGTCTGCCGTCTACCAGAAGAAGTTTACGAAACCCATCATCGCCCGCTTTAACAACCTGGCCCCCGAGTTCAACTTCACCACCAACGACATCTTCGGCATGCAGCAGCTTTGCGGCTACGAGACCGTCATCCGCGGAAAGTCTCCCTTCTGCAACCTCGAGCTTTTCACTCCTGATGATTGGCTGGCCTGGGAGTACACGGAAGATGTTCGCTACCACTACAACGTCGGCTACGGAGCCGAGGCCTCTGGATATGTCGGCCTGCCCTGGTTCAACGCCACCGCAAACCTGCTTCTCAGTGACTCGAGCGAGGAGGACATCTACGTTAGCTTCACCCATCGCGAGTTGCCTCCCATGGTTATCGTGGCGATGGGCCTATTCAACAACTCCGAATTCGGCGGTAGCGGCGCCTCAATCAATAACACTATGCCACTTGACCGCATCAACTACCGTCGTGCATGGAAGGCCTCCAGCATCTTGCCATTCCTTGGCAACATTGCTGTTGAGCGTCTGAACTGCACAGGGGCCTTTGGATACGAGGACGGTGACTACTACCGTGTGCTGGTGAACAGCGCACCCCAACCGTTGCCTGACTGTGCTGATGGCCCTGGCACTGCTTGCTCCAGGAAGGGATTCAACGAGTATTTGAAAGATAGAGTGGACCAGTTCTCCGGCTTCTCTACGAAGTGCGGCGTCAAGTACAAAAACAGTACTGATGCCCTGTCGATTTACACAGATGCCTCGGTTGGGAACGGAACCGTCGTGGGCAAGCGTTATGCCCCTTTTGCGTAAACTTCTGTAGCATAACCTGTAATCCTAGTAGTAAATAATGTTTCAAACTTCATTCCAAACTCATTATATGAAAGCATGGATAATCTGAAGCTCTTCTTTCGGTGAATTAAATAATTTCTTGCACACAAAGTCTGGCTACCGCCCACCAACACGAGCATCCCAGGCGACCCATCCACGAACGCAACCAATGCTAAAACCTCCGCGCTATCACTGCGTATGACAGGATGTAAAGTAAGGTTCTGTCTGTAATTTTAGATGTGATAACTTTCTTGAGACGCTCTTACGTTAGCAATGTACCACTTCCTCGCATTCCATCCTCGCAAAGCGATTACCAATGGACTATTGCCTTGACTCCTCTACACCCTCTCAAAAGCTCGAGGAATGACAGATCGTTCGTGAATCTCGCAAACCTGGAGATTTCCGTTTCTTTTCAATTCTTCCGTCGTTTATGTCGTCTTTGCCAGCCGGAATAGTAATGGCAAAGCATCCGCTGTGACTAGTATGGCTTGGTGGCCGCCTTTTCCACACCCCGAGTTCGTCAAAGAATTACCACCGATTTTCGAAGTACCTACCTCGGAGGAAACATAGAATGCATGGAATCTCCTATAATTCATACGTGAGAGTTTCCAAGCCGTTTGTTTCCAGCTGAAGCCACTGATTTGCGCCAGTTCAGCGACGGACAGGACGACACTCGTGGAGCCTCAGAGTACATCTCTTGACCCCGAAAGATCTCAATGACATCCCGGCCGTAGATCAGATAATTAAGTAATTGAAATCAAAGCCATAGCAAGAAAGCTTCGAAGCTGCGTATGGCTGTCATGCGGCTGACATAGAACCCAACACCGAGCATACATGATATGATACTACGTCTTCATCGTTCCCCGTGTCTGGGTTTTCAAGACGAGCGGGTACGTCACCGAGCATATAAACTCAAAATAAATCGTCAGTCTAGTGTCTCAAACAAAAGGGGTGAGAAAATTTTGCTCCATTACGTTGGAAATACAAGGTCCTGCCATCATGCAATCTAGATATGAGTGAACTGAGACCGGGTGGCAGCCGGCAGCAGACCGACAAGGGGATGTCTCTCTAGTCAAGAATGACCTAAAGGAAGGTAATTCCTCAACTTGATCCCATCCTAGGAGACATTTGATCTCGTGGTAGTAGGCACGTGCAACTTAGCTTGCTGGAAGGGTGAAGAGCCGTTTGTACTTGTACGCGACTAGTTGCTGTTTGCGCCAGTCAAGATGTCGCAAATATCAAAGGCACCATCATCGAACTTCATAATAACAAGATCGCGCCCAATTTATTGGCGGATTTGGTAGTCCACAAATTTCTATCAATAATGAATCTTGCCCATTTCGCCAAGCGGCTCAGCAACTTCGCCAGAATGACGGGTCTTTGCGTTCGAGCACTCATCTGCTAGTTTTCAGAGGTCCTTGGTTTCCATTCGTAGAAAGCCAGAATGAAAAGAAGTTTTGATTAAATGGGAAGCTGTAAAAGAGAACGTTACGCACTGCCATTTTGTGTGACCAAGTTACATGGCTAGAAACTACTAGTATTAGCAGAATTCTAAGCCCCATTCAACATGCGAGGCGGCCAGATTGACTTGCTTTGATAAGGAACACAACCAAACTCTCCAATCCAATCTTCACCATACCCACGTGTAATGGCACGGGCATGGTCTCTCACTTCCTACCCTTGATGAGTTCCAGTTCCCAGGTCCCCAGCTTTGCCCACCTTTTACTTTTGCGCAGTTCTATTCAGTGGGTTCAGGAAGCACCTCATAGCTGGTGTGCTGTGAGCCACAGCCCGATTGATACGATCTAGGCCTCTTCTTTCCTTTGCAGTACGTAATGAGAATGGAGTTAATATCAAAAAAAAAAACTTGAAAAATTCTACATCAACTTTTTGCAGTTCGGCGGTCCAATCCGAGCTTTGCTGGATGCTACATGGGCAATCGGCGTTGGCTGTTGGCCCGTTGCAACCCCACGCCATCTCATCCTTTACCAATGCGGCTACGTTCATGGAGGAATTCGGTTTGATAGTGGATAATCTACCCTTCACCTGCATGGCGATTCCCGCTGTGCCGGAGTTTATCCCCTTCTTGGCGACGGGAGAGAAGTGAAGCGCTGCAGCACGCAACCTGGACCCCTACTCGGAACGCCCGTGTTGGAGTCCGACGTTGAATTGCGCCATCACCACTAATGTGTTGTTACGTACCATGTTTCCTTTTTTGCAAGAAAAGAAGGAAACGGCGTTGGTTCCAGCCGCCGATTCTCGGCCTATTGATCGACGATGAAATGCAACTTTGTTAGAAACTTCTTTAAATCCATGTATCAGTTGACGGCAGCACGTTTCTGAATCTTCAATTGCAGGATCCGGATTTCACATGTCTTTCGGCATGGTCGAAGCGGCTTCATTTTGATAAAGAAGTTTTTCGAAACAATACTTCTGGTACCTACTGAGTAGCCATTCACAAGTCATTGTTCAAGTACTTCTTTTCAGTTTCCTCCTTTTTTGATGCTGGCTGACCAGGAAGATTCGCCATGCTGGTGACAGTTGTTGTCATCGCTGGACCCTGTTTATCCCCTTGGTCCCCCACATCGGGGCCTGGTTGTGTCATCCCCCCCTCGGATGTTGAAATCGGGAACGGCCCGTTAGCGAACACCTCCCAGATCGCCACCCAAGCTCGTCGGCATCCAGCATGGATTGAAAATCGCGAACAGCCTAAGCCTCTTCGGATAGGAACAGGGGAAATATGTCGGGAGAAAAGCTTGCAAGGTCGATGAAGAGGGCTTTGTTTAAATACGTAGTTGTAAGCCAACACGATGCCTCTCGAAAGCACACCATCCAGCATCCTTGATCGAGGCATGCCCGTCTGACACCGTCGGCTCAACGTGACTGGAAGATTACTTTTTTTTTTTGTTTCTTCGAGGCACTACAGTCAGCCCTACCCGTGTCTTTGCGTCTTGGTAGTCGTTTCAATGGCTTGGCGACGCCCGTTTGGCGACCGCGCTAGCGCGCAAGGGTCGGTTGTTGAAGGCCAACGGGAGCAGATCTCAACTGGCAGCACCCAGTACATCGGCGAGAAGGGAGGCAACGATGCGCCGCCTACCTATCAAGATGCTTCTGGGGCGCCTGTCGAGAACAACTCACCTTTGGGATACTCTGTCGGCCCTGTCACGATCACCCTGTTGAACATCACGATGATGATTGGCGCGGGTATCTATTCTACGCGTAGGATTCAATGATTCAATTTGACGTTTCATTCAAAGGTTACTGACTTGGACTAGCTGCTTCCATCCTGAACGGTACCGGCTCCGTTGGTGTCAGCTTCGTCTATTGGACCCTTGGTTACTTGGTAGGTTGATCAACACAGTGAAATCATGACCACTGGCAGGACAGGATATGCTGAGTAACTCCACCACTAGTTGTGCCTTGCATCTGGGGCGGTCTATCTCGAATTCACGGCCTATTACCCCAGTCGATCAGGATCTGAGGTTGTCTTCCTCGAACAAGCGTATCCTCGCCCAATGTGGTTGTTTCCCACTACATTCGCCGCTCAGAGCGTCATTCTCTCTTTCGGCAGTGCCAACGCCACAGGTGAGTTGGCTTCTGCCATGGCTGCGACTAGGAAGAAGTGTCAAAATACTGACCCCAAGACAACAGTCATGGCCAATTACCTAATTGCCATCTCGGGATACGAAGGCACCAATTGGCAGATCAAGGGCACAGCCCTGGCTTGCTACTCTCTGGCCACGTTAAGTAAGTTTCTATACGTTGAACTGGTCCGAGTTACTCATTAACGATGTGCAGCGCTGGTATTCAACACAAAGTATGCATACTGGTTCTCCAACGGCGTGGGAGTCGTGAAGATCTGCACCTTGCTCTTCGTAATCATCACCGGTTTCGTCGTACTGGGTGGTGGCACCAAGGTTGAGAACCCGAGAGCCAATTTCCAGGATGCTTGGTCCGGTAGCAAAACCGCGAGCGCTTATGGCATGACCACTGCTCTGTACCGCATCATCTTTTCCTACGGCGGCTACAATAATGCCTTCAATGTTGCCAATGAAGTCAAGGTACGTGTCGCGACTCAAGATAGGCGATGATGTTTGACTGATTCCAAACTTTGCTAGAACCCTGTGCGATCACTCAAGATTTATGCGACAGTGGCCTTGACGACCGTGTACATATTGTACATGTTTGCCAATGTTGCATTTTTTGCTGCTGGTAAGTTTCCCCCTGTCTTGAAAGATACTGGACTTATGTCTAATGATTTTGATCATCGCAGTGCCCAGAGAATTGCTGGAAAAGTCTGGCCTCACTGTAGCCAGCTTGTTCTTCACCCAAGTCTTTGGCAACAGCGGCACTGTCCGCGGACTTAACTTTCTGATTGCACTAGCTTCCTTCGGCAACATGATTGCAGTCGTCATCGGCTTGTCTCGACGTATCAGAGAGTGCGGCCGACAGGGTGTCCTGCCTTTCACGAGATTCTGGGTTTCCACGAAGCCCTTCGGCACCCCGTTAGGCCCTTATTTCGTCGTCTGGTTCCTCACAGCTTTAATGATTCTGGCAATCCCTGCCGGAGATGCGTTCACTTTTGGTACGTTTGATCCCTCGGGTGGCTCATGACGTGAATCACTGACCCGGAACAGTGAATGATCTCGGCACCCTCCCTCAGGCCGCCTTCAACTTGGCCATGGCCGTGGGTATCTACGTCGTTCGCTGGCGCCGTCGAAAGGCAAATCTCCCTGAGCCGGAGTTCAAAGCTTGGCATGTGGTTATCATTTTTAACATCTGCATCCAACTCTACCTTCTCATCATGCCATGGTACCCCCCGGCAGGTGGACAGTACGCTGGTGATGTCAGCTTCTGGTACGCGACGTACGCCGTTGTTGGCATCGGAATGTGGGTGCAACCCTTGTCCCAAGATCTTCTCATTAGCGATTGCTGACCCTAGAGTAGTCTCCTTGTCTGCGCGGCCTACTACTGGCTTTGGGCTTATCTCCTTCCCAAGTGGAGAGGCTATGAACTGAGACAAGAGCTTGTTAGCTTTGAGGATGGGGTTCAAAGCAATCAACTTCGAAAGGTCCCCATCGCCGAGGTTGATGAGTGGGATCGCATTCACGATGCAACTGGTCGTGTCATTGACCCATCTGCCGATGAGGTTCTTGTGCAGGAGAAGGGAGTGCGGATCTCTTCCGAGGGCAGCAATTCCGATGCTGGCAAACAGGTGCCGTCTACTGTGAGAGAGAGTCAACATGTCTGAGTACATTTCAAGGACTTGATTGGAAAAAGAAATTGAATAGTTAGCGCACATGCATAAGCTAGGTACTTTAGTCAAGCTACAGCCCTTTGCTTTACCTGAGTGGGTAATTACATATAGCAACTCAACATCTTGATAAGACCGCGTTCTTGTTCTATTGAAAAACAAAGTAGCTAACTCCATGGTCCTTTCGAACTGCAATGGTCGATCATTTCGATTTAAGATGAAGAGCAGGAACAGCAATTGATTCCATTTTGTTGCATCAAGGGATAGACCATCCGTAATCGAGGCCAGCAATCGGCATCCCTTCTTAGTTTCTCCCCATGCTTGAAAACTCGCGACCTCTTTCTATCGCTTGTGTATATTCTGTAACAAAGTCTTGGTTTCGTTTGCTTGCTATATACAGGCTGTGGTGCGTTTGATAAGTTTTCCTAGTCTACATGTGTCCTTACCACACCTCACCCATCTTGGCGTCAGCTCTGAGGTTAGCCTCGGGCGATGTGCAATTTCCTCATACTCTCCCCCCGCTATCGATTGAGACAAGCACACAAGTAATCATATCCGACGCGTTAGGCTGCTATGTCATCATGATCCTGTTGGCCCCCAGGCCAATCACACAAGCGGCGATCACTGCTGCATGCGCCCGGCCTCGGCCAGTGTGGCTGAATGACATCATGCAGTCTTTCTCCCTTTATCAAAACTTCGAACGACAAACAAGCTGTCATTTCAAGGCTTCCCCAGGGAGAACGCTAGACTTGGAGTTTACAACCATTCACGGGAATCACCCACAAATTTCGCAGGATTCAGCACTCATATATCAACACCTCAGATCTTCACAATGTTGGGCAATGCAATCCGAAGACGGGCCCTGCCCTCCCTGGCGGCGTGTTCGCGTCCAGTGCCCCTCATTGCCCGTACGACGACCGCTCCTGGGGCCCGATTCCTCAGTGACAAGCCCGGCTTGGAATCCACAGACATCAGGGACATTGCGGATGCCAAGAAGACCAACCCACCGCAACCAAAGATATCCAACGCCAGCGTCAACGGGGAGAAACTCACAGAAGAGCAACAACGCGAGGTGGATGAACACAACAGGGACTTTGAGAAGAAGCATGACACAGCACCAACTGCCGAGGACGATAAAGTCGACAAGAAGTTCTGGTCGAATAGAGATGGCAGCAAATAACGGCGTTGAACTGAGTCTGTTGGGAGGAGCCTTCTTCTAAGAGACATGAATCTCTCGAATCCATTGCAGTATCGTGGTTATTTCTTCTATCGAATAGGTACATGTATTTTGGCACAAGTTGTTCGCACGTGTTCTGGCAGAAGGCACGAGGTGCACCTGAATACTCTCACCTTCTTTCCTGTGCGTATACCTAGAAGGATGGCACGAAGGATACTTGTATCCCTTCACCTTCCCTCCTTACCAAGCGTTTGGGGAACATGGCGGAGGGGTACTGGAGGGGGCTCTTTAGACAAATCCAGTAGCCCTTGAGCAGCTGTACTCAACCATCGCTTAACTTCTTGTTCGATTCCCTTTGGATGATCACTTTTTTTTCTTTAAAATAAAAGTCTACATAAAAAATTGATGTTTATCAATATTGTCCCAGTGTGACTTGGGAGTCCTGGTGCTGTAATGTAATTTAGAGTAACATTGCCGAGGTCCATTTCCCAAACAGCGCCTCGAGTACTCATTAACTCGGAGCTTCTCTGAAACCTCAGCTTCAAGATGAGCGGACAATTAAGCATCTGCGCTGCGCATCATGAACATAGGTATCACGTGCGACAGCGCAAAACAGCTTGTAGAATGAAAGGAGAAAGAAGCTTGATCCGGGCAGAGCATTGACGAGATGGCAAATCAGTGTCGAACACCTTCTGCCTCCATCTCCATCGGGAACCGGATACTCATCATAAAAGATTTGTTCTGAATTACATGCAGTGAACCTACCGAGGTCACATACTGTCTCATACACTCTTACATCGTCTATGGGGTCCCTGTTTTTCGAGCAGGAACATCCAATTCTAGGTGGAAACGGATGACAATGCTCCCTACCTTATAGTAAGCTTGAAAGGAGTAAGGTTGCAAGGTAAATAAATGGTCCGATGTTGATGACTTGATCACAGTAGTTCCCCTCTGCCTAGAGCTCCACGTCGTCAATCAGTGTTATGTCGTGGTCGAGAAAACAGTTCTGAGGCACCTACAAGCTTTTGAGTGGTATCATTTTGCAGTGTTGGCAAAGATGCCTGATCATTCTCATCGCGCGATGTAGCAGACTCCAGATTCGTGAATACCTCATGAGCATGGGAATCCTTGCAGGGCTTGCATCGAAGGAGTGCAGAAGATATTGCGTTGCGTTGAGTACAGCGCCACCCGCTGAAGGCTCGTAGCTAAAGTCCCTCGTAAATCCAGTCTTGATGATTAAAAACGTACGCCATATTTATAGTGCAATGACCTCTCAGAGGCTAAGATATACTGAGGCGCCTGAGGTAGCCGGAGCAAGTCAGCGTTGGCACTTGAGGCATCTTCGACCCCCGGGACAAGTCAACCTCTCTCGCTTCTTTTTCCGTCGCCAAGAGAGGGAGATCAGCATCTTCAAGTCAGTGTTGTATAGACTCGCTAACCCTCGTAGCACAGTCTTGGCTGAGCGCACAACTTTTAGCAGAGCAAGCATCATTGCGTGACTCGTGCGGCGCTGTCGCCCAGTGCCAGAAAGTAACACCAACGGAGCGAAACCACAAACCAGTCGGAGCAAGCTTGGCCGCGTTACCTCGGTCGCCAAAGAGGTGTATCGAACACTATCCTACTTTGACACCTAGGAGAATCCACCAGGAAAATAGGTGAAATGTGCGAAAGAGGGAAAAGCCCGCGTGCTCTCCTGCCCAGTCGATTGCCACCGTGCTCTCAGAGAAGCAAGAGGGCACGCGACAGCGGATATTTTCTCTGGTCGCAGTGCCTAGCGTCCGATCCTAGGCTTGGCGACATCACAACGAAGTTGGAGCAAGACCCAGCAGAGGTACTCGGAAACAGGCCTCGACGGATCATCGAGAGCGTGTAGAAACGACAACGTGCTCTCAAAAACGGCTACGACTGGCTGGACCTCCCTGAAGGATCTGTCTTTGGGACCTTGAAAGCCAAGAGGGTCAAGTCCTTCAGTAGCACTCGCTTCACCAATCTCAGTTCACGGTGTGGATGAGCGCAGAGCTCGGCGCAGACTGGGCATCCGTCAAGAATATCCACAATGGGTCGAGGACTCGAGACATTGGCTCGCCGGGGCGAGATGCCATTTTGTAGCTGATGGAACATTGAAACCGACCCGAGAATTGTTTTCCCCCTCCCGTTTTCTTGTAACTAAACCCCAGCTGGGGCGAATAGGGCCAAGAACTCCGGGAACGTGAACCCTGAAGGGCTCGCCATCGAGGTTGTGGGGATGGAGGGGAAGGACCACGGGATAGACAGAGATTCGTCTTGACAATGATGAAAAGCTGCTCTGTATAAAGATCGTGGCGTTCCGGGGCTTTCAACAACCTTGAGAGGAATGTCGACAAGCCTTTCCACTTCGAGTTCGCCTGCCCTCGAGCTTCCTCACCTCTACCGGTGAAACTCCTCCCCTCTCCTTTCACCTTCTTCTAACTCGATCTCCCAGAAGAATCAAGTCAACCGTCACCATGGCTGTCCTTGCGCAGTATGAATGGATCATTGCCGTGATCACCATCGCCTTTTGCGGTAGCTCCATCGGCAACGGTGCAAACGATGTCGCCAACTCCTATGCCACCTCCGTGGCAGCCAGGACCTTGACCATGCCCCAGGTCGGCTTCCTCTCCATGTGCACAGAGTTCTTTGGTGCCGTCGTCCTCGGCTCCAAGGTCACTGGCACGATCAAGAACAACATCATCGAGCTCGACCGCTTCCGCACGACTCCATCCACCCTGATCCTCGCCATGGGCTGCGCCGAATTCGCGAGCGCCTTCTGGCTGCTTGCTGCTACAAAAGTTGGATACCCCGTCTCAACGACACAGACTATTGTTGGAGCGCTCGTTGGTGTTGGTATTGCTGCCCAAGCCCAGGTTTCCTGGTCCTGGAGCGACGGCAGTGTCTCCCAGATCGCCGCATCATGGGGTATCGCCCCATGTATTGCCGCTGCATTTGCCGCGATCCTGTTTGGCAGTCTCAAGTTCACGGTCCTCGAACGTGAAAACTCTTTTGAGAAGGCTATGAGGGCCATTCCTTTCTACTTGGCGTTCACGGCTGCCATCCTCGCTCTTTTCATTACCGTCGAAGCCCCGGGTGCACCATCGCTTGAGGAGCTTGGCGCCGGTGCAGTATGCGGTATCATACTCGGTGTCTTCTTTGGCATCCTCCTGCTCTCTTACGTCTTCTTCATACCCTACGTCCACCGAAGACTCGTCAAGGAGGATGCCCGCATTCGTCTCCGCCACATCTTCCTCGGCCCTCTGTTGTACATGGAGAACCCGCCGATCTACCTGCCCGCTAAGGGAAACGAGGTAGTTATTGACTACTACGCAAGCGCTCACGATGATTCCAATGCCACCAACGACGGCGATATCGAGAAGCAGGCAGTCAAGACCGAGGGTGGCAGCGACAGGGGCGAGAAGCTGGCCGGAAATGACAGCACCTCCGACTCTCCCTCGCCCGTCCCCATGTCCCTCGAGGACGTTGAACGCGGCAAGAAAGCACCAGAGAGTGGAGGCGTCGTCCAGCCTTACAAGCGTATGCCCGAGCCCGAAGAGCGCTTCCTTGCCCCCACCGCCCACCTCCCCATCCACAACCCCAGACGCATCTGGAGCTTCATCAAATACTTCTTCCTGCAGGGCGTCACGCGCGACTGCGTCACCCACGCCTCGTCCCAGCTCGCCGCCATCCACGGCAAGGCCAAGAAGTACGACAACCGCGTCGAGCACCTGTGGACCTACGCCCAGGTCGCCAGCGCCATGATGATGTCCATCGCCCACGGTTCCAACGATGTCGCGAACGCTGTCGGCCCCTGGGTTGCCGCCTACCAGGTTTACATGACGGGGGAAGTCAGCGAGGAGGGATCGACGCCAATCTGGATCCTGGTGGTCGCCGGCTTCTTGCTTGGCGCGGGCTTCTGGTTCATGGGTCACCACATCATCAAGGCCATGGGCAACAAGCTGACTCAGCTTTCACCCACAAGAGGTAAGTCAACTAGCTGCTCGTTGATCGGTCATTTCCTGTTACTAACCATTACTCTCAGGGTTTGCGATGGAACTTGGGGCTGCCATCACCGTGCTTTTGGCTAGTCGTCTCGGTCTTCCCGTCAGTACCACCCAGTGCTTGACTGGAGCCGTCATTGGCGTTGCCTTGATGAACTTTGACGTTGGCGCTGTGAACTGGCGCCAAGTCGCCTTCATCTTCTCCGGCTGGCTCGTCACATTGCCCTGCGCAGGTCTCATTGGTGGCTTGCTGATGGCGATGTCGCTCAACACCCCTCAGTTTGGTCAGGACTAAGACTTTTTGATGAAACATGGTATGAATATGAAGCATAGTAACGGCGTTGATGGCTTGAAATTAGGATGCTCCTAGGGCTATACATTTCATGTAAGAGGCAGGACAGAACCATGTCCAGGATAGCAATTGGGTTAGCAATTGGGTTATGACAAAAGTTTTCATTTTACATGTTGCTCTCTCCCCAATGCTTCAGGCCTGTGAAGCAATCATGCAATCTAGGTGGGATTGAGGAAGAAGAATGTTTTACCTTCAATTAGATAATGATTGCGTCTAAGTTGCTTGAACGTCCACAATGCCCGTCTTTGATATTGAGTGGAGGCGGAGGCTTATTGTGCTACTACTGATTTCTTGAACTGCTCCATCTACGCGCTGTAGAACATATCAGACATTTAGGCAAATGGAAGAGCCTCACAGCATGTGTTATATCTATCAAATGGATGTTCTTGCAACCGCGCTTTGTGTCAGTAATGGTCAAGTCAAGGTTCACCCAGAATTCTTATGTATGAATTGAGCACAACGACTGCCTTGGTACCGATGAGAGATGTCTTCTTTAGGACACAGTTCTCAGTACGAGGCGGGAAAAAACTGATTTCAGTTGCTGAGGACTGTTGAAGTAACTTCCTAGAAACGTAGAAGCTTTCTTGTTGTCCAATTCTGAAGACTAGCGCTCATGAATCAAATGACGGGTGGGCATTGACGTGTGTTGTGTCGGATGATCTACCAAATAATGATAGCAAGTTTCAAGTACAGCTTAGTAAATGTATATATGAACCTGTCTTCGGAACTTCCTAAACATTGAATCAAACCAAGACAGCCGTTGCGTTCAATGCCGCCCATAATAGTGTCCGACACGAACTCTGGTTGGCCAAGATGAACGTCGCCTTGTCAAGCATGGCCCGGCGATGTCGTTGGCCAGAAAGTCTGGGGGTAAGACAATCCCGACATCACTCGCTTTCTGGCGGCTTTGCGTGGTCGGATGACCGGTTGGTCAATCCAAGAGCCGTGCGACAAATGGTCAACTGCCCGGCTTCCGACTAAGTTTTGACAATGGCACTGTTCGGTTGCACTGTGATGCGGAAGGACGGAAACTCAAAGCAAGGAAAAAGAAAAAAAAGATTGCGGTAATTGCACCAAGTGGTGGGCGGGCCGCGCACTTTGCAGATAGGATCTCGGATGCTTGCCGAGACCCGACCAGCTGGGACTAGGTGATAACCAGCCTATTTGTTATTGGCTGACTTGCATGGAACACCCATTGAAAGTGTCCGATTTGATGATCTTTCATAGGTTATCGAGGGAAGACGTCGGAGGCGGTTGTTGCACCTATTCCTATAGCCGCGGCGCGGACGAGACGTTCATGAGGGAGTGGAGTGGTGGTATGTTATCGACGACACCGCGGAAAGCCGCACGCACGGGATAGGATGGGGTGCAGGCGGGATCGGACTCATCGGAGGGTGTGGTGATGCTTCATCTGATAGGTACCATCCCAATCATGACGCTGGGCCATGAGTATACATATTGCGGCAATCTCATCATTGTCTCCCTCGTGTATTTCATCACCCACACACCCTTGAACTGAGCACTCTTTTACTTCTTGATCTAAGCAACTTGACGATACCCCTTTGACAAGCTCAGTCATCACGAAATAGACAACATGGGATCTATTCCAGCTGGTTGGAGGCAACTCGATGTCGGTGTTGTCGGCGGAGGCATCGGCGGCATGAGCGTCGCCATCGCGCTGCGCCGGGCGGGACACAAGGTCACCATCTACGAGCGCAATGACTTTGCCGGTGAGGTCGGCGCCTCCGTCTCATGCGCCGCTAACGGCACCCGCTGGCTGCACGAGTGGGGGGTGGACGTCGAGAAGGGCGACCCGGTCGTCCTGAAGAGCCTCATCAACAGGGACTGGAAGACGGGCGAACCTGTCAGTGTGTACAGCCTCGACGACTACGAGAAGCGCTGGGGTTTCGTCTACAACATGTTTCACCGCCAGTACATGCACGCGATGCTCAAGGACACGGCGCTGCAGGAGGAGGGCGAGGGGATTCCGGTCAAGCTGTTGGTCAACCAAAAGGTAAGACTCTTCATACAAACTTTTACTCTCCCGAGCAGCTACTCAAGTCTCCCCGCAGTGCAAGAACATCGACCTGAGCGCCGGAAAGGTGGAGTTCGAGACCGGCCTGACCGCAACGCACGACCTCATTGTCGGCGCCGACGGCATCGGCAGCGTGGTGCGGGGCCTGATCGGCGTCAAGCCGGAGAAGCGCCCGTCTGAATCGAGCTGTCTGCACGCCAATATCCTCACGGAAGACGCCGTCAAGGCCGGCCTCGTCGACTACTCGCAAGACGCCGCGCTCGAGTACTGGGGCGGCCAGGAGGGCAAGTGGGACAAGATTGTCCTCTCGCCGTGCAACGGCGGAAAGCTGCTGTCGTATTACTGCTTCTTCCCCAGGGAAAAGGGCGACTATGTGAACCAGGCCTGGGGTGTTGAGGACCGCCCCGTCGAGGAGTTGCTTGCGCCGTACCCCGAGCTGGACAAGCAGGTCCTTGCGCATCTCGCTATTGGCAAGGATATCCAGCCCTGGCGCTTGTGGGTGCAGTAAGTTGTCACGGCTACCCAATCATCGTCTCTCAAGTTGGGTTTGCTTACTTTGATGCAGTGACCCTTACCCTTACGTCAACAAGAACATGGTTTGCTTGCTGGGTGATGCAGGACATCCTGTAAGTCAACGAGATATCCATTTATCTGGTGTATTAGCAGCTCTAACTGAAGCCTTATAGATGATGCCTCACCAAAGTCAGGGCGCATGCATGGCCATCGAAGATGCCGGTGCTCTTGGAATTCTTTTCCACCCCAAATACTTCAACGGAGACGTCGCCGACACCTTGGAAGTCTACAATGCCGTCCGTCTGCCCCGTGCCACGCGTGTGCAGTCAGCGGCTGCCAAGGCCGCATACAACATCAACGAGCGTATTGGTAAGCTCCATAAACTATCAAGAATTGGAAAGAATGCGTCAAGTTAACCGCAACTTACTTTAGGTTTCTCAAACAACACCAGCACCAGCACGTACAAGGTTGCAGACGAAAGGGCCAAGCTTACGATTGAGGAGATGAACGCGTGAGTTTGACAGCTTCCAAAAATTTCTCCTGCACATGACTAACAACATGACAGATATGACATGTACAAGGACATTGAGGAGGTCATTGCCAAACGGTCGGGGACTCCGTTCACCCAGAAGTTCATCAAGGGACTGCCCATAGGATTGGAGCTGTCTCCTGGCGTCATCGTTGGGCAGTAAATAGCATGGATTTGTAAAAAGCTTGAGGCTGCTTTTTGGATCGGACCATTTGGGCATTAATTGGAGTTTTGGGTCGGGAGGATTGCGATGTGTTCATAACAAATTATTCCTAATTTTGAATTGTATAAACTATGATGGGCCGTGCCTATGTTATGAAGGATTTATGCTCCAAGTGAACTAAATAAGTGTGAACTAAAAAAATTTGAACTAAAAAAATGCAGGGTCAAGAAGAAGCCGAGAAACCGTCTGACGATTCGACGCGCATCCTGCATCTGCCACCGAATCTAGATGCACGCTCCGATCTATCCAATCATCCCTTGAACAAGTGACTGCAAAGTGACTGCAGGAGGTTGGGATCTTTTTCTCGACCCTCTCTTGCAGAGCCTCCATGCTCAAGTTTGGAACGACAGATATTGGAAACCGTTGTTTTTGTTCCTATGACTAACCACAGATGCACAACTGTCATTTATACGCAGATTGCAGACCATCATAAAGGTAATCACATCATCAGGCTATCCTCGCCCATCTCTCTGTTGATGGTCACCAAGCTCACGGCAACCTACCTAAAAACAGCGTCGCCCGGCGTTGAGCAACGTTCCGATCAACATCCTCACAAGCAAAGAGCGGTAGCAATGGTCGCCGTCAATGTTTCATGCAGCCAAGGGCCCTCATGCAAAGGGCGGTGGAGGCGATCGCCAAATGTGACTACGTCCCCCCTGCTGACGGATGAGATATCCATGAATGTCCAAGGATATCCAACGCGAACTGCGCTAAAATGTCACTCGGGGTGGGCCTTGAAAAGAATTCTGCAGGTGTCCCGAGCTCCCGGGGGGGAAGAATGCCATATCCAGCAAGGGTCGTCGAGAAAATCTTCCAATCTTTTCCAGGAGCCCTGGACGCGGTCGGCGGCGAGGCGACGCGATGCCAGCGGTGAAGAGGGCGGTGATTGTTTATGCGACTCGCGAGCTCTTTTTGGTGCCCAATGTTTTCTCGACCTTCCATTTCGTTCAATCTTGCTTCAGGTTTAGTTGACCAGCCACTTTGGTGGGCCGCACCACCCTCGGCGACTCCAGAAGGTTGGCCATCGAGGCTTCATGGACCGTGGACGGGCAACACTGGTTGCTGTGCGATTTGCCATGCATACATACCGACTCTCTGGTGGATACTATCCAGTATTGTGTTCGTGCTCTGGATCCGTAGTTCGTAAGTATCTCGGGCTGAATCGACGAGTACATATAGATGAGCATCAAGTCCAGCGTTCACATCTATTCTTCTTCTTTCTTGTTCCCTCATCTCTGTTTGGTCACGACATCTGAGACCCTGCATAACTGCTTCTCCGTCTAGCGGTTGCTTTTCATTTGGCGTCACGATTTTCGCTTTTGTTTTCCGTCTTCTTTTTGTTCCTGTTTTCCGAAATTACGGCCGTTGATACCCCCCCTCACAATGTCTCCCGCACTTTTTGACACGAACCGGAGGACTCCCTCTGGCCAAGACCCCGAACGTCGCAAGTCTGGGAGTGGTTTCCTTTTCCTCAACAACCGCTTCAAGAGGTACGTTTTGTTTTGTTTATTTCCAGTTGTTATCTCTCTCTCTGTCCATCTCCCTCTCTCTTTCCAGTTGTCCTGGATACGATATCCTGCTTCACCGCTCTTCGTCTCCTCCATTCTCTATCCCCTGCCAGCATCGCTCGCCTCACCCCTGTTTTTATGCTGGACCCTAAAGGGTCCCGCTTCGACCGGACCGGCTGCAACAGTGGGCGCCGCGGCTTTGAAGATATCCACCAAAGATGCATGCCCCTCCAGTTGTTCAACGGTCGACCGACTCAAGCCCGGCGAGTTCGTCGGCTTGCATGTTTGACGTGTCTGTCGCGGCTCCAAACAACAGCGTCGACACCCAACCGAACCCAACCCGCCTCCAATCAGCGTCCCTCTCTTACACGGGTGTTCGTAGTCCGCCAACACCAACCGAGGGTGACGCGCCTGACTCCTTTGCCCAACATCGTCACTTGCCGGGGCAAGATGCAATGACGGAAGACCCTCAAGGAGGGCGCCGCTCTGCCAGCCCAATCTTGCGACATCCTAAAAGAGTGATGCCGCCGCGGACGCCGTCTGTGCCTTTGCGAGTGTCCTCTCTTCGGTAGCGTTCCTTTGTCTTTTTTTTTGTTTTTGCCATAAATTCGTATCCCATGCCACTACAGTATTGTATCAGCTCCTTTTCGAGGAGTCTGTACCTCCACAAGTTGTTGACTTACACCGGCTTCGAAGGGAACCTCACACTAACAATCGAACAGGGCCCCTACTTCAAAGACCACCAACGAAAATGCCACCTCTAGCCCTTCCACTCCGACTTTCGGACCTGTCAAGGATGGCTACTTCATGAAGCGTTCCGATTCCTCCCAGAGCATTCCCTCTCTGGTCCAGTCAAACAACGGTGACGCTGAGGTGCGGAGACCCATGACCGCCATGCCCGGCCGGGAAAAGTCATTCCTCGGCACCAAGGAGCCTGTCGTCCCGGCTGTCCCCTCCATTCCTGACGAGAAGGTCAAGCCCGCGACTGTCCCCGAAGAAAAGGAGGAGAACGCTCCCTCGGCCCCTGCCACTAAAGATGCCGAGTCCGCAAAGCCCAAAGCCGTGTCTGTGGCCGGGACTGCCAAGACGGCCGAGAACGACGCCGACGAGTCCTCTTCCGAAGATGAAGAAGAAGACGAGGAGAAGAATGAGACCGAGGCAAAGGAGCCCCAGGGAGCCCAGCTCGCAACTCGCGTTGCCATCCTCCCTCCCCGCCCTGCCACCCCCGAAGCCGACAAGAGGATCTCTTACCACGAGGACGCCGACATCCACATCAAGGTTCGCGAGTCCAATGGCTCCCTCGTCGTGTACTCTGTCCGCTCCGCGGCTCTCGCATCTGCGTCCCGCGTCTGGAAGGAGTTGCTCGCCAACAACACCTCCAGCGTGATTGAGCTCCAGTCTTCCGCCGACACGGCCAGCGGCCTCGACGTCCTCTTCTCCATCGCCCACTTCAAGTTCCATGAGCTGCCCACCATGCCCAACGTCGGCGACCTCTACGATCTGGCCCTGGCTTCGGACAAGTACGCCGCCACCCACCTGCTCGTCCCCTTTATGAACGACTGGGTCATTGCCCTGAACCGCCACGTCCTCATGGCCGGCGCCCGCAACGACGAGGACAAGACTCTCGTCCTCAGCTGGGTCTTTGGCGAAGCCCGCTGGTTCAGCCGCGTGCTGGCCAAGGCGGCGTACAAATCCCGCGTCGGCCCCGACGGCGCCCTTCAGGATTCCAAGGGACGCCCCTGGAAGGACCAGCCCATCTCGGACGAGGTCATCCGCATGCTGACGGTCACCCGCGCCGAGGCTATCGACAGGATCATCAAGGCCGTCAGCAACCCCGTCCACCGCCTCCTGAACCCCTCCTGCTACCCTGGCGAGGAAGTCCGCTACTGCCACGCGGGCACCGAGGACGGCACCGCCGAGGACTGCGAGCAGCTCCTCCTCGGATCCGCCATCATGGGCCTGACAAAGTCCAAGCTGTGGCCCCCGCCCGAGCCCGCCAAGATCAAGGTCAGCGCCGTCGATCTCGCCAGGGCGTACGGCGAGGTTCGCATCCGCCGCTACCAGACCCCGGGTCTGCGCTTCAGGGACAGCTCGGCCGAGGGTGCGCCCGTCGACGACCCGCACGCCAAGTGCGGCTTCGGGCACCGCGAGGTGATTGAGAAGATCCTCAACACGCCTGCCAAGATGGCGTCCAGCGTTGTGGGCCAGTTGATCACGCGGGCGAAGAAGTCTGGTGCGTTTGGCGAGGAGCTTTTTGCGGACCTGAAGGAGTACGTGCAGGACGGCGGCGCTGCTGTTGAGGGCGAGGATCTGAAGAACGATTCCGTTCACTACAAGCAGGTCCGCGTCCGGGCCAATGGTGTTGCCGAGAACAAGACCCCTGCTGATGGTAAGCACTTTGATGAACGCGGTTTGATGTAGTGGTGTAGTTGCTAATACGCTGCAGATGATGATGATGAGGACGACGACGATTCCAGCTCCGAGAGTGATGAGGAGTAGTTGTTATGCATGAAGATGAAGCCTGTCGGTGGGATTCTGCGATCAACGTTTTACGTATTATGGTTTTGTCTTTCTATGATGTCTCCAAGCATGATTCATTACGAACAATACCCTTAGAATGTGTCTAGATCTAATTATAAAATCTTTCCTTTGTCGAATCAAGATCAGTACTACTCAATGATCGTCTTCAGACTTATATCCCAACGCACGTCTCGCCATCCGCTCATTTTGCTCTTGGATTCTGCCAACCTGCAACAATCTCAGTCCCCCGTGATCATGGTCCATAGCTAGGAGCTGCTTTACTCGACTCATCGACCGCTATCTATACCGCGTGACGGCGTATCACCTCTCGCCTGTATTCGGTCACGCCGGTGGCTGATGTCACTTCTCCGAGTAAGGAAAGAAGGTGGAAAGACGTGTTCTCTAAAGCCTTTGTTGGGCGTGTTTCACGGTGCAATTTGGAGCCTGATCGACAGCGGGCCTAGAACAAGTGAGACTGACAGTGAGATCCATCTTGGAGGCCTGCAAAGTGAGACTGCATTTTGTTGACACAGTCTCGTGTGATGTTGACGGTGAAGTGAGACTCAGTCAATCAGGGGCTGATGTCTCGGGGTACGTACTCGCCCTTATGTAATGGTGTAAGTACCTGAAGGCAAGATGCGGAGGTCATCAGATCGGGGGGGTTCCTTCCTCCCGCCTGCCCCCAACAACAGCGCACTCAAAATCGTTCGACTGCCTCTAATCCGGACCCCGAGAGCATCCGACCTTTGTAACCACATCAGGCTTCTTTAACAGTCGTCGTAGGGTTGAGAAAAATCATCAGTCAACAAAATGCCGCGTCCCAGCATTGCCGAAGAAGCACCAGAGCCAGATACATCGCAGGCTACCGTACCCGCCAGCCAACAACTATACTCTGACGCATCAAGCTCCTACTGGCCACCAGGTTGGAATTACAGTCGCTTTCGACATGCTACTCAGGAAGATGTGGCCTCGCTTCCTGTCGACGAGCTACTCAAGATGCAGGCTGGTTTGCGTGACGTGCTTGGGGAAGACGGCGTGGGTCAACTGGCGGTGCACGTGTACGAGGAGCAGCAGCGTGATGCCGAGCGATCTGGCGCTGAGCTGGCCAAGGAGGAGGCGGAGAGACCGGATGTCGAGTACATATAATAATAATGAGTTTAATAAAAAAGATCCTTATTTAATAATATAAATAATAATAAAGTTTAATAAAAAAGACCGCGCTTATATTAATATAATAATAAATTAAATTATGTTATATACTTATCATAAAATATTTATTATATAAAAACTTATTATTTTTATTAAAATAAAATAATTTTTTAAAAACATATAAAAAAAGTTTTATAATAAATTTAATAATTAACTTCTAATTTTATAATATTTATATTTAATATATTTATTTATAAAAGTATAGTAAGGTCGTTATTTTATCTATTAATATTAAAACTTTAATATTTATATTACTTTTAATATTAAATTAAATAATAATAATATTAAAAATTATTTTTTAACGGTCTTAATTATTTATATCGGCTTATTGATATTATATAAAATATAATTAATAATTAAAAGCTACGTTTTTATTAAGCTTATATAAAAAATAAAAAACTTATTAATTAAAATTATTTCGGCCCTCGTTTAAAATATTTTAATAAATTTTATATTATGATTTCGTTAAAATATTTTTAATTAATTATTAAATAATACCGGTTTATTTATAAAATAATATTTTTTAAAAAGAGGTTATTTTTATTTTTTATTAAAAAATATAATAAAAATTATTTTATATTAGTTAAATTAAATATCTTATATTATTATAAAAAGTTTTTAGAAATAATTAAATCGTCGATTTTTAATAAATAAAAAATTTATCTATAATAATAGTTTTAAATAATATTTTTTTTTAATTTTCATCGTTAGATTTTAAATTTAAAAATTATAATATTTTTTATAATAGATTAAAAAATATAATATAATAAATTTTTATCAAGTTTATATTATTTTAATAAAGTTAATAAATTTAATATTAAACTATTATAATATAAAATAATTAAAACTTAATTAGTTATAAATAAAGCCGCTTATTAAAAAACTATAATAAATTATTATTAATTAAAAACTTATAAAAAGCCGGCTATTTAATTTCTAATTAAATTTTAAATTAATTTTAATAATAAATAAAAAGTTAGTTTAATATATTACGACCCAACACGCATTACTAAACTAAGGCTCTGCCCCATAGGACCTACGGCGGCTATTATACTATATATATAATAATAAAAACTTAAACGGCTCCTTTTAAAATAAAAAAACTATAAATAAATTATATAATTATAATTATATAATAAGATAAAAAACGAACGCTCGTAAATAAATAAAACGAGCGATTATAAAAATATAAAACGGACGACTATTTAATAAACGGTAAGATAATAATAAATAAAATATTATAAAAAATATATTTATAATTAAAATTTATATATAAGATAACCCGAGCTAGGCTTAAGGATAGATTTTTATAGCTTTTTTAATAATTAATTCTTATATTAAATTTAATAATTGTTTTTAATTATTTTCATTAAGAATTTTATTAATAAAACTATAATTAATTACCGAAGCCTTTTTATTTAACGATTTATAAATAATAGCTTTTTTAAAACTATTTTAATAACGATTATTATTTATAAATATTATAGCCCCGACTTTTATTAATATAAACTTTATTACGATTAATTAGCTATAATATTTTAATTACTTTTATTTAGGGAATTAATATACCGGCGTCGTAAATTAATACACCGGCGTCGCTTTTACACCGGCGTCGCTATTTAACCTTCTAATTAGCTTAAAAAAATATTATTAATATAATTAAATTTTACTATATACCTACAAAATATCTTAACCTTTTTATTCTATTAATCCCTTTACTCTAAAATTATATTATTAAGCCTTTAAATTTAATTTATATTATTTATTTATAATAGCTTCTTTAATTAAAGTTAAAAATATTCTATAAGGCTAATTTTAAAATAATACCTATATTAATAAACCTTTTTTTTTATAAAAGCGACCCCCTTTATAAAAGCGATTATTAATTAATTACGGCTTTTTATTATTATTTAATTAACCGCTATTATCTTTTTTTTTAAAAAGCAACCGCCCGAGCGTTAATTAATTTTATAAAATTAATAATTTTTAAAAGTAGCGTAATTTTATTATTAAGTTCTTAGCTAATATATTATAAAATACGCGACCTTTTATAAACGATTATTTTAATATAAAATTTATATTATATTTTATTTATTATTTTTTAAAAAGAATAACGAAAACTTAGCGGACTATTTTTTTATGACTTTCTTTAAAATATAGCCTTTTTTTTTTTAATAAATAGTCTTAATAACTTTCTTATTTTATAATAAAATAATTTAATAATACTTTTTAGTTTATTTTATAAGTTATTAAAATTAATTAATAATTAATAACGGTACTCTTTTAATAATAAGAATATATCCGTTAATAGTAAAAAATATAGGGTCCTTAAGTTAATTTACTACCTTATTTACTTTTATACTAATCTTTTTTTTAAAACGAAGCGTTTTTCTGAACTATAGCTTTTTATTATATTTTAAATAACCGATCTTTTTTTTTTTTTATAATTAAAATCCTAAACCTATCGATTCTTAGCAATTTAAAATAAGCTTATAATACTTTTTTTAATTAAGTTAATACTTTTATAAAAGTTAATAGATTTAATATTATAAAACGGAATAAATATAAAGTTTAAGGCCGAATTATTTAATATATTTTTTAATATAATCGGTTTAGCGAGCTTAGGTTTATATAAAGTGCTAATATTTAATAGCGTAAGTTTTATAAATACGGTTATAAATAATAAATTATTATTAAGGCTTAAGAGGAGGGTAAGTAGTTTTTATGTTATTATCTAGACTTTTAATATAGTTAATATAATTATAGTTTTAGTTTTAAAACCTTTGTATACCTTTTATATTATAAATTTATTTAAGTAGTTTAGGATATTATTAAAATTATAAGCCGACGAATTAAGATTTAAACTCGCGATATATATATTATTATTTAAAAATAATTTTTAAAGTTTTTATTTATTTAGCGAGATATTTATAACGCTAGGGCTTATATAAACCGAGAGAAATTAACTAAATATTTGTTAATTATAGCGTTAATTAAGCTATTTAATAAACGAAATATTTTATATATAGTAAAATAGGTAAACGACGAGCTAAACCGCTTTATTAGCCTTATTTAAACCTTTCTTTATTATTTTTAAATATAGAAGCGATTCTTTAAAGTAATTAACTTTAATAATATTTATAATATTAATCGTTTTAAGCTCCTTTTTTTTTAAGTTATTAAGTAAACCTACTTTAAATCTATTTATAACGCTACGTTTAGTTTTATTAATAACGAAAGATTAAAAGGTTTTTAGTTTTTCTTAATAAATATCCGCTAATTTATAAACTAATATTTAGTCCGTTACCCTATTATTATTATTATAAATTACGATAAGTAAATAAAGGCTATATTAAATAAATAGTTTTTAGATATTTAGTAATAACTTTATATTTACTATATTAATTCTAATGTTATATTTAAAACTAAGCAGAAATAGGTTAAAGAACGTAGCTATAATAATAATAGTAGTGGGTCTAATAACGAGGGATATTAACTATTAATATAAATAATAACTACATTAAGTAATAAAGATAAGGCCTATATTAATATACCTATTAATAAGCCCCCCCTTTATATATATCGTAAGGTCTTTATAATATAAAAACTTATTATTTTTATTAAGACTAAGTACGCTTTAAAAAAAGCCTAGACTAAGCTTTATAAAAAGTTTAATAATTAATACTTAATCCTTTAATACTTCTATATAATATATTTATTTTTAAAAATATAATAGGCTTACTGCTCTATTTAAAAATACTAGAATTTTAGTATTCGTATTATTTTTAATATTAAGTTAAATAATAATAATATTAAGAGTTATCTTTTAAACGGTCTTAATTATTTATATCGACTTATCGATATTATATAAAATATAATTAATAATTAAAAGATATATTTTAAATAAGTTTATATTAAAGATAAAATACTTATAGGCCGGGAGTATATAAGTATTTATTTTAAGTACTTAAGCGAACTTCTAACGATACTTTTTTTAAAATATTTTATATTAATTAAGAAATAATACCGGTTAGTAAAAAAAGTAATATTGTTTAATAAGAGGCTATTTTTAGCCCCCTTTAAAAATTATAGTTTAAACTATATTATTTTAATTAAGTTAAGTATCCTATACTATTATAAGATTTATTTTAAAATAATAGATTTAATTATTTTTAATAAGTAAGAAGTATACCCTCGGTAGCGTTTTTAAAAAACGTCTTTTTTAGATTTATACCGGTAGATCCTTAACTTTAAAATTATTATATCTTTCCGTAATAGGTTAAAAAATATAGCGTAGCTTATTTTATTATAATTAATTTTATTTAAAAAGGGCTAGTTAGCTAATTAAGCCCGTATTATTTATAATAGTTAAGGCGTAAATAATAAATAGCGAGGTCGCTTATTTAAAAATAAGAATAAATCGATATTAATTAAGTTTATATAAAAGATAAGTTAGCTAAGTTAAAGCTAAATATTAAACTTATTTTAATAATAAATAAAAAGCTAATTTAACGTTTTTAATAAGGGGAGGATAATAAAGAATTATATAAATAAACGGCTAATATAGCTTAATATTTAAAAGAAACGGAGTTAGTAAGAAATAATTTATAATAACGATAAATCTTTATAAATACGTTATAAAAAGTAATTAAATATTAAGCTTTTTTAAAAGTTATATAGTCCTTATTTAAAATTTATAAAACTATAGTAAAAGTAAGTTATAATACGTACTTTTAGAAATCTTAAATAAGAGTTTAAATTAAAAAAGAAGGTAGGAATAGTTATATTAATATAATTATTTTTATCGTTTTTATAAAGAGGTATTTTTTTTTTAAGTTAATTAAAAAGTCGAATAGCGACGCCGGTATAAGAGCGACGCCGGTGTATTAATTTACGACGCCGGTATATTAATTTTTTTTATTTAATAAGTCGATTTT